CTCCCAGTCCCAGACAAGGGCGGTTTCTCGTTGACTGGTAATTCCCACCGCTTCAATGTCCGACCTAGAGTGGCCCAGTGCAAGGAATGACTTCATTGCCTCTTCAATGCAAATAAAGACAGACTCGACCAATTCGTAAGGGTCCTGCTCGTGCCATCTGCAATAGAGGGGCAAACAACGTTAATGGAGGGGAGTTGCGGGGGTGGGGAAAACGAAGTTCTAACCACCTACCCTGGATGGTCGTGAAGTTGACGGAACTCCGTTTGGTATTTGGCGATGGGAACGCCTGTGCAATCAAAGATAATGAACCGGGTACTGGTGGTACCCTGATCAATGGTGCCGATAAAGCGCTCCTTCAGGTCATCCCCATGTCGGTCCTCATCTTGCAAGAGTGCCCGGTCCCCATCATCTGTTTGGTGGGGTCGGATTGGGAGGTCATATTGCTCATCATGACCGGGTTCTGAGTCGCCGTCGACGCTTTCGTTGTCGAGATCGAATGGGTTCCGCATCTTTTGTGTGGTATGTGGTATATGTGTTGTGGCGGGATGGCGGGGGAGGGTGTAAAGGGAAATAGGTCAAGGGCAGAAATGGTGGGAGAAGAACCAAGAATTACGCCTAGAGAAATCTACAGTGGCGGCAATGAGATTGTCGCGGGGGAAGGGAGCTCCTATGGGAAAAGTGGAGCCTGACGTACGAGGGGGCAAAGTGAGAGAAGGAAAGGGAACTTGAAGTATGAAAAGCGACTGGCAACTCTTTTTATCCAGGCAAGTGGGACCAAGGGGAGTGGGGGAGAGGGGTGTGGACCTACTCTTGCTTCTCCCCAAATCCGGTTCACGGAGTTTTTTTTTTTTTTTTTTGGTTTTCTTTTTTTTTTCTTGATCAGAAGACCTCGTCACCTCCCCCACTCTGGGGCTATGTATATACTGGAGAAACGTTGGATCGAGGGTCTACACCCCTATACTGCCTTTGTAACCCTAATTTTATCTGGAAGAACTCACTCTATTTTCACCATACTGTCATATAACTTCACAGTAAGGAGACCATTTATAGAGAATTGATCCATATCGTATTCTAGACTCTCCTAGGGACCATCAATTGAGCCCCGTAGATCGGCCACATGACACTCCATTTTTTCTCTGCGGGTTCTAGACCCCCCTTTTTCACCACTTTCTTTCCTTTTGCCTATCGTGCAATTTACATACTTTCCCCCATTTCCCTGCCTTCCTATTCATGGATTAATGCCGGAAGATTAGCTGCTGGTCTACACATTCCTGGAGAATCCACTAGTCGCAGCCAAGAACAATCGCCCATTCTCCCCTGCCGTACCCCTGGATGAACCGGTGTCCACTTTATCATCCCAATATCAATGTTCCATTTCTTCAATAGGAAGATCACATCATGTATGAAGGCCAAGACATCACTTACTAATTTCCATCCCTGTACTCTGGGCAACCCCAGAATCCCATCGGACATTACCCAATCACAACACTGCAATCCACGGGTGATGACGTGTGAGATTCATAGGAAAGAACGGGTTTACGGCCCTGGAGAACAAGAATAAATTGCCCGATTGCTGGCCGAGGTGCCAGCCTATGAGAGGTTGGCACAACGCGCGGGAGGGGAGACAAATAACAAGGGAAAGGAAAGTCTTAGCACGACTACTGTAGGTTTGGGATTAGTCCATGTCCAACCTCACTATGGAATAACTAAGGCCATGGCGAACGAGGATCGCGCCCGTGTCCTGCCAGGGACAGGGACGTGCACAATTGAGTAGATCACGCGAGGAGCCAAAAAATCACTAATCTAATTGATGATATTATTTTTGGTCAACTTCGACGATCCTACGGGAATCTGGCGCTCCCGTTCTCTATCGCAACCGGGGTTATGTTCCAGCCACGATGCAGCTCGGCTCGCCAGACCTTCCTGTTTTCTTTGTGTGGTCCACTTAACCATGGTTGGATGGACCTTTAAACGCTTGAACAAAAGTACCCATCGCGAACAAAACCCCTATATGGTCTAGTAACTCTAGCTATAAAACTAATAGTAGAGAAATTGATACCTATATAGCTGCTCAAATATTGCCTAGAGATCATTAGATCATTAATTCAATCAATGTATAGGTAAGGATGATCATCTCCATCAAAGTACTTCGTACTGCAGACAATGGCCCGATTTGCAACCTGGCTACGGCCTACCTGCTTTCAGGGAAACTCGGCCTCTGACCCAATCATCGGCACCGGACGCGGCAACCCGGACCTCTATGTGTCGCTGAACGGCCCTGATCGCCCAGGTGACCTTCCAGAAATCGGAGCTTAATGCTTTAATTTCCAAAACCTGCCCTCGATCCGGTTTAGCCCCACGTGGGTGAACTGTCTGGACTTGAATCGCTGGCTCACATGAGCATTTATGCAGCTGCTAGCGCGGGTCTAGGAAATTTAAATTTCTTTTCCTTTTTCTGCTGGGTCGGTTTGTGCCAATTGAGAACAAAAGAAATCAGATAAAGCTTTCGGCCCTAGTGCGTTCTGCGTATATTCTACAGGAAATCACGGGGAATGCAAACATCAAGAGTGAAACGCGGGGGAAGAGACAACCCTTCCTCCCCCACTGACGAAATCAAACAAAGTTACAAGGTGAGTGTGTTGCTTTAGGGAAATCAACACATTTACTCCTCCTCCTCAGCCAAGACAGCCTTGCGGCGGGCCTCGACCTCCTCCTTCTCCTTCTTCTGCAGGAAGATCAAGGCGTTGATCTTATCCTTGATGGTGTGCTCAGAGGTCATGGTCTGGGCAATCTGCTCACGACCAATTAGGGTAGCGACGATGGAGGCACCGACGACGAAGGTCAACACGAAGCGGTACATGCCGTACCAGTGAGGAGCACGGCCGGTGGCAGCGGCGCGGGCGTCGTTGTAGTACAGGAAGGTGAAGGCAAGGAACTGGCTGATCAGAGCGTACTCAACGGGGAGCAGCAGAGTAGGCCAGGCCACAGCGGGGGCAATGATACCGGCAGCGTAGCGCTTGTAGCCAAACTTGCCGCCGTATCCAGCCCACTCAAGACCCCAGTGCACGGCACCAAGGAAGGAGAGGATCTATATGATCGTTGGTTATTAGCGGGAGCTCGTCTTTTGGATTGGGATTAAGTGAGACCGAAGCAGGGTCAACTTACCACGGCACCGTATCCAACCTGGATGGGCTCCAGCATGTGCAGCATCAGCTCAGCGCTCTGGCCGGAGAAGATCAAACCCTCACCAGCAACGGCAGCACGGTTAATCTCGTAGGAGAGGGCAACGGTCTGCAGAGAGGTGGCCAAGTAGGGAATGACACCAGCCATACCCAGGTAGAGGGCCTCCTTGGGGACATCGGCCAAGCTGAAGGTGTCCTTGATGACTTTCTACAAATCACAATAGCTGGTTAGAGTGGATTCTAAAGATCTGTACCCGTAATCAAGGGCAACTGATGGGGCATAAAACATACAGCCTCGGACTTCATGCCCGCCATCATGTCGGGCTCCTCATCATCCTATCCATAGAAAAGTCTATTAGCCATTGTGTGCCCCGCCTATCATACGCAGCTTTATCAATAGTCATACCTTAGCTGAGGAGGACGCGTAGCGGACCAGGGCAGTGGTGACGGGCTTGTGAGCAGCCAGAGAGAAGCTGGGCTTAGTGGTCGGGCGGATGGCACGGGCGGAGGAGGTCAGCTGGGCCTTGAAGATGTTGTTGCCAAGAGCGGAGCGAGCGACCGAGGCATTGGAGCTCGAGATGGCCCGGAGCGCAGAGCGGGCAGCGGCGTTACGGTACAGCATGGCGGGGGAATAGAGCTTTTCGTGTGTAGTCGGGTTAGCAGTTTGCGCGGGAAGGAAAAGCCTCGGGTAGGGCGACAGCGCTGGGACAACGCACCCAATTGGCCTTGTAAAGAGCTGAAGAAGGGATGGGAGAGTGGAGATGGGGGTATTCACCCGAAGAGAGACTCAAAAGCAAAGTCGGGGAGGCCGTGGGTTTCCGGATTGGGAGCAAATAAGATTATCCAGAAATGAAGTGACCGAGTGGTGAGGTGTATTCGTCCGGGAGACCACAGAGACCTAAACCGCACGAGCTCATTTCTAGCCTAAGGCAGCGATAGGAGAACCCGGGGATCCCGTGATGGTCAGGTGACCATTTGCCAAAAAGCCCTAGCTGAGTAACCTCAAGCTAAATGCCAAGGTTGGAACGATGCCAAGTGAACAGCACGGGTCTGATGTCACTCTGCCTGAAGTAAACATGTGTACTCTCCAGTACAGTGACAGTACGAGGGTATCATACAATATTGATACTGATATAGGATTGGGATAATTGCTACAGAGGTTTAGCGTGAAAATGCAATGAGTAGATTAATAAATTAATTAAAATTAGATTAATATGGATTCAATCGATCAGTCTCCCATGATGACATAGACATGATGGTTCAAGTATGGGGAACTCGGCAATGGACAAATGCCTAGGCGGAGAAGCTGCGAGTGTACCGCGTTTTTGACCATTTCGTACGGTCGCTTGTTACATAGAGGACGGCGATTTGATCCACGCAATCAGGGCAATTGGCTTGGCTTTGAATACCCAACTTTCTTGATCAGTTGCGATATCGTTGGTCGCTACCATCTTATCTCTCGACTCATTCCTCTCTTCCTTTCTCAAACCCTTTCCCCACCACCCTGAACACCCTGGCACCCACTCTCTCGGAGCTGGTTGTCCCACCTCGGTATCGCGTGCTGCCGACTTACCTTACTTAGATGGCCTGGTGCCTGCACCCCTAAGGGAATCTATGAAGCTGGCTTTTTTTGAGCCGGTGAGAGACAAAAGCCCCCACATATTCCCACCCCCAAGAACCAGCACTGACCCTTCCCCTCAAAGCCAGTTCGATTACCAGTGAACGCACGACCCACCTTGTACCAGCGACAGCGGCCGCATCGAAGGCCATAGAGCCCAAACCCCCGCGGGCCTGGTCAACGACCAATAAGTCGCAACAATGTTGGAGGGTCTGGTTGCCAACCTGCTCAATCGCTTCCTGGGAATCTACGTCAAGAACTTCGACGCGAAGCAGCTCAACATTGGAATCTGGTCTGGCGATGTCAAATTACGCAACCTTGAGTTGCGCCGCGAAGCGCTCGACCAGCTTCATCTTCCGTTGAATGTTGTCGAAGGCCACCTGGGCCAACTCACACTATCCATTCCATGGTCAAATCTGAGGGGCAAACCGGTCAAGGTCGATATTGAAGATGTCTTTCTCCTGGCGGCGCCCCAGGAGGATGCGGACTACGATGCGGCGGAAGAAGATAAACGCGCGCATGTCCTGAAGATGGAACGAATTGAAAGTGCTGAAATGCTCCGAGAGCGTAACGCAGAAGGCATGAGTCAGGAGGAACAACGTCGAAACCAGAGTTTCACCCAAAGCATGATTACGGCCGTGGTGGACAACCTACAAGTCTCGATTAAGAATGTGCACATCAGATACGAAGATTCCATTTCCTCCCCAGGTCATCCATTCGCCGTGGGTCTGACACTGAAAGAGCTCAGTGCCGTCAGTACCGACGCAGAATGGAACCCGACTTTTATCCAATCCACCTCCGACACTACACATAAGCTCGCGGTTCTCGGTGCCCTGTCAGTATATTGGAATACAGATGCAACGCTTCTAGGAACTGGTCGCGGCTCTGATATTGGTGCAGAGGCACAAGGAATTGAGCATGACGACCTAATGCACAAATTGCGTGACGCCATTGACAATGGTGAAGGTAATCAGTTCATGCTTCGCCCCGTCAGTGGGCGTGCGGGCCTCGAAATGGACAAGTCGGGTAAATATGACCGCCCTGCTATGAAAGCACGTTTGCTATTCGACGAGCTTGGTTTTGTGTTGGATGATAATCAGTACCGCGATGCCTTGATGCTGGTGGACCTCTTCCATTACTTTATCCGCCATCAAGAATACAAGCGACTCCAGCCCAAATGCTCAGTCAAGGAGGATCCGAAGGCCTGGATGAAGTTCGCTGGACAGGCAGTGCTCAGCAAGATCCACGATCGGAATCGACGATGGACCTGGGAATACATCAAAGAGCGCAGAGATGACCGCAATGCATACATCAAGTTCTTCAAGAAGAAAAAGCGTGAAGAAGCATTCACACCGGAAGAGACTGCAGAGCTTGACAAATTGGAAAGGAAGCTCAGCTACGAGGATATCCGATTCTGGCGATCTCTCGCTCGAAATCAGCTGCGCAAAGAGAACGTTGGGGTCAAGAAGCCCGCCCAACAGCAGTCATGGGGTGAATGGCTCTGGGGCGCCAAGAAGGAAGAATCAGAGGAACCAGCTATGACTGAAGAGCAAAGGCAAGAGCTATACAGTGCCATTGACTGGGACGAAAAGAAAGCACTCGCAGAGAGTGTCGACGTACCCCGTGAATGGGTTAAGCTGGAGGTCAATTGGAGTCTACGTGCTGGTAGCTTCACTCTCAAACAGGATCCGCATGGCGCAGCAAACGAGGTCATGAAGTTAGTGTTCGACAACTTCAGTGCCAAGGCTCTCCAACGCCCTGACTCTTATCTCCTTGACCTTGACCTTGGTGGCTTGAAGATGTATGATGGTACCACGCCTGGGACCCTTTACCCTCAGATTGTCAAGGTCAAAGACTCTCTTCCCGAGCCCAAAAAAGACCAATCCAGTACAGATGATGATGATCTCGCTTCAGAGGGCAGTGCAGATGATCTGGTGGACGAAGACAGCCTGTTCCACCTGCAACTGGAGAAGAACCCATTAGAAAGTGATGCCGATTCTGCGGTCAAGGTCAAGTTGAAGAGTATCGAAGTCATATACAACCCCAGATTTGTGGTGGGAATTGTTAAGTTCTTTGAGCCTCCCGAGCGACACATGGAGTCAATTGGTGCGCTTTTGGACACTGCGGGAGCCACTGTTGAAGGTCTGCGACAGCAAACCCGAGCAGGTTTGGAATTCGCTTTGCAAGAGCACAAGAAGGTTGATGCTCAATTCGATGTTCACGCACCTTTGATAATTGTGCCCGAGAGTATCACACATGAGAGTTCTCTTTGTCTAATTCTTGATGCTGGTCACGCCAGTGTGAACAGTGAGTTGGTCGACCGACAAGCCATGCGAGAGCTCCAATCCAAGCAAAAACATCAGTACGAAGAGGAAGATTACAAACGGCTAGAGCACTTGCTATATGATCGTTTCCTCATCAAGTTGGACTCGACTCAACTTCTGATCGGTCCTGGAGTTGAAGCAACCAAAGCTCAGCTCACCTCTGATGTTGAGTCAAAGAACTTCCATATCATTGACCGGATCAATGTGGATTTCGTTTTGGAGATGTGCATCGTCCCGAAGGTGACACAACTTACTCGGACGCGTATATCAGGAAATCTGCCGGAACTGCATGCCTCTATGTCAGACACCAAATACAAAGGATTGATGAAATTGATCGATATCGCAATCCCACAGTTCGAAACCGGCAAGACCCAATCCGACCCAGTAGCGGCCAAAGCCATCGAAGAAAAGGCCATTGCCACCAGAGCCCGATCCGCGTCTTTCAAGCCTCCGGCCCTCAGAGATCTTCCTGTTGTTGACGATGAAGAAGCTGAATCAGAAAGCGACCACGCGAGGAAAAGCGTGGACTCAACGAACAATATCCACCGCCGAGATTTTGAGTTCAAATTCAATGTTGGCCGGTTGCGTGGTTCTCTCTTCCGCTCTGACTCTCAAGACCCCCTGAAAGATAAATTGCTGGTAGAACTTGTTGCAGAGGGGTTCGAGCTCGATTTCTATATGCGTCCTTATGACATGGTTGCTGAGGTTGTTCTTAAGTCTCTGAGTGTGGATGATTACATCGAAGACAACCCCGTTCCTGAATTCAAGAGAATCATTTCCTCTAAGGGATTCAACGCAGACGAAGACAAGGATCTATTCCATCTGAAGATGGTCAGGGTGAAGCCTGAGTCTCCAGAGTTTGATTCCACATACGAGGGTGTTGCGATGAATCTCGACATCTCGGTCTCGACCATCAATCTTGTGGTGACAAGGAAGACTCTGCTCACTCTATTGGATTTCATCCTTCTCACGTTTACAAGTCCACAGCAGCCAGTCGACCAAAATCCTCAAGCAGATAATCTGGCCATTCTAGAGGCAGCTGATGCCGTTGAAAACCCCCCTCAGCAAGCTGGCAAGCTTCGCATCAAATCCAACCTCAAGAGTATTGCTCTCATCCTTAATAACGACGGCGTCCGATTAGCGACACTGAGTCTCAACACTGCCGATGTTGGCATATTCCTCGTTGGCCGCTCTATGACCATTCAGTCTCGAATTGGTAGTTTGACGTTGGTCGACGATGTCAACTTGGGTGCACCCGAGGAATCAGATGTTCGGCGTCTACTGACCATTGAAGGAGATAACTTCGCCGATTTCAAATATGAGACTTTTGACCCGGAGAGCGAGACATACCCTGGGTATGACTCGGAAGTTTACTTGCGCTCAGGTTCAATTAAGATCAATTTCCTGGAAGAGCCCTACCGGAAAATCATCAACTTCCTGGTCAAGTTCGGCAAGATGCAAGCAATTTTCAATGCAGCTCGCCAAGCCGCGGCGAACCAAGCCAATCAGCTACAGGAGAACGCCTCACGAATGCGACTTGACATTGTGGTCAAGACTCCCATTTTGGTGTTCCCTCGAGTGATGGCGGATGACAGGCCCAGAGATACAGTCACTGCTCACCTCGGTGAGATCTATGTCAAGAACGAATTTGTCCCTATGGATGAGGGCAAAGATAGCCCAGCTGTTAATGTGATATCTACTGGCGTGCGCAACATTCGCTTGACCTCCAAATTCCACTTCGAAGACGGCACAGAAGAAGAGCTTGAGATGATCCAGAAAGTGAACCTTGACTTCAGCATCTGCTACCTTGAGCACCAGGCCAATAACGCGCGCCCAGACATGGAGATCGAAGGTTCTTTGTCTCCTATCAATCTTCGCATCTCCCAGAGTCAACTCAAGTTCTTGCTAGCCCTTTCGAAGTCTATTCCAGGTGCCTTTGCCACAGATGCTGAACAACAAGAGCTTGAGGCCTTGGAATCCCTCCCATCTTCAGTTACTGAGCCCACAACTACCTCCAAGGCTGTTCAGGCGGAGGAGCAGAAAGCAGTGGCCGCAGACGATGCGACGAGCAAAGAGACTTGGGTTAGACTCGACATGATATTCAAGGTCGATAGTGTTGGACTGGAGCTTATCCTAGCCAACGACAACCAGCCTGCTGGCCGCCTGGAGGACTCGAGCTTATCCAAATTCTCTCTTAATGACACCAGAGTCAAGCTCCGCATGTTGACAGATGGCTCCTTGGAGTCAGAGCTTCTCATCCACTCATTCTCTATCCGTGATAGCCGTCGACAGGACTCGAACAAGTTCAGAAACATCATGTCCTTGATCAACAACGATGTCCAGCAGCAATTCATGGCCAGTGTGTCTATGTCCCCTGGGCCAGACAAGCATCTCATTGCGATGTTGACTATAGATAGTCCACGGATCATGTTTGCTCTGGACTATCTGTCTGCTCTGCAGTCATTTAGCAATTCTGCATTTGCGTCTGACAGTCCCCTGGAGATTGTGGAAGAGGAGGTTGAACTTGAAGACTCAGAAGAGGGATCTGATGCTGCAACCTCGGACAAGGAATCCACAGAAGTTTCTGCTGGAGAACCTGCCTCCGGATCTACAACCCTTTCATTCCGAGTCAATTTAGTCGATGCCCAGGTTATCATGGTAGCCAACCCTGCCATTCCTCATTCTGAAGCTATTGTCATTGGTACTAAGGAGGTTCTCATCTCTCGTCAAAATGTCTCAACCTTGCAGATTCAAAAGCTTGGCATGTTCCTGTGTCGTATGGACAAGTTTGAAACCAGTCGACTGCGAATTCTGGATGACTTCACTGTTGAATTGTCGATTGATAGCCGACCTCAAGATCGTGGATCTGCACTCACTTCTATCGAGGTCCACTGTGAACCTTTGGTTCTCCGTCTGTCTCTGCGTGATATCCTGATGGCAACTCAGATTGTGAATAAAGCGTCTGAAATGCGAGCTCAAAATGCCCAGCAGCTCGAGGGTGGGGATGCGAAGAAAATTACCGATGCCAAAACCACCAGGGCACGCTCTGGCAGCAAGGCATCCATGTCCTTGGCCCACAGGAGTCGTCGCCGGTCCAGTCAGGGGGCTGAGACACTCGACAAGACTGCGGCAATTGAAAGCTCGGCTGTTCTCAAGCGTGAGGAGCTGTCAGCCAAGATTGATGGCGTCCGCGTCATCTTAATCGGTGACTTGCATGACTTGCCTCTACTGGATTGGAGCGTTAAGAAATTCAACGTCGATGTGCGCGACTGGTCTTCTACCCTAAGTGTCGATACCAACTTTGATACTTTCGTCAACGTTTTCAACTTCTCCAAGTCGGCTTGGGAGCCGTTGATTGAGCCTTGGCAGCTGGGTTTCCATGTGGCGAAGGAGACGAACCCGGATGTCTTTTCGATCGATGCTTATTCTCACAAAAACATGGAGCTCACATTGACGTCAGCCACTATTGCACTTGCCTCGAAGTCTTTCCAATTCCTCTCTACCGATGAGGATGTCCTTTCTAAGCCAAGAGGTGCAGATGCCCCCTACAGAATCCGCAACTACACTGGCTTTGATCTCCATGTGTGGGCCGATGTCAGCTCAGGGGAAGATGGCCCAGCTGCAAAATTGACCGACGGGGAGGAATACCCTTGGCGATTTGAAGAGTCCACTGCCATTCGTGAGACTCTTTCCCCTGAAGGACAGGGCGGAATCGTGGGCGTCAAGCTGGAAGGAAGCGGATTTGATAGCATCAACCGTATCCCCGTTGTGCGAGAAGGAGAGGTCATCTACAGTCTGAAGCCGAAGCGAGATAATGTTCTCCACCGACTTCTCGTGGAGGTCAAACTTGGAGCTGACAACGTTAAATACATCACGTTCCGCTCGCCACTGCTTGTGGAGAACAACACTCAAATACCCGTGGAGCTAGGTGTGTTTAGTCCCGATGAAGGTCACCTCCTCAAGATCGAGAAGGTGTTGCCTGGTGACGCTCGCCCAGCACCGGTCGGCTCAGCATATCTCCATTCGGTTGTCATTCGTCCCGATCAGGGATTTGGCTATGACTGGTCGAACGAACGGTTGTTCTGGAAAGATCTCATCCGCCGGCCGACACGCACCGTGCAATGCGTCAGTGAAAGTGGAGGCCAAGCACCCCCGTTCTATTTCCAGGTCAATGCAACATTTGACAACAAAGACGCGACTACAAGCTCTTATCCTTACATGCGGATTCGAATCTTCGCACCAGTGGAGATCCAGAATTTACTGCCTTATGATTTCAAATACCGCATATACGACAAGAACACCAAGAAGGACTGGACTAATTTCCTGAGAAAGGGTGGAGTTAGCCCGGTCCATGTAGTGGAGCTATCTCATCTTCTCTTGCTCAGCATTGACCTCGAGGATACGGTTTTCCGACAAAGCGAGTTTGCCATTGTCAACGGGAATTCTCAGGACTATCGCAGAGAGCACACCCTGTCTTTGAAGGACGAACGGGGTCTCCAATTGAAGTTGAAGCTCCACTACTTCAACATTCCCAACAGTGGTGGAGCTTTCAAGGTCTCGATTTACAGTCCGTATCTTCTTTTGAACAAGACTGGCCTGCCTATGGACATTCAAAGCAAGGCCTTCCTCCAGTCTGCTCGCAATGTAGCTGGCCAAGGCCTCACAGTTGACCCAAGAGATGGTGGTCGTGCGCTGCCATATATGTACTCTTACGGATCTGATGATCAAAAGAACCGATCTATTCTGAAGGTCGGTGATTCTACTTGGAGCAAGCCACAAAGTTTCGAGGCTCTGGGCAGCACATTTGAGGTCGTTTTCCCCGACCGACAAGGCAGATCAGAGTTCCACTCCGGAGTGTCTGTGGTTGAGGGCGAAGGCAAATACAAGATGACAAAGGTGGTTACTATTGCGCCTAGGTTCATTCTGAAGAGCAAACTCACTGAAGACCTCATGGTGCGTGAACCTGGGTCATCGAATGTCCTTGAGCTTAAGAGCGGAGAGTTGGTTCCGCTTCACTTCCTCCGCCAAGTCCAAGAAAAGCAGCTCTGCCTGTGCTTCCCCGGTGTGAACAACCAATGGTCTTCCCCGTTCAACATTGCAGATGTCGGAACTGTACACGTTAAGTTGGCCAAGTCGGCGAATCAGCGCCAGAAACTGATTAAGGTCGATGTTATCCTGGAAGAAGCAACTATTTTCCTACACCTCAGCTTTGAGACTCGCAACTGGCCGTTCTCGATGCGGAATGAAAGTGACATTGAGTTCATTTTCCACCAGGCCGTAAGTCTATATACTTCTTCAATGCGTTTGCTTTGATGCTAATGTTCCTATTAACAGAACCCCAACGTGGACGATGATGAGGAAGATGACTCAAGCGGCTGGCGGCCTATCCGCTACCGTCTTCCACCTCGAAGCATCATGCCTTACGCTTGGGATTACCCAGCAACCAAGAACAAGTCTCTTGTATTATCTTCTCAAGGCAAGGAGCGACACATCAAGCTTGCTGAGATCGGTAACTTGATTCCAATGCGTATCCCGCCATCGAAGGCCGGCGAATACCAAAGGATCGTCGATATCAACATCGTGGCTGATGGGCCCACTCAAACTCTTGTCCTGTCGAATTTCAAACCCTCCAAGAGTATATACAAGCAACAGAAGGGTCAATCTTCACAAAATAACATGAGTGCCGGATTTGAAGTCAAAGAGATGAACTCTGACGTTAACTTCAAGGCTCAGCTCCGCCTGGGCGGCATCGGTATCTCTCTCATCAACCAGAACTTGAAGGAGCTTCTCTATCTCACGTTCCGAGAGATTGAGATCAAGTATCGGGAGTCAGCATTGTACCAGACCTTGAATACCACTATCAAGTGGATTCAGATTGATAACCAGTTGTATGGCGGTATTTTCCCCATCTTGCTTTACCCCAGTGTGGTCCCTAAAACCGGAAAAGAAATGGAAGCTCACCCAATCTTCCATGCGATGGTCACAAGAGTCAAGGATGACACTTATGGCGTTCTTTACATTAAGTACGCCACACTTCTCCTGCAGCAGATGACACTTGAGTTGGACGAGGACTTTGTCATTGCCATGTTGGACTTTGCCAAGATCCCTGGTGCATCCTGGACTGAGGAACAGGAGGGTAAGTTGTGTGATGGGGATTTGAATATCCCTGAGCCGCAACAGAACGAAGCAGGCCAGGATGTATACTTCGAACTTCTTCATTTGCAACCCATGCAGCTGGATATTTCCTTCATGCGAACAGAGCGTGTCAATGCAGAGGATGGTGCCATGCAGCCGTCGAACCCTCTGATGTTCGTCGTCAACGTTATGACGATGTCGATGGGTAATGTCAACGATGCGCCTATCCGGTTGAACGCCCTGATGCTGGAAAATGCCCGTGTCTCTTTCGGCAGACTTGTCAACAATGTCCGCGCACACTATACCCAAGAGTTTGTGCGTCAAGTACACATCATTCTTGGATCTGCCGATTTCCTGGGTAACCCTGTTGGTCTATTCAATACTGTCAGCTCAGGCGTGGCAGATATCTTCTATGAGCCATACCAAGGCTTGGTCATGACTGACCGTCCCCAAGAGCTGGGCGTTGGCATCGCAAAGGGTGCTACCAGCTTTGTTAAGAAATCCGTCTTCGGGTTTTCGGACAGTATGGCCAAATTCACCGGAAGTATGTCTAAGGGTCTTGCTGCGGCCACCCTCGACAAGGAGTTCCAAGACCAGCGCCGGATGTCCAAGTCTCGTAACCGTCCAAAGCACGCCCTGTACGGAATTACGGCCGGCGGAAACGCATTTGCGAACAGTCTAGCCAGTGGAATTGGCGGCCTGGCTCGCCACCCTCTGCAAGGTGCCGAGAAAGAGGGAGTGGCAGGATTCTTCAAGGGCGTTGGAAAAGGTGTCCTGGGCCTTGCCACCAAACCCGCCATCGGAGCCTTTGACCTTGCTTCCAATCTCGCCGAGGGAGTCCGAAACACGACTACCGTCTTTGACGCCGACGGCCTTGACCGTGTCCGACTGACCCGGTTCATTGGCACAGATGGTATTGTCCGTCCATACACTCAGCGAGAAGCACTCGGTCAGTTCTGGCTCAAGACTGCCGATGATGGCAAATACTTCAACGAGGATTATATCGCACACTTGGAGCTTCCTGGTCGAGACATGCTGGTCATGTTGACTTATTCCCGCATCATGCTTGTGCGCACTAAGAAGCTCTACACCGAGTGGGACATTCGCCTCACAGACATCCAAACTATCTCTAAGGAGCGGACTGGCATGAGTATCACACTTAAGGGCGGTGCTAACGGGCCCTTCATTCCTGTTCAGGATGAGAGTTCCCGAAATTGGCTGTACAAACAGATTGCTGTTGGTAAGTAGAAATTTTGCTGAACAGTTTTTTTCTGATGTCGAAGCTAACTCGTCTTTGTAGCGGTCAATGCCTTTAACGAGAAGTATAATGTCCGAGGATAGACGGGTACCCTCGAGCTCTTTTGTAATGATGTATGACAAATGGACTGCATTAACGGGAGGAAGAACAAAAAGGGGCTTCACACTTTCCTCGCTTGTCATTTTGGGTTTTTATTTTATTTTCTTGAGGAAACAATTGGTTTCATTGTTTTGGTCTCGGTTTCAAGTACATATGTTTGCGCATTCATCTTTTTTCTCTCTATCTTACTAGTAATAGACATATTTCAGAAGCACCGATATCCATGGACAGTTATCACAAGATGATTCAGATATCACCTCAAAGCCACTGTTGAGTGCTTTCCCGGCCACAGGATAGATATGGCTCAAAATACAGAGCGCATAATCAGTCCAGGGACTGTAATCTGCACATGTGATGGTCTTTTGGCTACTCTCATAATGGATTATTCTTTCTGTCTAGCCTTGACGCATTGAAGTGGATATAGACCTAAGACGGCATAATATACATTGAAATCATAAGGACTGGAATCCATAAGACCATGTTCAACTTGGAAGGTTTTGACTGACTAGCATAATAAATCTGTAAAATGATATGTGACTTCGAAAGATGCAAGTTTGAAAATTCAAGTGATCACGGAACAGCTCTGTCCTGTCCGATTCGTCGATCGGTGTTCTTGACTGGATGCAGGAACATCGATGGAAAGCAAGGTCTGCCGTAGCGAGCTTCAGACGACTATAGGCAACATGATTAGCGATCACTAACCCTAAGAACAGCGCTTGTAAAATATACCTTTTTGCCGCCTTCATTCTCTGCAGTTCGGTATCCAAGCCATCGCCGGTACAGATCCTCTCCCGTGTGTGTCGTAAACATGTATGAAAGGCGATACATGATATGATCATAGACATGATCCCAGTTCCAGATGCTATCTGGACCTCCGTTAATATTTTCCGGTGGCCCCCGATTGTAAATTCTCGCTAGCTCCTCTGGCGTCCATTGTCCATCCGCGTAGATCGGATGCGGAACATGCACAGCCTTGAGGCCGTGGAAGAGTGCCCAAGAAGCACCCGTCATTTCTGACGCAAGACCAAGACCACGCGTGGCTTGGGAATGGTGTATCAAGTCCAGGAGACGTCGAGAGTACCGTCCCATAGTGATAACTGCTGTTCGGCGAGACGTCTCAACACCATATTTGAAGTTCCAGATTGTATTGGGAAAGGTCCATTGTGTATCTTTGGGGTTGAAGATAGGGAGAAAGGTGATGTGGTCAGCTTCCTCGCCGACACCCCAAGTGAAGCTATCATCTAAAGGACTCCCAACTGGTGGCTCAGGGCCCAGGGGTCGGATCCCTGTTCCATACACGGGGCCCCAGACTGTGGCTTCAGGCTTGTCAGCGAGGCTTGCGTTGACCATTGCAGTAAAGTTCTTCCATGGCCCATGATCACCTGGAGTGTAGAAGTAGGCGTTTCGCTCCCATAAGTACCTGCGAGGTTGCTGCTTTGCGAAGGCGGCCGACTGTTCGAGAAAGTGGTAAGAATGTCCCGTGTGGCGGCCGTCCATCTCGAGTTGCCAGTAGTATTCAAAATTAGGGTACAGTTGTGCGAATATCTGCAATGCTTGGTGATGTTGTAGCTTTGGACTGAGTGAGGGAGTTAGCCATCATGAATAACTTTTTCAGACAACAAGAGTCAGTGATATATTACCTATGCTCCTCAATCTTGGGGTACCACGCCTCCAACAACTTGTTGTTGAAGAACAATGCAATGTTCTGAAACTCCACTGGAATAGACCTTCGCAGATCCTCCATTGTTTTTCTGTCCGAGAAGATCGGAAGATCGTCCTCCTTGACATGAACCAACAGGAACACTTCATACTCACCACCTGAGTGCAAAGAAAGCTCCATGATTAGCGCACGAAGATATTCACGGTGATTGGCCGTCCAGATCATACTATTCCATGCTCGGATAAGAACCGCAGACCGAGGCTGATACCGTTTAACTTTCGAGGAATCAGAGATCGTATCCGATTCATAGGTCTTCCGCGGCGGCTCTCTCAATTCAAAGGAGAGAGGTCGTTGGCCTGTCTCATTCATCGAACCATCATGTCGATAACGGTCTGCGTTTCTTTGGTAGCAAAGGGATTGCAGATTGTACCAGTCCAACTCGAACCAATTCACCGGCGGGGGCCTAGAGAAACCTGCAATTTCATCATCATTCTCGTCATCGTAGCCATACGCGCCAAAGCGAGAGTAACGGTCCGTGCAGACCTCTCCATCCAGATCCATTGCCTCGTGAGAGCCAAAGCTCGGTGGCGGAAACCCAACTTGCTTTCCCTTGTATACCATGACCATATCGTCCGGTTGAGTTCGATCAAGATCACGACCACGCGGCCCCAGGCAAGGTTTGAAATGGCCATGATGTTTCCGTCGCCAGTTCCTGCTAGTGTACAGTGGGTAGGGATCATAGATCGAGGGAACGGGATGGGGAGCTCCAGGAATCGTGGGGTCAGAACTAGTGAGAGTCAAGGTTCCACCTAGATGAAACTGCTCGTTTCTATACGCATCACGAATTGAGATTAGTGATGAGGGATTCAAATCAAAGCAGAATGCATAGTTCCATGACAAACCTCACGTTATGAAGGCTCCCCATATCATCCACCCCACTCTCATCTCCAAGTTGAATGCCGGGAGTATACTGAATGGCCCCGGTCTCCCGGTATTGTCCTGGCCGAAGGACAGGTGAGCTGCTCGAAGTATCGAACCATCGCAGCAAAGATATCTCTGGACGAGCAGCGAGATTTGCATAAGTCTCGATAATTGTAACCACGAAAACCAGCCACCCAATCCAGTGTACCCACTTCCTCTTCCGCACGGAATGTAGACGGGTCTTAAACGCAACTGGACCCTTGCTGGGCACCTTTAAGAGCCTCGGCCATGACTTCTCAGTGAACGAACGATAGAGGCTATCATGCACAGGCATGGTGCCGGGCCTGAGAAATTGTGTTGACGAGAGATTGACAAAGAAAGAGTGAAAGAAAGTAATTCTCTTACTTGAGGAGTGAAGGGCAAGTGTAAAGGCAAGAGCGCCCAAGAAACTACGATGTCATCATAACGCGGTATTGACGACGACTAATCGGGTGGTATGGGAAAGGTCTCACTCTATGTATGACAGTGTCGAGTCTCTACGGTATTGAAGATAATTTACTATAAACAATTATGATTCGACCGATTCAACAAACTAAGGTTTCCTTGTGCGTGATACAGAATAGCAACCGTGAAACATACCACGAAGTCATTTCGGATAGGGCACTGGTTAAGTGGAATGGAGTATGAGTTGAAGATGCCCTGAGTACGTAATGTGAAGGCTTGCTGTTATCTTAAATTGGCTCGAAACACATGTGAATTCTGTTTTCATATGGACCCTATGGAGTTTTGCACCCCTGATCTACATCAGGTTACTAAATGGTTCTTCGGGTATTAAAACCACAATGGCATCAAAGCACATGAAAAAGCCCCTTGGAAGGACCTTTCCAATTTTGAGCAACTTCAATGTTGAAATAAAGCCCTTTGTAGCTACATGTGCCGAACCCAGACGTATAAGCACATTATGAGCATTCTACATATGAATCATCAATCTTGAGTCAGGAAGAACTTGCGGAGTCAACCCCTTAGAACCTTGAAGCCTGGCCTTGGGACTGGCAATTAATCATTCCTTCCAGTCAGATTGAACTGTAACGCCTTGAGCTGGGATGTGAAAGTCCCTGCTACGTCCAAATTTGGACAATGTTCATTTGGGCAGATAAGAAAGTCATGATTTAAATTTATTTGAAAAGACTCGATCCAGGTATGTACAACACATCCATAGACTCGAAGACGGGAACATTCCAACTGCACCTCGGGATTTGGTCCACATGAGGATAGGCTAACACACAGCCTATCCTAGACAAAAAAAAGACTTAGAAGAAACCACAGAATTACCAACTAGTAATAATTAGGTATGATTATGTCTCCATACTTTACGCGAAGTAACTCTTCCATAGGACGCCCGATAGATCTTCCAGTTGATCGGGGGTGAAGGCCTGAGTGAAATGATTAGCTAATGTGCCAGGGATGTGGAACAAATTGCAAATGAAACTTACCTTGGCATCGATGTGCCAGGTATCTTGTCTGGTCTTCTTGAACTCGCTGATGATCGACTTCACACTTGAACCCACAACGCCTGGATCGTGAGCAGCACGAATACTGAGCGTAGTCAAGGCCTCGGGCATCCAATGCGGGGGCGGACTGTTGTAAGGGAATGCCTGGACCAGAGCTCCCAAGCCTAGAACGGCACCGTGCCGAACAATCACCAGGCGATTGTGCTCGGGAGTTGGCGTGCCAGCGCCCGATGTTACCGCAGACGAGACTCCAGATCGGAAGTTCTTGGGCTTTTTCGGAAGGGGGTTGTCGGCGAGGACCTTGGTGAAGCGTTCCTGGAAGCGGTGGACCATCTTTTCGCGAAGGTACACAGGGGAGCAGCGGATCATACCAGACAGAGTGGCCGACGCGCCCGCACGAACCTCATGTTGCGTATCCTCAAGCATAGAAGCGATGCATTCGAAAAGCTTGTCACGATCAGCAGAGTCCAACAGGAAGAGTCGACGGAAGTAGATGATCTGAATGTTGATCATGACACGTAGACGCTGGTGCCATGATGGGGAGGTTTGGCCGATGCGGATGAGGGACTGGATGAACTCCGAGCCCTTCTCGGCAGGGTAGGGAATGTTGGGGAGGTGGCGGAAAACGTGATATGCAAGAGACTGTAGCTCGGGATCTTCCTTAACGTCCATCATGTGCAGAAGCTGGGCAGTGAACACATCGGGGAAGAAGGGAACTAATTGTGTACACTCGTGGGACGAGAGAGTTGAATCCAACCAGAGAAGTACTGTCTTGCTGCCAGAGGTGTATGAAGAAGGAGTCTGTTGACCCGGTGTTCTGGCCTGTCGCCACTGTTCAATCTGATCGAAGACTCCACGAATCATCTTTGAAAAGTCGTCAGAAGGAGCATATGGGTAGGTGCCGACAGACGAAGAGGACTTCTGAGCTTCCAAGAGGTGTTTTAGGTCGGGATATGACTCGTGGTATCTGGTGCGGTAAATTGTTGCCAAGGTCTGTCCCATAGCCTCTCGCACACCCTTATATGGATGATCTAAATGTGCCAGGAAATCGTTGACGATTGGCTTTTCCAGCTGGAAGTGCCAGCCGGCATCAATGATGCACTGGTGCAGGAGATTGATCTTGGAGCTTTCCTTGAATGCGGCGTTGGTGGTCATGTCCAAGCGGAAGCTCGCCAACCAGTCAACCATAGGCCAGGCTCGGCGGGGATCGCGGCATTGAAGAATCATGTGGAGGAATGTAGTCCAGTACCCTGAATTTTCAGGGGTCAGGCCATCGGTGAAAATCTTCCGAATGATGGGGAAGGCGTACTCCCAAACTAGAGTGCGTCTTTCCACGCTGGTGTCTGTGACAGAACTGATCAAGGCCCCGAGAATCTCCGCAGTGGCCCGATGCTGGTGCTTATCACTGCCATCCTCAAAGACAGCTTGGATCTCCTCTTGGATCTCCTTGAAGGAGGCTGCCGTAAGACCGTCTCGGAGCATAAGCTCAAAGGCATAGAGAAGCATCATGGCAGAAGACATTCGGAACTTATCGGCAGAAGGATCCCTGGGCTCCTGCTTCAAGTACATAAAGTACTTTGAGAACCAGTCGCGCGTGAACAGTTTACCCATTTGGGTTCGCACATTCCACTCGACTTCATCATACTCGATGTCTCGATCCAAATTGGATTTGTACGCAGGCATGGTCTTGCCCCAGATGAGCCATCCAGGGAAGTCATGATCAACGTAGTACTCAGCTTCAGGCTTGGCAAAGCTAACCAAATAGTCCTGGGTCCAATCCTTTTCATAAGGACGGGTTGCCACCTTGATCTTCGCAGGGAAGCGCTGATGCCCAAGGATGTAATTCTTGTACTCATGGCTGCAGATGGCGCGAACATCAATCATAGTGAAAAGCGCGATGAGTGCCTGAGAGTACATTCCGCGTAGACCTGGGTGATCGTCAATCGAGCCAAGAGTCACCAGCTCAATCAGGTTGCCGCTGGCAATGTAATCGAAGCGCAGGCCCATGGTGATGACAATAGTCGCCGCACGGCTGGCAATCTTCCAATGCGAGATTCGAGCCAAGTTCACCAATTCATCAGCCAGATCAGCTTTCTTCTTTTCAATCGTAGCTCGCTTCTTATTGATAGATGTGCGCTTCTGTTCGATCTCCGCAGTTACGTCTCCAGTGGGAGCAATAGCCTCTACAATGACCTGGTCCAAGATAGCCATCCGCTCCATGGATCGACCATAGTCCATTATTTGGAACACAGCAGTGGAACAGATCTTCTGGACAGATGGCTTGTCAACTGCACTAGCATCAAGGAAAGTGCGGATTATAGCTGGCGTATATTTCCAATTCCGTCCAGCTGTCTTTGCGACGCTACTGAGCAGCAGCGAAAACAAGGCTCCCTTGATGCGCGCGTGGTCATTCTCCTTGACACCAGTCTGAAGGGCCTTCAGAAGAGGGGGGATAATCAGAGATCGTGCCCCCCAGACGGATTTGAGAGCTGACTCGCCAGCATTTTGGGCATTGCGACGGGTCTCGGTATAAAGAGAAACACAGGACTCAGCAATGTCAAATAGAAGAAGTTCGTCCAGTTTAGATCGTGCTCGGGGTGCGGCATTGTGCCGTAGACGTTGCAGATGGTAGACATTCGCTCTGCGCACAAGAAGTGCCCTTGGATAGTCTTTCCTGATACCACTCATTTTGTAAGGGTGTATGTCTGCTGCTAAGAGTCTTGTTACTCGATCAAGGACATGGGCCGATCTCTCAATGCCAACGTCGACAAACCAAGAGCGGAAGGCCGAGTAGAGCGCTCCGAAACATGGCACATCATCTTCTTGCTTATCACACAAAAATCGGTGTACCAGGTGCAGAACCCAACCTGCCCGTTCGCGGATCTCGTGAATGCTATCGTATAGGGCGTCACCCTCCTGGAGAGGGTATCCAGTCGGGTATGGGAACCCTTCCTTGACTAGTGCTTCGTCGGAGCTGTCAAGGAATGCGTCTTCTTCACTCGCGCCATTTGTAGCTGGGTCATCGACCATATCGAATTCACTGGAGCTTACAGACGCACCATTCGAGAACTCCGGAGAGGATTTTGAGGCAGCTTTGGGGTCAAAAAGTACCGAAATTCCGGAAAGAAGAAGTCGCAGAAGAACAAGATTACGAGTAACTTCGTCGGACCATTCCTTGCCACTGCCATCGCGTTTGACGCTGGAAGTCTCGTTTGTCAAGCCGGACAGGTGCCGCAAAGCAGTTTCAGCTTGATTTTTAAAGACCTCAACGGCGAATTCTAGCTCTTCTCGTTTGGGCACATGCCACTGGATGTTAAGTTTGTTGACATCAAGTCTGTAGCTCCAATGCTTAGGCTGAACGCCACCCTCGACATCAGCCGACTCATACATGCTGTAATCCCTTGTGTATGTGCCAGTCAGGTTGAGCAAGAGGTGGTGGATATAGTTCGAAATATGCACGGTAGGAATACCGCGGCACATCTTTTGCATGTATACTGCAATGTCGAAAAGCTCTTGCCGGTGAGCAAGAACAGCATCACCGACATGGACCACACACATGCTCAACATACTGACGTTCCAAACCAATCCACGATCACGAGGAAGGACATCAGTGCCGGTTGTTCTGGTCGAACCCGCTCCATTCTCCTCAATCTCGGTACGAATTCCCTGAATCAGCACAGGGATGAAACGCTTGAGAGCCTTTTCTGGGTTGACCTTGCATAACGCGTTGCAAATGAAGGCCATGGCATCTCGCGCTTGGTGAATGACGTGGTTGGATACGAAATCAACGATCTTTCCCAGTGCAATATCGTAATACTCTGGCGAAAGGGAGGCGAGGAGCGGCATGAAGGTGGCAGGAAGGGTGTTGACGATGTTCTCTTCCGGCGAGCCATTGCGCACTCTGGTAACATCTGGGAGGTTCTCAAGCAGGGTGAAGACACGCCCAAGGAATGAAATGGTGAAGTCACCAAAGCCACAAGTCGAAGAGCGAAGAATCATTTCCTCCGTCTCATCGTCCAAGTCAGTGTCATAGTTCAATTGCACGTCGGATCCTTGTTCCTCCATCCTCTCCATCTCACCGGTAATCCATTGCACTGCAAGCATGTTACAATTGACATCTTCTCTCCCCTTGGTCATGTCGACCATTGGAATGTTATAACATGCTGTTTGAATAAAAGAAAGGGCATGAAGAGACTTTTCAAGATCATTAGCATCAACACCAGGCAAAGCAAGGCCTAGGAGAGTCGTCATATGGCAGCGATAGCCTTTGGTTCGCGTAATGACGCGAGACAATACTTGCATGGCGCGCAGGGAAGAAGTGGTTCGATGAACCTCCACCAAACCTTGGAGAGACGGGTAGATTCTCTGTAAAGCACCTGGAAGAATGAGGTGTGGTTCCAAGTACGCAAGGCCTTGAAGGGTAGATAGGGAGAAAGTCATGGCGGTACTACTTTTGGCGTAGATACCCATAAAGATCGCATCTCTCAGGCACAAGACGAAGCGACGCTTCAAGGGCTCATTGAGTCGTCGTTCGACGGGGACATCCATTTCCCCACTCTGCTCACGATTCCATCGCATCACGAAGAAATCAGTCAAATAGTATACAAGCTGCGACAAGGTCCTCGTCCAGGTACCTGAGTTCGAAGGGTGGAAGAATGTCTCAACTGCTTGGATCAGACCCTCAAGCTGGCTAAGAACCGAATCTTCTGAATCTAGGCACGCAGGCGAAAGAGACAAGACAATCCATCGAGCAATATGGTGGGCAACAGGATGCTTGCGAGTATCACGATCAAGCATGATACCCAAGCCAGATGAGATATCCACCAGAGCGCTGTACGGGGAAGTGGATTGTCCTACAGGGATTTCTAGCAGCCGGAGAACCGCAGTGAAGATGAGAGCGGACTGTTCCTTTGTGAAAATACCATGCTCCGAGAATGGGATGTGCCCGGCTGGCAGTGAATCCCGTGCCAACCGCGAGAGGTAGTCAAGGTACGTCGTGTCAAACGTCTTTGAACGACCGACAAGAGACCAAATATGGAAATGTGTCGGCAAATAGTTCTGCGGAAGTAGGTCGCCGCGTTCAGCGGGAGGAGGTGACGTGGGGAGCATGAGGTTAATCAACCCTGCCACCACGAAGGCGCCTTCTGAGAATGAGGTGGTGTAATGAGGCAGAAACTCCTCAAGCATCGCAGGTAGCTCGCAGGGGTCGATAAATAGCTGAGCAAATGCGCAAAGCTTGGTCAATGTCTTCACATTTCGCTTAAGGTTAGTCGAGTGAACGAGACCGGACTCAGTGGGGAGGACAAAGGCTTTCAGCTCCTTGTAAAGAGGTTTCCAGTCCAAGACTAGGTCCTTGACGGGTCTCAAATAGTGCTTGCGCCTGCCCTGCGGTTAGTTGACTATGTCATTTTCGCGATGACCAGATACCAGAAAAGTCCAACTCACTTAGTCAGAAGCATGAACATGCTTGCAAATCGCTCTGCCACATTGGGGTCGATGCCGGGCGCCAAGGCGAGCTCATAATAAAGCTTCACGAGATTGATCCTTTCCTTCCGGGTCGGATCAAACTTTAGCGATAGCCATCCTCTGAGCTCGCGTGTCCAGTGCACAGCTCCGGGACTGAAGTCCCCAGCCTCCACAGCGATATAAAGCTGGTTCAGAATCTCTCGAAGGGCTCGGTCCCGCTCTGTCTCATCTTCAAGCTGATATGGGAGATATGAGAAGTATGGATAGGTGCGCGGTCGGACGCGAGCTTTTGGCTCGCCATCGCCGTTGACGGCGGCGGGCTCACCACCTGGCGAGGTGGCCCGCGAGATCTCTTGTGCATGGGGGAAATTGTCGGATGTGAGAATCGCCTTGGGGGTTGAGGCGTCCATAATCGCATGTGAGGAAGAGGAGGGAGGGAGGCTAAGCAAGACAAGGTGGAGATGGGGCCGAACGAGTTGAGTTGGCGTAGACGTCAGAGAGGACTCTGTAGATCCGATGTGTCAGCAACTTCGACTTTTCACAATCCTTCACAATCACCCTTATCTGATCTCGGTCAATCATCAGTCTAGCCAGGGAGCTATACATCTATCACAGGAGAGTTTCTCTCCAGCAGGTGTGGAAGTGGAGGCCGGCGGATTGCGTTGCACACGGCCGGGTTCGCATGAGGTCCTTGCAGGCAAGATGGGCGCTCGAAAGGTCGGGGCTCACAAAGGAAGCAGTTCGGATAAACTGCAGGAAGCAATCAATAATGAAAAGCTCCTTTTATGAATCGGTTCACGATAATGTAATGGGAGAGCAGATGATCAAAGGAGATGTTCGCAGAGGGTGATGACATAATTCCACGTTAAAGCTTTGGCCTTGCGGCTTTGAGAGAGACCCGCGTGGAAAACTCCCAAAACTAGATCGAAGGGTGGATGAAAACTTTAGCATAAGAATATGCGATTTTTTTTTGCTCAAAGTTCAAACCTGTTGGCCTCTCAAATGAGAATTAAACAAGCTGGCCATAATTCCAACTTCGCCGGGCTGTCAAGCGCGCCTAAATGGCCCAACCTTTTCTTAGGCAGACAGCCTTACGCAACCGGCGTGCAAATCCGCCCGGGGTACAAGGTACGTAAAAGCGGAGAAACACACAAATCACCCAATGCTTCTATGTAGCTTAGTGTTGATTAACAATTATTTTGACACTTGAAATCTTACGCCGGCGGTAAGAAAGAACCATATAGGACCCCCTGAATCAGTGCATAGACCACCATGGCTTGTGCGGAAAGCGCTAAACTGCGGTGATTCTTGCGGGAATCTTGGAGGCATTCCATCCCGATCGATACAAGATACCAATACCATACAGGGTACCCCGACGAGATCCGATTGACGATCTGAACGTGGTAACTCGTCATAGCCATGACCGCCAGTAAACCCTGGGGCACCGCCAAGCGGAAGAGCATAGAGCCCGGGCTAAGAGGTGAAGATGCCTGGTTACCAGACCGGGAGCGCAAAGTAGAGGGCGCTCGAAGGGCCCATGCAGATGACTTGCCCATGATAAATAGCATCGGTGCAGCGAGTAGGAAGAGAGGAATATTCGAGACGGTCCAGTACCGCAGAAATCCACAATTCCTGAGAAAGGGTCAGGATCGCGATCAAAATACCAAGTCGGCTGAGCAAAATTAAAACGACTTACCAGTAGTAGCTCTGGACCCAAGTATAGATACTGGGTAGTGTCCAGCTACACCATTCTCGATCTAGGTCGGTCAGGCAGTAGGTCCGGTAGGCTAGAAACTGAGGCACAAGCATCCCAAGTGCCACAGTGCCACCACCCACTCCAATGACGATAAGTCGACGAATACTGAGGGAGGACAGACCCTGAGTCAAGCCTGCCCATATTAAGAGGATAGCGTCATATGCGAACAAGAACCCGCTCAGGATGCCATTACTGCGGACCATCGTGGCAATGGCAAAAAGAACTCCGGCAGTGAGTACCTGCAGGTCTCGCAAAACCGTCACACCATGACGCTCGGAGATGAGAGATCCAGAGTACAGGTAGAACCCTGAAATATTGAGAAACGAAAAGATCGACTCTCCATACGGGGCAGAGAGGAAAGCACCCGCCGGGCAGATGATGTGGAGCGCAGCGGACAAGAAACAGATTAATCTCTGGGTGACCGTCTTCTCACCAAAAATATTGGCCGAAAGTCGATAGAGAGCCAGAACAGAAAAATAGTGGGCAACGTGGGATAACACTACTGCTATTAAGGCAATCGGAACGGGGCCCCCTAGCCCGCCAGATTTGTGAAGTCCTGTGGATCGTCAGTTGGTCAACTCTCATATGGTAAAATGATATATGTACCAGAAACAAAGAAACCCAGCACTCTAGGGTATCCAAAGGCCCATTCTTGTTCAAAGACATAACCGTGCTCTGCGGTGTGAAGGAAATAGATGGAGTCCCACCGAGCCAGTCTCAATGGCCACGGGAGCGAAGTGGTGAGATCAGCACCCTCATAGGATATCAATGTAGTGGAGGTATCATAGCCTGGGCCCGGACAGGCAGTAATGGCAATAAACAAGAGAGCTTTCCACAGCCAAAACGCGCCCGTTAAGCTCTGAATGGGATTGTCCAACCGGGCCATGGTGGCAGAGGTTCCAGTTGCCATTGCGGTCTAGACACAGGTAGAGCCACCAATGCCAACTATTACCTAGCTAGGGTCTCCAGCGGGTCACTGATCATGGAAAAAATTGCTTGTGGATCTGATCAATGATCATCGAGTCAACCGAGGCACATCGGTGTGGACGACGCGGGTCCAGATTTACGTTACTGTACATGTAAGCGTGCATAGGTTAGTCAGCGGGTTTAGTCTGGATCTACAAAGACCGAACCGAGCCGACACCGACACAAGGAGTGCGATGAACAAGATTCAATATTGATCTGGTTTCATGATAGTTTCCAAAATTGTCATCGGACTCCTGAAAATCATAGATTGCACAAAACATCAATTGTACCAGGCACGAGCTTTTGTGAAGTTATTTATGGTGGCAAACCCAAATTATGAAGAAATCCGTAATACACAGTGAACTCTGTATACCATCGTCTTGGCACTTTGATCACGCGCGGGTCAGAATTTGGACAAATCCACCGCACAACCTTGGAACACCCGGTCAGCCCTATACAGCTGAGCAGGAGTATTCTAAGTTTCTGTATACAGAGATTGTTCTGTAAGTACCGAGGTGTCAATGACGCTAGCCACTGCTGACGTCGATCGAATTTAGTTCAGATCTGGTCAGCATCCCTGCAGGGTTATATGTGCGCTTTTGTTAAAGTCCTTGGAACTTGATGACATGATCAAATTATGATCAAATAAAGTTCTTCAAATGAATAATGGTGGGGCGTGCGGTGCATCAGTCTGTCCGATTTCCAGCGGAACAACAGGGATTCCTCGGCGCCGAAGTCCAACTTCTGAGCTGAACTCCGGTGAAGATGCTCGGCATTATTAAATTGTCATCTCTCATTGCTAGAAGAATGATATCTGAAATAAACTATGTTACACAAGACTCCGCTTACTAGAGAATTCGCACTCCCCCACCCACGTACGGCCCCTCCGACCATATCATAAGAAATGGGTATGTTGCTTAGGCGTGATCATTAGCTTGGTTTTTTGTAGAACTAAGCTCGAAGAATATGCCAAGCAAATTTATACACTGATGACGGAATGTCATTTCGGAGCCGCAGCTTCCTAGCTGATCGTCCGGGCTCCGGAAGTCAACGGAGGCATCGGAGGCCGCAGTGACCGATCCGCGACAAACTTCTCTTTCTCCACTTTGTGTGTATAAGGCTGACCGCCATGTACGCAAGATTTTATGGTCATTTCCTTAAAAAAAGGAAACATTCCCCCTTCCCCCCCCCCTTGCAGTTTCCTTTGCTAGTTCATGCTACCCGCGATCTATCTTTTCACACATTCTTTTTGACTTTCTGTATCGGTCGTCTTCTCATCCTTCGCTTCCAGCCCCGGCGCATATCCCCACCTGACTGGCCTCCGGCTAGTTTTTTATCCCCCCGCAATTGACGCGTGGACTGCCTGTAATGCGTTAGTGTTTGCTCCGGCGCCATATATTCAAGCTCACCGCGGCTCTGGTTTTGACCAGGTTCAATGTGGCTCCGCTGAAGTCCAAGAATGCTGCTGAATCTTGGTCTCACAGCGGATGCCGCAGCTGCTCACACTCCCGATCCTAGCGCCCAGCCAGGAACGCCACCCGCACCAGCTTCACCATCCTACTCCCCAGCCTTCTCCTTGGCCACCCTGCCGTTTTTGGGCGCTTTATATAACAGAACAAATCCAACTGATGGTCCTGCACAACCTGTGGGATCTATATCCGGCGTGGCCATGAGCCCTGTTGCATCCAAGCCGAGCGAGGGGGAATCGTCCAAGGCCACCACGTCGGCCCTCAGCAGACCTCGTGTCAGCCGCTCAAACACGAACACGACGCGCAAGTCCACTCGGTCTAAAACCTCGTATCAGCTCGCCCATCCTGCCTCACATGCTCGTCACAAGCGACTGAAGCTTCGTCCAAAGCTTCTACTACAGCTGCAACAGGTATCGCACACACCTCGACCCTTGCCTATCTTGGATGTTCTACCGTCGACATTATATCTGCCACGGTTGGCTCGGAAATTTCCAGCAATGTTTCGTGGCAAGAACGGTCTCGGCCCAAATGACTTGATAATCGTGATGAGTGAACTATATGAGCGCACGGTCGCCAGTATTCCGGAACGACCACCGAGCTCCGAAGATGATGACGAAGATCACCGCGAAGTGGTAGCTACAATCTGTCAGATGCTCCAGGAGGATGCACTCCAAAAGGGAAAGGCAGAGATCTGCTTGAATTTTGGACCGACATGGGAGGCTACACCCCTTCCGAGCGGTTCTTATGAATTTGTCGCGCAAACGGAAAATGGAATTCGAGTGATGCGCTGGGCTTTGCGAGCAGGCAGGAATCGCCGGATGTCTGCACAGCCCAGTTCTGAGCCGCGCGAAGATACCAAGCGATTCACGTTCAGTGTCATCGACCCCAACACTCGTCGGCACCCGGTCATCGCTTCTTTGACACGCAACCAGTTAGAAGTTTTCGATGAATACTCCGCTGTAACTCGATCGAACACCGGCCCCACCACTCCGAGCTCGGGCATGTCTATTATTAGTGATCTATCTGATAATGATGCGCTGGACTTGAATCCGGATGCAAATCTCGTCACGGTCGAGGATGGACTTCGCACTTTAATCATCATCACTGGGATCTGGGTCGCCTTCCGCGAGGGTTGGTCGTCCAATTTCAATTACGGCGATCCACTTTCATCTCTCACCGGGAAAAATGTCGCCTCTCCAGCATCCTCTAAGTTTTGCACATCAACGAACGCCAAGAGTGAAAACAACAGCCCCATACGCCGTGATGAATTGAATGATTTAAAGGATGTAGCCAATGGCAACAAGCGCTGCGCATCCGCCGCGAGTATCCACCGTTCGAAATCACCTGTTGATAGTCTTATGTTCGGAAGTCTCTCCAGACGCTCAAATTCAACCGGTGCTGCATTCATGGATCGAGCAAAGCGACGGAGCGCCTCGGCCGGCAATCGTCTGAATCGCCACAGTGCGTTCACAGGCACTGGCGAGTATGGACGCGAGATTGTTGTATCTCGACCACCGTCCATCCGACTTAATTCGGCCGAGGCCGAGGATTCCTCGCGTGCTGCCCCGCTCAAGAACACATCCAAAGCGAAAAAAGCCAACGAGAATCCTAAGCCCACGAACAATGGACAAATGGTCTCCTCATACCCAGATCACCACAAGGTCTGGGATGCAGACGACATCAAAGAGCCCGAACTAGCTCCTCCTGGTAACAGCAAAAGCAAACGCCGACACCGATTCAGTTCTCTTTTCACGATTTTCCACCGAAAGGAAAGGGCCCATTGAGGACCCTGCATTTCAACATATGTATACCCCAGCATCTTGTCAGCGACCTGTCTGTATTTCCTACCCGCATTTTTTTTTTTTTTTTTGGATTCCATTGCATTTGGTTGGGCGTTATCTTCTATTTTATTTCCCGGCATCGCAGGTACACGATGTTTGCCTCTTCTTCACACTCCAGGAGTCCATACACTTCCCCTCTCTTTCTTCTTCATTCTCGATCATTTTTGGCATCACCCTTCCAAAGCAACTGGGTACCCCAGTGCGATTCCTTTTACATATAAGATCAGAGTTGGAATCTGTGGCATTGTGGTCTTTTGTACATCGCTACCTTTCAATTCTGAAACGATGCCCATGGTCCATGTCAATAGAAATGTCCATTTATATCCTACTTGCACCTCACCTACAAATACATACGACACCAATTCATAGTTGATCAGTTCAAATTAAATTCTTTGCCATAAGGATCCGCTGCGGTTTGTACACATTGTGAAACCAAATTGAATACTCCATGCTCCACAGAAATCTTCTCTTGTAGAACACCACCTGCGGACTAGGTTGACCATCCCCGTTTACGGCGTAGAAATTCCCGAGTACAGAGTTCCCGTGGTAGGTACCGCCGAAGAAGTTGTTGCTCTTGACGATGATCAAATGTAGACAGTTGCATGGCTTCGCACAGGTATCTATCACTCAATGGGTTCCGAGTGTGGAAGGCGCAATTCATCTATTTGAAAAGGCGTGATGCAGTCGACTACAACCGCCCCCCTCTTTTTCGAATTTCGAACCTTTTCTTTGTGTTTCTAGATTCTTCCCCTGAATCTTCCTCTGCTGATTTTCACCCCAACCCTGCAAGTCGAGTCATATTGGGCCCATCGATGTATCCAGGTATCGTTTGGAATACAAAACAAAGCAGCGAATAAAAATATGCAAAGTTGTCATCAAGGCATCAACCAAGGCGTCAAAGATGAAACATGGAAGCATACAAACGCCTAGCAGTATAAAAATACAATGTCCACTAGAATTCATCCGCTCTTTCTCCTTCCCCCTCTCCTTTCCCTCAACAGCCCGAGCATTCATGCGGGAATTTTGGAACGCACGTTGTCAAATACCGCCCTTTAAAGTATGTTGCTGTAAAGCTTGATACGGAGATGGCGCAGGCTGAATAATTCCAGATGAAGTCAGTAGCTTCCGATTCGAAGTACGTATCCCTTGGCAATCTACGATTCTGAGTATTGTGAACATGGACCTGCCGAACAATGCTGCTTATCAAATCGAAAACCCAGTAGATTCCTCCCTTTGCTATTTCTTACATGGGAATGACAACCTTGGGCACGTACGGCTCCTCCAGATACTTGATCTCCTCAGGGGCCAACTTAACCTGCAGACTAGCAACGGCCTCATCAATACGTTTGATGCTGCTCAATCCAACAATAGGCTGTTCACTAGGTTGGCTCAGCGACCAAGCAAGAGCAATCTGTGCCATGGTCACTCCCTTCTTGCCAGCCAGCTCCTCAACACGACCAACAATAGCCTCATCAGCCTCGTTTTGACGACCACGCACAATGCCTTTAAGAGTAGCGTCGGTGCTCTCGCGCACACTCCCAGGCGAGTTCCACGGCCGAGTCAGCACGCCACGGGCCATTGGGGACCAGGGGATAAGTGAGACACCACTATCAAGACAGTAAGGGATCATCTCGCGCTCTTCTTCGCGATCAATCAGATTGTGGTAGTTCTGCATCGAGATAAACTTGTGCCAGCCATTACGGTCGGCGACGTTCTGCAGAGCTTGGAACTCCCATGCATGCATCTAGGAGCAGTCAGACTTTGTAGCTCACAATGAGAGGACAGTACGTACCGAGCTGGCTCCGAGATAGCGGACCTTTCCGCTCTCAACAACGTCATTGAGCGCCTTCATAATCTCTTCACGGGGAGTCTCCCGGTCGAGGCGGTGGATTTGCAAGACATCGATGTAAGTGCCCAGACGCTCGACACTGGCGTCGACCGCGTCGAGAATGTGCTTCCGAGACAGACCGGTACGGTTGACCCAGGCACCATCGTTACGAGCACAAGCGGAGATGGGAGGTTGAGTACCCTCGTCGTCGACTCCGAAGAAACACTTGGTCATGATCACCACCCGGTTGCGGGGAATATTGTACTTCTTTAATGCCTTACCCACAATTTCCTCGGAGCGGCCGTGGGAGTAGACATCGGCCTGTTTGTGATTATTAGAATGGTTGATTGGCCAGTTCGATCATGGATCGTGGATTCTTATGCTCACAGTATCCCAGGTGTTGATACCCCGCTTGTACGCATGCTCGATCAGAGGCAGGGAATCTTCTTCATCGAGAACCCAATCCTGCCACTCCTTGCTTCCAAAGCCCATGGTACCCAAGATAATCTTGGATACCTTCAGACCCGAATTTCCGAGACTATATCCCGTTAGTTCTCAGCTTATGGTCACTCACGATGATTGAGTCATCGTGTGACGCTGGGTGTGGGGCTCATACCGAACGTATTCCATCTCGGCAGACATGTTGAGACAATTGAAAATTAATTCGAAGTTGGCTGATTGAGATCTGTGAAAACGAAAAGAAGCTTATTTAGCTCTGCCTCTGACTCAAGTCGGCATATACTTAGGCATGACGTCAAGTCATTCAGGGTCAACTTACTAGGTGAAAACAAGACTGGTCTTCTTCAAAGACACAACTGGGTGGCGTGAGAGAGATTTAGTGGGTATAGAGATTTCAAACAACAGAACTTGAGAGAAAGTATGTTGTGATTAATAATTTGGTGTCGGCCACACCGGTGTCTTGGAGATATGCCGATATCCACAAGCGAGCACGGACTAGCCGATAAATAGCCGGGTAGCTTCCAAGGTTTCCTGTCGTCCACTCACAACCTTTGGGCGCCACCAATCGGTCCATGAGAACGGCTGGGAAGATCTGGGGTAAGAATTCGGAACTTTGTTGCATTGTGTCCCTTCAAGGCTGTTATGAGTGGCTGGATCTTCATGGTTTGGTAAGACTGGCTGTCTCTGTTTTCGAAGTAGCATCCAGTGAATGATCAACTCTCACAGCTAGCATAGGGCATATGATAATGTATACATATGTATACGTAAATATTGACTTCGAACCAGCAGGTTCACGTTTCAGTACCTCGCCGCGGAGCAGTTTTTTGAAACCTTTCAGAATTCATCTAAGTATACATACTTTCAACAACGCCATCACTCCAAACCTGGAGGGCTGAAGCTCGGATCTAGCTCCAGGTCAATTCAATTCTTATCTGGTATCAATCTTTTCAACACCACTCTTTTCAACAAACGCCATCGACCCTGGAGACCTTATCTGCGCTGCCATGGTTTGACATCACGTGACTATATCGCGATCTTGCGATGCCCGATTGTATTTGGGCGGTACATAGAGCGGTAAAACCAGCTACTGAAAACATGAGTCAGTGTTTCATTCGCTCATCCTTTACGCAATCAACATGAGGGCTCTCAAATTTGTAACTGGGAACCCTAACAAGGTTATCGAGGTCAATGCAATTCTTGGTGGATTGATACCTGTTGAGCCTGTGGCATTGGATCTCCCAGAGATCCAGGGGTCATTAGAAGAGATCGCGAGCGATAAGTGTCGCCGAGCCGCTAAAATTGTTTTATTCCCAATGAACATCAGTCTCTTTGGCCAATTGTGCTAATTGATGTTGACAGATAAATGGACCAGTCATTGTGGAAGACTCGTCCTTGGAGTTCCATGCCATGAACCGACTTCCAGGGCCCTATATGTATGTGGTGATACTCAACAATGAGAACAGATCTCGAGTTGACATCGAAAAGTAAATACTTTCTAGAGTCGCTAGGAAATGATGGTTTAAATAAACTTCTGCATTCACATGATGATAAGAGTGCGGACGCTGTTTGCACATTTGCCTTTTCAGCTGGTCCTGAGGCAGAACCCTTGATTTTCCAAGGAAGACTCGAGGTTGGTCGAGATAAAACCCGATACTCTGTGGCGATGTACTAAATACAATTCAGGGAAGAATTGTCCCTGCTCGAGGTCCACCCGTTTTTGGTATGTTTTGGTCATCAGAAAGTTTCCAGTGGAGAGTTAACGCATTCTAGGCTGGGAGCCCATCTTCGAGCACAAAGGGGAAACTCTTGCGGAAATGGCGCATGACAAAAAAGTATGCATTGCCACTGATATTTGCCAAACTCGCATTGACGTAATCTAGAACAAGCTGTCTCATCGATATCGAGCCTTGGTTAAATTCCAAGAGTGGCTGGCCCGGGACAATAACCGGTCACTGATTTGCGGGCAGGAGTGAGGACCAGGACCGATCTCGTGTATACAGACATACATGGATCGATATAGATCAGCATTGAGCGCACGGGCAGCTTTACTCTTTTTGTTACCCCGCATTTGGTTCTCTTTCCGACAATCTCCAAGGTTCTATATTTTCTGGAAGGGAAATAATCCCCGCTCCTGTTAGGCCCCACATAGCATTGCACATAGACCCATCGGGTGCTTATTCTCACCTAGACCATGAGAGACTGGTGAAAGGTGCTTTTTTGGAGGATAGATTTCCCCAGAACCACGGGTCGGACCCCCTGGGGCGAGTCGTGCCCCTCAGAAATCTCGGAACAGGGTTAAATACATACATATATACTTCTTGGGCCGAATTTTTGGAATGATATTTATACATCACTCCTCCAAGTTTGAGCAGCGCTTTTCTCATTTCTACTATCCTTGTACTTTCAACGATACTCTCAAGGGTCTCATGTTCTCAACTTGGCCTCTTGTGCTTAAATTCATTTGATATATATTACCTTCTCTGGCAGTCTACCAGTTTCACTTCGACAAGATGCTGTCGGTCCTCGCGGTCGCTCCCTACGCGATCGGGCTTCTTGCCTTTGCTTTCATATTCTTCGTCGGCTATCCATATTTATTATATCTTCGCGACCCCAAAGGTATGTGCCAAGCAATGAGACAAATGAACCAGGTCACTAACAATATCCCAGGTTTGCGCAAGTATCCCAATCTCCATCCGATCTCTGGATTCTCCGCAATCCCTTTCATGCTCATGGCTTCGCGGGGATTCAGGTCCAGGGAGCTGGCAGAACTGCACAAAAAGCACCCTGTGATCCGAACAGGCCCTAACATGTTGTCTTACGGAGATGTTCGCGCGATCAAGGACATTTATGGCCACAATACCAAATGTACCAAGGACAGCTCCTATTTGATCACCTCTGGCTCTCACTTCAACCTTGCCGATGTCGTGGATAAGCCAGATCACGCAAGAAAGCGCAAGGTACTCTCCTCGGCATATGCTCTGAAGAATCTGGAGAGCTGGGAATACAAAGTTACCGACAAAGTGCAAAGAATGTTCAAACACTTTGATAAAGTGTGCACAATGGCTCCCAAAGAAGACGTCGCCTCTGGCAGAGTGGCGCCGGATCAAAAAGATCTCACCCTGGACCTGCGTGCATGGAACAACTTCTTCACTCTTGATGCCATTGCCGATATTGGACTTTCTGAGAAACTGGGCTTCCTAGACCAAGGCAATGATTTATGTATTGCTGAGAGGAAAGATGGATCGACATATACGACAAGCCTGCGCGATGCACTCTACCCTACAGCTCGCAAGCAGTCCTACATCTTATGGAACTACGACTGGTATCTCACTCTCAACAAGGTGGTCAACGTCATCCCCTATTTCAATGAGATGCAAAAAGCAGGCGACAACTGGGAGAATATCATGTGGCGCCGCGGAAACGAAAGACTACGCCGCTACGAGGCAGGCGAAAAGCTGGATGATTTCTTCCAAGCCCTCATGGAGGATAAGAACGGGAACCCGAACAATCTCGAGTGGGGCGAGGTGGTCGCCGAGTGCAATATCATGATGAATGCGGGGAGTGTGACGACTGCTGTTGCCATTACAAACGTCATGTATCAACTACTCCGAAACCCTCGAACCCTTGCCAAGCTTCGCGAGGAACTGGACAATGTTCTTGACGAGGACGAATACGTTGCGGACTACGACAAAATCAAGCATCTTCCATACCTACGCGCGTGCTTGGATGAGTCGTTGCGAATCTTCCCCCCGACCTCTCATGGCCTTCCTCGCGAGACACCTCCATCGGGTACAAATATTCTCGGAGAATGGGTGGCTGGTCAAACTTCTGTCAGCATGTCTGCTTATGTCGCCCATCGTGATGAGGGTGTTTTCCCGAATGCAGACCAGTATATTCCTGAGCGATGGCTTGGAGAGGAAGGGAAATCCCTTCAGTCATATTTGATTGCTTTCTCTGCTGGTGCTCGGTCTTGTATTGGTCGCAATATCTCTTACTTGGAACAAACAAAGGCTGTTGCTTCTATGGTACACCGGTACGAGTTTGCTTTGGCCTACCCTGGATGGGAGCTAAAGCGGGAGGAGACTATGAATTTGATTTTGAAGGATATGCCTGTGAAGATTTGGCGGCGTAATATGGAGAAAATTGAGTGAGCATGGGCCAAGTAGTCCAGTGTTGGTGGTTTGAGGTCTTTCCACGGTTTTCTATTATCGCAGTCCATGAATGTTCAAGATAGTATTAGGATATATATCCATGGATATATCTATGATTCCCGTGGTCCAATTCAGAGTATTCTTTGTGTTTATGCATTTTTCAACATTTGAAGTGCTTTCAAGTTTCTACTATCCATTGACCTCGGGAGGTGTTCATTAACAGCCAGTTTTCCCTGCTCGTAATTTGATTCACGGTTGCATGGATGGGCTATCCATCTCAAGCCTGCCCAGACACCGACCGACCTCGGGAGGTCAAAATATAGATTTTGATCCATAAAAATTCTGACCTAGAAGGCCACTCAAGGCTCTACATAATGAGTATTCCAGACAATTCAAAAATGTTACTTGTGTGACGATCTGATGCCAAATGCCATGTGTGAACCGTGGACCTGTCCACGGGTCTGGGCAAGCCTATGTGGGAAATTTATCGGGGAAGTTACCCCGAACACCCTTCTTTCGTGTACCCCGGCCTCTAGGCCTAATTTATTCTCTATCGGCGGAAATACTCAATTTTTGAATGTGAAAGCCTATCTTGCAAGCATTAGCGACATCAATGCAGTGTAATGTAATACAGACTGGTTTCAATTTAAACCTTGAGACTGCCAGCGCAGGCGTCAGATGGCTAGGTGGGGTTGCATCATCATAGCCATTTCCTGTTAGGTCTACCTGAGAAGTCCGTCCCTTGGACCTCCACAGATATGCCATCAGAGCTTTGGTGGCTGAATTTGCCTGATACCAGATGATTATTGCAGTTGGACTCGTCTCCAAGATGGGAATCTTTCCCCGTCGGGTGTGGAGATCAAAGTTTAATCCCGGCGATCTACCCCAAATCTTCATACTTAGAGAAGCCATTTTTATATGCGGGGTATCTCATAGTCCTTCCAAGGTTGATGAACTCTGTCGCAGCTACAGACTATATTAATATTTCTTGCTCGCTGTTTCACATTTTATTCCAACCTATGACTCGACACCCAAGTTACATCTGCCACAATGGTGTCTTTCGCAGAACTCACACAAATGAACCTGTCGCCAGAGATTTTGGCAGAGCTTCAAAAGTATGCGACACCGACCGGTATCGCTGATTACGCTGCCTTGGCCATTGTCGCTGGAGTCTCAGCAGGGTATCTGTCACGAGGGACCCTCTGGGACAGGCCTGACCCGCATTACCATCTCTACTTCGAACGCCCACAGTTGAAGAATGGTGGCCTAGCTGGCATCAATGCCAACAAAGAGACCAGAAACATCGCACAGAAGCTAGAAGACACTGGCAAGAATATTGTCATTTTCTGGGGATCACAATCGGGTACTGCAGAGGGCTTTGCCAATCGCCTGGCCCGAGAAATTTCCATTCGATGGGGTCAGGAATGTATGTCGGCGGACCTGTCAGACTACGATCCAGCCACAATCTCTGAGATTCCGAATTCAAAGCTGGCGATCTTTATCGTCTCAACTTACGGCGAGGGTGATCCGGCTGATAATACCGCGGAATTCTGGAGCTGGATCACCAAGACTGGCGATGTCTCGCTAGCCAATCTACAATATACCGCGTTCGGTCTGGGCAATACCAACTACAAATTTTACAACAAGGTTGTCGATGTGATTGTTGAAGGGTTGGAGAAGTTGGGTGCCAAAGCCCTGATGCCACTTGGCAAAGCGAATGATGCTGAAGGTGCCACCGAAGAAGACTTTATGGCTTGGAAGGATAGCCTGTTTACAGTGTTCAAAGACAACTTAGGCTTCACAGAAGTGGAAGCCAAGTACGTCTCAAGCCTTCAAGTCGAGGAAGATGAGTCTTTGGAGCCTATCGACCTTCACCACGGTGAACCGAATAGCCACGTCGATGCCCCCAAGGGAGCTGCTCAATCCTCACCCATTCGAAGCTTAAGCATCGTCAACTCTCGAGAGCTGTTCACATCCTCCGACCGCAACTGCCTTCACATGGATGTGGATCTGAGTGACCAACCAGAGTTGACATACAAGACCGGTGATCACCTGGCCATCTGGCCAGCCAATCCAGAATTAGAAGTAGAGCGTCTACTCGAGATCCTCGGTCTAGCCTCTCGCCGTGATGTTCCAGTCATTATTAGACCCCTCGATCCAGCGACAAAGATCACACTTCCCACCCCGACGAGCGCGATCGCCCTTCTTCGTTACTACTTGGAAATCTGTGCCCCTGTTAACCGAGACAATGTCCGCGATCTCGCCCAATTCGCACCTACGCCCGAAGCAAAAACATACCTGACCAACCTGGGCCAGGATAAAGACTTCTACGCAAAGTTCATCAACCGTACCCACCTAACTCTTGGTCGTCTACTACAACTCGCCTGTCCGGGCCAGACGTGGACAAAAATCCCTCTCTCGTATCTCGTCGAGACACTACCGCACATCCGCCCACGGTACTACTCCATCTCTTCGAGCAGTGTAGTCTCTCCACGGAAACCTTCTATCACAGCCATTGTCTCCACAACTCCCCTTCCAGAGAACCCAAGCGAGCTGGTCCACGGCATCACATCGAACTACCTCCTCGCCATCTCCCAGCAAGCCCACTCCCAGCCCCACCCACATGGCGTGTCGTACCATCTCAACGGGCCCAGTGACGCTCTAGAAGGTGGCAAGGTTTTCGCTCACATCCGTCGAAGCAAGTTCAAACTCCCTATTACGGCCAAGACGCCATTGATTATGGTCGGTGCTGGAACAGGCCTCGCACCATTCCGCGCATTCCTCTCAGAGCGTTGCCAGGTCCAGAAGGTCGGAAAGGAGGTCGGTCAAATGATACTTTTCTTCGGCTGTCGTAACCCCGAAGAAGATTTCATTTACCGAGATGAGCTGCAGGAGATGCAAGAAACACTCGGAGATAAATTGCGTTTGGTGGCTGCCTTCTCCAGGTATGAAGGTACGCCACGGCAGTACGTACAGGACCGAGTTTCAGAGTTTGGAGAGGAGGTTGTAAAGCTTATTGATGAGGGTGCTAGCTTCTATATTTGTGGTAGAGCTGGTATGGCACGCGAAGTGGAGAAGGCTGTTAGCGGAACCATGCAGAAGACTAAGGGGTGGACTGAAGATGAAGTCAATAATTGGAGCAAGGCAGTCAAGAAGAAGAACAAGTGGCAAGAGGATGTTTGGGGTTGAAGCAAGCTTTTTTTCTTCTTTTGCTTTTTCTTGTTCTTTGTTCTTTTGTTTTCTTTGTTAGCTTAGGGTTCGGTTGCGTCCTATCTCCTTTTTGCGAGATCGATCCTCGCAATTTCAACAGAGTTCAAACCAACGCACGCTATTAGGCGAGATCAAGTTGGAAATAGGCGACCCATGCGACCGTTACCCAGAAAGGGAAAGTTTGGATGCGCGGCCTGGTGAAGGCGAACCAATCGGAAGGGGCTGATCCACCTCATTTCCCGGCATAACGAGCATGACAGATCTTCGAGTAATTTTCAGTTTTCAGCTTTTTCAGTCTTTTCAACCCTTTTTTGTAGTGGCGTATTTTTAGTTTTAATTTTATTCTTACTTTTTGTATTTATCTATTTTTCACTAGTGGAGCCATGGAACGAGGAGCGGCCAAATGATTCGCGCTTAACGTTGGGAGCTCGAGCCCCGTGTATCATAATCTATAATACTGACTTTCATATCTTAGCCTTGTGCTGATCAGCAGTCGGATAATCCGTATAGTGGAACTCGTTATCCTCAAACGGCCCATAGAACCGGGACCGGTCGTACGGAGCCAAGGGGAGGCCCTTCCTCAGTCGATCCACCAGATCGGGGTTGCTGATAAAGTAACGACCGTAAAGGAGGCCATCGTACTTTCCTGATTCCACAATACCCCAGGAGTTGGTGTCATCAAAACCACCAGCGGAGAAGAACGGTGTTGTACCGAAGATCTCTCGAAAACGATCCAGAGTGACATCCTTCAGGCCCCAGCTTTGAAGGAAACCCTCTTTCTCGTCCCCACTAAAGATTTGCTCATAGCGCTAGAAGAATCAGTGGATGAATACCAAAACGAAACTCTAATAGGCAACAACATACCGGTTCAATAAAACTAACGTAGGATAGAGTTGGATGACTCTTCTTCAAACCCTCACATAGATGAGTCCAGGTCTCAACTCGCTGCTCACCACGAGCTTGGTTGAATAAACCGAAAGGGGATAGTCGAATCGCCAAATTCTGTTCTCCAATAGTCTTTGCCAATTCATCCATTAACTCGAAAACGAACAAGCATCGTTTCTCTGGCGATCCACCATAAGCATCCGTGCGCTTGTTGATATTGGAGCTGAGGAATTGCTCGGGAAGATAACCATTGCCACCGTGGATTTCCACGCCATCAAACCCTATTTCCATGGCAGCCTTGGCAGCATTGCAATAGTCCTGAATGGTCTGCTTGATATGCGCCACTGTCATTTCAATAGGTGGGTGATCCGCGTACGGAACCGAAAAGTACTCGGTGGAGCCAACAGGGGGATGGGAGTAGCATTCCGTGGGCGAGTCCCACACACTTGCCGATGGACACACGGATGGAGACCCAGTCATCTGGGGAATAGTGGCTCGACCAGCGTGCCAGAGTTGACAATAAATGATTCCACCCTTTGCATGGACCGCATCAACGACCCTTTTCCATCCGGCGATTTGCTCGGGGGTGAACAAGCCCGGAACGCCGGGCATTCCATTGCTCTGAAGAAAATTTAGGTTAGACGCACATGACAAACGGAAGTCCGAACCCCAAAAAATGAAATCAAATTAGGTTTCTACCGCAGGGGAATGTTTCACCTTACCTCTAGCGACGGCGGGATCCCCTCGGAAATCATCAAGCCTCCATCGGTGGCGCGCTGTGCATAATACTCAACCATCAGATCTCCAGGAATCCAAACTCGATTAGGCGCTTCGGGGGTGCTAATAGACTTCTCCGGAACTCCACGGTTACGGGTCAAAGGCGCATGGACGATGCGGTGGCTGAGGGTGATACCGCCATTGGCAATAGCCAATGGCTGGAACAAGGCCGATTTCTCGCCTAGATTGTGAATCGTCATAGCTGAGGATAAATGATATTTTTTTTGCATACAAATTAGGCTCTGGAGAGAAATAGGAAAAGAAAATGAAGGGACTCAGTGGATTTTACTACAGAAAGTTAGTAAATTTACTACTAAATCACCCTTGCCCAATAGGGAAAATTGACCCCCCCCCTGTCAGAAGTGTCAATTCGGCTAGTGATCAGGGTTTGAGTTTCAAACTGCAGAATTCTTCCCGTGTTACCAAATAATGTCATATGAACGTGGGCATCGCGCTTCGAACAGGTCTGATCGCAGCCTTGGAGCTCCACTGCTCTCCACTGCTCTCCACAGCACTTTACAGAATTAGGGCATTGCGGAAGCGCTTGTTACCGCGGAGTACGCGAAGAACCATCCCCGCGGCGCCCGGCCACGTAACAAATTCCATTTTCTGCAGCAACCAGTAGATGATTGGTTGCAATTATTGTATTTCCGAGACCGGCAGTCAAAATCACAGGGCCTCGATTCTTAGGTCACTAGTGAGATGTGGGATCAATAGCGTTAAGATCTCCACTGCAACCGATCCTTCCCGCAGAATACGTGCTGAACCATGGTAATACACGGAGGCCGGATCCCCTGTCAAAGCTGAACTCCATGAACGCCCCATTGACCCCATTGTTCTTAATCTGTCAGTTCCCAGGTGTCTGGCGTAGTTCCAGATTTCATATCATCTCAAAATGACGGTCGAAAATCCCACAGATATCATTCACACGGTCAACCTCGTCACACAGGTGCTATGTATGCCGATAACATCCGCGTTTTTGGCGTTACGATGGTATACCCGATTCCGATTCAAGCAGAGTATTGGAGTTGAAGATTGTATGTTTTTTTCCCCCTCGATCTATCACGGAGCTTTATACTAACTGGGATTTTGCTCCTTCAGATGCGTGCACCGTGGCTTGGGTATGTTGATGCCTTGCATCGATCCCGATCCCAAGTTATACTAACCCATCCGATCAGGGCTTGTTCATGGGATACTGCGGAATCAGTATCGTCGGTATGTTCGAACCCACAGAAAAAAGAAGCGACCATACTAATTCATCCCAGTCGGAAAATATGGTGGCGGTTACAACATCGACGACGTCTCAGATGCCAACCAGATCCAGTTTAAAAAGTTCTGTTACATCGCCACTATCCTTTACTGCCCAATGGCACTCTTCGTCAAAGTCGCTCTCCTTTCCATCCTCACTCGCATCTTCAAGCCCTACCGTGGTAAGGTGTATTTCATCTACGGCTTCCTCGCCTGCCTTGTCACATACTATACCGTCGCCTTGATCATCAAGATCCGCATGTGCGGTCCAATCCCGAGGTACTGGCTCGGGGACGAAGTGGAAGGATCTTGTCTCGACCAGACTGCCGCTCTGATTGCCGACTCGGTGATTAGTGTGGTCAGTGATATCATCATTCTCATTCTCCCATTGCCGTTGACTTGGTCTTTGCAAATGTCACGAAACAGGAAGCTCCGTGTCATCGGTATTCTCAGTGCCGGTGGCTTGGCTACTGCGTTCAGTCTGTACCGGTTGGTGCTGGTGCTGAAAGATGGTAACTCTAAAAACCAGACTATTGTGTTCATGGATGTTATTCTGTCCGGGTATGTCATCTATGTTATCCACCTCTTGATTCTCTTTGCTAATTCTTTCTAGTAACGCCGAGGGTGGTATGGGGTTGATTTGCGCTTGTCTTCCGGTCCTCAATGTCCTCATTGTCTATTACCGGAAGAACTACTCTTCTCAAAAGTACTATAACCAGAGCTCCGAGCTCCAGCTTGCCGACCGGACAAATAATACCAATCCCAAGGCCGGGTGGGAGAAGGCACCCAACTTTGGCGATCAGAGCCATCTTATTTCTTATGCTGGCGGTCTCGAGGCGAATGAGTCTGGTGTATTCGATGGAATCCGAAAGACCGTCGCCGTGGAGCAGACTGTCGAGAGTGCCAGTGCTGATAGCGGCAGCCGATAGTGCTGGCCAATAACGTTGATGAATGTATTATATAATTCCCTTCACATTAACTGCAGTCTATTCATAGAACAATTTCATAATAGAATATTTCCTTGTGTCATCAAGTTCGTCTACGTTCAAAGGCATGTTATCTCAAGGATGGATTTGCATCAAACAACCCAGAGTGGTGCCACAGCCCGTCTAATCCAGCATCAAAACCAGCAGACCATGATGCGTCAATGAAAGGCCATTGAAACATATCTGTTTCGACGTCATGAGCAAGCCCAGAATGCTCTCGAGAAGTAAATGCAGCTTCAGTATCTGGGACTGGCGAAGATAAGATCTGGCCCTGAGACTGATGCGAATCGTCGGCTTCTCTTGGCTCCGCAGTCATAGATCTACTCGCATGTATCTCGCGATTTGGACGCGAGCGAATATCACCGTATTCATCCAAGGTGCCTGCCAATGCAAAACGTCGAGGGCTGTGCATACCAGCTTCAGTATGTGCTTGATTACTCTTAACTGTTTCGTAAAACCGATTGGCTTCTTGCACCGTCCGCCACTGGAAATAAATCGTTAGTTGGATTTCAAGCTTTCTGGATTGACACTTACCCAGCTTCGACCGACAGGCCATAGCCGGCTTAGCCGCTCAAGGTATATGAGGTTTTTGCTCTTTTCTTCTTCAGCTCGCTCCAGTCCGCCGGGGTATCGCATCGGTGCGATTGTTCCGTACATATTGATATGTGCAGCTACAAAGACACTAAATCCCGAATAGGGGGTCATCACTGGTGCTTCGGATGCCTCTAGAGCTGATAGGACACCGCTGATATTCTGCACCGCCGCGAAAAGCTCTTTGATTGTCCCGGGCTCTTGCTGTTCATCATCATTCATGTCATGGAAAACATCGGAATGGGGTTTGAGGTTAGAGAGGAAACGATCACGATGAAGAAATAATACACTGTTCCGGTCAGTTTGACTGATATTTCAGTATAAGAATAAGAAGCGTACCTCATGAAGTATATCAGGTTAATGTAAGCGAAAAGCTCTCCATATCCGAGAGCGACATGTGCCTGGGCACTCGTTGCAGGGTATCGAACGGTCATATCTTGCAGAGACCTCCACTCATCCAACTCTCCCTTGAGTGTTTGCCAAAGCTGAAGAAGAGGCGATGTAGAGTCATCCGAGTCTAAAGAGGCCAAAGCACGTCGATGTTCATTGGCAAATCTTAAAATCCGCACAAAAATATCAAATCCACGTGTTACTATTGTTAGACCATGCTCTATGGTCAGGTTTCTTGCCAATGGACATTGCTTGTTCATATCAGCAGGCATCAATCTCCTCTCAGGAAGATGATTGAATGTAAAATCTCTGTCGCTAATAGGGAGTGGGACCGATATTTGAGAGAATGACAATGCGAAATGTTGTCGAGCACCGGAACTTAGCTCACAGTCCTGCGCAAAGCAACACCAGTAGGTACGAACAAGCTGTTCGTACTGGGTCTGAGAGGCATGAAATTCGTGTGGACTATGTTCCATGCTGTCATCGGACATTTTTAGTAGTGATTGAATCATGTAGGTTGCCATGCCTAGAAGAATTAGCTTGTTTCACGCATAACCGATGGTCTTGCATGATACATACCGCTGTACATCCATGCTTGATAAGGCCGACCGGTCCCCCATTCATAGAAAGAGATCATCACAAGAGACTGAGCAAGATAAAGTGAAGGGGCCTCCATGACACGATGGGCGAGATGTTTTCGTGCATAGCCGGCATACGTCTCTTCATCCGCGAGCCCATCTCCGCTCATGAAACGCACGCATAGGGAGAGAAGCGACGCAATAAAAACTGGATCAATTGATTGGAAGTTTGATGAGACATCCGAAATTAATGAGGGGTAATGTAGAAAGTTCGTGATAGGAAATTTCTTTCGATAAGTTTCCACAGCGGTGATTACAATGGATGGTGGTAAAGCTGAAATGGGGTTCTCATTAGTCTCCGACACGGTACGCGAAAGGGCTGGTCGAGGACTCCGTCCAATGCGCGTATCTCGAGATAATGTAGTGGTTGCTCGTCGTTTGTGTCCTGCTGTAGGTCTGGCATTGCTTCCTCGTGTGCCTGTGCCTGGCTTCGAAGCTCGAGGATCTGTCAGGACGCAATCGTCACTCTTTATTTTTCGACAGCGCTGACAGGGCGGGTTGCCCTCATGATTACATTTGACTTTCGCCCGTCTATGGTGATGATCAGCCATTGTATTGGATTCCCGCGTATCAGCTCAGTCTTATCTCACCGACATGCATCACAAGATATTGATAGCCTCATTTGGGCTTTGAAGGACCAATGTATGCTCCTTCACGCAGATAGCATCAATAATACCTTGATAATGAGTCACTCAAAATTGAGAGGGTCAATGCTCAAGTGAGGCAATGATAGAGTTGCATTCCATCCGAGTTCAACAGAGGTGTGTTTCAGTTGCCATAAATTTAAGGTGTCATAATTACCCTAACCGCGTGGTCACGTGACTTATACACTATAATCCAGGTAACGTCACCTACATTAACGATTGCCACTTGGGCATCTATGTGCTTGAAGATTAAAATGTCTACCAGAATTTTTTGGAAGTAATTAGAGGGACCACCTAGCTAGTCTTTGCAAGACCTTCATTGAACGACGTATTTGGGCAGAAAAAAGCGCTCAAACGCTCGCCACCCCCGAAAGCAGGCGAACAAGGACGCAGAGAGGCGTCGCTCTTGTCGAGATGTCTTGTTTCCTTTTATTCTACTTGGGATTCCGTATGTCGTTAGAATGTTAGATTAATTATATTTATATGGTCTAGTAAAGCAATTCTAAGTAGCAAACTCCTTGGACGCCGCAGTCCACTGCGCCACCCATGCATTAAATTTATCAACCTGCATTTCGTCTGTAGCCCAAGAGGTTACAAGACGAACCATAACACGTCCATCATCAAGCTGTTCCCAAATGTAGAAGCGGAATCTGTCCTGCAGCCGTTGAACCAGATCCATAGGAAGAGTAACAAAAACTTGGTTTGTCGCAGTCTCGGCAGCGAGTTCATGTCCCAGCTTCTCAAAATTGGCGGAAATCTTCTCAGCCATTGCATTTGCATGTCCGGCCAATGTGAAAAACAGATCATCTCGGAACAGCTCCACAAATTGAACACCCATGATACGGCCCTTCGCCAGCAAAGCGCCGTGTTGCTTGAGGTGGAAAACGAAACCCTCAGCCAAATGCTTCTTGACAACAATGGCTTCTCCCATCAAGGCACCAGCCTTAGTTCCACCGATCCAGAAGATATCTGAGTACTCAAAGATATCATGGAGCGTCATATCGTTCTTCTTCGAGCAGAGCGCCGTTCCGATTCGGGCTCCATCCACAAGAAGCAGAAGGTTCAATTGCTTGCACAGAGCGGACAAATTGCTCAATTCACGCTTTGTATAAACTGTTCCAGTCTCCGATGCATTGGAGATATAAAGAAGCCGCGGCTTAGCCATGTGCGGGAAGAATTGATTTTGCTGCATGGCTTTTTGCAGATTGGCTGTGGTCATCTTGCCATCTACCGGTGGGACAAGAATAAGCTTGTGTCCAGTGGCCTCAATGGCACCGGCTTCTTTGCAAGCGATATGTCCCGTTTCAAGGGTAATTACCGCCTCATAAGGTCGGAGACAGCTGGCAATTGAGATCAGGTTCGCTGATGTGCCGCTAGGAACAAAGAAAATCTCCGCCTCATCTTCAGTGCAATTGATTCTTTCGCGGATCAATTGCCTGGCAGTATTGCTATAATCGTCACCACCGTATGAAACTTGCTGAGTTGAGTTTGTGCGAAGGAGAGCCTCCAAAATTTGTGGATGGGCACCCTCGCTATAGTCGTCCATAAGACTGTATGGAGGGCATGCCTCGTCTTGGCAGAAATTTGTTGAAGGCATTGTGTATCTATGCGATGTTCCCAATGTTGAATGATATGGAGTTTGAGGGATTTTGAGTTTCCACAGAGCACAATGTTAAAAATAATTACGCAATTCGTGGATGGCAAATTTGAGTCACCTAAATAGAACGTTCGGGAAAGAAAAGATAAGGTCGGGAATGATAGCTCGGGAATGCTGGTTTATTCCCGAGCCGTGATCCGGGAATCCCTTGCGCCGAATACGCCGAATATCAGTTCTTATCATGTAATTGTGGGCACATTCTGGTCAAATCAAGGTCGGCTGATCTGGATTCCTCTTTCGTGAATCTTAGAGGGGTAATCACGTTTAGAGAAGCTTGTGAAACGGGGCAGTCCCAGGGAATTCCATGTTTTATAATAAGTCCACAGACTGATGTCTATGCTACCAGTTGACTGCCTATCGAACATGGATTTGTACAAGACTCAAAATTTCAGTTTACCAGATAGTACTATGGATTGTGGCCGAACCTTTATTTAAGGGCCTAGCCCCCTTGATTTAAAATTGCTCCCATTATAAGCTTCGAAGTCTATCCCGATTCCCGAAATCAGTTAATCGGCGTCGATGACTGATGACTGTATTTCCATGTCATAGCTCCCCCACCATAACCAAGCCGAAGCGAAATGAGGAAGGTTGACAGCTTGAGTAATGTCGCTTATCTGTTTCTCTCGTAGGAAGAGAGGCTCTGACTTCTCCAATTTGGTCACCTTGTCAAGATCCTTTTATTATAGTAATTATCAGAGGAAGACTTGGCGATTCTGTATGTATGTCTTAGTCCGGCAGTCGTGTTTACTTGGATATTAATAGCAACGTAGTAGATTCTCTGGAGATCTAAGTATTGCTTGCTTTAATGGAAGACACAAACTCTGGGCATGTCGCAATGCTAAGCCGACACCTAATTTAGAGTGCTGACCGCCACACGCCCCATTCGCCTTCTAGTATCATATCATGAAGCCATGTGATTAGAGATATTCTGTAATGTGAGATGAGATTCTGCTGGTCTATAATATGAGTATAGAGGTGTTCGTGAAACAAAGCAGTCCCGGGACTCAAGAATACAATACCTACGCAAGAATCTCTCGTTAGAGCCAGAACGTTCATGCATGTCAATTTGGTCTATGAGCAAGGATATTCAAAAAAATCGAGATATATGAATTGACCCCAGGTCGGCGTTTGCTTTTCGAAAATGTCGAATAAGATAAAAAAAAAAAGAAAATGCTGAAAGATGGACAGGAATCACAAACGCCCGGCTATTTACAAATGACAATTTCCCGCCTGAAATGAACTAATAATATACAGTAAACTCCAGAAGGTCGTGCAATGACGGACCTGAAACCTCGGGATTTCCGCAGGAAATTTACTCGGTCATTTCAGGTCTGAGATGCTCCCCTTCTTCAGATAGGCGTTCTTCCGTTGGCACGCGGTGATAAAGCCGGACCCGCCAGCCTCGAATGAGCAAATAGCTGGCCATGATGCCAGACATGACTGCCAGAAGTAGAATAAGTGCGAAGAGACCCCCGATACTACGGACGGTCGTGTAGGAACTGGAAAGCATTTGAATGGCCTTCCTGACCTCAGCATCTGCCGTGTCATCTAGTGACGACAAGCGACTCGGGCTACTAAGCTTCTTACTTGAAGAACCACCTTGGGCAGATGAGAGCCCGGATGGATCTTGGGGTCTCGGAAGCCCAGATTGACCTAAATATCCGGCTGCCTCCCAATCAGGGACCTTGGTTCGGTGCACCTTCGAGGTGCCCATAACGTGGCCGTCGTGGTGTATAGCCTCGACGGATATCCAATCCATGTACCCGCTGGCAATGAACATTGTTTCGAAATCATACTTGGAGACGTTGCCGATGAATACTGGGGTGTCGAATTCGGATGCCCGGGCGTAAAAGTTATACCAGGCCACATCAGTGGCACCGTTCCAACTAACGTGCACCCTGGTGACGAGGTTTGTCTCATCACTGCCGAACACGGAAGCCACTAGGTCGGGCGGAGTGGTCGGGCGGCCAATGAATTCGGATTTATAGGCGCGGTAGTTCGAGTAACGATCTGAGGTGAAACGGGCACTCATCAAGACTTGTCCCTCGGGCGAAAATTCCGAAATGTAGCCGCCTTGACTCCAGCACACAAACATGTTCTTATTGGCCAATAGCTGAGAATTGCCACGGAGGCGGGTGAGGCCCTTGTCGGGTCGAATATACCGATTGAGGACGCGCGCGGTCATTGGGCTTGTGCCGGTTTCAAGTTCGACGATCAAAGCCGACGAGGTTTCCTCCTCGGCAAATTCCTCATCGGACGCATTGTTCAAGAATGATATGACGTGGCGGGTTCCCGATGACTCGACGAATTTGGCGTCGTGTTGTTTCGAAAAGACGAAATCCTGAGCGAAGTCACTATTTCCCTGTCCTCCCAGGCGCCAAACAATAGTTCCTGTCTGTCCAGAGACGAGGTAGATGGTGTTCGTGAAGCGCATAGAGATCAAGTAGTCGCCATTGTCGTTCTTATCCACAGCGTTGATATGCACATAATCCCAACCCGGGGCCCCTTCCACGCGGGAGCTTGGGCTGTAATGCACGGTTTCCACCAGTGGAACCTCAGCAAACGAGTTCCAGTGGTAGAGAACATCTGCAGTGTTAATATCAAGCTCCGCGAATCCACCATATTCCAGCCAGGTCTTTTCCATTGGGCGACCAAAGGCCTCCAAGGTAATTTCCTCTGACAAATAGTTCGTAACCACTGCGGATTGGCCATCATCAAGAACATTGAACTCGTGGATATCGAACACTCCAAGGTCCTTCCTCAGGGGGATTTTCCTATAAACCTGGTAATTTTGGTCCAGGATCATACCATATCCTCGTTCACTTCCGTCGTGATTGTATTGCAAGATAAGAGAAATGTACGTTTCGTTGTTGAGGGTAATGGTTTTGAAATCAAAGACATTGCGATTGTCAAACATGGGGGCTCCGGTCCAGACGAGGCGCTGTTTCAAAACTCAGGTCAGCTGTGTCTCTCGCGACATATGGTAAAGTCGAGATCAAGACGTACCCCATCCTGGTCGTAAATGTGGGGACCTATTTGGTATTGTTCGTATAGACTGGTGGTGTCGTCGGGCGCGATGTGTAGATAAGGTGAGACAAACCAGTATCCCGGGCTAACACGATCGCGATGTTCGTAGTTAAGATTGAATTTGACAGCCCTGGCGTCCGGGAGCTAAGAAGACACGGAGCGATTAGTGTACAGGTCGTCTGTGAGAGATACCGGCCACACCAACCGTAACGAAGGACATCAGGTCATCGTCGGAATGCCAGGCGACAACATTCTGTGCGAGCAGTAGCAATAAGCCCTGCCAGAACATGATGATGGGGAAAGAGCGACACGGACAAGGGAATCAAAAGAAAGCCATGAAGGATGGCAGAATCAGCGAGGGCCAGGGGACGGAAGGGCAGTGCGCAGATCGCTTTCGCAGATCGGTAACACGGCGACCCGTTGACCAGAGGGGTTGCAGGCTGGAACGGTAGGTAAAATTGGCGATTGGGGGGTGGACATCGGGACTTCTGGACCCCGGTGGAGCCAATAGGGACCGGTAAGCATTTCTCAAGCGCCCTGATGACGCAGACGTTGATTATTGGTGCCTGCTTACCCCTTGTTTACGAGAAACACGGGTGGGCACATAATGAAGATCATTGTCGATGTGTTCTGTTCAAAGTGTACAGTATATGCACAGTATACTCATTGTTTTTTCTGATTGGACTAGGTTATATGAGCTAGGTTCTTACTCCGCTGATGGTGCCATTTCAGGGTCTGGTTGCGCAGGGTCAATAACCATGGACGCCAAGGGTACAGAACATCGGTCGGCACTGTCATTCCAAAAATATCATGCACTACAGGTACCCTTGTAATTCAATAAATCTCTGGATCCTCAATGGCCACGCCAACTCAAATAGAATTACAATGGGTCCTTTACTTAATGCCCAGACTTGCCCAGACAAAGTGGACATAGCAGACAAATAACAGGTGGCAAATCTGCAGATCCTGTTTCAGGTCACGTGATTGGCAAGCCCTTGGCTCAGTGTAAATGGGCATCGTATGCAAGATTCTAGGATCCATATCAATATTTTGGTATCAAAGATCTGATGGAAATTAACTACTTCATATTTGGATCTCAATTCTGGAATACTTAATATGGGTGCCGGTCGCTCGAAATCTGCACCTCCTGTTGCCTGACAAGTGCCGAGGTCCGGAACAACGGTTTTTATCAGGCATTTAAACCTTAATCACATCTATAACCCCACGAATCCCTGGACCCGTCTACTTGTATATCAAGTTGTGGCAATTTCGGGTATTGCAACTTCTAGCGGATAATAATTGAATATAATATATTGTTCTTATGCCGTTGCCCCCAGGATTGGCAATGCAGCTGGTTCTCGAACGGTAGTAGTTGGTTAGTGTCATACATAAAGAAGCTTTTTGGGAGGACTGTATACAGTCAGTCCCAAGATCAATTTCCTTTTCCTTTCTCTTCATCCCCAGATATTGCTGCATGATCATCCTTGACTGACTTCCATTCCATGAACCACGCAATCATAAAGGTAAGCAACGCAAAGGCCGTGGTGGAATAAAAAACACTCTGAATAGACTGTGCATATGCCGCGGATACGCTTGAGCTATATTTCGCCGGAACCAAAGATAGAATATCCGTCAAACCAGATTTCGAAATTATCGAACTGGTCAGTCCTGGCACATGGCCCACAAGCAGTGTAGTCGCCCGGTTGTTCAATATCAGTGTGCCAGTGCTCACACCCAATGCGCCGCCAAGGTTCATCAAAGAAGTGATGATAGTCAGGGCAATAGTCATGTCATGTTCAGCCGTATTGAAAACAGTTTGTGCAGCGAGCTGGGGAGCATCAAAGCCCAGTGCCAGTCCTGCACCTGCTATGACCTGGTAGCCTACCCACCGACCGAGGGGTGTCGAGACCGTGAACGTGGAGAGAAGACCGGTCCCAATAGATAAAACGGTGCTACCGAGTATCATGAATGGAAAATAGTAGCCCACTATTGTTGTCCCAGTGCCCGCAATGATAAAGAAAGCTACCAATGACATTAGATATGGGAGTGTGTCTGTGCCCGCTTGTAATGCAGTTTTTTCCTGTACCGCCTGGAAGAATACTGGTAGCTGGTTTACAAGGATGGACTGTTAATTAAATCCGTGTCAATCATTTGGGGATGGAAAGACAAATGAAAATAATTCACTCACAAAATAAGGAATTTGTGACTCAACTGCGGCATTGAAGAGCATGTAAAGAGATCCAGCCACCATGCTTCGTTGTGACATGATCCGGGCAGGCGTCAATGCATCCTCGCCCGCGTGCCATTGCCATATGACATAGGAACCAAGCAGAATAGGTGTCATCACATACAAAGCTACCATCGACCCGCTAGTCCATCCATACTGCGATCCGCCGCACTGCAGGATGAGCATAAAGCAGGCAATGAAGGGAATCCATAAGCCAAGGCCCACCCAGTCGAACGATACCCAATGCTTTCCTAATGTCTTTCCATTCAATCGATCTGCAGGTTCTTGGATAGAACAGCCTAGTATAACCAATATTGAGGCAATTGCTCCAATTGGCAAGCTAATCCAGAAACACCAGCGCCATCCAGGACCTGAGGTCAACGCGCCAGCCACCACTGGTGCCATCGCTTGCGTCGAACCGATCAGCAGTCCGATCAAGGCATTTACCATTGGCCTGAATCGTAAAGCAACAACATAGGACATGATACTGACCAGGAAAGTTAGAAGGAAGTTGAGAGGAACGTGGTCTGGACAGGGAGCAGAAAGTATTCAGACGTATATAGACTCACATTAAACATCCGCAGAAGAATCCCGCGCTGCCAAGACCGGAGACTGCTCTCCCAAAAATCACAGCGGTAGAGGATGAAGCCGTTGCAGACACAGTACAGCCAACCTCAAAGATACCCAAAGCTGAAAGGAAGACCACTTTGGCGGGAAAAGCCTTGTAAAGATGTCCCCAAAACAGCTGGACGGCAGACAGTGTCATCAGGCTATTTTCCATTAACATGTCAAAGTGCATTGATCTTTGAGCCAGTTTCACTCACTATGCAGTACCATACCACCCATCATCTTGGCTACTATGAAATTGGTCGGTGATCGATGGCAAGGCCGTTGACACGATGTTCATGTCCTGGGATAGTGTTAAAATGCATCTTTCCATTTCATCCAGTGGGAGGCCTGCATACCAAGGATCCAATAATCACACCCAGGCATATTCCTATGACCAAAGATAGCAGTCTGATATACTCGATCACACTTTTCTTCGCTCGTCGAGACGTCAAGGATGTAGAGGATGCTGAAGATGGTGAAGGCGGTGTTCCTTGCACATTCGGTTTACCCGACCACGTTGAATGGAAAGGTTTCTCATCCTTTGGCTCAGAGGAAGTCACCGAAGTCGAAGACATTACGCTAAAGAAGGGACAAAATGGAAAGCTGGAGTCAGATGGAAATGAGAAAATAAACTCGCGCTTTTTTGGAGCGATTTTCATAATTACTTATATACATATCAGGGTGCGAATGTTCATCCGCAAGTGGATGAAAAGCCTTGAAAGAACCAGTTGCAGAACAAAAACCCATGGTAGAATTTCAAACGAAGATACCAGCCCATTATTTTCTTGATACTACGCGAAGATTCCCATTGAGAAGCCAGGGAAACTTTACCGGCGGGATGTGGGATATGGGATAGTGGAGTCATCCCACTTGGTTCCGATTGGCCTGTTTCATTATACACCATGAACAATATGGTTGTCGTTCAGCATCAACGCATAACAGAAATATTTACAGAGCTTCATTCACATGAAAAAATTAAAGCGAGCTCCAAATTAAGACGGTCTGTGGAAGATGTGTACCCAGCCACCCGGCTTCAGGAGAGTCTATGGGCCTTGTCACAAGCTAACGAAGCCACAGACCTTTTGCAGTACCATTTCGCGCTCCTTTTGAATGATCCGTTATGTATCGTCCGAAGAACTTGCCTGTCAGTTTGCCCGGCATGCTTCAAGAGAATTTCTAGTTATTTGGGGCTCTAAAGCGATGTATCGGCTTCATATACTCTACATTGTTCAACACGGAGGTGCTTGGGCTATGATTGTCACGGGACTGAAATGGAGTAGCAAGTCGGCACAGCTATAAGTTTATATGACAAGGAATGCAAGTAAGCTAATGGGTATACGGAGCTAGATCAAATTAAATATAGAAGGCGGGCTTGTGGGAATTATTTTTCCGCAGATTCAACACAACTTGAACATGCTGAAATCCAAGCTTGGACTGCTGGGACCAAGCAAGCAGGCCGGCCGTCTTCAACATGTTCTTAATTTGCCGGCCGTTCAAGTCCACTTGAGCCAATTTGTCGAGTTGTGCACCCGTGAATTCCTCGGTGTTGTCTGTCCTCTCAATGAATTGAGCCCAGATAAGGCGTCGGGAAGTCGTATCAAGATCCTGGTAGGCAAGCGCGACGTGAATGCGAGACTCGAATGCCGGGTCAATGTTTTCAGCTCGGTTGGTAGTAAGGAACAAGATACCCTGTATACAAAGTCAGTGACTGCTCCGTATCAGAAGGACTAGTTGGAAAGCCTCACCTCATAGTACTCCAACATTCGTAGAAAGATGGATACAAGCTCATTCCTCATCAGATCAGTTGCAGTCCGTGCCTCCATAAATACGTCGGCTTCGTCCAGCAGTAGAACAGCACCCCACTTAGGGATCATACGCAGAATATCCTTGAGACTTCTTTCCACCTTTTCGGCGCTGATTCCCAGGTCACCTGCGCTCATAGCGTAGAGAGGGACCTGCATCACCTCGGCGACACTCTCAGCAGTCAGTGTCTTACCCACACCTGGAGGACCACTGAGTTGCATAATGATCCCTCGTCCTTTGCCCTGGACAATGTCGTCGAAGTTATCCAGCTGCTTAGACTGGGCCTTCGCAAAAGCCAGAATGAGATCCTTGAAATCCTCCTGACCCTTGGGAAGAACCAACGAGTCGAAGGCCTGAGTATTCCACTCGATATCTTTCGCGTTGTCCAGGTAGAACTGCAGCCACTCCTTATCCTTGATTGAGTACCCGTGCACCATAGGGCTCGCAATAACCCACTCGGTCTCGGTCAATTCTTGCGGGCAGTCACTTTCTCCATAGACACGAACAGTCTCGGTAGGATGAAAGACGTTGAAGGCCTCAGTATCAATGATGATACGGCTGTTGACGTGATATTTCATGATCTCGTCGTTGAAGAAACCATTCGCGACACCCTCATAGGCCTTGTATTTGTAACCCTTGTGCGATTCCCAAAGCTTACCCCGTGTGATCAAAGACTCACGAATGGAATCTTTATCATCATGGTATTTCAGTGGAGAGACCGCCAGCGAAGTAATAGGGGAAGTGCCAATAAACGGGAAAATCCTGAAGTCTTCCTCCCTGTAGCCAAATTCCTCGCCGTCGAAGTCCACATACTGGCCAGTGATGATCCACGCCTTTGTACGGCAATCAATGGCATCATCATGGAATTTGAACGCGCGGGTTCGACCACCGGAGATGGTGATAATCTCATTGCCAGGCTCAAAAATCGTCCAGATAAGAGTGTGAGTGATGACGCCGTTGCGAATCATGTCCTTCTTGCGAGCAATGACATCGCGAAGTTCTTCTTCAAGGACCTTATATAAGAGATCCACGTGCTTCTTCGTTGCGGGGTCCTCCTCTTCTTCACGAAATTGGATAAACTGCTCCCAGCGGTGAACCATGGGCTTAAACGGGCTATGGAACTCGAGCCGCTCGAGCGTGGTGGTGACACCGGGGTAGTCTTCCAGCACTTTACCAAGGAACTTCTTCAGCGGTTCGCTCTGAACAATGACCGAGTGAATTGAGAGACTCTTGCGCCCATCGTAGCACTTGGCATTTCGCACAATCAAGGCATATTGCGCAGACTCCTCGTCCTCGGCTGGTGCTACAAGGCTCTCTGGGTAGTCCTTGGTCCATGATGTGTTACCGCTCTCGTCGGGCTTTGTCTGGTAAAGTTTGTGGACGTCACAGATCGAGCCATGAGGCTCGTACTTCTTTTCTTCTTCTTCTTCCTCCTCCTTCTTCTCCTCGTCCGTCTTTTCCTTAGTCTCAGTCGTGTCTCCAGTCTTGTCTTCAGGTTTCACTTCTTATGGTATGTTAGCACGTGTGCTTCCAATGTTATGGATGGGAAAGTTACTTGATGTTTCCTCTCCATTTGTCAAGGTTCCGTTGGTCTCTTTCTTCTCAGCAAACTCCTTTTTGGGCTGTGCATCGGAGACTTCGTGCATCTTCCGTGTTGTGTCCATGCTGTGTGTCTCTGTTCCGTTGGTCGTGGTACCCTTTGTTATAGCGCCGTTTGTAGCGGGGGTCTTAGTACATTCGCATGCAGAAGTTCCGTTCATCGTCTGGACCTTGGTCAAAGTGTGGCCGATTTCTGTTACTTGAAATGTTAGATCCTTCATTGTACCATTTCGCTCAAACCCACCTAAGTCATCGACATTTCCATTGGTCACAGGAGCAACAGTAGTGTCCTGCACCACTGAGTCGTTGGTTTCCTGCGCCATGGTTCGAATCTGATGGATGATAAGGGTGATAGGAAGGATGAATATCTGACAGAAGCGGGGAAATCGGTAAAGGATGAGAAGGAGATGTAAGAGTAAAGAAAAAGTAAACAGAAAGAGAGCGGAAGCGCTGTAACCTAAATACAATCTCCTGCACAGACAACAAGGCAGCCACGTCTGCAATGCTGCCTGTACCACACAGGCTCACTGAGCTGGTGCAAGACTCTTCATAGGTCTATACACTCTTTAGCGGGTCGATCTGCAGCTCTGGCCCCACCAGGTAATCGGCAGAGCCTCGTGAGTCACCCTACTCCGCCTCACGTTGGGATCTCGACCAGTCCGTTTTGAGTTCCCGAAACCTCAATCTGCCTTGTTTTACCCTTGACAATGACATGTCTTTTCTATTGACTCAGTCAAAGGATGCTATGGTGAGCTGTATTGTGGAGACTTCTGTCAAAGTGAGGCTGAGCGGGGAGTATTTGTACTACAGGTCTGCCTTGGAGCCTCATATCATAGTGGAATGATCATATTCAGCAGAAAAGCACAATGGGTTGCTGTTTTCCCCCAGGTACTTGGAAATTATCATTCAATCGTCATTTTCCAGCTGTACGACACCAGAAGTAAAACAAATAATGGTCTATTATGTCCGCTCACTGCCACAAATCACATGCGCCAAACTCTCTAAATCCTCCATAGATGATTCCCGATATGGTTCAAAAACAATGCGCTAATCGCGAACTGCGAATGCGGTCAAGCGAGACTTAATAGTCTCCTCAGAGTCCTGGGTGTCCAATTCCCGCAGGACACCGGAGGCAACGTCGTAAATCAGTCCATGGACCTGGAGTCCACGTTCCTGGATCGCGTTAAGGACTGCACCCTTCTGCTTAACGACATCCAAACCCTCGCGCACATTGAGCTCAACAAGCTTGAGCGCTGCCTCCTCCTCCGATAGGCTCTGCAGCAGAGCAAGATTGCGCTCCCGCACTAAACGCAGGGGCAGCAGCCAGGGGTCCAAAATTCCGAGTTGCTTGTTACCCATGGCGGCAGCGACGCCACCACAAAAGGTGTGGCCGCAAACCACGACGTGGTTGACGCGCAGGTGCTGCACGGCGTACTCGATGACAGCGCCAGAGCTTAGGTCACCGGGGTGCATAATGTTGGCGATATTGCGGTGGACGAAGACATCGCCGGGCTTCAGGCCTAGCAAAGTGGTCTCCGGGCAGCGAGAGTCAGAGCATCCTAACCACAGGATCTGGGGCTGTTGGCCGGTCGCGAGGGTAGGGAAAAGATCGGGGTGTTCGCGGGCAGTCTGGGCGGCCCATTCTTTGTTCTGTCGCAAAGCGGACGAGTACCGATCTGAGTTGGGGGTGTTAGATTGATCGGCGTTTTCGCTAGCGGGGCTGGAGGGGTTGTTTTTTGCGCAGAAGGCAGGAGCGGAGGTCGAGAAGGGAGAGCAACGGGATGAAAGATGCGCATGCAAACGATGGACATGAGATGAAACAGAGGAAAGAGAGGAATCTGATGGCTGGAGGCCTGCTCTGCTGTACGCCGCCTCCACGGTGCGCGCAACTGCGCTAGGTCGCATGGCCAATCGTGCGACGTTCATAACGAACGGTGGGGGGAACAGGTGTTCGGGAAGGAGCCAATTACGGAAGCAAAGAATGCAGCCTCGGCCTTCAAGAATATACAGAGAATGGACACCACTGACCGTCGACTCCAGGAATCGACTGGTTCGGTGTGCGCCGTGCGTATCCGGTGTTCCGCGGGGGGTAAAACAAGGTGTTGGGGAAAGAAAAAAAACAATTGGGATGGAGAGAACCCGCTACGAAGTTAAAATTCAACGCCGATCCACGTACCTTCTTCAGACATGACGTTAGACATGACTCAAAACTGAGGGTCGACGACTGAAAGAAAATGCCAAGGGCAAAATAGAGGAGCAAGTACTAGTTTAAAAGCCAGGTACGAAAAAGGGGTTAAAGTCTTCGCTGAAGTGGGCGAACGTGTGGGCGAACCTTTCCGAGAAGGCACGGCGAGATCGGCACAATCGGTGAAGCATCTAGTTGTTGGGAAAACTTATGATTTCATTAATGACTCGAATCTTTTCATTTCTCATATCTACAAAATAGTAATCAAGTCAAGTGCGCAAGAAACGCGGCATAGAATTCAAAACGCATATATAGACAGCTTTTAAGCCGCACCACCGCGACCACCAACACTCAACAAAGTCTTCTTCTGCTCCTCGGTAATACGGGCAAGCGGAAGCGGACGGGCCCCAGCGATGGTCGGAGCGGGAAGGAATCCAGTTTGCACCAGATAAGAGGCGTACAGACCAACCAACTCTTCGGTCACGCCAGCACCAGCAGACACATCAACCCCTGACCACGGGGCGTCCGCCTTGAGAGCCGCGGCGGCATTGGTGTCTGATAGCTCCGGAGCCTTGGTGTTGGAAGGAAGGTCCGAAGTGACAAAGTGGTAGAGTGGCATGCTGTTCAGGGAGTTAGTACTGGCTAGTAGAAGGAACAGTATGCAAACTTACAGAGCATGCTGAGAGTCCTTGTCGTCGTGCTGACCATCGTTGACATACTGCTCCAGGGCCATAGACCAAGGAACGTAGTCAATCTGCGGGACGTTGTAACCATAGAGTTCGAGAGCACCAAGGAACTGCGTAGGATATGTGGTTAGATGCTAGCCTTTTTTCAAGACGTAATAGGTTTTCTTACCTGGTTGAAACGCAGACGAGGGTGTCCAGTGACGTGGGCAACACCGACAGGGGTGCGAGGAGGGTGGAAGGCAGTAGCAATGATAATGCGAGCCACGTGGTCCACCGGAACCATGTTGACGGTGTTGTTGATGTTGGGTCGGGCAGACAATTGGATGCAACCCTTCATCATACGGATCAGGAAGTCATCAGTGTTGGTGGTACCGGTGGTGGAGTCACCCAGCACGTATCCAGATCGAATGATCGTTCCCTTCAGTCCACGGCGACCAGCCTCACGGACGAGGTACTCACCGGCCCACTTACTTTGGCCATAACCGGTGCCGAGACCAACGGCACTGCCCTCCATATCATCTTCCTCGCTGACACCATCACCGCCAGCCGCAAGGCTACGCTCGGATTCCTCGACGTAGTAGTCCTTATCAAGGGCACTAGTGGAGCTGACAAAGGCAAATTGCTTAGCCTTGCCGGTAGCACAAAGCTTAAGGGCATCGATGGTACCCATTACATTGGCGGGCTTGAGAGTCGCGTAGGGGTAGACCCAGTGGACAAGGGCACCATTGTGGATCACAGCATCGACACGGTTGGTAAGATCATCCCACAAAGACTGCGACAGACCGAATTGCGGGTTGCCGAGGTCACCACAGATGGCTTGAAGTCTGTTGTCATTGGCCCAGGATTCATCCCAGAAGCCATAAGCACCGCAGGTTGACCGGAGTCGCTCCAAAGCCTGCTCCTCACTCTTGGCACGGACCAAAGCAACAACCTTGGTAGAGGGAGACTTACGGGTGAGCAAATCACGGAGAATATGGGCACCCAGGAAACCAGTGGCTCCGGTAAGGAAGACGGTAGGCTCGCTGTCAAGCATTGGCTCGGTCCGCACGGGGAATGTCGCGGGGAGCTCGCTAGCCAACTTCCGAGCATCCTTAGAGTATTCATCGTCGGGCTCATTGTGAGCTTGTGCGGCACCCTTATCAGGGTCGTCGCTAGTTGCAAAGGACTCTCGGTCAAGCAGACGATCAATCTCACCGGCAAAGCCCTTCAATGTAGGGCTGCGGAAAATAGAGTTCATGCTAATGTCAATACCACGCCACTTGCGTCGCAAATCGAAGAACATCTGTTGCGCGAGAATACTGTGACCACCAAGATCGAAGAATGAGTCGTCGGTGCTAATCATACGGGCGGTCACGTTGGGAATGAGCTTGGCCCAAATCTGAGCAAGGGCCTGCTCAGTCTCGGACAGTGCTTGAACAGCAGATGAGCGGCGACGAGGGGCGGCGGCACTAAGCTCCGCGGTGTCAGGGAAGGGCAGAGCCGGCTTGTCGATCTTGCCGTTGGGGTTGAGCGGCATACGCTTGAGAGGAATGATAACAGTAGGCACGGCGTACGAGGGGAGCTTGCTGCGGAGATGGTCACGAGCATCATCACGCAGAGGGCGGAAGCGTCGCAGCATACCCACCATACCATCAGCAGAGTCATCCTCTTGAATGCCTTTGCTCTCCAGCCACTGAGCCCACTTGCTCATATCAGGAACGAAGTAGCTGACCAAAGTGGGCTCCTCGAACTTGTCACGTCGGACCAGTGTGACGTTCTCACGGACAAGGGGATGACGAGATAGGTGAGTATCAATTTCACCCAGCTCGATACGGAAGCCACGGATCTTCACCTGGTCATCAGCACGACCCGAGCACTCGACATCTCCGGTCGGAGTGTATCGTCCAAGGTCACCACTGCGGTAAAGGCGATCTCTCGGGCCAACATAGAACTCCCGCCACGGCTCCTTGCTGTCTTGTGACTGAGCCTTATCTTTCTCCGTCCAAACCTCAGGCTTCACAAACCAGTTGGTCAAGAATTTCTTGGTGTTAAGATCGGGGGAGCCCAGGTAGCCTTCAGCGAGACCAGCAGCACGCACGTAGATCTCACCAACTTCACCGATGGCGCAAATACGAGTAGGGTCAAAGCGGTTAACAACAAGCATCTGAACATCCAGCATACCACCTGCATGACAATGTTAGCGCTCGTCATGGTGAGTGTGGAGAAGGGTTTCTTACGGCCAGCGGGAATGACATCCTTCATAGTGTCAAGGTAACCCTCCTGGCTTGAGTAACTTGGGATTTCAAAGTAACTCACAGCCCGCTGAGTCTCTGTAGTGCCGTACATGTTAGTAATGAAGCAGTTTGGAGCCAAACCCTGGAGTGAACGGCAGTCACGCTTGATCAGAACATCGCCGACAAAGAAGGCATGGTGAAGGGCTGGGAACTGCGCCGAGGCACCACCGACAAGAATTTGACCCATAGCTGGAGTCAAGTGAGTGACAGTGGCACCATACTGCTGCATCCACTCCGCAAGCTTCTCGTTTTGGATATCCTCCCTGGCTGGGACCAATAGCTCAGCACCCAGGAACAAGGGGGTGAAGATATCTCTCTGGATGGGGTCGTGCGCAATACCACTCAGCATAGTAAATTTATCATTGGGGGTAAGCTTGAAGGTTTCGGACATCCAGGGGAAGTAATAGGCAAGAGAGAAGTGGCGTCCACGGACACCCTTGGGGCGACCCTCTGAGCCAGATGTGAAAGATAGTGTTGGGGTCGAATCGGGACCGACCACAACACCAACGCTGCTAGACTTCAGCGCAACCTGGTTCGCGAAGATATCCTGACCATTAACGGTACCACCAATAAGGGTTCCGTCATCCTGAAGGGCCAGGGCAGGCACCTCTGTGCGGAGCTCGAGGTTCTCGGCGATGAATGAGCGGACAATATCTGAGAGCTCACCAGCATCCCGAGAGGCCTTGGCAATGCTGACTAGTGCACGGGGACGAGCAACATCCAAGTAAATATTCTGACGCTCCGGGGGGTATGCGGGATCGATAACGGAGAATGTAGCACCGGCCTTCAAGACACCCATGACAGCAACGACCAAATCGACGCCGCGATAGGCATACACCATAACGACCTCACCGCGCTGAATCCCAGATTGCACAAGGTGGTGTCCGAGGATGTTGGAAGCCTCGTTAATTTGCTTATAGGTGAACTCTCGGTGGGGAGAGTTGCTTGACTTGGTCTCCACCACACAGATCTTCTCGGGGTGCTTCTCAGCATTGGCAGAAAAGATATCGTGAATAGCACCGCGGAACTTGGACCAGTTCAGGTCCTTGGTCGGGTCTGGCAGAAGAGAGCGCTGATCCTCGGTCATCATATCCACCCGGCCAATGGCCTCCTCCGGGTTCGCTGCCGCATTGATGGTAATCTGAGCAAGTTGCTTGAGAATAGTACCAATGCGTGCACTCGAAAAGAGACGCTGGTTGTAGTAGGCACCCAGCTCAACCTCTGAGCTTCCCGGTGCAACGTTAATCACCAAGTCAGTGCTATCAAAAGTGTTGGCAGGGTACTCCTGCGAGGCGGCAGGGGCATCGTAGGCCGCGAATCGGAAAAGGATGGGAGGTTGTTCGGACTTGGCCTTGTCCTGGATGTAGGAGCGAAGGCTACCGAGGGGTACGATATCGGAGGCACCTTCTTGGAAGGCCTTGAGGGCATGGTCAGTATGACTCCAGCAGGAATTTCGAAATACACCATCTTACCTTGTCCACCTTAGCATACAGCTGAGTGAAAGTCTCTGAAGCACTAATGGGGACCCGGAGAACGAACGGGCGGCCGTCGTCACCGACGCTGGTGCCCACAGCAATGTCCTCGTCACCAGTCAAACGAGCAACCAGGACCACAAAGGCAGTCAAGAAGACCGTGAAATCCGAAGAAGAAGATCCCGAGAGCTTCTTAACAGCTAATTGAGTGTCTTTCGGGAGCTTGACAGACTCGAAAGCCTCAATAGTGCGTTTGCCATCTTGCTTTTGGGTGTCGGGATAGTCCCGAGTCAATGGCGAAACAGTCAAGTTATTTAAGCGCTGTGACCACCTTTCCAGGCGATCTTGCAACGAAGCCGTTCCCACAGCCATGTTTGTAACAACGACAATGCTTCGTACAAGTTTGCGGGAAACTTGTAAAAAGCACAATGAGTCAACTATCCCCACGGAGGGGCAACGAAAAGTCCGATTTCGCCATGATTAGCGGCTCATTATTGGTTGGATTGCTTTCCCCACAACAAATTGTGTATCCCCACCGCCTTTGCTCTCGCATGTCATCGATCATGATTCATGATGGCGAGGTTTCGAAAGATTGAGGGTGACTACACATAAAAGGTTTACTCAGATATGACATGCAAGGATGCTAATATCCTCAATCAAAGTCCCAATTATCATATACATTCATCAAGGATGAATAGAGGCTGTAGACGGGTCCAGAAGACGTAAGTTGATAAGTCAGTGCCACAGTATATGAGTAAGCAAAAATAAGGGCCCTTGAATGCCTGAGGCGGGTAAAGGTGGTCCGTCCAAGCCTTGGTCTCGCGCTCAGGGGATATTTGTACCGTCTGACATCATTGAATCAAGGGCGCGCAGTTCCAGGCGCATAGGATACTTCAAATTGATGGATTAATTTGTTCCATTCCGACATATTCGCCAACTATTTGTCAACGGACCGAGTCGCCGCATCCGGTTCTTCGCGACCTATCTCCAAACAGTATCACGGGCACGGTTTCACGACTTGAGCCCGTGTTACTTTTTCCCTTTCTTTTTGATACTATCTTTGTACCCAACAGACCTTTGTGAAGGTCTGCTGGTGGATCGGATGTGCAAAAGATGATTCCGCATCGCAGCACGGGTCTTTTGGCTATTATTGTTTTTGTTGCCCTTCTCTTATTCATCTTCTCGTCCTCCCCCATCCCCAATCCCACCGTCGAGGGAGAAGCAGTTTCAGGTCCTGCCAAATTTTTGCCTCAGCCTCATCTGCCTTCCTTGAGTGATCTTAAACTTCCGACATTCCGGGCCCCTTCACACGAACCGCCGCCGGAAGAAAACAACAGCACCAGCGGCGAGTCCAAATGGTTCAGCAACTGGGAATGGCTGAACCCATTCTCCTCCGCCATCACCCTGGATGAAGACCGTTCTGTTCTTCCTCCCCTACACGAGCGCCGCCCGATATACACATACTATAATCCCAAATACAACCCCAAGAAACATTCCAGCAACGAACAAAAGGAGGACCAGAATGCTGATGCGGAGCTCCTTCTGGCCTGGCGCCGAGCTTGGTTTGCTCAGGGATTCCGTCCAATTGTCTTGACACCGGGGGATGCTATGAAGAATCCACACTACGAATTAGTGCAGAAACTCACTATTTCACCCGAGTTGGAGAATGAGGTCTTCCGCTGGTTGGCATGGGGGCATATGGGATCCGGCTTGCTCGCCGATTTTGAGTGCTTCCCAATGGGACGATACGATGACGATCTGTTGAAGGCTCTACGACAGGGCACAGAGCCTGACTTTATAATCCGGTTCGATAACTTCCAAGGCGGTCTCTATTCGGCAGAGAAACACCGCATCGATGAGGCAATCGATGGTGCTGTAAAGAAAATGGACGAAAAATCTACATCGTTTGGGGAGCTTATCAACCCTGAGCTTTTCAAGGTGATGGCCCCCAGTAGCCTTGCTTATTACAAGCATGCGACCATCAGCTCCCATTACCCGACATTGCAAGAAAAGATGAGCCATAGCCCGTCCAATGGACGAATGCTTATGGCTCAGCTTATCAATTCCCACCTTCACAATACTTTTCAGAATTCGTTCCCAGCTGGCTTGGCCGTGCTGAAGCCGTTCCCTCAGCACACGACTGCGCTGGTGGAACCCGCATTACGATTGGCGAAGGCACTCATCCAGTGCCCAGAATCTCCTGTCCCAGACTCCTGCCCACCCAACCTCCCTGACTGCCGTCCCTGTGGCTCTTCGAAGCAGCCCATGCTCATTAGCCAACCCTCTACTTATAAAAAGACCAGTTTCCTTTTCACCATTGGCACACTTCCACACCCATACACCCTTGTCAGCCTGCAGAAGAGTTCTGACGAGGTCACCACGCGTCAAATTCGTCGGGAAACCGAGCGGGATGCGTGGTTAACTGACGTGACCAAGGAAGACCTTGGTCCAGAAATGGGCAGCTCTTGGAGGGGCATGGCATTCAAGCAGGTTGTCGCTGGCGACCAGGCCATTGCCACGTCCCTATGGATGACTGTCGAGTCTCTGCCTGCGGAAGCTGGCCAGACCCTGCCTTCCGAACTCCTGGATGAGTTTGAATGGCAGTTTGGATTCAAGATCCCTCGCGCCGGCACCATCGATCCGAACGCAGCGCATGACAAGGAAAGCGTGCAGAGCAAAAATCCCAGCCAGCAAGGCGTGGCCAGGGAATATGAGCTCCTCCAAAAGGCTCGCAATGTCATCAACAGTGAACAGCCTGACAGTCTGAGTAAGAAGAATGTCGCTGAAGCCTGGAATTTGGCCGATACCGAGGTTTGGCGATTCGTGAAGGCCTACCGGTAAGTTGACCTCTATTACATCCGTATATACCTAGGCTAATTCATACTTCCAGGGCTCGGTCTGTCGTTGAGCGCAAGAGATGGGAAGAAGAAGAGAGGGGATTTGCAGGCTCCAAAGCATGAGCCCGATTAACTTTGCTGTCCTCATTCTGTCCAGGGCTTTCTCTTTCTCTTGCTCTTTTTCTTGTCGTTTTCTTCCTTACTTTCTACTTTACCCTTTTTTCCCATTCCGGTATGGCTGTGGTTTTCAAGGTTGTGGCATATGTATTTTTTTGTGTGATGTAGTCCAGCATTTCCGGCGTCCTGAATTTTTTTCTATAGAATCAAGGTTGATGCCAAGTTGGTTAGTAATGCACCGGGTTCTGATAGGCGTCCGTCCATATCGGACTGTGGCGATCCCCGCATGACACTCTACTGGGTTCCACGGTGGAGCTCGGGTGGGGTTCCCTATCGGGTGAAGATAACTCATCTCGCCCGCACTATTTGCCCCTCTCACTGGATATATGATTTACCTTCATTGCCATCATTAGGAAGGTCTTTGCGGATCCTCAGATATATAGAGCATATGCATGAACATTTGAAGCCGTGACTTACTTTTGTCTTATTCTGCTCCTTCTCCCCTTGATTTGTCGCAATGGCGCCAGGCATCTTGGAGGCAGATACTGAGGTTGCTGTCGAGAAGGTGACCTCGCTGGCACAGCTTACCGACGACTGGGATGATACAATCCGGTTTTATCTTAACGGCACTAAGGTCGCCGTCGACGACGTTAACCCTGAAGTGACGCTGCTGGAATACCTGAGAGGTATCGGTTTGACCGGAACGAAACTTGGTTGTGCCGAGGGAGGCTGTGGCGCTTGCACAGTGGTATGTTTCTCGATATATGATCATGATTATGTATAACTTGCTAAGAACACATGACTGGTTTTCAGGTGGTCTCGCATATCAACCCTACCACAAAGAAAATATATCACGCCTCCGTCAACGCTTGTCTTGCCCCTCTGGTCAGCATCGATGGAAAACACGTCATTACTATTGAAGGAATTGGAAATGTGGACAATCCCCATGCGGTCCAGCAACGGATAGCCGTTGCAAATGGCAGTCAATGTGGGTTTTGTACTCCGGGAATTATAATGGTACGTTATTAGTGGCCTCCTACCGCAATGTCTTAACCAAAGACCACGTTACTAACAACACGCAGAGTCTGTATGCCTTGCTCCGTAACGATCCTACTCCTGATGAACATGCGGTCGAAGAGGCTTTTGATGGAAACCTGTGCCGCTGTACCGGTTACAGACCCATCCTTGACGCCGCGCAGAGTTTTAACTCTCGCAACAACTGTGGTAAAGCGAGTGCCAATGGAGGTTCTGGTTGCTGCATGGAAAAGGGCGCTGGTGGCTGTTGTAAGGGGTCAACTTCAACCACTGACGAGGAAAAGCCGGAGCCAAAATTCCCGGCTCCAGACTTCAAGGCTTACAGCCCGGATACAGAGCTGATCTTCCCATCGGCGCTGAGAAAACACGAATTTCGACCCTTGGTATATGGAAACAAGAGGAAGAAGTGGTACCGACCAGTAACAGTCGAGCAGCTGTTGCAAATCAAAAGTATCCACCCGGATTCCAAATTGATTGGTGGAAGCACAGAAACTCAGATCGAGATCAAGTTCAAGGCCATGAATTACGCCGCGTCAGTTTATCTGGGTGATATTCCCGAGCTGAAGCAGTATTCTTTCCACGATGATTACCTTGAAATTGGTGCCAATATCTCATTGACAGACCTAGAGTCTGTCTGCGAAGAGGCAATCAAACGTTATGGAGCTGTTCGAGCCCAGCCTTTCAAGGCGATCAAGAAACAACTACACTATTTTGCTGGGCGGCAAATCCGGAATGTCGCGTCCCCGGCTGGAAATCTGGCAACCGCATCCCCCATCGCAGACTTGAATCCGTGCCTCGTCGCCACAAACACCACTCTTGTTGCCAAATCACTTTCGGGAGAGCAAGAAATCCCTATGACAGAATTCTTCGTGGGCTATCGTAAAACAGCTCTACCCCAAGACGCTATCATTTCCAGCCTTCGAATTCCTGTTGCCACCGAGAAAGGTGAACATTTCCGCGCTTACAAGCAAGCGAAGCGCAAGGATGATGATATTGCTATTGTCACATCTGCACAGCGAGTTTCGTTATCTGAAACCAACGATGTGATCAGTTGCAACCTTGTCTTCGGTGGCATGGCGCCGTTAACAGTGTCTGCAAAGAATGCCGAGGCTGCGTTGATTGGCAAGAAATTCACCGATCCTGCAACACTGGAAGCTGTGATGAGTGCCTTGGAAATTGACTTTAATCTTCCCTTTGGAGTCCCTGGTGGTATGGCGACTTACCGAAAATCACTAGCAATGGGCTTTTTCTATCGATTCTACCATGATATCCTGTCCGGCCTCGAAGTGAAGTCTTCCGATCTTGACCCTGATGTGGTGGCTGAGATTGAAAGAGCCATCTCTACAGGAGAGAAAGATCACGAGGCGTCTGTGAAGTACCAGCAAACTATTCTTGGCAAGGCAACTCCGCATGTTTCGGCACTCAAACAGGCTACTGGCGAGGCGCAGTACACCGATGATATTCCAGTACAGCAGAATGAACTGTTTGGCTGTATGGTCTTATCTACCAAGGCCCATGCTAAAATCATTAGTGTGGACTACGCGGCAGCACTGGACATCCCGGGTGTCGTTGATTATGTCGATCACCGAGACTTACCGAATCCTGAAGCTAACTGGTGGGGTGCGCCTGTTTCTGATGAGCAGTTCTTTGCCGTTGACAAAGTAAATACGGCTGGTCAGCCAATCGGTGTCATTTTGGCCACGAGTGCCAAGATTGCGGAGGCTGGTATGCGGGCTGTCAAGGTGGAGTATGAGGACTTACCTGTCATCCTTACTATCGAAGAGGCAATTGAGGCGGAGTCTTTCTTTGGCCATTACCGCTACATCAAGTGTGGTGATACAGAAGAGGCTTTCAAGCAGGCCGATCATGTCTTCGAAGGTGTTTCGCGAATGGGTGGCCAGGAGCACTTTTATCTTGAAACCCAGGCATGTCTCTGTGTTTGGAAGCCAGAGGATGGTGAAATGGAAGTTTGGAGTGGTACACAGAACCCAACAGAGACGTAAGTTGCTGAAACAAAATTTGGTTGATCTATGATGATACTAATTGCCATGGCAGGCAAACATACATCGCCCAGGTGACTGGTGTGGCTGCGAACAAGATTGTCTCCCGTGTCAAGCGCCTTGGAGGTGGCTTTGGTGGCAAAGAAACGCGATCCATCCAGCTAGCTGGAATTTGTGCCACTGCAGCCGCAAAGCTGAAGCGACCGGTACGCTGTATGCTTAATCGAGACGAAGATATCCTAACTTCTGGCCAACGTCACCCATTCATGTGCAAGTGGAAGGTGGGAGTCACGAAAGAGGGAAAGCTCTTGGCTCTTGATGCAGACGTTTACGCCAATGGTGGTCATACACAGGATCTTTCTGGCGCTGTTGTTGAACGAAGTCTATCACATATTGACGGCGTGTACAAGATCCCCAACGTCAACGTGCGAGGTCGGATTTGTAAAACAAACACTGTCTCGAACACTGCGTTCCGCGGCTTTGGTGGCCCACAGGGTCTTTTCTTCGCCGAAAGCTATATTTCAGAGATTGCAGACCATCTGAACATCCCTGCAGAGGATCTTCGAGCTCTCAACATGTATCAACCTGATGAAACCACTCATTTCCACCAACCACTCAAGGATTGGCATATTCCGTTGATGTATAACCAGGTCCTGGAAGAGAGCAACTACAACGAGCGACGGAAGGCAGTCACAAAATACAACAAAGAGCACAAGTGGTCCAAGCGTGGAATGGCTATTGTACCAACAAAGTTTGGTATCTCCTTTACAGCCCTGTTCTTGAACCAGGCGGGTGCCTTGGTACACATTTATCACGATGGTAGTGTTCTTGTGGCCCACGGTGGTGTTGAAATGGGACAAGGCCTTCACACGAAGATGGTCATGATTGCTGCCGAGGCTCTCAAAGTGCCACAGGACAGCGTCTTCATCTCTGAGACAGCTACAAATACCGTTCCCAACACATCATCGACCGCCGCGTCGGCTAGTTCCGATCTTAACGGCTACGCCATCTTCAATGCTTGCGAGCAACTCAACGAACGGCTTAAGCCTTACCGTGAGAAGATGCCAAATGCGACAATGAAGGAACTTGCGCACACAGCATACTTTGACCGTGTCAATCTCTCCGCGCAAGGATACTACCGAACTCCTGACATTGGCTACGTATGGGGTGAGAACTCCGGTCAAATGTTCTTCTACTTCACCCAAGGTGTCACCGCTGCCGAAGTCCAGATTGACACCTTGACGGGTGATTGGACACCTCTACGCGCTGACATCAAAATGGACGTCGGCCGTACAATCAACCCGTCCATCGACTATGGTCAGATCGAAGGTGCCTATGTCCAAGGCCAGGGTCTCTTCACCACAGAAGAAAGTCTTTGGCACCGCGCATCAGGACAGATCTTTACCCGTGGACCTGGTAATTACAAGATCCCCGGTTTCCGTGATATACCTCAAATCTTCAATGTCAGCCTGCTCAAGGATGTCGAGTGGGAAAACTTGCGCACGATCCAGCGCTCGCGTGGTATTGGCGAACCGCCCCTTTTCATGGGAAGTGCTGTGTTCTTCGCTATCCGTGACGCGTTGAAGGCCGCTCGGGAACAGTGGGGTGTCAAGGAAGTACTGAGCTTGCGGAGCCCTGCTACGCCCGAGCGTATTCGGGTCAGCTGTGCGGACCCCATCATTGAGCGCGCCCGAGTTCAGCCAAAGGAGGGCGAGCAGAGCTTCTTTGTTGCTATCTAGTAAGATCATTATGTTCGGAATGTACGACATTACCTATACCAACATAGCTTGAGTCATGGACTTGGAAGAGAATGGACAGATTGCATTTGTAGTTTTCCCGCGGCCAATTGTTCTTGTTTTCCGTTTGAAGTTCTGTCGCGATGTAGGGGGAAAAACGTAAAAAAGAACAGATCACCATTTTATTCCCGTAGAATACTAACTGTCTACAGAATCTTGCAAGACCAATAAAACGAGCGGATTGTGTAAATCCACGCAAGCCCGTTGAATAGCGTGCCGATGTTGAGTTTCCCGAGCCCGTCGGCAAACCCGAGACCCAAAAATGCGCCGGGTTCGGACAAGTGACGATCGTAACACGCTCCGCAGCCCAGTAACAAGCGGCAGAAAATATGAAGGCTCCACATCGTGCCCCGGAGCGCATTCAGAATTTTCTCTTGGCTTGACTGGGGTAAAATTAATTCTCTTGGATAGAATTATTCTCTAACGGATGCTGGCATAGTTCTTGTCAATTGCTGAGGGGTTTGCTGAGTTTTGGGCTTCTATTCTCGCGGAATTCGATCTATAGAGAACTTCTATATCCGGAGAAGGGCCGCTGTACGGAAAAACTCAGATCTTCAATTTTGCCCGTCATGACTCATGAGGAGCGTTACGATGTCGAGGGGAAGAGAGTGATTGAGGGACCTTTCCCTGATGAGGAGGAGAAGCCCTTTGATGCAAAGGACTTGGAACCCTTTGGCAATGAGGAGAATGCTGAGGTTCAGTATCGGACTATGAAGTGGTGGCACTGTGGCATGCGTGAGTTCACCTCCAATTGTTGTGGATATCAATGATATCTCAAATATCTACGTGTTCTGACCAGTGCTCTAGTCATGATTGCTGAGAATGTCTCTGTGGGTATTCTTTCGCTGCCTTCTGCTGTGGCCACGCTCGGAATGGGCCCGTATGTTTTTTGACTCATCTTTTATATAGAGGATGCATGGGCTAATATGTATGCAGTGCTGCTGTCATGATTGTCTTCATCTCTGCTCTGTCTTGGTACACAGGTTATGAGATTGGACAGTTCAAGCTTCGTCACCCTCACATTCACAGTATGGGTGATGCCGGCGAGCTCTTGATGGGCCGCTTTGGACGTGAATTGCTCGGAATCGGCCAGCTGCTGCTGCTGATTTTCCTCATGGCGAGCAACATTCTCACTTTTAATATCTTGATGAACGTGCTCACCAACCACGGCACTTGCACCCTGGTCTTTGGTGTCGTCGGTCTGATCATCTGTTTCCTTGGCGCCTTGCCCCGTACCATGGACAAGGTCTATATGATGTCCGTTGTTTGTATGTTCAAATTCCTAGAGCACTAATGGCGCTCCGTCATCTGGTCAATCCAAAAATGTCCTTGAACTAACCCCTTCACAGCTTTTGCGAGTGTCTTTATTGCCGTCATGGTGACCATGATCGCCGCCGGTGTTGAGAGCAAGGGTCATATTCCGATCCAATCCACTACTGATGTTGGATTCAAGGAGGGCTTCTTGGCCGTGACCAACATTATTTTCGCCTACCGTGCGTTGAAACTCCTAAATCTGTGGCAATTCGCTGACAATCCATCTAGTTGCCCACGTTGCATACTTCGGTTTCATGTCTGAGACCGAGGATCCGCGCACTTTCTACAAGTCTCTTGCCATGCTTCAGATTATCGACACTGTTCTTTACCTGATCAGTGCTCTCATCATCTATCGCTATGTCGGTCCCAACGTTCAGTCGCCTGCTATTTTGTCCCTGAGTCCCGTGATGAGCAAGATTGCTTGGGGTCTTGCTATCCCTACTGTGAGTTTGATTATATTCCTACACCATCTTCATCTCATGCTAATAAAATGAAGGTCATCCTCTCCGGTGTCGTCTTGGGCCACGTCGCCTGCAAGTACATCTATGTGCGCATGTTCCGTGGTTCCGACAAGATGCACAGCCGTAGCTTCCTCTCCGTTGGAACCTGGGTTGCTATCTGCATCGGCGTTTGGGTTGTCTCTTGGGTTGTCGCGGAATCGATTCCCGTGTTCAACGACCTGTTGAGTCTTATCGTATGTATTTCGAAGTCTCACCTCACATGAGTCCTGTTGCTAACCAAAAACTCTACCTATACAGAGTGCTCTTTTCGGAAGTTGGTTCAGCTGTACGTGTTCACAATTCAATCTCCCTTTCCTGCTACTTCAAATGCTAACGTCCTGGATAGTCGGTCTCCCTGCTGTTTTCTGGTTCCACATGAACAAGGGCCAGTACTTCAAGAACTGGAAGAAGACATGCCTGACTATCATCAATGTCGGCGTCTTCGGTTGTGCCTTGGCTATTGTAAGTTCATTTCCCCATATTTAATACAAGGGATCAGCTACTAACTGATCATTCAGTGTGGCCTGGGTCTTTGGGTGTCTGGCGTCACGATTCACAACGATTCAAGCTCCCAGAGCTGGTCTTGTGCTAACGACGTGTAAGCTCCTAGACTACCTATCTTTTTATGATAGGATGTAAAAAAGTTTGGCATATCCTTTTGGCTTTACGCATAGATGACGGATGTATATAGCGACTTTGAAATGCATTACCACCACGATGATGATCTTTAAGATCATTAGTTAATCAGATACATATTGGAACAGATGAATCAAGAAATCATATTGTAGTTTTGATTGGAGTAAAGACTGATCGCTAATATCTAAAATTTTGGGAAACAAAGGAAAAGAGAGAAGAATAGCAGAAAACTCCTGTGAATGTAAATATACTCCAAGGCTATGCAATAGTCATCCCTCACACCTAACCCTTCACGTCATATTCCACGCAATTACTCTTTCGCACACTAGCGGAGGTGTCAACCTGCAAAGTCCTCTGGCCCGCGAATCCAAGTTTCTCATCAGGATACGCGTTAACATCATGAAACGGGTCATTTTGTGCAGGCACAGCCCTCGCCGCACTAGCTTCATACATCGGAGCCGGAGGCGCGCCACCCGAAGCAGCCTTTGGTATAGCTGTCAGGGGCACATCAGTGAACCCGCGAGAATCAAGCGGTGGCGGGGGGTTATTAGGCACGGGGTCCATAGCATGACCACCCCCATCGCCGCGATTCCGATCACGGCCCCACCACAGGAACATTGCACGAAGGACGCCCATCATAACGATAACTACCCAAACGAGGAAGATGCCCGTTGCGATGATTGTCTCCTGGCGGAGAGCCTCTTTGAGCGCGTGGATAGCTTCGTCAACGACCTCAGTGATCTTGTTGGATGTTTCATCGCCTGCATCAGAGAGGAAGCTGTCGTCGGAAGAGTCGTTCGCGATACTCTCGTTTGCGCCCTTCGAGAAGACATCGTCTGAGAAGAGAGGAAAGTTGACGTGAGCATTGTCCGAGACCCAGGTTAGGCCCTTCTCGAAGCTGGCAATTTTGAGGCCAATCAGACAGTTGAAAACTTCTTGGATTGGATCTTGGAGTATTGTGTCTCCGAATGTATCGTTGAGGACGACGGTGACTTTGTCAACGAAGTCGTTGAGGGTAGTGTTGACTGCGGTAGTGGTCGTGTTTACCCATCCCAGAACATTGTTATTGATTTCGTTGTCGAAGTTGGTAATGTATCCGTTCGCATCATCCGCCCACTCTGTTGAGGCGTTTTGCAAGGCTGAGACTACTTTCTCGGCATACTCACCAACTTCGGCACTGAGCGCTGGGATTTCTTTTGAGATTTCGTGGAGGATAATCCATTGGAACAGGCATGCCAGTAGGGAGGCAATTGCAAGGGCGAGAACAAAGAGTGCTGGTAGTGAGGTTGCATATGCAACAGCCCACCGGACGATGATTTGTCGCCGGCTGTTGCTGAATCGACTTGCGGCCTTGATACCGGCGGCGGCGGTGTATGGCCGAGAGACAATGTAAACAACGTCCATGGGGTCATGGGCTTCTTTCCGGACAAGTTGTGCACGTTCCTTCATTTGACGCCAGCGTCGGATTTCTTGGTATGCCGAAGGAATGCAAGCCAAGACAGCCGCGACGATACAGACGATAATGAAGATCTTGCGGGCGGTAATGGCAACATCGGTCACTCCGTCAAAGAAGCTGTTGATTCCATCGTTGTCGTTGCAAAACGTCAGTGACTTCTTGGCGGGGACAGTGAGTACGGAGCTGTCGAAAGTGTAGCTGCCCAAGGTGAGGTTTAGTTGTTGCTTGACATACTCGAAAGGCTCCTTGATCAAATTCTCGGTAAAGTTTTCAACGGTAGTAAAGCTGGGGATCGAGTTATTGAGCTTGCTAATGCTCGTGTCGACGGATGAAGGAATGGACCAATCGTTCAACTCGGCGAGAGAACTGTTGAGATTGAGGGTTGGGATAGAAGCGCCTAGATCATTGATCAATGATGTCACGTCGTTGAGAGCTTTCTCAAATGTCTCAACGACGCCTGTGATATCAGACTCCACGGCCTTGATAGTTTTGTTCACTCCATCAATAACATCCTCGATCAGCACCGTTGCTGCCTCGACCACACCTCGTACAGCCAGGGTGATCAGACAGAGGTAGGTTTGGTACATCATCTTGAGGACGAAAATGATGATTTCTTCAGCGGCGGTGATGACGAGATCTAACATGCTATTCAAGCCGCTGACTGCGTCAGTAACGCCAGCGGCTACCATCTCATTAACTCCCCCTGCGAGGTAATGGGGCATCGACGCCATAGCACTGCCCATGGACTCAACCGAGGTGCATGCAGAGAGCGCTTCGCGTTTGGCACTGGCCATGTCGCTCCGTATGTTACCGATGGCTAAAAGAAGTCGAACAAGTACAAGCAGAATCAAAATCGTCCAGCGATTGATCCATACTTGTGATAACCGGGCTCTTAGGCCGAGATAGGGTGTGAGGCCATCTGGATGAGATGGAATAATCCGACCATCTGCCGGATTGTGTGCACCGTATGGTGGAAGCAGTGGAAATATTGATCGTGTGGACTTTCCGAAAACCATTGTAGTAGGTTTGTTGTGACTGGCGTCCTCTGCTTTGAGGAAGAAGTTATTGCTAAGCAGATATCGGAGAATACTTCAGGGGTGTCAAGATGGAGACAGTCGAGAATAGGATGAGAATAATTAAAGACAACAAAGAAATGGATTATATCGGGTGAATGGATTAAAGAGCTTATTCAATAAGCATGTTGAATCGACCGGCGACGAGTAGTGAATGAGGAGAAATATTCAATGAGACGAGTAACCCGGGGTACCTTGGAACAGAGCGAAATCGGGAAGACAAAAAATAAAGGCGCATGCAGGACTACATATAGCTTGCGGATAAGAGCAGCCTGAAGAACCTTGGAAGATCTTTTTTAGCATTCTGGCGCTAACACGATCTACAAAGAAGCCGCCCATCGGAAGCAGGTAGCGACCCTGGCAACCCATGAAACAACCATTCAGAGTGAGTCACCTGCCCGTGGAAACAAAGGAGATCGTAATTATAAAAATGACTACTGTTGTTTGTTTCATCTACTAACAAAGCGCGTAAACGACTCCTGTCCTTGTAAAGACCGCTGATGGATCCAAATATAGCCCCATGGGCGGTTAGCGCCCGTCGCCGCCAGCCAATCATCTGATCGTTAGGCACCGTGGCTCGAACAAGACACCCGCCATGGCATTAATGCGACTGAAATCATGTGGATAGGCAGTAGCAATCTGTTTTAGATTTACTGATCGTGACTTCTTCTCGTTTAGAATCTTGCGTAGTGACCTGGAGCAGCTGCAGCCAGTAGGTGACACGTTGGAAGCCTGAAGGTGCTTCTTACACCTTACCATGAGGCCCCTAAACCCATTTTAGCAGCATAGTAACAGCATTTCACCGGACCTCCGATGTGGAGTAGATATTTGAAATGTTCCAAAGACATATAGTGTTAATAATATGCAGAAATAAGCTCACCAGTCGAGCCACGGTGAATCATTAGGGATGATACACGTGACTCGACGGCCCATCAATCACGTGTACCAGTCTACCCTACTTGAATGGTCGACATAAAACGACCACGAGTTGAATGCTGCTTTCCAGAGTTCCTATCGAGGAATGCGAAGCTAAAATAGAATAGATAGTAGTCACGTAGTGCTCCATACACAGACACATGGAATGAATTCCACAAGCTGTGCCTTAAATCAAGTTCTTTACTACATTTCTAAGTTGAAGGTAGCCTAGCATAAGGCACAGACTCGCGTATATACGCTATGCGGTATTATAATAATGTCACATCTGAAATTAGAGCGATTTCAAATGAAAAGAGCTATCTCGATTAAGAAGTTTGAGCTTGTATATGCTGTAGAATCAGTAGTGTCTGACCGGAGTGTTTATGAATTACTCTATTCTGAGCCTTTGAAATCATGGGACATTTTAAGCATTGGCGTTGGGAGTGATAGAGTCCTGAAAGGTCATTGATATGTATTGAGCTGGCGTAAGTGATTAGGAAGTCGTGGTTTCTTTGTGGGTTGACTCAAAAACAGTGAGATATAACAATGGTCAAAGACCGCTGGTGCGGTGCAAGCTGGACATCTTTGGTAAGCCTCACTACCTATGGAGGGCATATTGAAGCACAGGCAGAACAGAGAAAAGGAGTTTTCAATAATTCTACATAATTGCACTGGGGTGCAGCAAGAGGTATAAAGTGCAATGAAAATTACGCTGGGATAAACCGCGCTACGGAATCGGCGTGAAACGGCGTGAAACGGCGTGAAAACGCGGATCGTTTATTTTGTAACTTGCCAGTCCCCAATCCCTCGAATCGCCCCAAATAACCTCCCTTCCGTCAGTTTTACGCGTCGGATACGCGCTTGAAAAGATTGTTATGCACTCCACCCAGCTGCATCAGGATTGTTTGCCCGTTATAATGTGAGGCAGTAATGCCTTAGGGAAGCAAAGAATACTAAACGAGAAAATGAAGATTACCGAAAAAGCCACCTACGCGGCGGTGGTCGCGGGAACTGCGGCGTTGGCTGGCGAGTCTGTGACTATTGAAGGTATGGCCGCCTCTTAACATGGGTTCCACATATACAGTATATTAACATTATATTGAAGAGCAAAACACAGAGAGCCATAGATCAGAGCTCGTCCGGTCACCGGCCAGCTCGTCAGCTAGCAGGCACAAAGTTCATGCAGAGAACCGCAGGAAGCATCAGCTTCAGAAAGAGAGAAGAAAGCAATACAACAAGAAGAAGGCGTATTTGATAGGACGCCGCCGTCGTGGTAGGAATGCCCTTGCCAATCCCGATAGCCGCACCGTTCAGGCCATCCATGATGATAATACGCACGTCGATGATACGCATGACGATGATACGCAAGACGATGATACGCACGCCGATGATATGCACGCCGATGATACGCAAGACGATGATACGCACGCCGATGATACGGTCCACAACGACCCTCAATCACCTCTTCTTGATTCGACAGCAACATCTTCCGATTTCCCCTCTCCTGAAACCTTCGAGATTCAGTCACAAAGTAAACCGCCATCTCCTTCGCCGAAGTCCTCTTCCCCATTCCTCGTCCACCTGTCTGCAAACAACGCAGCCAAAGGTAAGCAGATATCTCGAAGCCTGACTGCACCAAATCCCTTCTCGTCTGCATACCATCAGCATTCGGTCACCCATATCCAAACACTTTACTAATTCTTGTTTAGACAAGCCACCTGAGGTTGCACGGGAGTCGATTATGGGGGCTTCCCTTGCTTTGAGCGACGATGAGGTCGACACTCAGAAGAAAGGTAGGATATCAATTTTCCATACTTCCCTTTCATAACCTTGCGGTGCATATTCTAAAACATTCTAACAGTGGATACTCGACTTTTCGATCGCCCCGAGGTAGAGGATGACTGTGAATCAGACAGTGAATCGAGCTCTAGTGCCTTGTCTAGCCCCACTGCTTTGACCCCTGGAGGCGAAGGACCCATTTGTCGTGATTTGCGCAAAAAGAACAAATACAGAAGCAGAGGTATTGGACATGGCCTTCGTCCTTCGGAGAAGAACAAGGCATCTAAAGTAGAAGAAGCATCTCAAGGTGATCTTCACTCGAACGAGGACGCGCCGCAGGAGATGGCAATTTCCAATGTTGACCTACCCAGTCGAGACGCGCAGACCAGGACACATGCCAAGAAGCCTGATCTCAAAGTCACGGTTCCAGCAGCCAGAACCTCAGAGAGTGATTCATCTTCCATGGCTGGTCTATCCAAAGTACTCAGCAGTAATATCACTGTTGTGCAAGCTGGTGGCCGACGAGATGTGAACGCCTCCAGTGCAAGCTCAGCCAAGTCTGTTCCTCCAGTCATTGTGGTATCAAAGCCAGAGGGACACACCCGGTACGGCTCTGGTGAGACTCCCAATCCGTCATCCAGTGGGTACTCTATGACGTCCATCCAGCCTGAGTTACCCTATTCAATTACTCCCACTGCGTCGCCCAGTGGGTACTCGATGAAATCCCTTCCGCCTGAAACACCCTACTCAAGTGTACTCATCCCACCTGCAACTGAGACATACACTCCCATCCCAAAGGGTGCATTTTTCTGGGATCTCACCACCGAAGGGTTCCCTTGTGCCAAGGCTGGATGTCAGAAAATCTGTGCCCAGTGGGACGGCCAATCTTGTATCTGCCCTGCTTGTGGACCTCTGTCAAAAATCAGATATTGCAAGAAGGAACACCTGCGTGAAGCTGTGCGGGAGCATTGGCCGGTCTGTGGCTATTTCTCGTTCCAACAATATGTCAAAACTTCTTCAATCCAGGATGAAGTTATGGCCGGACCCCCAATGATCCCGTCTATCTACAATAGCCCTTCTCTCGAGCGTCACCGCCAGGCGCTGTGGTTCAGCACTGCTCAGTCCGAAGGTGATTATTTCATCTTCAGTGACCGTGCTGAACAGATCAAGAAGAGCCTACCAGCAGGACATGAGGATGTGCGATGTACGGGGAAACTCTTAGTCGCCATTCGTTGGTCCAGCCCAGTGGAAAAAGACAAATTTCGCCGATGCCTCGCAGTCTGCCTTCTTGCTTCTGTCCATGTCGACGACCTGGTGGACTATGTTTACAGGATGATCCGTGATAACCTCCGTTCTCGGTTCGAGTGGACCCATGAGTTGGGCGAGATTTTACGAGAGCAGCTATGGCTGGAGACGGAGGTGGAAGTCGAGAAACATTACAGACATGCCTGTCTCAACGAGTGGACCGGTTTCCCTCCACGTCATTGCCAGGATCCAACCTGCGTCGCCGAACGCAAGGATTTGTTAGGTGAACTTGGTGTGATTTCAGGTCTCGAGCACATGTGCCAATTTATGGAGGCACAGCATTGGCTCCTGCGGGCTAATCGGACCACACACCCCACCTGCAAGAGTATCGAAGGTCGTATTCTAGGTGAAGGATACGGTGAGTGGGTTCCTGTGCAGGACCGGACTCTTTACCGTCGCGGCGAGGGTTGGGATGGAGCTGGAACCGGCCCGATGGAGTATGAGGGCCCCCACTGGCGCTAGGGATTTTCGCATACTACGCCCGCAACGATCGTGCAGGTTGTTCTTTCGCATTTTTTCTGGTGGCAGTGAGATTCGATCTGGTCGACAGCGCTTCCTACTTGTTGAAACGGAGAATTTGCAAGGTATGCTACCAAGCGTCGTGCTTTTCGGTTTTGCTGCGTTTTGATTATTCTTCCTTCGTTCTTTTCGTTTTTGCTTCGTTTCGCGTCTTTTCTGGTGGCAGTGGGTTTCCCATCTGTTGCCAAGGGGTTCGCGAAGCATGCTGGCAAGCACTTTGAGCGTCCTTTCCTGTTTTGCTGCGTTACATCAATTTTCCCTTCATTCTATTCGTTTTTGCTCCGCTTTGCATTTTCCGGTGGCAGTGGATCTCGATCTAGTAGGCATCGCTACCCATCTGTTCTAACAGAGAGTCTGCGAGGCATACTAGCAAGCGTGATGATCGTTCGTTTCGTGCTTGCTTCGATCTCTTTATTTTATCTACATTCTATTGTTTTTTTTTTTTTTTTTTGCGTCAAGCGTTTCCTTTTTTTGTGGCACCGGATCTGAACGTTGTTGACAACATTTCCATCTGTTGAAACAGGGAATTCGAGAGGCATGCTACCAAGCGTGATACTCCAATCAAAAGCGATGTGAGCGTTCTTTTCGTTTGACTGCGATCTTACATTTCCGGGCGTTTTTGCTTCTTTGTCTTTTCTTCCAGCCGTTGCATCAGCTAACACCTAGCTCAACGTAGATTCCTATGTAGAATGTAGGATTGTAGATCTGTTCGAGTAGATGACATAGATCGTATCTCCAAACTTTAGTAGATCAGATTGGAAATAATCAGAGATTAAATCTATATGCGACTTATTTTATGATAACCTGTTCACTGGATGTATTTCTTCAGACCACGCAACCTTTCCTTTGCACTCTCGAGAACATCATCATTCTTGCATACCGCAAATCGGAGGTAGTCCTCGGCGATGTGTGTATTGGCATCAGTATAGAACTCCGTGGGCGGGATCGCAGCAACGCCAACCTCCTGGATCAAGAACCAGCAAAGCTTGAAATCACGAGGGCGATTGGCGACATGGGGTGGGAATGGGTAGTCTGCCGGAAGTTTGACAGAGGACATGTTGGCCAAGACGAAGTATCCACCTTCGGGATCCGAGTACTAATTTGCGATCAGTAAATCCTTCACCTAAATTCAGCTGCAACTAGAGAAGTTGCACATACCGGAATACCCAGCTCATCAAAGATTTGACAGAAGCGCTCCATTTTTTGCTTCATGTCATTCCGACTCTCATCCCAGAATCCCACTTTGTCGGCCTGCTCGAAAGCAACAGCAGCAGCCTCCTGGAGAGGAGAAACACTGCTATAGCAGATGCGGGTGTGTGCGCCAGCCACATACTTGATCAAATGCTCCGGTCCGATGAGATAACCAACACGCCAACCAGTGGCATAGAAGGCTTTGCCGGCGGAACCCACTGTAAGGGTACGCTCATACAGCTCGGGGGAAAGAGTTGCGATTCTGGTGAAAGGGACATAGAAGAGACGATCATAGACTTCGTCAGACAGAATGATCAGGTTGTGCTTGATACAGAGTTCACCAATGCGCTCGAGCTCCTCTTTCGAGAACACTTTGCCGACAGGGTTGTGACTGGGTATTGTTAGTTAAAGATAACCGGGTCGAAGAATAAGGGTTCATACGGTGAGTTGAGAACCTAGAGGAGTAGTTAGCATATGGACTTCCTTTGTTCCATCTGGAAGTACTGACAATCATTCTTGTCTTGGAATTGATAGTGTTTTCAAGCTCCTCGAAATCGATCGTCCACTCAGAAGCTGGAGATGTCCTGGTAGCACCGTCCTTGGGAGGGTGGAGCGGAACGTAGCGAATCGTGCCGCCGGGCATCTCGATATTGCTAATGTACCTGTGGATGATATTCAGCACATTGTGTAGCATCCCCCAAACCAATAACACTCACTGATCGAAGAACGGCTCGAAAACGATAACCTCGTCGCCGGGTTCAATGAAGCCCATGAAGGCGCTCAGCATTCCTGGTTGATTGACGAGCTGTCAGCCTTTATACCATGTATCCCTGCCACCGCGGAAGCTCACCCTCGTTGGCTCCGGTTGTAATCGAGACCTCCGTTTCCGGGTTCAAAGTCCTGCCGAAGAAAGGCGAATAGGCGTCCGCAATAGCCTTCTTGAGACGAGGGCGACCCTATAGATTATGAGCCTGGGTTCTGGTCGCGAATTGTCCGAAGTCGGGCCTATGTACCTTGGTCGGGGAGTACTGGTTGCATTCCACTCGGTCGAGCGCGTCCTTTGCAGCATCAATCGCGAACTGCGGAGGGTTGTAGCCACTGTTAAGAGAGACACCCAGTTAGGCTATATCAATTGGAGGTATATACCCGTTCCCGGAGGGAGTACTGGTACTCACAAAAAGCCTTGGCCCATATTCACGATCGGCTGGACGGGCGAAGCGGCAGCCGCCTCGTTGACAATAGACCTAGAGATTCAATCTCAGAAAACCATATCCAGTGCTTTGAGCCTGCAATTCATACCAGACATCCTGTCGTTGCCCCGCTACTCTCTTTGCGGGGCGAAAGGGATCGGGCCGCGGAGCTGTCGCCGACATTGTTCTTGCGCCGAAACCAGGAAGACGAGGTAGGATGGAAAGGCGAGACTGCGGGGAGACGGTTCGGGTGAGGGTGGAAAGAAGAGAGGCGCGACCAACAATCATGAGGGGAAGGTGGGCTGTATCAGTAATAAAGTGTGGTACTTGCGGAGTGGGAGTCACCCAGCACCGATGGCCAATGGCGTGCTCCGTCTTCGGGCTTCGGTGACTTCCCGCGGAGTATAAGACTTGGACTTATCGGAGCACCCGACAATGCTGAGATCTACTTTGCAGTCAATTAACCATAGGATAGATTTGCTATTAACGGCAGTTAGTCTACTGTCCTTCATTCCTATCATATTCATGTATCCCTGGCTCCTTATAGTAAATCTGTCTCACTAGAGTGAAATATACTTTTGTGTTGGTATTCCAACTTTGGAGACAAATCCCTCCGTGCCACAAAATCAAGACATGTCATAGGATAGCGTGATACATCAGATTTTAGACATCTCTATCGTGCCATGATGATTGGATAGTATTTGTGTAACGAATTGTTGAATGCAGGCCTCAAAGCAGGAGTTTCGCCCAATAGGTCCGTTACATAAGCATCCTTATCGCGACGCGTCTCCGCATTTAAATGTAGCTTTCGTGTTGATTCTTCGTCATTGATGGTTTCCAAAGTAAGGAGCCATGGTTTCTTGTCCTATCTGTCAGAAATCTGTCCCGCAGTTAAAGATCAATGATCATCTTGATTCTGGCTGCCAGAGCTTCGTTGAGGAACCGTCTTCCTCCCCGGTCGAGCTATCCGCCTCTCAGAAAGCCGTCCCGAGTATATTCCAACCCTCCTCCGCACGCAAATCCTCTTCCCAAACCGTGCCTAAAGAATCTCCGTCTCGCCCCAGTGCACCGACTCCACGTCCTTTGAATGCCAAACGATCGTTCACGCAAGATACCCCGACCCGAGAGAATAGTGCGAACCAATATAATGGAGACCCGGAGCCGCAAGCCAAACGTCCAAAAGTCAATGCTTTTCACAAGGCAGCCCCGCTTGCGGAGCGGATGCGCCCCAAGAATCTCGAAGAAGTCTGCGGACAGGAACTGGTCGGCTCTTCGGGGGTGCTTCGTGGACTTATCGAACAAGACCGTGTTCCAAGTATGATTCTTTGGGGAAGCGCGGGCACAGGCAAGACCACAATTGCTCGAGTGATAGCATCCATGGTGGGTAGTCGGTTTGTGGAAATCAATAGTACCAGCAGTGGGGTTGCAGAGTGCAAAAAGATTTTCGCCGAAGCTCGTAGTGAGCTTGGCCTTACTGGCAGAAAGACCATTATCTTCTGCGACGAAATCCATCGCTTCTCAAAATCACAGCAGGATGTGTTCCTTGGCCCCGTGGAAAGTGGACAAGTGACCCTGATCGGTGCCACTACCGAAAACCCATCCTTCAAAGTTCAAAATGCCCTGCTCTCCAGATGCAGAACATTCACCTTGGCGAAACTCACCGATGCGGACATCGTCTCTATTCTTCAACGAGCTTTGAAGGTAGAAGGCCCCAACTACAACCCATCCGAACTGGTTGATGATGAGTTGATCCAATATCTAGCCCGGTTTGCAGATGGTGATGCCCGAACCTCACTCAACCTCCTGGAGTTGGCAATGGACCTCTCCAAAAGACCCGGGATCACTACAGACGATCTGAAAAAATCTTTAACCAAGACCCTGGTGTATGACCGTGCCGGTGATCAGCACTATGATACCATCTCTGCTTTCCACAAGTCTCTTCGAGGCAGTGATCCAGATGCCGCCCTCTACTATCTAGCCCGCATGATTCAGTCCGGCGAAGATCCATTATACATTGCCCGACGACTGATTGTCGTCGCTTCTGAGGACATTGGCTTAGCAGACAATACCATGCTTACCCTGGCAATCTCCACACACTCTGCCGTTGAAAAGGTCGGACTTCCCGAAGCACGAATCAATTTGGCTCACGCGACCGTTGCTATGGCATTGTCTAAAAAGAGCACCAGAGCATACCGTGGACTGAACAATGCCTTTGCTGCTTTGAATGAACCTGGCGTTGCGGGCTTGCCGATTCCTATTCACCTCAGGAACGCACCGACCAAGTTGATGAAGGAATTAGGCTACGGCAAGGAGTATAAGTACAACCCGAACTACGTGGATGGCAAGGTTGAACAAGATTATCTCCCAGAGGAGATCCTTGGCCGTACCTTCTTGGAAGATTTGGATCTTGGTACACAACGAGATCCCGCTCTATGTAGTACCAGGCGCAGAGGCAACTGATGTGTTCGAAACTCTATCCAACCTGGACCGAAGATGAAGTCTTAAGAGAACGTACCTGTTCATGCGTACCATGCACCTAGTATACACAGCCCCAGAGTCAAGGAAGCTTCCAACAGCTTGGCTCCATGGAAGCAGTGACAGTTGCCTGTGGGTTTCGCATTAACGACTGCATCTGGACCTTGATCGGACCATTGAAGCTTTTTGAGTGACCAATGACATGTTTGTTGGGGAAACTTAGCTTCCTGACATCAACGCGATGCCCTATTGGGAAGCGGCTCTGGAGTCACACCTCGTTACATAAGCCCTCGCTCCTGCCTCATGTATTGAGTACTGTCAAGGAACTGGTGACTCTTCCGCATGATTCTTTTGCACCTGTCACTCTTTTTGGGCATCAGCTTGTGTTGGCCTATGGTTAAGATCTGAATCGCTAGGATCTTACCTTCAGCACCCTTACTCTCACTCTCGTTTTCATGCTCTCCCACGCGCCTGCGTAGCAGCGTCTACTTTCGTTCACTGAGTATTCCCGCGTATCAAAGTACCATGGCGCAAGATGGTAGAGTATTTGCCCACTCTGCGCGTCCTCAACCAGTGCGGTATTATCCGCCCCCCGATGGGATTCCTCTACCAGATACCTTGAATTCTGTATGTCACGGTGCTCTATCTGAAGACCTCATCTACTCTATGGAACCTCCATTCCAAGAGGATCGCAAAGCAGAACTTGCCGTGGATGATCTTGGCTGACATGGGTCCTCACAGCCTGGTCCGAGGCCTCTGGAAATGCCCCCTCCTTTTCCGCCAGTCTTTGATCTCGCAAGTCAAATGTACAGCTCACCTCCGAGCCTCTCCCACTATGGATCACCATTAAACGGCTATGACATGTTTCCTAACCTCGACGCCTTACCCTCAAGCAGTGGTCTGATTGCTCAGCCTCTTCAGCCAATGCCCTACGGAAGTGACGATCGACCAGGCGGAACACCTGTAGCGACTGAATGGACGGCCCCATTGACTGCGTTGACTGCGTTGACTGCGGCAATTTCAGATAGTTCCGTGACAATTCACGACCACCCGTCACCTTCGTTCCACAGAAGATCTGCATCTCCACCAGCGTGTTATGATTTTGTCATGGAAGATCCAACTAATCCCCATGGTTATCGGGAAAAGCGATTTCGCTCCCGAATGGAACTCGATAAACAAAAGGAAGAGATACGGCATTTGAAAGAGTACGGCGGTGCATGTCTCTCATGCTACCGGAGCAAGAAGAAGTGTGGGCCATCGACCCCCTGTCCACCCTGCCTTACAAATGGTCGCGAGTGTGTTCGCAGAGACCAGGCTACCTTCCAGACCACTTCTTTCAAACATGTTTCAAGCTCCCCGTCGGCGAATCCGCATCTAGATGAATACCTTGAAATATTGCAGCCCGGCCCGTGGGAGCTCCTGAGCTCCATTGATGGAATTTACGACGGGATCTGCCTTGGCACTGGTTTCAATCAGGACCAGGGTAGACTATGATTCATTCAAGAAATTGAGCAGTGGGCGCGATTCGACCACATTGCAGGAAGCACCAGGCTCGATAGATACATTAACATGAAGAAACAATAGTATTATCAGAAGCGAGGGCCTATCGGAGCCGGACATGGCCAGTGACTGTATGGAGAAGTATTTTCGTTGCTTTTATTTATTATTATTTTTCTGGTGAACATAAGCATCCGATGGAGTTTCGGAGACTTTCGCGTGTATGCCGAGCAACTCGGCATTGGTTTGCGCGTTTCCGATTGTTTACTTTAAATGTACATATGCCGTTGCTCTTGAGATTCTCTAGTTTTGTCTGTTCTAGCTATTACTTTGTATGAAAAATGACATTCATTTAACGACCTATGACATCTTGACATAATAATTTCCAAATTCTCAGGCAGTAAATCGACAACTGTGAAACAATCCGTCTCCACCCCCATTCCGCGTCGCCCAAAGAATCCTCTCCACCGCCCAAAATACAGCTCCCCGCTGATCTCCCAACCCGACAAACCCCAAACATTGCACGACATTCCTCCACATCGTGCCCAATCTACCACCATGGCCTCCGGCCAACCGTTCGCGTCGCGCTCGTACGCCGGCACCAAAATCCCGGACCGCTCCGTCAACGCGAACGCCATGCCCTTCAGCGCCTCGTCCTTCTCCAGGCATCGTGGCCTAGGCGCCACCGCTCCTGCTGATTTTGGAGGCCCCGAAGGACCCAAGCAAAACCAGCAGGCTACAAATACCCCGGCCGCGCAAAGCCACGGGCCCGCGCAGGATGCGAATCCGTTGAACCGATTGACAGAGGAGCAGCGTGAAGAGATCAACGAAGCTGTAAGATCAACCATCCTACACAACATTTCCCAATTCCCTCTCTTCGATGCGCACGCGATCTACTCTACCGTCCTGGCACGAGTACGCGGGGCGAAATTGAAGAGTTCCTCGCCTGCGTCCATCGCGCACGCGATAAATACTAAAAATAGCCAAGACTGACATTATCACCAGTTCACCCTCTTCGATCTCGACCGCGATCGTCACCTAGACTACCACGAACTCCGCGTCGCTTTCCGTGCCTTGGGCTTCACTCTCGCAAAACAAGAACTCATTTCCCTCCTCACAACCTACGGTGTCCCGCGTCCACAGGTCCAACAACAACAAGGACAGAATAACCCCAATGCACCGGGGAGCCAGGTCTCCAAGGGCGGGAACCCACAACACCCGTCCAACCTTCTCATGCCGCTCTCGTCGTTCCAGGCTGTGACAGCGTTGAAGATCTTGGAGCGTGACCCGCGTGATGAGATCCTGCGTGCTTTTGAGTTGTTCGATGAGGGTCAGAAGGGATTCATTGATCTGGAGGACTTAAGACGTGTTGCACGGGAGTTGGGCGAGACTGGTCTTGAGGAGGAGGAACTCAGGGCTATGATTGAGGAGTTTGATCTTGAGGGTGTTGGCGGTGTCACTCGGGAGGCATTTGTGGGCATTTGCTGGCAGTGATTAATCCGGCTGGCTGTGATATATTGACTGCACTGCATGGGTTCTTGTTTTGAAGGTGTTGGGCTTGAGTTGTTATTTTCCTTTTTTTCTTATGTTGTTAATGTGTTTTTATGATTCAATTGGATTGGCTACTATTGTCAAGTTTACAGTTTTCTGTCGATCACATGCTGCTAGGTTGACCTGCATAGAGGTCTTTACAGAGTCTAGCCTTGAGAAGCCCAAAATCACTATCTAAGGCCTGTTTCAGCTGTGTTGTATATGTCGTTCGAATATAGGAGGCCGTAGCACCTGCAAGATAGACCTTGATATTATTTAGTGCAGTTCGCTTTATTCTGTCAGATGTCATTTGGTTTCAATAAATAGTATCCTTTTTCAATTATTCACCGCAACCTTGGAAGAGCATTCATGGATAAGATAAGTGATATTCACAATAATAAAAACCATGTATCAGAGCTAAAAGCTTCACCCAATCCCCAAATTCCCACTCAAATCAACATTAACGCCCAAATCCAAAGCCCCATCCCAATGCCACATTACAACTGTTTCCCCCCAATGCAAAGCCCGTGTAACCAAGTCCATAGAACAAAGAACAATATAGAAATAAATCATTACCCATACTGCACGCGCGGTGGAGGGACATTCTGATATCCATTAGGATACCCGGCCCACTGATTCGGAGCAGGAGGTCCTCGCATCCCCTGTGGAGGCATTCCAGGCGGCGGACCAGCATAACGCATCGGAGGAGCCTTAGCCATACGCTGGCGTGCTCTAGCTCTTCGGCACCAGTTTGTAATACAGTAGAGCAAAGCGAGAAGAATCAAGCAACCCACGCCGACACAGATACCAATCACAATGTTCTTGTGGTCATTGATCCAGCCGCCTACCGAGGAACCCTTGCATTGACCGTTATTGCAGTGGCCACCGGAGTCACAGGGCGTGCCATCGAGATAGTTCTGGTTCATCTCGATGCAGGTCGCGGAGCCGTATTCCTCGGCGATTTGTGGAGCGCCGCACACGATCATACAGGATGGGGCATTTGTGTTTCCGCAGGCCCATGACTCATTGCTATTGAGCATGGTACCTAGTACAGAGCGACACTGGTAGTCACGGCTTGTACACTGACCACTGGCGCAGGCAAGGCCTTGACCTGAAGAACCGCAACTGGTGCCGTCTTTCTGATATTGGTCACTTGGACAAGCGCTGGAGTTACCGGTACATGTCTCGGCAATGTCACAGACGCCGGTGCTGGCGCGGCAGACTGTACCTGATGAGGAAAATTGGCAGCTGGAGCAACAACTGTCGTTTGAGTCGTCGCAGACGGCATTTGATTTGAACTTGCAGGTTGTGGGGTCACAGCAGGCGTTGTCACCGCAGGCTTCTGTGCCGCCGCAGTCGCAGTCCTCACCCGCTTCGACGATGCCATTGCCGCATTGGCTGCCAGTAATCGTTGTGACGCCTCGGTTGTCGGTAAGACAAGTCGACTTGATACTGTTGCGACCAATGGCGGAACAGATGTTACCAATTGTGCACTCCGAGAAATTGGTCATGGTCGTTGATGCGTATGGATTCATGATGTATTGGGCGTTGGCGTTGCACGTCGACGATGTCAATGGACAGCATTGGGATGAGGCTTCTAGCCCTTCAGTACATGTTTGGGAGTCGCAGTCATGGACAGCTCCAAATGTGTGACCGGTCTCATGAGAGAAGATTTGCCATGTGCTGCCTACGTTGCCAACCACGACATTCGCCCCAGAGACGGAGCTAGACCCGTCGCTAGTCAAGTCGGAGGTGCATAGCTGACCCATCCAGGAAACACCGACCTCCGAATTAGTAGCACAGGCCGTCATAAGGGTCCAGTAGGCGTTGCTATCCTGATTATCAGCCCTCCATTTCGAGAACTCGTTGAGTCTCCAGGTGAGATTGCCGCTCGCGCAGTCAACGTTCCATGGAGTAGCCTCATTATCCGAGGTTGGGCATGATTCCCCAGTGATGGTCAGATTGCGCAGACCAATAGAGACGTTGAAAGACTCTTCGTAGAGACTAGACGCGGTATTCACGATGTTGATCACATAGTCTTTCGCAGCAACCTTAGCCGTCACAGTAGTGTTGTCAGAAAAGTAATCCGTCATTTTGCAGTCGGTAGTCACTCCAATCAGCGCTACTTTCTTCGTCTTTGGACAACCAGAAGTGTCTCCAATAGTCGATTTCAAGTTCACGCCGCCCGTGTTGCCTGAAATTCCACCGACATCAGACTGTCGTTTGCCCAGACCGAACAACGAATTCAATGATGTAACTCCCCACCGGCCCTCGTCCTCTCCAATTCCAAAGGGAAAGATGGAATTGGTCAAATCAGCGTTATAGTCCAACTTATCAGCTCCACAGCCAGTCGAGGCAGGCAAAGACCGCCTGAGGTCCGGGTGCTCTGGCTGCATTCGAATCATATCGGAGTCACGGTACACGATCATATAATCTCGGTCTCTGAGTTCGATACTCGCATCAATGGGTCGCTTTTTGGCGGAATAGGTCGACTGCAGCTCGATATGGTGTTTGTCGTGTCCGACACTGAACGCGCCCTCGAACAACGGGTTCTCTCCATCCTGTCGGACCGTAACTCTAGCCCAGCCGGATGGCGTCCATCGGCCTTTCCCTGAGCCCACTAGCGCCCGACCGCGGAAGACCTTGTGTTCATGTCGGTGGATGGGCTCGCCGTCCGTTAATGACCCGTCGATGTTTATATACTGCACGAAAGCATCGTCGGCAAGAATATCGTGGTTTGGCTCTAGCTCTAGCTTGATACGCGTCCCATCGCGATGTAATTCGAGGGTTAGATCAAAGTGTGAAAGGTGGTCTATTTTGTGTGCAGGGGTGCGGATGACGACGTTATCGATCGGGGTGATCTGGCGGATCGCTTCTGAGGCTTGGGATCGCGCTAGAGGGGCTGTTAGTGAAGGCGTCTGTAACCCGGGGTAGGGAATCGTACCTATGACAGGCGAAATCAGCGACACTGCGCCTAATATAGAGAGTACGCTGCGAAACCTCATTGCTGGAGGAGCAAAACAGAGGAATCAGGGTCTCCCGATAGAGTTTCCAGGGTCTTCGGCTATCATGCGGAAACGCAGGGTCGCAAGGGGTCCACCAATCTCCACACGAGTTGAACTGGAAGAAAGATATAAAGGTATTGAACGAGTGATTCAAGAATTTAAATAAGTAGACAGACATAATCTCACAAATTGATGACCGACTCAGCCCAGTATTGGCGCCAAGAACGGAAGAATCCAATGGTGATAAACCGCGACCTATTAGTGCGGGTCTTGGCAAGACAATTCGGGGCTTTGGATGTGTTACATAGAGAGAATATGTATGCCTAATATATACTTTGTATCCACATGGTTTCCATGGTTTCTATATCTGCGCTTGCAGTAAATCAGGCTTACTTCTAGTTGTTTTCGGGGTCCAGCACTCAGCCTCGTTCGGACAGTACACTGCACCATTCACCAGTATTTGTGGCTGATGCGTTGAATCCACCATAGACAATGTAGATGATAAGAGAGAGCCAAAAGTGGCCAGGCATTATGTCTAAATGTCTCAATCTATGGATTCGTGGTACAATTTATGTGCTAGCTGTGCAAAATGGGGAATCGCAGCAGAGCAAATCTCACACTGAACACTGAATAATCCTTCCTCCTCCTCTTCCTCCTCTTCCTCTTCCTCTTCCTCTTCCTCTTCCTCTTCCTCTTCCTCTTCCTCTTCTTCGTCCCATTCTGGCTGATAATTCTCCACAGTCTCTGTCTCCGGTATCTCCGGGCCGGGAACAGTGGCGCAAGACCCTGCATCTACTGTCCAATCCCTGAGCACCGTTTCTTGCTGTCGGAACATTTTTCCTATGTCACGCCCGCTACTTTGCTTTTGCTCGCCCGCACTCTCCACCAAGTTGGTCACAGCCACATTAATCAAACTCAGATCCCACCCAGACTTCTCTGGATTCAGTTTTCGAAACATGCTCAAAAGACTCTCATGGACAAGTCGTTCAGCCAGAGCATCCAAATTCTCGTCCATATTGAAGATAAACCCCGGTAGAGGAGCAGATCGAGAAATGCGATTGGCATGGTAGGTTCGCACCCCGTCAGTCTCGGGAGCATTGCGAGGCCGTGTGGATAGACGTAACGTTCGCGGGTGGGCCAGCCACCGAGGGATTTCCTCGCTCTTATCTAGTAGATCTGTTCGCATGCGCCGGATTAAACTTGTAGTAAGAACCACAAGCTCGCGACGTACATTCTCCACGGTATCAAATCGACCATAACCGTAAGAGTCCTCAATACTGATCTGAGTCGGCAAGTCTCGGGCCTCAAGGACTTCGGTATTGTCCACCCCGTGCAGAATGCTCCAGATGCGCATACCAATTCCTCTGGCCGCACCGGGCCCGCCCAGTGTTTTCTCGAGCATAGCTGGGCCCATTCCAGGATATAAACGGACATCTCGGACCGTAACCTGTTCTCCCGTACTCTCCCCTGTAACACGATTTCTCAGTTTCTGGGCTAGTCGTGATCCTATCCCGGGAATTTTGCGGATCTCATGGCTGTCCAGGAATTGAGTCACATTGCTTTCGGTGCCATCTTCAGCTATCTGGTATGGTGGGAGCAGAGTAGTCTGGTTGTTAGGCTTGTGAACACTTCCCACTAATTTGGCCAGAAGTTTAGAGGTAGACACCCCTCCTGTAGCTGTGAAACCTTTGTCATGCTCCATTCGATCTCGAAGATACTTGAGCAGATGCGATGCGATCCTTAACTTTATTTCTAGAGATGACGTATCACGAGTAGAAATAGGTGTCTCGGTCATCACTGGGAATGTCAAGCCCATGACTGTGGTAGCATCGTAGGCAAATCCAATAGTCGGGTCCTTGGGATCCAGATGGAAGAATGAAGTCGATAGATTATTCGGGTTTAGCAAGCTGATATTATATTCAATCATCTCTGTGACATCCAGAGAGAGCTCATCAAAGCCCAGTCTTTCCACTCGTCCGCCCCATATGAAGGCACGTATGAAAAGGTAGAGATCTTTTGATGCATCTCGAAACTTGGTCAGGTCCTCGCCTAGCACGATTACCACGTCGGGACATATCCGCTTGGCGTCTTTGATTAGCTGCAGCTTGTGCAGCCCCCGCCGTCGGGCTTCGTAATTACATGTCACGATGATTTGCTTTTGCTGCACAGCTAGTGGCAAAGACTTCAAAGCTGGTTGCTCCACTTCAAATACCGAAGCGTAAAAGCAGTCATAATCCTGGATGCGTTAGGGATGGATTAATAGACGATGAATGTGGCACTGCTCACTAAGTGAAGGATTATTCGACGGTCATTGCGCGTCGGTATTGTAGCCATGTCATTTTCATGGGAGTCAAATGGTTGACCTTTCTGTCGTTGGCCAGACCTGACGATCCTTGAAGGTGTCAAGTTGAGAAAGCATTTGCTGATCTTGATGGCTTCTCCGGTCGGGTGTGGCTGGTGGGGCAAGTGTGGCTGACCTACAAATAAGATGTGAAGGATTGGAAGATAAACCTAGTTGTCTACAATCATGTTTCGAAGAAGTAAACTTATAATTGAGTCCTTGATTTCGAGGTTCACATGCTTTCTATAACTCTCTTCTGGTATGAGAGGCAGCAGATTGTCATCTGTATATATTTTGCCCCACCGTCACCACCATACAAGCAACCTTGGAAATAACTATGCGGATTGCTTTCCTTAGTCAAGACATCTCATAAAGCGACTGCATAATTAAATTGATCTTTTTTGTCTAGGTATGTACCTTTAGTTGATTTCTAAGGCTCGAATGAGATTATATCATCACTCCAAAGGTTCTCTTCGTTAGCTCCCAAGGTCCCTGCGAAAGGTCATAAAATCAGCGATCAGATAAAGTTAGCCTGACACATCCACCTCAGATTCGTTTTATGATGTGGAAAAAACAAAGTGTAAAAATACAATGCAAGGATGAAGGGGGTGATGGTTTCAAAATGAGCGCAGTCCAATTGCGAAGAATGTAAGTCACCAGCGTACCATGCGCAATTAGCAGACTAGTAACAAAAAGAAAGTGCCGACCTTCAAGTTCTTCCACTTCTTTTAATTGGATTTGCAACCTATCAATTGGATCGAACCAATATCTCCAGTGCCTTAACAGGTGGACTGGCATCCGACATATCGGTGAACCAAAATACAATTAATCTGGGCAACCAATTAATGTACATTGGAGTGATCGTACTTGAAATTCCCTCAAATATAGTTCTACACAAGGTAAGCAGCACTCCATTGTTTAAGTAACACTTCTGTCGCAATGGTATTGATCGTAACGCAGATTGGGCCCCGCTGGTGGATTGGCGGGCAGGTGTTTATATTCGGCGTGATCGCTGCCCTGCAGATGTTCATAAGGAATAAAACCGGCTTTCTCCTCACGAGAGCCCTTTTGGGACTTGCTGAAGCGGGATACATCCCAGGGGCTATGTTCACTTTGTCAACATGGTACACGAGAGAGGAGATTACGAAGCGGATTGCGATATTCTTCTTTGGAATGTTTGGTGGCACCGCAGTCTCTCCGTTGTTAGGTGCGGGACTTCTGAGGCTGGATGGAAAGGGCGGAATCTCTGGATGGCAGTGGATTTTCCTGGGTAAGAGGTTTTCTGCTTAATGACAGAGCATGTGGTGGCTGACGCATTTCCAGTGGAAGGAATTTGGTCGGTGACCATCTCTCTAATGCTGATGTTTCTTCTCCCTGAGAGGAAGAAGTATCAATCAGTATCCGAGATTGAGAAAGTTGACTCGCAAGAAACCCAAAACACACAACATACGATTACTCAACGGATACCATTGACAGTCGTCTGGAAAACATTGACAAATGTCTACAAGTGGCCGCATTTTCTCGCAACAGCTTGTGTTTTTGCAACCTGGTGCCCTCTTACGACGTATACTCCGAGCATCATTGTGTCTTTGGGGTTCACACGCGTTCAGGCCAATGCGTTAGCTGCGATTGGGTATTTGATGACTCTACCCGTTGTATTATTCTTCGCCTGGCTGAGTGACAAGACAAAGAAGCGTGGCTTTACAGTCGTGATTGCCATATCAGTATATCTGATTGCGCTCATTATTCTTAGACTCGTGCAGGCTCATGTTGGCCGATGGGGTAAATTCGGACTCTGGACAACCGTGAATGGCTTGGCAGTCGGATATCATCCAATCCATAATGCATGGATTCAGATGAATAGTCAGAATCCCGAAGAACGAAGTGTTAGGGTTGCGTAAGTCGAGCCTATCTGTTACTATTGTGTCACGTACTAACTTCATCTAGAATGTGTACGTTCCTCGTGGATATTTTCCGCGACTAACATCGAGCTAACTCATGAACAGTTGTTATGACGGCCACCAGTGGCCTTATGGCCGGCACCCAAATATTTCGCCAAGACGAGTCGTCGGATCTGTATCCAAAGGGCATAATAATTATGATTGCGCTAGCTCTGGCAGGACTTCTGTTGACAGGTCTTCAGGAGCTCATTTACTCCATTCAGAATCGAAATATACGAAGGCGATCTGGCTCTAGGGAGCTCAACATACTCTGATACCGACCCCAAAGCAAGTACATAATAAAAACTCTTTTCAATACTCATGACTTATCAGTTAGCGCCCATCTGTAGATCAAATGTGACATGCAAATATTTCTCAAGATGAAGGATGCTGATCGGGTAAAATTTACATGCCGAAGAGATTATGTACAGAATTAATGAGAAAAGCATGCGCGGTCTGGCGTACTTTCACCTAGTCATAAACCCTTTCGTTATGGGCTCTTTGTATCGTCGTCCATGCCTACTATAATCGTATCTTTCACCCAAGGGGCCGATAAAGAGGCGGGCGTTCTTTGCTCCGCCACCATCCAGTGCAAGTCTCAACTCTCGCTCTCGTGCTCGAATCCTTTTGCCGTGAGCTTTGCTGAGACGTCTTCTCTTGTTTTCTTCTGCGATTTCCTCTCGACTTCTGCCGGTAAATAGGCTTTTAAGCCAATTCATCGTGGACGAACACGGAGTCTTGGATTAGAGTAACCGCAAGCCTCCCACCCCAAAGCCCTTGATAAATCCAGTACGGGAGACTGGGATGCGCGTTACTAGACTGAGTATTAGGCGAAAAGCATTAACGCTGGAGATCACCCGAGGCGTGGAATATTACTTAGGATGAGTAGATAGAGGTCTCGAAGGACTCAGGACTGCAGTGATCATTTGTGCGCGATTATGTCCTCCAGCGAGAAGATTTATGTTACAAGCAAGTGAGGGAGTAGATCGACCATTTCTATGTGACCTGTTGACGATCTTTGATTGTGGCTTACATCATGATTTTGACTTGAAATGCATCTCGATTCGTTGATAGTCTAGAAGTGAAAAGCAACCTGGCTAAGCATAATGGGTTCTTGTCTGGCAAGTGGAGCTGATGTGGCGGAGCATAGGCGTATGAGCCCCAGCGCCCTTACTATGCTAGTGACAAGAATGGAAGAATGGCGCGCCAGGCGGGCCTAATCAGGGGCTCAGCCCCAGTCTGATTGGCTATCACTTCATTATGATTGGGGGCCAAACCGCCCCCCCCCCCCCCACTTCAACCAGACTGCCCATGATCAAGGCGAGACTCGTCGCAGCCTCAAGGTGAATTGAAAGAGCATCATCAATTTCATTACGTCTCACGGTCACAGCTACTCACTTTTACTGGAGCTCGGGCAAACTATCCACGTTGTATATCCACAAATCGCCAGAATAGGTCATCATTATCGCTAGTGGTCCTTACTCTTTGCAGTATAACGCTGCGCCGGGTGCAAAATGCCAGGGGTCCCCACCAGTAAGGGATGCGAAGGCTGTCGGAAATCAAAGAAAAAGGCAGGCTTGCGTCCCTAAGAACCTCTCATTGGACGCCAGCTGACGCATAATCTCAGTGTGATGAAATTCAGCCCTGCACACGATGTGTCAGGCGCCAGATACAATGCATAGGCAGTGGTTTGCGACGTTACAAATTCCAGCCCTCTAAGATGTCACGGGGAAGGTCTGCCTTGGTCCCCACACAACAAGGGCCGAAGCTCCACATTGCGCAGGTTCCCAATGATACACTCACCACATGGTTCGTCAATACGTTGGAGGTCCAGGACGTGCGCTATGATATCACATACTATGGACCTTTCCTCCGAGACTTACCCCGAAGACTCGGATCTAGTCCCGTTTTGGATGCTGCTGCAACAGCACTAGTTTCCTCATATCCTTATTTTCAAAAACAAGATGTCCCACCTGCTGTCTTGGTGAAATTTGGGAAGGCTTTGAAGGCGCTCAGGGAGTGTTTGAATAGTCCGGTTGATGCTCGATCTCCTAATACGCTGTGTGCAATCTATCTTATCTCTATATGCCAGGTATGCTCCGCTCCACAAGCTCTGACTCCGTAGACTAACCTGTAACGTTAGAGCTGGGTTGGGATATCTCAAAAGCAGCGATCTAGCCATGCGGAAGCTATTGCGCATCTTCTCAGAATTATAGATCTTAATGAATACCAGAGTGGATTTGCACGACATTTACTTATCACTTTATGTGTCCCTGTGGTATGTCATCATCACTGATCTCTCCCCCCCTTAACCCTATAACCCCCAACCTTGTTTGGATCTAATTGGTTACAGATTTTGGAAGGCATGCGAGATCCTCGCATTCAAATGAACAAACGGTTTTGGGACCAAATGTCGAGTCTACTTAATCAAAATCCTCCACCACCAGAACACAGCAGCATCCCCCGACCAACCACCAGTTTGTTCTCCCTCGCGATATTCCCCGAGTATATCCACAACCCCTCTCTACATCTTCCCGAAATAACTTCAGCATATCTCCAGCTGAAGACCGATGCACACAAGATGCATGCATATCAAAGTGGCGGCTTTCTATCCTCGTTACCAACAATCCACCAGTCCCGGTACCAGGCAGCATATACGGTGGTCTCCTCTCTAGCTCTCTTATTGAATAATCTCCTTCAATCATTTCATCCATTCGACACTTTACTCGCCAAGGACTCAGCGCTCTTTGTCCAGCAAATCATCGAGGGAGCTGATCTAGCCTCCCGCGACCGTCCACTTGGTGCCGCGTATGTCCCGTTATGTCTCATCGTTGCGTTGGCTGCAACAAGAGATCCTCAGCAGGTGGCGCGTGTTGAGGCTACATTGGGAGATTATCAATCCGACTTCAAGACGCTGGAATGGCGGAATTGTGCTAGGTGGCTCAAGAAGCTGTTGAAAAACCACCGACTGAATGGAGAATACTCTGGAGCAGGTTTTGATGTTGACACTTCTGAGTTGGGAGTCCCAGGGGGGTGTGCTATGATGTGATGGCTGGGCAGTGATACCAATGAAACAACGCCTACAATTTGAAGCAGTACGGCATATCTGCTAATGACATTTGTTAAAGATAATAATATATATCGAGGAGCCTTGAGGATGCTCATAAGATTGCAAGTTTGGTGTCAGCTAAAGTACATATCGCATCATATCGCGTTTCATTGTATGCCCTCTGCAAGCCCCAGAGCGAAGTAAACGGCTGCATCGATCAAGTCCTCTTGTTGCTTCGGCCATCCGAGGAGTTTCCCAGTAACATAAATATCATGCGGTACATCTGGTGTCTCCAAGAATTCGATTCGATTGCTTGGGATAGCACGCATCGCATCCGTAAATTTTCTGATGCTGTCACAGAGTACCTCAGCCCCCCCAGCATGAGCAAAAATTGGGACTGGGGTCGCGAATGGGTGGAGCGCTGGCGAAAGATACGGGTCATCTAATCGGATGGTGTCCGGTGGTGCAAACGCTCGTGCACCCCAGGCAGCCATGTGGCCGTCGCAGTAGTCGGTTTTCTGATTCCTATGAGTGTGGATCGCGTGTGAGTCCCCTTCGAAGCTATACTCGAGAGAAGGCGAAAACAAAAGACATGCTTTAGGCTGTGGCAGGTCGTTAAGCTCGGCGTCAAAGTTATCTTTGGAGACGAGGTAGCGCAGCAGGGCAACTGCAATAGTTCCACCCGAAGAGTCACCGGCGAGGACAATGCGGGACGGGGAGATTCCCATATCTTTCACAAGGTAGAGGTACGCTGTCACGGCGTCTTGCATGGGCCCTGGGAATGGGGTTGGATTATTGCCACCGGCGAGACGATATTGCACCCAAAGCGATCGTGTGCCATGTCCTAGCTTGCTATTAAGCATGTTTGCAGTCTCACCAGAATCCTCTGGCCGTCCATCTAACCATAGAAAAGAGCCCGAGTGAAATGACAACACGATCAAACCTTGGTCGTCAGGATCGGCTTTCTTAGGCGGAGGCTCGGGGTACCAGGTGGCGCCAATTCTCTCCGGCTTAACAGTCTGACTCTTGAAGGCACGAGGATATGATTCCTCCGAGGCTGGCTCCATTATAACCCACCGATCCCCGAGATTTACCGCCTCCATGTTGAGAGACTGTGTGAAGCCGAGCTCTGTGATAACGCCAAAAGCGACCTTCAATAGTCGTGATCGTAGTGCCTGGCGATATGACCATGTTGGACTCTGGCGTACTGAGGTCGGGATGTAGTAGATGCTGTAGCAGAAACCGACAATCGAGACCCGCACGATGGATAGCAGGGCCCAGATGGTAAAGCCTGGCTGACGTGTACGCCAGCCGCTGGGAATTGCATTTTCCTCTGCATATTCCGCCATAGCGCCAGGCCGAGGCTTGTGTAATATGGAAGCAAATGAAGAATAAACGATCGGAGTAAATGACGGAAGATGGCCATTTATACAGTTGATCAGATCGACGGGATCGATGGAGACACTAATCCTCGTAGGGTAACCAGCTGACGGTACGCTATACCCTATTAGGTAACCTTCGTGAAGCACGAGCTAAACCTTACTAGGCAACCATCCTGGATCTTGGGATCTTGGGGGCTTCCGTTGAAAGACTTGTATTGATATCTGATACTAATAAAGAATGTCTTGAATGAAACACAAAGCTGTGTTCATGAACTAAGTTTCGACGTCGGTAGCCCTGGACATTGTTCTTTTGTATGCACTCGAGCTGCCAGAGGGAAGAGATGCTGTTGAAATTTGCATATAAACTGTCATACATTGTTTTTATCAGCCTTATCGCTAGCACTATAGGCCCCGGAGCTGCCGAAAGTTGGTGATTGGATCGACATAGTTCCCGGCTAATTGCATTGAATCAATGTTTAGTAGTACTTTCCGGAGAGGAGAGAGCGGGGTATGTCGGACAGCCCGATATGATGGCTTGTATATGAAGTCGCAAAGATAATTCAGTGGAGGGAATCGAAGAAATAAATTGAATAATTGATTAAAAATGGGTCAGAATCTAGACATAATCATCGTTGGCGCTGGTTTAGGGGGACTGGCTGCAGCTATTGGAATATCCAAAGCCGGTCATCGAGTCACAATCCTTGAACAGGCCGAACAGCTCGGCGAGGTAAGTCAATTGTAGTCCTGATTATCTTCAAGATTTACATTGACCAAACATAGGTTGGTGCCGGAATTCAAATACCACCGTCATCTTCACGAGTCCTAGATCAATGGGGATTACTGGAGAAGGTCCGCACAATTGCCACACTACCACACGACTTTCATCTAAGAACGAGCGATGGAACACTCATGTCAACACAAAACATTCAACCCTTTATTGAAAAGAAATATGGATATCCGTACTTCCAAGTCCACCGCGCAGGATACCACCGCATCTTACTCAACGAGGCAATCCGACTAGGTGTGAACATCAAATTGCGATCAACAGTTATTGTAATCAACTTTCAAAAACCTGCTGTTACTGTAAGGGGAGATCCAAACTATGAGATTTTACCAGATTTGATCATTGGTGCCGATGGACTCCGCTCTTCATGTCGTGAAGCCCTCCTCGCTCGTCCAGACCCTCCCAGACTGACTGGTGACCTGGCGTACAGATCCTTAGTGAAGGTATCTGATATGAAAAGCCCACTCTTGCGAGAGCTCATCAGGAAGCCTTGCACAAATTATTGGATGGGGCCGAACATGCACGCCATGTGCTATTTTATCGAGAAGAATCAACTGTGCAATATCGTGCTCATCATCCCAGATGACTTACCCGAAGACGTGAATGTCGAGTCTGCAAGCGTTGAAGAAATGCAGCGCAAATTCGACAATTGGGATCCACAGTTAACGGAGCTCCTGCGCCAAGTTGGAAGTACGACAAAATGGAGATTGCAAGATAGTGTCAAGATGGAGCAATGGAGTCATCCTGCTCACAAATTCGTTCTACTCGGTGATGCTTGCCATGCTACACTGCCCTATCTGTGAGTGTCAATTTTTCTTACCTTCTATGTCTAATGTACTGATGATCATCTTTCAGGGCCCAAGGAGCTGCTCAGGCAATTGAGGATGGTGCTGTTCTCGGTGCTCTATTCTCCAAAGTGACACCTTCCACGGCGCGGCTGCACTTACCAGACATTCTAAAGCTTTATGAGCAGTTACGCAAAGACAGAACAGCCCAAGTTGTGCAAAAGAGTGCCGAGTTTCGTATTATCTTCCACATGGAAGACGGTCATTTGCAGAAAGAGCGTGATAGAATCTTATTGCATGAAAAGCCTGCGCAGGGTTTTCCATTCTTGTTTGCGGATCCTAGCATCCAAGAGTTTCTCTTCGGGTATGACTTTGCTCGGGAAGTTGATGTCGCTTGGGGGGAGTATGAGCGATCGCCGGTCTTGAGTTTACCGTGATTTAGGAAAAATTTGAATCATTCATCTTGTCGGGCTGGGAGAGTGCTTGGATTGTATAAGTTTGGCCAAACCCAGCGAGTATATTGAGGGTAGCCACGCGGATTGTAGTTTAAAATGGTCGTGCTGAGAACATAAAGCAACTTTATTCAAAAAATGTTACATATCATTAACTATCTTAAGGGGAAGGAACAAAAATTTGACAAAAATTTGAATCAAAATATCCGGCGAACCAACCATGAAACGCCTTGCCGGACCGAAGATTGAACGGAGACAATCGCCAAAATGGGTAGGTAAATGCTAGTACAGGTCGTGAATCGTATTCATTAAGTCCATGCAGAGATCTTCAGTCTTATTATCCGAAGTGGCTTATCATGAGACAGGGGTATGTTCAGGTGTGGATCCAGTATCAACTTCTGAAACAACGGAGGTACGTAGAGGAGCCCGAGGGGTGGTTTCGTGGTCATCTTCTGACTCTGGGTGACGAGGTTCGGTAGGAGTTGCTGGAGATATAGGAATAGGACTGGCGATGTCGACATGGATCGATGGCAGAGTAGTCAGCACCGATGCTAGCTGACGAGGTTCCTCAGTGTGGTCCCGGGTTGGACTCTCGTATGCGGGTGCATCGCCCCAGTCGAGATGCTCATATTCAGGGGGTGGCTGTATATTGAGGGTTCCGATGTCTTCCTCCACTTCTGAAACTGGACGACTGGACCCGCGTGTGGATGTTGGGCCCAGGATAAGTGGATCGCTGTCAGTTCCGCCCGTGTCGGTAGTCATAATTGATGATGCCATGGATTCAACGCGGGAGCGGAGGCTGGTAGGTTGTCGATCAGTCAACGATGGCGATGATGCGTTTACGGCGGCATTTTCTAGCAAAGGGTGATGATCGGATTCGTGGGAATCCGCTCGTAGGCGGGATCCATCATGGCGAACGTGACCGATTGAAGCGTAGCTGACACTGGAGATACGCCGCTCCCGCTCCCGAGATTGGTGTTCGGCGATAGCGGTAGCGGCACTGAGCGAGGTATTGCTGGAGCTTGCCTGGTTACGTTGACTGGTACGAGCGCGAGATTCAGCTGCCAGTTCTTCGAGACGGACTGAGTCGCCACGAGCTCGTGCTGACCGTCGCTCTTGGCGTCGGGCCTCCCGATCGGCCAGTTCTTGCCGACGCTGTAGGCGAATTTGGTACAAAGACTCCATTTGGTCCTCGCGACGAGTCTCTTGCTCTTCTGACGTCTCGGGGAATTCGACGACCATATCCATGCCTTCGCGCTCGCCTTCTCGTCCGATAACTTGCTCGGTCGGCTTCGGACTTGGCGAGTATGCGGGTAGGGTGATGATAGATCGAATCGACGTCTCACGCCGCACGCCCGTGGTAGTCGTCATTTCTGGGTTTGTGGCTCCTGCACCCTGGTATGTTGTATCTTGGTCTCCATTGGCTGCTCCCTGGTTCGGAACTTGGCCATACGAGGCACTTCCGGGGTGCCATTGTTTCCATTTGCGTTTGAAATACTTTCCGGGTATATACTTCGGCTCAAAATGCCGTTGACGGAGGTGTCGGGCCAGGAAAAAGCTAACTGTGCATAGAGCGAGAACGAAAACAATCACCACAAAGACCTAAAAATCGCAAGTCAGTGGCGAGAACAAAGCGACCGACGCAAATGTGATCGGATGTCGGCGGAAACTTGACAGGACAAGACGTACGACAATGAAGATGGTGTTTTTGTGATCGACCGACCGTTTCTGTGGAATGTACATGATGGGCAGCAGGCCCTAGAGATGATCGAAAGACATGAGATACCTAAATTCAATAGGAGTTGGGGGAGAAGGAAGATCGAAAAGCGGAGGGCTGAGGGAACACAAAGCGACTGTCAGCCACAATATTTAATTAATTCTAGGCGCAAGTGGAGTGCCAACTCAGGCACATCAGTGGCTATAATTAAACTGGTCAGTGGAGTGGCCAGTGAGATGACGGCGTAGACCAGTGGAGCCGAGCGCTGTGGATACGATGTCCGATTCATGCCAATCCCGGTGGACGCCTGAAAGGTCGGTGACGATCGTGTCTGAGTGGTTGCGCGTCAACAGTGCTGGCACGTCCCTCTTCAGGTCTCACCCCAGAGATTATCTTCTTTTCCACGGGAGATCCGCACAGTGGAGCTCGAGACTTTGTGCGAGACTGTCTTGTTTGTGACGCTCGTCATTGGAGCTCGTGGAAGGCAGCCCTGCACGAGCAGTTGTTGGCAAGTAAGGGTTCTGATCCACATCGTGATACCAACCACCGCCCTTACTTAGCTTCCTCTATCTACACATAGTAGCGACCAGCGTGAAAGGGCATTTAATTAAACTGACACTAGCGGCCTACTTCAAGTGTTAATGAGTTTCTCTGAAACTATGAAATATAGTGAATCTAATTCCAAAAATAATCAGCATAGCCGATCACAATCTATCATCTAGGAGTGAGCAGCCTTGGCAAGAGTTCCAAATCAACCTTGGATCTCGGAAAGTTTCCAGTGTATTCCCTGTCTCACATCATAATCACAATGCAGGTAGCTCGCAAAATTTATTTGAACCCACTAGGGAGATCCCGGACTGGACTGCCTTCAGTTGTTAGACTAATTTGCAAAATCTTTGGAAGTTGAACTTCATTACTTTTAGCCTCGAACCGCATTATTTGAACCTTCTCTTAGTAAGTGGAGCATTCATTACCATATGATACACGTCAAGGATGGATTATCTGCGCATACTGTGACTTTCTTTGCTTACGATAAACAGTTCCTAATTTAAGTTTCAATCAAAAGCTAACACGATAAGCAATGTCGTGCCTTATTTCTGACCGTACGATAATGATGTCCTTCTCACTATTGAATATACCAACGCTCTCAAGCAATGGCGCCATAGTTTCTTTTGTTTTTTTTTGCTGAGGGTAGGGACAAAAGTTCTGTTATGTCAAGGCTTCAGTCTTTAATGAATATTCAAGTTAGTTCGTACAAAGTTAGATAAGCAAGAAGACAAAACATGCTGCAAAACCAAACCGGATTTACCGTGGCCGTACTTGACCCTAAACAAGACTTTGCGCCTAAAGGAAGGGCATGCAAAAAAGGAGAAATAACAAAGAACAAAATGTTTGGGAAGTAACAGAATAATAGCCCGCGAATGATTTCCTGCTCCAGGTGCGCTCCACCCTCTCGGGTTGATATTCGGAATATAGTCTGTTGAAATCTCAAATCGCCAACGAGGACGAAAACGACTACCTTGGGATGTCGCGCCCTGTGAACTCCTGTATTCATTACAGCTCGGCCTGGATGGCTATCGCGGACTCATGGGTATCAGAATGTCGAAGCGCTATGGGTCCTACGTGCAAACATAGCCTTTGCTACTATATTCATTGATATCGCTCCCTGAGTAGAATGCAGGCAAAAAATATACTTTTCCAGGAAGTACGCCTTTCCTAGTACTCAGTTCTAAGTTCTTACTTCTATACGTGCTAAGGTGGGACTCGACTTACCCTAGAAGTGAGTACTGATCCCTGCAATTATATGAGCCGATGGAACTGTACGACCGAGACCCTGACCCTACAACATGGCCGCTGATCTTCTCTTTGTGAACCAGGCGCGCCCTGTAGAGGGCCACATGCCTCAGTGAATGGTTGATACACAGATTTTGTTGTCATATACTAAGCAAAGGGTAGTCCCCTAAAGTAGACTGTCCCGACCCCAAGACTTTTCCAGACGAACGCGAACCAAGGAAGAACTGCGGCAGCACTCCAAATGGTCATGCAGATATAAAAACAACATATAAATTATCATGAGCAGGAATTTCATGTTGCATTGAAATTAATTAAGCCTTGGCATGTAAAGGCGTCATTGCTCCCGAGACTCGTCCACAAAGAAAATTCGAGAAGTCAAGCAAACATAAAGTTTCATTTAACATCACGTCCATCCAATACTAGTCGATATCTTCCATGAACTACTCAGTCTATGAGTCCCCGCATTCTGGCGTTGTCAGCCATCGCCATCCCTCGTGGGGAAATGCCACGCGTAAGATCATCTGCTCGCACGGCATGATCGCAATGTGGCGGCCGGCGGGCGTCTTTAATGAGGATTCGCCCGCTTCAGGTCCCGGCGCCTCGCCTATTCCCAGCAAAGATCGACGAATGTACTACACATGTTAGTTGTGCACTCGAACGGGCCAATAGGATTTCTGATTTATCACATTTACCCCTCTACGGGATCGTCCAAGTTTTCGCAACGCTGCATCACCAGGCCCTGTCAGCCTGCCCTACTACATTCCCAATCCAGGAACTGCAGCTTCTTGAGCAAAGTGCGCCATGCTATATGTATAGGTCTCACCTCTTTGCATATAAATCGTGTCTCTTGTTGAACTGAGGAATCGTCTGCAACTTCTGGGATCTACTGCAGCCTTGTGGGCCCTATTCTCTGCATAATTTTGTCACCCTACTCCATTTAAAGAGTCGCTTCAGCCAGTCGCGCATTCTCGGGACTCCTTGACCCCATAGCTGCATTCAAGATGTCGACCCTGAATTTTGCATTGGTCAACAACACCGGCTCGGATACGGCTTATGCCTATATTACCGGACTGGCCATTGACAATAACAATGCGCTGTTCCTTTTACAGTCGGATGGCAAGACAGCCTACTATCCAACATCGCCGTCGTCTACTATCACTGCCCTGGCTGAGAACTGTGCCATCTCACTCGGGGCGTCAGGCACTACAACGACAGTGACAATTCCACATTTAGCCGGTGCCCGGCTGTGGTTCTCGCGTGGTGCTACTCTCAGCTTTTACTTGAACCCCGGTCCAGCACTCGTGGAACCATCGTCTTCAAATCCGTCGGACGCGAACTACAATATTTACTGGGACTTCTGCGAGTTTACCTGGAATAGCGCCGAGTTATTCGTCAATATCAGTATGGTAGACTTTTTCTGTTTGCCCATCGCCCTGGCATTGGAGAACACCTCGGGCACAACACAGACCGTCGAAGGTCTCCCATCGGGTGCACTTGACACGGTATGCTCTGCGCTGAAAACTCAAAACAACACCGATGGCGCAGGCTGGGATAAACTGATCATAACGACTGGCGGGGCAAACTTACGTGCCGTCTCGCCAAACACGGGCATAACACTGAACAGCAGCCTATTCAGCACCTACTTTGATTCATACGTCGATCAAGTCTGGTCCAAATACACCAGCGAAACTTTGACAGTGGACACTCAAGCAGCCGCTGGCAGCCTTACGGCAACGGTTTCAAACGGCACACTGAATTTCTCATCCGGCAGCATCACTTACGCTCAACCGACCTCCGCCGCTATCTTCAGCAACAGCTCTGGTAGCTTTGCCGTGTCCGGAGATAGCACCAAGGATGCTATCACAGCGAGACTGGCTGCCGCGTTCAATCGGTCTACCTTGCTCATTGATACAAATCAGCCAGACGGTGAAGTTGTGAGTAACTACTACTCGAACGCGATCACTAACCATTATGCGCGTATCTGTCATGCAACTGCACTCGATGGCAGGGGTTATGCATTCCCCTACGATGACGTGGGTCCGTCAGGTGGAGTGGATCAATCTGGGAGTGTTTCTGATGGTAGTCCAAAGCTTTTGACTGTCACTGTCGGTGGTCCTCTCAGCAGCAACTCGGCTAAGGAATCCACCAACAAGAAGACTGTTACAAAGTCTTCTTCACAGGTCAATCAGAAACAAGGCTTGCTTCGCAATCTGAAGAAGTTTGCTCGCAGACTGTCCCGCAGCAAATGATTGTTGATTTCCGCAGTTCAGAGTTCATATAGTGTTTCTCATGTGTTATAGGACGAATGGAGTTTGTATATAATTTCTCTCTATGCAGCCATTTTAGCTTCGTATGTTTCACCACTCGTTGACAGCCACCGTATCAATACCGATACTTAAGCGTCGACGTTTGGGTTTGGAGCTTCGAGTGTGTTTTGTGTAATGGTCCACCTTCAGAGTAGAGCTCCATTTAGATATTCTCACCTGCCTGTCTCCGAATATAAGTGGCAACCTCATCTGTTAATACTAGCCATGGAGTATGCCCCGTTGCGATAGTCTCGGTCTCAAATAGCGCGCCTTTTTCCCGTGCCCGATCAACCATCCACTGCTGCGCAGCCAGAGGAATCGCCTTGTCATGCTCACACAGCAGATATGAAGATGGGATAGTAAGATATGCTGCACTAGACGCGGGCACGCGCTTCGTGTACCAAGAATGCGGCCCAAGTTTCTTAGCCCACTCTTCTCCATCAGGCACGTCGTGGAAGAAATGGCCAACGGGATCAGCAGCAGTAACTGTGTCGGTTTCAACCTGCCTTCCATATCAATACCCTCTTACGTGTACAAACGCATAGAATTCAGAAACAATCGAGGATCTACAGAATCCGCGAATTATAGTTACTCACATCATGCAAATGCCAATCAGGCGCCGTGCCCCCCAAGGCACTAATGAGGCTCTCGCCGATCTCGGGAATAAATGCTGATATGAAGGCCAGCCGTACAACACCGCCTTTCTTGCCTTCCCGTTCACGCTCAGTCTTGCTTAACCCATCTAGACCACTGTTCACCGGCACACCGGACCAGCTATGTGAAACGACAAGAACATCACGACCTGCGTCTGCTTCCTGCTGTACAAGCGATCGAACCGTTTCGATGTCTGATTTTAGATCCTTGGTGGTTTGCGCTTTCTGGATCGATGGGAATGCGCAGGTGTAGCAGTTGTATCCGACTAGCTTGGAGATGAGGGGGTCGAATGCCGTTGGCGGATACCAGGCACCTGGGGCAAAGATGATGCTTGGCTTGGACATTGTTGAAATGGTGAATCTAGAGGGAATCAGAGATGCAATGAGGTCGATATTTGGGTATAATGATCAGAATGTTTGCCGTGAAGTGCCGGCATTGGAGACGCATATATGTGGGGCTCATGGGCTGCATAATTACGTCACGTGTTACCTATAACTCCCGAGACATTCCTGATAAAATAGAATTATTGTATGCAATGCAAATCAATGGAAAGCTTGAAATCTGCATTCGAAGTCTACAGGCTAGTCTATTCCCCGTCCTCGGGATCGTTGATCAATTCGTACAATCTGCCATTCATTCGCTGTGCGAGCACCTGATATGAACCATCTTCTACCACAACTCCCTGGTCAAGCACAATGACATGGTCTGCTATCTCAATCATTTCCTTGGCATGCGTGATAATGATGACCGTCAGCTCTGGGCGCACGGACACTAGATGCTGAATAGTTTGACGAACAATCTCCGCACCTGCTGGATCAAGACCAGATGTAGCTTCATCCAAGATAAGTATCTGAGGATGGCGCAGCAAAGCACGGGCAATGACTATGCGTTGTTTCTGGCCTCCGGAAAGGCCAATGCCCCCATCGCCAATCACGGTCCAGTATCCTCTGGGAAGCGAGGTGATGAAATCGTCAATCCCGGCTGCTCTTGCGGCAGCACGGACACTATCCATGGAGGTCATTGGTGACTGAAGATCAATGCCATAACTAATATTAGCGTAGATGGTCCCTGGGAAAATAGTTGGTTGCTGTGATACAATGCCGATCTGAGAACGTAGGGTGGGGACATGTAGCCGTGATATGTCTTCCCCTCCTAGTGTTATTGTGGGTTCTCCGGAGCGAGATTCTGGGCAGACATATAGTGCCAACAACAAAGATGCAATGGTTGACTTGCCAGACCCTGATCGACCGACGATGGCTGTACAGGTGTTCTGTGAGATTTTCATGGAAACATTTTTCAGAACCATAGTGTCTGGTCTTGAGGGATATCGGAAAACAACATTGGTCAACTTGATTGGTGTCAGATTAGAGACGATTAGGGAGCCGCGATATTCATGTGATCCAAGCTTGGGAAGATTTGATAGTTCGATGAGACGAGTGGCTATATCCTTTGATGTGTTGATTTGAGGAACTGTAGGCAATGTTAGCAATGCTTTAGATCCCGTTAGAGACATCAAGTTAAACGAACTCCATGATAGAATCTGCGCTGCGTATCCAATGCTGAAAAGCAGCAGTGAAAACACTTGGACCACGTCGTCCACCGCGAACTCATAGGCAGCGAGAGCTGCTCCATAGTAGAAAATAAGAGCTGCAGTATTTTAGTCACAAATCTGTCTCTTAACCAGCAGTTATTGCTCACCACATGCAAACATAACCGTCGATTCCACCATACCGAATAGCAAGCCGGTGTAAATGGCACGCTTCAGCCCAATTTCCAGACAGCTAGTCACGACATCGCTGTGCTTCTTTGAAAAGTGCCCCTCAAGCGTCAATGATCGAACAGTTCGAATTTCTGAAAAAGTCTCGGTGAAGATGTCTGTCGCCACGCCGCTTGCTTCATTGCATCTTCTCTCCCATACGCCATTAGTCCCTTCAAATCCGCGCGTGATGGCGTAAATGAACGGACCAGTTGCAAGGGCCACCACAGTCAGCTTCCAGCAAACCACCAAACTCCAAATGATCGCCATGATCATGATGGCAGCTGCAACTATGACAAACCCAGCAAAACGACCCAGTAGATTACGCATGTCTTCTCCATTCTGGTCAAGATAGGATGCAAGCCTGGATGAACCATGGCCATCCTTTTCAAACCATGCTTTTGGCTGTTCAAGAATGCGTTCAAATGCCTTCCCACGCAGTGTGTCCAGCCATGCCTCGGCACAAAATTCCAGGAAATAGTGCATGAGAAATGAGGACAGACCGTCTCCACAGGATACACCCAGAACAGCGAGGGACCATTTTCTGGCTAGATTTGCGCTGTCCTTACCCGCATAGAAAGTTCCGATTAATTGCGAAAGGCAGTATGAAAAGACAGGGGTGGCACTTGCATGGGCCAATGCCGATAGAACTCCCACAAGAAGGATGAGACTTTGCTTTGCGCTCAGGCTTGGCATGATTGTGCCCAATATTTGAGCCAAAGAGGGCGCGTCACCTTTCTTTCCCGCCTTTGGTTTAGATGGCTTGCGTCGGTGGCTAAGCCGGTTCGCATATTCTGGACCGAGGTACTGTACTGAGCTGGGAGAGACATAATGCACTGGGCTGTCCATTTCCGTCCTCGGGCTGGTCATTGCGACCATCTCAAAGTCCTTTCCTGTGATTTCACCGTATGTATGTGACAAGGGTGAAATGAGATCTGGAGTTGAGCTGCTGAAAGGAAGATATGACATAGATTGCAGCTCCTCTGACCCATCCACGCCATCCGATAGAGCATTTGCGTGGAAGGAATGCCTCTTGACTGCCATCCCATATGTGCTTGACCGAAAACCTGGAGGAAGGTGATGTTGTGCCCACGATGAATTCCGATTATGGCGTACTCGTTTAGGCATACGCAGGCTGCCGAGGGTCGACCCGCCGGATGAGATGTGTTCTGTTTTATCACCTTCAATTCCCAAATCTTCTTTCTCAAGTCCGAGTCTCATAGCTGAGGGAAAGTATTTTTCACATCCTGCACGATTATCAAGTTGTTTCCTGAAGCCGGAATGCGTAATGGATCCGTGCTCCAGGATGTAAACAAAATCATCTTCTAGAATTTGCGACATGTCATGAGTGATGATGATTGTCGTTTTCCCTTGGCGCCATTGGCGTATTGCTTTCATGACGGCTACACGGTTAGTATTGTCTAAGGCACTGGTTGGCTCATCCAGGATCAGTATTGATGTGTCGCGCAGCTTAGCTCTAGCGATTGCCACTCTTTGCCGTTGACCTCCACTTAAAAAGCTCCCACCAGGGCCAACAGAAGTATCAATACCTCGCGGTAAACCTTCCAACATGTTTCCCAGCATTGCTAGTTCAATTGACTCTTCGATATCTATCCTGGAGATTGATTCAGAAGACAGACTCCCGAACTTGATGTTCTGCAAGACCGAATCATTGAATAAAATTGACTTTTGTTCGAGTAGAGTGATATTATTTCGAATCCAGTTGATGCTTAGTGAATCGACTTTGTGTCCATCAATGAGGATTTCTCCCGAGGTCGGGAAATAAAACCGCATTATCAACTGACCAAGGGTGCTTTTACCCGATCCACTTTTTCCTATCACAAATGTTGTGTCTCCTGCTGGGAAGAAGAATGATGAGGAGCTCAAAACACATGTCTCTGGCTGTGATGGATAGCAAAACGATACGTTGTTGAGTTCAATATCACCATCGCAGCGACGGGGTAAGACGGTGCCCTTAATTTCACTGTGGCAACCATCTTTTACAGACTTTTGCATGAGTTTCTTCAGCATCGTACTTGCTACCTTGCCCTTTTCCATGACAATCATCTGCGGAAGGACCTGCTCGATTGACTGAGCGGCGGTTGTACAGGCCCAGAATGTTGTGATGACATCGCCTGAGGATAGAATGCCAGCGCGCGCAAGACCACTGCCGTACCAAAAACCCTGGACAAACATCCCAAACATCATCCATCGTATCAGTGCAATTTGGAAAGAGTTTAATCGCGCCTGTCGAAGATAGTGGATCGCAGACTGCTCAATCCGACTGGCGAAGCTTTGCCACTCAAATGCTTGACTATTCAGACATTTGACCGTGTCGATGGAAGAAATGGCATTGTTTGCGATTTTGGAGGCATACGTAAGTTCGGTTTGCTGTGCCGAGATACTGGAGTTCATTCGGGTGGAGAGGTAGGCGATGAGGGCAGAAAATATTGGAATTCCCGCAAGGGTGACAAGAGAAAGTCTCCAGGAGATCACCAAGGCCAATATCAAAGAAGCCACTGACCGACAAGCATATTGTAGTAGAAGGCCAAGAGGTTGAGAGGTTGCCATCTGCAGATCATGAATATGACTATTGAACTCCGTTAGCATACGGGGCGAACAACAAACGACAAGGAGGTCTTACGCTTGGATACCCGACAGAAACGCCCCAGACCCTTCTCGCTGCGCCTCAAACCATTCGATATCTCGTTTCAAAAGCTCTACAAAAACCTTTCGACGGATGCTCGCAGCCTGAAACTCCCCAAAAGCAACAAAAATCATAAAATATGCACCGTTCAGAAACCAACCGGCAGCTCCTAATCCTACCATTCCTAGACAGTTCGTCGCAATCTTTGAGCGCAATGTATCCGCATCTGCCTGTCCAGCTCCAAATGATGTAAAGGCATCAAACACATTCCCTAGAAGGACTGCCAGAATGGGGGTCACACAGCCCGCAAACAGAGCGAAGATCGACCCAGTGATTAGAACGGGTAAATGTTTTCGTGATGTGAAGCTGAAAAGGGTCTTCCAGCTGGTTTCTAGACGAGGTCCAGGCTCGTTTTGCTCCGAATCTCCATCCTGATCATTTGTTATATGGTTGTGAGGCATTACTCACAACTCACGGGTAGCGAGCAACAAGATGTAGAACGAACCCCCAAGACCAATTGGTCTTGTGAAGGTTGAAAAAATTACGAAGGTCGAAAGGTCGAAAGGCAAGAGTGTGGCGTCAACGCTCTAAGGAACCCATTGTGACAAAGAGAACAATACTAAGAGTGGTCTAATCACACCCCAAAACTTCGGGTGCATGAAGTGAAAGCCAGTGTACAGCAACAAAGAGCGGGAAGATAAAATTTTCCAGATGTCGAAGATACTGTACCATCAATCAAATTTAAGGTCGAAGATAAAATAATGCCATTTATTTCCGGGTATATCGCCAATATTCACAAGACTTCTGAACATGAAGCCCACTCCAATCCGTAGTCCACCGAGTGAGAACGATTTATCAAAGCCCAAAATCACTTGTTTTCTGCGGCCACGATCTACTTGACTGGCGAAAACGTCAAATCACACGAGATGATTTCTTCAATGTGGCCACATCCGTGATTTCATGGTTTGTTCAGGCAAGTCACAAAGGAGCGGGCACATGCCGTCGGTCTAACAGCCCGGATATGGAGTCGAACTTGGCATAGCCATGCAGAGAATATGGGATAGGGTAGAGTGATCGCGTGGAGAAAATCTATTATAAGTAACCCCTTCACTGAGTCTCGTTTGTGTGGTATCATGGCAATGCTGTCTAACATGCAAAAGGTCGATCATGCGCTAGCCTTCTGGGAGCGCTCGTAGACCCAGTCGTTGAGGCCGGCGCGATTACGAGCAATCTCAACGGCGTAGAATTGCATGCGAACGCCGAAAACGGTGGTATCTTGATCATACTCGGCATCGGCCCGAGTGCGAACAATTGTGCCGAAGTTGAAGTCGTCGATCTTCTTCTCGAACTGGTTGATCCAGTTGCGCCACTTCTCCTTGCCAGCCTTGCTCTTCATCTCGTCCTCGTTGAGAGTTCCAGCGGGGTCAAATTCGGGGAACTCCTTCATGAAGGATTCGTAGATCTCATCGTCCATCTTGGTCAGGCGGAGCTGCGAGCCCTTGACCTTCTCGAGAATCGACCAGTATGTCATCAAGTGTTCGACGGCTGTTTCAAGGCATTAATGTCAGTCGCCGTTCAAATAAAGAATGCAGGCTCATTGGACCGATTGGTGAGGATGAAATGTGGTTTTTGACGGACCTTTCACGGCGAATTGCTTCTCCATCTGTGAATTGGTCAGCGAATGACTTCTTGTACTTAGTCGGACGTGAATCGGAAACATACGTCATCCAGGTTCTCAGGGTGCTCGGGATCAAAAGCCTTCGACATCTTGGCGGTATTATTTTAACGAGGTGGCTTCAATCTAATTGAAATACAAAGTGGTGCAATGGGGACAAGTCGAGTGGGGGGTGGAAAGTGAGTGCTCTGCCCCGCGAATAATTTTTCGGTGGGCGGAGAGCGATACTGCCGGCCAATCCAACATAACGTCATTGTCTCCCCGCCTACGAATTTACACAATAAATCAGATATGCAAGGCGCGAAGGAAAGTCTACAAAGTAATGTGAATCTTGCCTATGTTGGCCAATTGCTCGGAATGAACGCACAGCATTCCATGCAAGTTGTGATTTACATGTATGGGTATAAAGTCCGTGAGTTGAATGTACATAGTTGGGGCGACAACAAATCAGAAGCCCTTCAATCGCTGTCAGCGTCGTCTGGCAGTTCTTCGAACCTTCCTTCGTGGAAAGCCTGGGTCACAGGGTTCTCCACTTTCAGAAGACCATTTGCCTTCGCTCTTTCGAAGAGTACGAATAGTCTCTCTGCTTCTCTCTCTTTCTCTTCCATGGTCATAGGTGGGCCAGTATCCTTCGGCTCTGCAGCCCATCGCTGTCCAGTGATAGGGTTGACACTATCACCGAGGCCGTTAGCGTCATCTGCAAAGGCCTCACTGGCACTCTGTGGGATCTCCATCCCTCGGGATGCCAAAAAGCCCGATGCAAATCCATAGCCGATCTTCCGGGTGAGGTTCTCAGCATCCCTCCCAGCTAAGACAAACATCAGTTCGGAAATTCCGGTTTTGAGATTTGGATATGGGCCTGTCGAAAGTTTCAAGAGCCGGGATGCAAGAGTATCGGAACGTCCGATGGGCTCGCTGCGATCGCTGTCCTCTGGCAGGAGTAGCGATTGCATGTGCTTGCGCTGTTCATCAGGAGCAAGCTCGTAAGTGATGATTAGGGTATGCAATAACGGCACAGCTTTCTCCTCCAGCTCCTCATTACTGTATGCAGAGACCGCCTGATCAAGGATGTCGATCAATTTATCAACATTACAGTTCTGGTCAAATGAGGGGAACAACGGGTTTTCCTCGATGACCTTGCCCTTTTTCCCTTCCAGGTCAAGCACGGAGAGTGAGTTAATGAGCTGGCTGGTTAGGCCTTCTAACGGCTTTGATGATATGTCAATGCGGCTAATGATCTTCAAGATGTCAGGGATGGAGGGCGAAAAGGCGGTCCCAAGGTCATAAAGCTTTGATACGTTGAAAATCAATTTGAGTGTATCAGTGAGAGCCAATTCATCCATTTGTGACAGAGGCTCTCGTCCGGACTTGGGAAATTGTTTTGCGTGTCGAGTGAGTTGCTGTTCACAGTGATCAGTAGTCTGGGGATTTTAGCTGACTTGAGGTACCGTACATAATTGACATTGTCCCCGAGGGAATGGTTCTTGATCAAGTCATCAAAATCCATGGTGGTGTTATAAGTTGATAGGAAGAGAATTCTGCTAGCGATCATTTCATCTTCGGAGTTGTCAACCTAGGCGGTCATTATTAGGACTTCCATTACCATACGGTCCAACGTGAAAGAAGTAGACATACCTTGAGCCTTTCAGCCAACTTGCCTCCATAACCTGTGTCCACAAAGACTTGGCGCATGTTCGCATCGAGCAGTAAAGCATTTGCGACACATCTCAGGGCAGCACGACACACGTCTGATGTCTCTCCTTGCACCCCATATTGTACTAGAATTCTAATACCCTGCGCAAGGCATCAGATCACAGGGACCACCGAATCTCACTCGATTTTGGTATATCGTACCTTGCTGGAATAAATCGGGTCGGCATTGGCGGGGCTAGTACCATGTTGGCGGAGCTGGAGAAGTGTATTGACCTTTTCTGTATATCGACGAGTCGCTCTTAATCAGTATGTCATGATCGATCTGTTGCCAGGGGTAGTCACGGACGAAAACTCACGCGCCGGTGTCAACTGCTTCTCTTCCAAGTCCTTTTCGAGGGAGCTCAGTAACTGGGTGACTTCCTGTAGCTTAGCTATACAAGGATTGTCAGAAGCATTCCTAGCAATGATATTGCCTATTTGGGTAGGCCTAGTCGCCTGCATACCTGCGCCGTGCAGCTGGCGAAAAGCCATTGTTTCCTGTTTCCTGGGCCGAAAGATCAAGACGGTCGCGCAGGCGGTAAAATTCGCTTAACAGTGCCAAGCTTGCAAGAAAGTGAAATGAAAAAGCGTTCCGGGAGATGGAGCATCAGTCGGTAAATTCTTGCGACAATGTCCCGCAAATGAGCGCAGGGTAGAGGAGGTGACCAAGCTCGGGGTGAAGACAGAGGTCCATCATAATGAGGTGCCGGGCCGGAACCCCACTTGTGTAGGCCTCCACCCACGCGGGCAAGTACTATATCCCTACGAGCCTGGTTCTCATAAACGTGAAGAAACCTAGATTATATTCTTTTATTTTATTCTTGCTTCACGTACTCCATATTACGTCAACTGGAGTATCTGCCCACCTGTATATTGGCCAACTGATATTTGATACCCCAAATTTCTCAGAGGCCAGCCGTAGTTGGCAGGTATGTATGGAACATAGAGGAGCTTGCTCCGGCGTGCTTGGTTCATTTGAGAACAAAGATTTGCTGGTCTGCTCTAGACGATATCACCGTGCCTGGCTAGCCGAATGGCGGAAGCCATTGCGCCAGCTATTGTGGTGGGTGCTTAGTTCCTGGCTCTAGTCCTTCAAAGTGATTGCTCGTGCCCCAGATGCTGGCTTTAGTAGCACAACGGAGTTGCCCAATTGTTTCGACCTCTGCATTAATCGCAATGTGGCCAGAAAAATGTTGCAAACTTCAAATAATTAAGATCGGTTGCTTTTTACCGACAAAGACCGTATACTGAAATACAGGTACAATAAAGGTGAAATAAGTACGCTAAACCGCATCGCGTAATTCACGGAGACGGTGTAGAGAATGCGCGTGACTGAGTGCCTGAGGCGGGTAGATCGCGCGGGCACTTTACGCGATCCCGCGAATCCGCGACAGGCGCGTCCGGAGACCAGTTTTCACTTTAACTAGCCTTGTACCCGCAACCCTTCATCGCATGGGAGGACCGCTCGATCTTGATAATTTCACGATTCCACGCCGAGAAATGGTCCTTGTCTCTTTCATTGCGCTTTTTTTCCCTCCTTTCCTCCCATCTTGAACCATGGTGGAGATGCTTGGCCCTCTTCCTGCTCGCCCACCCACACCTCCAAGGCCTGGTTCACGCATTGATCAGGACGAAACCGATACCCCCTCCCAAAACATCACAGAAACACCACAAACCGCCAATTCCTCGAGAGCTCCCCCGTCAAGCCGCGCCTCTAAACGAGTGACCTGGTCACCATGGCTTCATACCACAATTGACCTTCCGTCGGGCCCTTTGACAAACCTTAGACCTAAGGATAGCCCGTTCAAGCTAAAAGAGCCTAAGCCTCGAGACAGTCCATACAAGTCTATTTTGAAGGAATCGAATTCGCCAATACCCGTATGGTCGCCGAAATTTGATCCTTTCACCTCTGATTCTTTCGCCATGCTCCTTGAATCCGTCATTCAACAATTGGCGGGAGAGTCTATCACCTCTCGCCTTGATGCATACATGCAGTTTTTCAATGCGCTCCGTACATATGATTCGCTACCAACTGCGAAGGATATTACTGAGAAACTGAGCCTGATCACCGATTTTATACAACGTGATGTGAACCGCGATTTGAGTAGTGGGGCGCCATTAGATATCAATCTTGCCAACCAAGCTCTGAAGCTATCGGCTGCCTTGGTATGGCATTCAGGTGTATCGCCCATGTTGCCGGAAGAGTTCAAAGTTTTCCTTGTGGAGCACTCCACCACTTGCCTGCAAGACGCCAAAGTACCAAAGTCTGTTTTGACACACTACATGTCCATTCTTTCCGCGCAGAATTTCGGTCCTCGGGTAATGACCAATGCCCGTGTCATACGTTTACTCACAGCACTGGAAGAAATCAGCAATCATGTTAGTGGTAAAGCGATCGCTTTGCACCGTTTGACCATCTACCAGCGCCTCCTCAGTCAATCCAAATCCACATTCGTCTCTCGCTCTTCACTGTGGGCAGAGAATTTAGTATTCGGGCTCCTTCATCCTATGAAAGACAACAGATCAAAAGCAATTTCCCTTGGCTTCCAGGTAGCTTCCGCCGCTGGTCCAAATCAATCGCTCTCCAAGAATCTTCGAGAGCTTTTTGATCGACCACTGGAAAAAGACCGAAAGCTTGTGAACGAGGTTCGTGAGCGTATGTCGCGAATGATGGCCTCTACAGAAACTGGTATTCATGTCCCTCAGATCTGGAGTATTATTGTTCTACTTATGAGAAGCAAGGGTTCGAATTTGGAACAGTGGGAGCACTTCAAGGAATGGGTTCTTGTTCTCCAAAAATGCTTCAATTGCAGTGAGCCTTCCATCAAAGCTCAGGCTATCTTGGGATGGAATCGATTCGTTTTCGCCGTTAGTCCAAACGAAAAAACGAGTCCGTCTTTGGTCAAGATGCTAGGAAAGCCAATTTTCTCCCAATTGGAACGGAGAAAATCTGATAAATCAGGACCGGCATCTACTCAACTTGCCTTGAGTAGCTACTACAACTTACTCTATTACGCCTTCCGCCCCTCGCTTCTCCCCAACCATCTCGACATCATTTGGGAGGAATACATCGCTGTTCCGTCTGCGTCCATCTTTTCATCCATTTCATCCCTGAGTGACAGTGAAGCGGGTGTGTTAGCAGCCCTCCTTTGGAGTCCACAGGCCAAAATATGGACAGAGAATCGCATCAACGACCCAAACAAGATCGAAGCCGAAGAACTTCCCTCGATTGATTCAAAATGGGTCCGTTCAAGAGTCTCAGCGATTTTGAAAGTTTTTGAGTCTCTGCTCAAGGCGTCCGTCTGGGATGTGAATGAGATTGAGAAATCAAACATTGCTCGTGCTTGGAGCAATCTTTCAAATGCGCTGTCTTTGGCCTCTAGTAAGGAAATAACCCCTTCCACGGAATCCATGCAAGCTGTTGCCAGTGTTCTTGGACTGTTCAATCGCCTCTGGCATGCCGGCCCTACTTCATTGAATGCCTCGGGGGATGGAGAGGTAGATGCTTTCTTCGAACGGTTCCGATTCCTATCAACAACGATGATCTCCTCCCTTGGAAGCATTCCATTCACAGAAAGACTCCTATTGAAGAATTCGGACGGTACTTTTCAATTTTCCAACACCCCCACCCACCGCCATCCTACTTCTGGCACAAATCTCAACACCCCTTTTCTCTATCTTCTCCGAACAATTAGTGCCAGTCCGGTGTCATCAACGCCGACCTTGGCTTATGTCCGTCTGGTTGAAGGAATAATTCAAGCTTCGTGCAAAGGAAGAATATCTCGCGGATCTCGCCTCGAACTCCTACAGCAGTGCGCTGATTTGAGCATTGCGGACTCGACATATGTTTCCCGTCCGTCCCCACTATCTGAGGTGGTCTGGAAAGCTAGTGCTCGAGCTGCTGCTGATGCCCTACAATCATTCCCAGTGGAGTCTGCTCGGGAGCGTGATGGCTCTGTCTCCCGCGACTATGACAACGTCAATAAAATCCTTGCCTCTGGGCTAAAACCTCACAATGTGTTCCAGGAATGGTCACACTTGCTTGGGTCTTTTATGCGAGTCGCCAGAACCGAGAAAGGAGATCAAGGTCTGCCTGCTCTTATCATAGAGCCCTTGGCCGTATGCCTGATGAATCTTTCAGTTCATGACACTTATCTGCCTTCGGCATCTCTGCTGAGTCAGTCTTTGTCGGTCCCTTTCCTCCAGGGTAACAGCGTAGGAAACGGTCACACCGTCGCCCAGCAGCCGAGCCCCCCGCCGTTCCCCTACAAACTCGCGGAATCAATCGGGAGAACATTGAGCCTGGCATATGATGGCTTCAGTGTCTCAGAATCCCATGGTCTCGCAGGGTTCATCGAGTCATTGACGTCTTTTCTGGGCTCTGGTGCACCTCACTTTCGCTCACAGCTCCTTGAAACCTTACAATCTTCCCTGAAGCCTTGGATTAAAGATGGTGCATCCAAATTTGATTTCAAGCATGGTGTGGATAGTCGTATTTTAACTGCTGTACGTGCTAAACATTAAGAATACTGTTGAAGCATAAGCTAACCGGTGCAAAGTGTCGAGCTCTTACACTTGCTGTTCTGAATGTCCTGCAGACATGCGTCCGTGACGAACGACCTTCGCTTCAAACGTTCGACGTGATTATTTGCGCTGGCTTAGAGTCTCAACACGCGTCACGAGCCAAGAAATTCGTTGATTTCTGGTACTCGACGACCTCTGTAGCAGATGAAGCCTCTTCAAAAACTTCCATTGGAGCTTCTGTTGCAACAGCCTTGGATAACTTCAAAGCAACAGCGCAGTCCAAGGACAATAATAAGGTAGACATACAACCGGTACATCCGATTTCGTCACATGCACTAAATACGAGTTCACAGAACACAATTGTCCCATCTTCGGCTGCACAGAGGTTAACTTCTTTACATCACGACCCTCAGGCATACCTCTATCCCAATTCATCGCCTGTGATTGGAGTGAATGAGCAACTGTCCCGCGAGACGTCCGAGTCAACAGAGCCACAATTGCCCATAACTTCTCAGTCCCACTTGAACGAGGATTCCACAATCCTATCTTATCCGGGAAATCGACGGGATGTCTTCCGAATGATCGAAGCCATTCGATCCTCCTCTCCTGCAAATACTCCTGGTGGTTTGGGCTTCGACACGCCGGTGCACTTGCGTAGACAGCACGGCTCGCAATCGGCGTTTGGATTTCCACTGACCCCAACTCTCGCCCCGACAGAGAATGAAGATGGCTTTATTGGGTCATCCCCTACTCCCGCCACTCGGGATCCAACTCCTGCACTTCACTCTGACGCGCCAGTCTTGCGAGCGCAAGATATTGCAATGACTGATGCATCTGATCTTCCATCATCACCACCGGAAATCACTTCTCGCAGTCCAAGTCCCAGAAAACAAGCGAGAAACGCACGCCGGAGGTCTTTGGCAAGAGCAAAGAAAGCGAAGGCTCGCGAAGCTGCTGCTGCTGTTTCTGCGGAACAAAGCGCAGTCAGCAGCCCTGCTATTTCTATTGTGGAAGTTACCCAAGATAATACCGACGTTCCTGAACAGCCTAAAGAAAACACTTCCGTCTCTCAGGTTGATGAAAGACCACCAAGCCGGCGCACTCGGTCTGCCTTGAGCCAGAGCACGAATAATGACCAAAATTGGACACCAACCCCTGCATTTGGAACACCTGCTAAACCAATCGAGTCAACGACTGGTCAGAGCTCCAAGCCGAAATCAGCATCTCGACAGAAATCACGAAAAGCTGTTACAAAGACAGTAGATGATGAGGACAGCCAACAAAAACAATCTGAAGAGCTGCTTGATACTCTACCCACCCCGGTGGTGACCGATCATATCGATTCTGGCGATGACTTGGACGTCCAAATCGCTTCCCAGCTTTCACAAGACTTGGGGTTGGCTGTCGATCAAGGTAGCCACCATGAAGAACGATTAGCATCTGCTGCCTCGCAAAGCTGTAAGAAGAGAAAGCGTAGCGAGGACAATGGCACCCCGAGGGTCGCAAATGAAAGGCGCCGGTCAACCAGACTATCCACAGCCAAAGACACGGTTCCCATAGACCTGGATGACCCCGATGCGACGCAATCACAGGAGGGTGACATTGAATCGACTGATCGGCCCTCCTTCCCGGCTAAACCATCTGTACCTACGCCACGCCGATCAACCCGCAGCTCTCAACGCCAGGATGAATTTATCACATCAGAATCACTCTCCCCGATTGCGGTTCGCGGGGCTCCACATGAGCATGCTGATGATATCGAAACCTCTCAGCCCCCACCGAAGCGAACTCGCAAGTCTGCTCGTGGCGAGGATAAGTCGAGTGCTGGTGTAGTGAGCCCAGCCCAGTCTCAGTCCTCTTACAGTACCCGCTCTGGCAGAACACGTTCATCGCAAAATAAAAATCAAAAAGCCCAACCACTACTCGAAACGACGGTATCCACAACATTATCGAACCAACCTAAGATTTCAGGTCTTGAAGCACTTCCCCAGGCCATCAATCTCCCTCTGGAAACCGGTGTCAATCTTGATGGTCCCCTCGTTTCCACAGAGGAAGCAACTCTTTCCCAGGAGAACAAATCCGGTCTATTGCCAGTGTCTATGTCTCAGGACACTGATACTAACATGGATGTGGATGCAGTGATACTTTCTGACGACATTCCAGCCCACACGCCTGTGTATGTCACGCCCTTTGTCACGACAGGCATCCAACCCGAATCCATCCCCACTCCTGAACCCGACACAAGCGAGGCAGGAATCACGGAATCGCTCAAAAGACTCCTGGAAAATATGAAACAGGCTAACTTGAGCGTAAATGCTCTTCGTGAGGTTGATGACCTCCTTTTCAACATCCGTGTCGAGGCCCATGACGCATCACGGCGACACAATCATACCGCATAGCGACGGCGTTTTCAGTGAAACTTTTTTGATTTTGTACTTTATGTTGACTCTCCATGTCCTTATTCCCCACGTGCATACTAAATGTCGTAAAGCAAATAGCGGCCGTTGCATAAACGTTTGAATTCCTTTACCTTCCAATGGATTTTTGGGACTTGGTCTCTTTGGCCGTGGTGTATTTTATTTTATTCTTTGTTTGGGATACTTTGAACTATTTAGATCATAAGAGCTTTTCAGGACTAAAAAATGATTATTTCTGATATCCAACCTACCGCACCTGTGGGCGATAGTATCTACAGGGTACCTTCTAGTGAGCAATACCCGATTGAGGAAACGCACCGGGTTTGTATGCGCAAATCTAATATCAGGTGTTGGGTGTCGGAGAGCTGATACACTATAGAAAGTCCTGTGGCCCTCTTCGGGGGTGCGGGACGCCAAGCAGGCGCAGCAAGGTATGCACTTCACAGGAGAACAACGAATCTGAAACATTGAACCGACTGGGTCAAATATAATACCATCATAATCATACAGAACAGATAGAATTTGGAAAAGTAATAAAACAAAAGGCTGAATCGCATCTCAAACATCTAGAAAGGCAATGTAAACAACGATCCAACGGCGATAAAGTGGGGCTGAGATCCGATTCCCCGCCATGATCTCAGCTCAGCTTTCCTCTCCTAACATTCTTGACAATCATCACAATGGTCCGTTCCAACAAGCCATCTGCCATCGGACTGGGTGCTTCCCTGCCCCAGTCTACCGTTTCCATCAATGATAACGTTGTCGAGGCAAGCTTGCCTACTGGGGAATCCGTTGCGATCCACCTGTACGGCGCCACGGTCACTTCGTGGAAGGCAAACGGCCAGGAACAGCTGTTCCTGAGCAAGAAGGCCCACCTGGATGGCTCCAAGCCAATTCGTGGTGGTATTCCCCTTGTATTCCCGGTAAGTCAATTGTTCTCAAGCTTGCTTGCGCCGTCTGCAATCAAATTGCATCAGACCCTGAGACCCTGAAGCTAAACCATGTTCTCCCCTCTCTATAGGTCTTTGGTCCTCCCCCACAAAACCACGTTACCTCCCCCTTGCCCCAGCATGGATTCGCCCGTAACTCGAACTGGGAATACTTGGGCAAGTCCTCTGCCGAAGCAGCCGATAACCAGGGAGACCAGGCTGTGAAGCTGGACTTTGGTCTGTCGCACACCATGTTGAGCGAGGAATTCCGGAAAGCTTGGCCATATGAGTTTGGTCTTGTCTACAGCGTCACCTTGACCAAGACTTCGTTACAGACTCAGCTGCAGGTGCGCAATGAGGGTACACAGAACTTTGAGTTCCAGGTCCTGATGCATACATACCTGAACATTGCCGTATGTTTATCATCCTCTTGGCTATTCTTGCCAATAAACACTTTTCTTTTGAACGATTCCAAACTTACAGAAATACATAGGATATTTCCGCTATTCGCGTCAAGAACCTCGAATCCAAGACCTACATTGACAAGACCCGCGAGGCTACCACTCACACCGAAACCTCCCCGGCTCTGGCCATCACCGGAGAAACCGACCGCGTCTACCAGAACCTTGATCCCTCCGTGCCGATTATTGTCTCCTCTGCTGCAGACGACCAACCTTTGTTTTCGATTACTCGCGAGGCCTTGGCGGATGTTGTGGTCTGGAACCCTTGGATCGAAAAGGCCAAGGGCATGGCTGACTTTGGTCCGGATGAGGCATACAAGAACATGATTTGCGTTGAAGCCGGCTCTGTCTCGGGGTGGCAGACTATTGAGGCAGGCGACTCGTGGGAGGGTGGTCAGACTATCAAGTCGCGGCTTTGAAGGCTGAATCCTGCTTTTCATCATTGTCCCCGCTGTATGCGCGATGCTTCATGACTTCAAGACACTTTCTTTTAGCTGAGATCTCTCAAAATGAATAGATTTTGATGACCTAGTCGATTGATATGTCGCAAGTGTAACGGCTAAATTTTAGTGATAGTAACTAGAGCATGGCCAAGTGCTAGCTGTAAAGGCCTAGAATTTCCAGAATTAGGAATATTTCAAAGCACACAAGTTGGCAATCTCAATAGGGGGGTAATCAATAATCGAAAGTCCTCACACAATGCTCACGCTGCCGCCTGAAGTCGCAGGCATTCGTGGGACTAGGTGTGCCAGAGATCATGTGATTTGTACAGATAGCATCTGCAATTATTTGCTTTTCAAGGCTGACTCTTGATCACTGGTGACCATCCTCACAGTTCTGACATTATTATATGATGATTGCCAATCAGTGTTAGCACTTAACAGCAGTGCTGGTTATTTATTGTCATTGAAGGAAATCAAGCTTGCTACCTGACTTTATTGAACTTTGAGCCGCAGGAAAAATGATAAATGACTGAACCTACATGCAGCAAATCGGATGTCATGCAGCCAATGAACAAGAATGCTGAGGTGCCACTATACAGGGATGGGGCCGATTGCACTATAGGAACCCCACACCATACACACCAGAAAAACCTTGAGATAGGATACGAACGCTATGATTGCATCAGGTTTTGGTTTATCCTAATGATCGACTATACTCTAGGGGCTCAGTGCCTATAGTTTATAGATCGCTCGATCGACACTCAACTTGACGCTAAAATCCGTGGCTTTGCTGGCGCCAATCCCCCTTGCATGTATTTGCGATACATCGAACACCCCACTCAATTCACATTCTTGGAAGGCCACAATCCCCAAGATCTGATTCCCAGTTCGGCCACAATACAGTAGAGAAATCCATCTACGTCGCCCTTTTGTGCCAAGGCCACTGCGCTCGAGCAAATAGTCTATTGCCATTATCCACAGATTTAGCTCCCGCAGGCTTTCCCAGGGACTGTAGGCCACCGATCCTGGAATTTGAGAGGTCTGACCTCAGAGAAAAAGAAAGAACCTGCTTGTCTTCTCGTAGTATTATCCAAATCGCGTAATGCACGTGGAAGCCATATGGGCAGTCCCTAGCATGAAGCATTCTTGGGGTTGCAACTCGCTTCGCTTTGTATGACCAGGGAAAAGATTCGTCAGGTCGCCCGAGCGCGATGCCTCCTATTTGATCTTTTGTTTTTTTGATTCCATCATTTCCATCCCTTTTCCACGGTGCGCATTTCTTTCTCTTTGAAGTCGCCCCATGCGTCTATCTTGATCCTCTGCTTGATCTTGAAGGACACCATGGCCTTCACAGAGTCGGAAAAGTACCACGATGGGGTGACACCATTGAAGACAAAGGGCGAGATTGATATTGTGCGCTTAGAGGCCGCATTGGGGCACAAGCAGGAGCTCAAGCGCAATTTTGGGCTGTGGAGCTTGACCAGTCTAGGTATTGTGATCGCAAAGTGTGTCAACACCGTCAACCCCGTGTTTGGTTGTAGACCTGAAACTGACTCCATCGCAGCTCTTGGGCGTCAACCGGTGGAACAATTGTAGCTGCGCTGAAAAATGGTGGTCCCATGGCAGTTATCTATGGCCTTATTCTCGTCAGCGTCTTCTATACAGCTATCTCCGCATCACTGGCTGAGCTGGCTTCATCAATGCCGTCAGCCGGGGGTGTATATTACTGGTCCTCGGTGCTGAGTCGAAATCGTGGTCGCGGGGCCGGGTTCTTCACTGGTTATCTCAATGCTTGTGCGTGGCTGCTGTCTGCCTCATCAATGAGTTCCATGCTGGGTAATGAGGCGGTGGCAATGTACCTGCTCAAACACACCGATATGACCTGGAATTCATGGCAGGTTTTCATCGTGTTTCAAATTGTCAATTGGATGTGCTGTGCTATTGTCTGTTTCGGGAATCGGTTTATCCCGTTGATCAACCGGATTGCGTTGATTCTGTCAATGTGCGGATTGGTGATCACGGTGATCGTGTTGGTTGTGATGCCGAAGACATATTCAAGCAACTCGCAGGTCTGGGTTGAGTACCACAACGAGACTGGAGGATGGTCAGATGGCGTGTGTTTCATGACGGGACTACTGAACGCAGCCTTTGCAGTCGGAACACCAGATTGTATCAGTCATCTCTCAGAAGAAGGTATAGAAATCTCAGGCTCATACTAATGAAACAAAGCTAATACCATGATCTCAGTACCCAAGCCTGAATCCAGGGTCCCCACAGGCATCATGCTCCAAATGCTAACCGCCTTCACAACATCTTTCGTCTACCTGATCGCTCTCTTTTATTCAATTCAAGACCTCGATGCTGTCTACACCAGCAGCATCGGTTTTTTCCCAACTGCCGAGATCTACCGACAAGCTACAGGCTCGAATGCCGGTGCCATCGGTCTCATTGCCGTTCTTTTCCTAGCAACATTCCCAACACTCATTGGCACATTTGTGACAGGTGGTCGCATGTGGTGGAGTCTTGCACGCGACAACGCGACACCCTTTGCCAGTTATTTTGCCCAAATCCACCCAACACTCGATTGCCCAGTTCGCGCAACAGTCGCCATGAGCGGACTTGTCACCTGTCTAGGATGCATATACGTCGGCAGTACCACCGCCTTCCAGGCACTAATCTCTTCATTCATCGTGTTGAGTTCACTTTCTTATCTTGGCGCAATCCTGCCGCATGTTCTTTCTGGACGCAGGAACATGGTTCCCGGACCCTTCTATATGGGACAGAAGCTAGGGATGGCAGTCAATATCACCGCATTGCTTTACATTATGGTTACGGTTGTGTTCTTCTGTTTCCCGCTGGTCTTGCCTGCCACCGTGAAAAATATGAATTACACTAGCGTAATCATTGTGGGCTTGATGGCCTTGACAGCTATGTGGTGGTTATTCAGAGGAAGACGCGAATACCAAGGCCCACAGTATAGCTTTGAGGCCGCAGAGAGATTGACTGCTTTCCAAAGTGGTAAGGAAGGGCGACGGTCATTTATCGATTTGGCCAGTGAGTCGCCTGCGCCTCGTCTTGACGATCACCCAGCTTTCAAGAGATAATGAGAGTACTGGAAAAGGCCCTTCATGAATTATTGTATCGTCTTTGCGTTCTTTTACTTCACGTTCATGTTTAATATTTCAATCACAATGGTATTTATACTTTAATGACGCCGGTGATTTGAGATGAAATGCAACCTTCGAATCTAACACCTTAGCGAAATAATACAAATTTATATTGAAAGACATACTGCTTAATCGATGCGTGCTCCTCCGTTCTTCATTTTCTTCAAGGTTTTTCGCGCGTCTATTTGAACAGTGTCCGGGAATTCCTCATTAGAACTTTGCTCCTAGAATATGTTAGTTTCGTGATGTTCCGATCTACCTAAAACGTATGATCAGATCACACATGAACTTACGATGATTGAGTCCACAGCGAACAATGACCCGTCGCCAAGATTCCATGCCCCGTCTCGCCCAGTCATCGGGAACCCTAAACAAATCATCAGTAAATCATACTTCCAACGGTGAAACTGTAGAAAGGCTCACGAGACTCGTGTATCAAACATATCAGTGTGGAAGACCTCCATAGATACCCAGCCATTATACCCAATATCGAAAATGGCCTTCGCTACATCAACGGCAGGCAGAGTACCACCAAGATGTGACTCGCATGGAAAAATTCGACAATTCCTCGACTGGGTCATAAAAGGGGGTTGCTTCAAATCCTTCACAGGGTACCCCTTCTGCTCCGGGTCAGCCACGATTGCATCACTGAGCTGCAGGTAGACAATGTTTTGGGGGTCAACAGTTCGCTTCAACTCATCCAAGCTCTTCTGAAGTCTGTGATGACCATCCTTCCGCACAGGCGAGGTTGCATTAAACGGATCTCCAGCTTCTCTTGATGCAATATGGAATGTATCAAGGCAGTGTCCAACATTAGGAAGATTGACTAGATCAATAACCTCTTGGATATGCTGCCAGGTATTCTTGTGGATCCCCCATGCAGGAGCCTCGTACCCAACCCGAAGATTGTATTTTTGTGCTAGGAGGCCGAGCTTTCGCATATTGGCAGCTATGACGACCGGGTCCGATGTGATTCTCGATTCTTCAATGGGGTATAGTGCTGAGCAGATCTAGATAATGTCAACTTGGAGCTTTAAGATATCATAGAAGCTGATTCAAATGTTACCTGGAAGATCGGAATTCGCATGATCTGACATAATTGACACCATAGCTCAGCTTCTTCCAATCGGGAATTGACTTCCTGCGCACTTCTCAGACCATCGTAATCTCGAAATGGATTCAGCGCAATTAGACTAAGGGAGAGGGACGTTACTTTTGAATAGACATCCGATGCGGCTGCGCGGAGCTTGTCGTTGCGAGTCTTTGGAGAGGTCAATGTAGCAGCGTGTGCATCGAGGCATTCAAAGGCAACCTCGACGCCATCAAAGCCGTGAGATTTGGCTGCTTCTAGTTTCCGGTGGATTGTGTGGCCGGCGACGGATTTGCCTAGCGAGTTCGTGGCTATCGCAACTTTGATTGTGGACATTCTGGAGAGCAATGGAATGAGTCAGGTGTTTCAGTATGTTATGGATCTACTGTTGTAGGTGCACTAATAATACAATTTGTTTCTAGTTAAGAGCCGTTTCGGTTTATGATGCCGGTATATAAATTAGGAGACCGGGCGGGGTTACGAACGAGCATCTGGAGTATAACCGAGGGAACAAGAATCCTGAGTTTTAGGTAATGGACATCGGAATTTTTACCAAGACTACCAGCCACGAAATATATATAGATAAAACAGAGACAGTCCCAGAGATAGCGCTTTCTAATAAGTTAACGAGCTTTTGACGAACGGGTGCTGAGGCATGCGAGCTTTTGACCGCCATCTACTACCATCCACGGTAGAATACAATTTAGGATAGAATGGGCTAGGGATTCTTAAGTCTATTCTTTAGACATACTTTTATTAGCTGCTTTAGGATCACCAACTGCCTTGTATCGCTGTAAGTAATGAAATATGCTCACATTCGCACATGACAAGACATGGGCTTTTTTTACGGATGGTAGACTTTTACTAACTTCTAAGGCTCCGATTTCGTAGCTATTGACCGACGAGTTCACAGTGAGGAGTTATCTGAAGCATATCAAAGATTACTCCTCCTGACCTCACCGCGAAGGACTTTGTTCACAAACTCTGGGTCTTCACGGAGTGGCCTTCCAAGCCCGATCATATCAATATCGCCTCCTTCAACAGCTTCCGACATCCGGTGACTATCCCTCCAACCACCTGTCGTTCCAATAACGGCGCGGGACTATCCAACAAGTTAGCTTTTGTTAATCAACTTATCAATGGCGGGACGTACCAAGACTTTCTTCATTTCCTGTGCCCATTCGATGAAGTAGCTGTAATGGTCAGTGATCAAGAATCCCATGTGAATGTTCTGCAGTGCGTCCTACCTTCCTCTCTCTTTCTGGGAGGGTCTCTCTGCTAGATCCTTCATAATGTTGCCTCTCCATGCAGGGGATGCGTAGGTTCCACCCGATATATCGAAGAAATCTACACCGGTATCTTCGAGCCACTTGATGACGACACACTGTTCCGCGAAGCTAGCACCTCCTGCGATGACTGCTAAGATTAGTGAACAATTTCATGACTCTGGGGAGATTTTCTCATACAATCTTGACAGTTGAGCTTAGCAGCGATCACGAACTCGTTCAATGGGAGTTTGGCTTTGATCGCATTAACGATCTCGAGAATAAATCGGGCGCGGTTCTCCAAACTTCCACCGTACTGTTATAAGGTTTCTGTGGTTAATTCCAGTCTGAAACTTCATAAAAAATCATTGCGTACCTCATCATTTCGCTTGTTGATCAAGGGCGATAGGAATTGTTGCATGATATATCCGTGACTCGCATGCAGCTACAATAGTCAGTCTCATATTCTGAAATATCCCACTTGGGTCAGCAAAGCTTACAATGATACCATCAGCCCCCGCCTTGAACAGCACTTCCGCAGCCCAGACATATCTATTTTGCAAATCCTTGATCTCGGCTCTGGTCAATGGCGAAGGCTTGCCATACGTTTTGTTCAGGCAAGGCTCCAAATGCTCAGAAGAGGAAGACTTTGGGTTCGCATTCAGAAATTCAGGCACTTGGCGACCTGGAAACTGCAGCTGCGGAAGGAAGATTGCGCCTCGAGACTTTGCAGCCTTGCAAGCAGGACGGAATGCCTCGACCGCATCCCAAGGGTTATTGATGTCGAGAACCGCATTGTTGTAGTTTTCCAAGTTATCGCGGTGAATGGGGATATTGCCAGTACAGATCATACCGGCGCCTCCGTCCGCAAGTTCTTAACTGGTCAGTCGCTTGGAGTATCAGCATGGTCGGGAAATCGGTCGCACCTTGATAGAGTTCGGCATAACGTGGAAGAGGCTTTCCGCAGTTCTCAACATTGTTCTCGTCGTATGTCGAAGCATATTCACTGAGAGGAGTGCGATAAAGTCGGTTTTTGATCACCTTGCCCGAGATCTTGAGAGTGATAGGCTTGTTGGTAGCTGAACGTCAGCATTGGTCTATAAAGGAGTCTATAAAGGAGAGTGGCGGCGAAAGTGCGTACCTGTCCTAATGGGCCAGCGTGAGCCATGTCGCAGAATTGAAAACACGTTGTGCTGGAATAAAATGGGAGAGACGATTTGTACTTCCTCTCAAAGCTTTTTCGTTGCTTCGAAGAAGCTATATAGTCGAACCATGATAGGAGAGAGGTCTTTCCCCGTTTCTGGAGCTAGAGCCGGCCATATATTTTAGTCTCCGGGGTGCGGGGATTCTGGGGTAAACCCTGTCCTCGGAATATTATCAACTCGGTGGTCTAAATTGCCGCATGGTCTAATATGTAGTAGAAGGCAATCAATAATTAACTTTTTGTCTGTTCATTTTCCCCTTTGAACTATCAGAGCAAAAATTGGAGAATCCTTGTACAGCTGGAGAGCAGCGCCCGAACACTTATTCCTAAAACCCACAATTTGACATTGGTTGTTTCTATCACAATCAAAATCACATTCCGTATGCTTTGTAAGAAGGCTGCAAGTCATAGAGTTTCTAAGATGTGAGTGGACGGGTATATTCATAAACTATAGTTTAGCATTTCTATCTGGCATGGCAATAGCAGCCATGGCCTCTTCCACTCCCCGTTCGTTCGATTCCCTTTCCAACCACAGAACCTGTTGAGCAACACATACTCGTACAAGTACCTCTGTACCCCGAATCACAGCCCAACCAGCCTTCCTCGCCGTACACAAAAGTCGAGTCTCAGTCGATGGCATATAGCACATGTCCACCAACAATCCCCCCTTGGACTTTCTCAGAATACACTCGCTTATCTCCCAACATAGGACCTCTCCTGGCTCAGAAGGTGGATAATCAGGCGTAGTACCGATGACAATCGACGGGGAAGGAAGGTTCTGCGCGGTATCAACATCTGGAATGTACCGAAGCATGATGCCAGGCATTGTTTTTCTGAAGAAGTCGGCAATATCATCGACCTCTGATTGTAATCGGTTCGCAATGTAGATCTCAGAAGGAGAGAACCACTTCCACAATGCATAGATGGCGCTGCGTGCTGCTCCTCCTCCGCCAATCACCATAGCCGGTTGTCCCTTTGCCTTCGAGACGGCATGAGGGTCATGTTGAAGAATAGCTTCTCGAATCCCAACACAATCAGTGTTGGTACCAACCCACCGGCGTTTTCCAGTAGAGTCAAGACGAACAAAGGCGGTGTTAACCGCTCCGATGCCACGTGCTTCCTCAGTCAAATCGTCCAGAAGGGGTCCGAATGTGACCTTGTTGGGCATAGTTATGGACACGCCAATACATTTGAAATCGGCGAGCTTCGCTAGAAACTCATTGTTATCGGTCGTTTGTGCGAGATGATATGTCCATGACGCATTCACGGATCGAAAAAGGATTCCATGGAGGAGCGGTGACAGTGAACGAGAGATGTTACCGCCAAACAAGAACGCGTTAGACGAACTCAAGAGCGACGATGGAGTTAGAGGCGACTTGCCGTACTCGTAGGATTTGCGTAAAATGTCCATTTTGTTGCTCAATTTTCCGAAAATTACATGTGAGGGGGACCATGGCTTAAGAACCGCCACGGTTTGTGCTTTGCGGGGACCGGCCTGTTTTTATAAGCACCGACGCCCCCCATATTTAGGTCGACATCATTATCAAGTAACTAATGATCTCCAAAATGATAAGTGAAGCCTGATTTTGTGATTCATTATGAATCTTCAATCCAGAAAAGTGACAGTTGCCCTTGTTGGCGGAGGAACCATTGCCCCTTTTCATGCTAAATTCCTCCTAACCTCTCCTACCTGCTCTTTAGTTGCTCTCATCGACCCATTTCCTCCTGGAAAGCAACTGGCTCTGAAGCTTTCTGTGCCACATTTCGCGTCCGTGCAAGATCTTCTCGGGTCCTCGGTTGGAGCCCCGGATGCATACATCATTTGTGTACCTTCTAGTCTTCACGTTCGTGTAGCCGAGGAGGTGCTACACTATGCCTTCCCTCAGGCCATATTGATTGAAAAGCCCTTCTCTACCGAGTCAAGCTCGGGAGACAAGTTTCTCCAACTCGCAAAAAGCAAATCCTGCACGTTGTTGGTTGGCCACCACCGTCGGTTCCATCCGTCACTTGCAGCAGCCCGCCAAGTGATTGATAATGGAACAATCGGCAAAATCATCGCAATATCGGGAATATGGACCGCCAAAAAGAATGATGGCTATTACAAGGAAGCTAGCTGGCGATGCTCTCGCAAATCTGGAGGCGGTCCTGTTTGGACGAACTTCGTTCACGATATTGACGTTCTGCATTATCTGACTGGATCGAATGTTGTGAGAGTCTGGGCAACGCAGACCGCCAGCCAGCGTTCCCATGAAATTGTTCCAAGCGACGACCCAGTCGAAGAGGGGGCGGCAGTCATGCTTCAGTTTGCCAATGGAGTGGTGGGGACCTTCATAATCAGCGATAATGTGGCGAGTCCATTTGGGTGGGAGGCTGCAACGGGCGATAATCCTCTTTATCCACCAGCTCCGGTAAAAGTGGATACATATCGGATTCTGGGGACTAAAGGAACTTTGACAGAGCCAGATGGTACACTTTGGCGCTATGATTACAGTGATGCAAAGCAGCTAGGAAAAGAGGTAGGATGGAATATCCCCATCCGCCAAGAGGAGCTAAGCTCTTCAGATGATGTACCTTTTCAGCAACAGATAGAACATTTGGCCCGAGTCTGCCTTGAAAAGGAGAAGCCAAGATGTTCAGGGGAGGATGGCTTAAATGCAGTGAGAGTGTGCGAAGCAGTAATTGGTGCTTTGGAGGCAGGAGATGGCATTCCGATTGACCTGTGACTATTGAAGTATCGAGATGACATGATAATTGATGAATATTGAGATCCTATCTGTCATTCATGATGCTCTAAGAATGTTGAAGTTTACAACTTCTGTACTGACGTTTGGTCTAATCAGCTTCTTTTCTCCTCAAAGATTCTAGCAGAAATGGAGGGGCTCAAGTGAGCAGACCCATCTGCTATTGCTTACAGAACTTTGGCAGGTGAGGAAGCGGTAATTTGATATGCTTGGCCCGGACCTATAATCCATATAAGCCTGAACACTAAGAAAGAATATATTATTCTTCTGTCAGTCATTTTCTGAGACATTTGCTCAAAAGGGGCATTGTGTTCCTATCTACCATCGTAATTGGAAATCGATTGTCCCCCGCCATATAGTTAAAGAATGCACCGGATTCGGTCCGGCATTCAGAATTAATCTCCGGTTTGAGATCGTACCAATCAGAACAACAATATTAGGGTCTTAGATTTGACGTCAAGACTGTAAGTGAATCTAGATCTGAACTAGCGAAGCCTAATCCCCCGCATTTCTACGGATATTGGGAACCCCATAAGATAAAAGCTGGGGTATCCCTCCCTTACTCCCGATAATATTCTGATTGACACGTACATTATACCAAATCGAAGTGCATTCGTCATGTTTGAAGAGTATATCCAAGGCAAGACCTTGCGTCGACTCTCTCGATTCAGTTGCTCTGTGGTTAGTGCTGGTACATGTTCCGTGAAATGTGTATATTACTCACAGAGATGTACAGGGCTTCATGATTGAGGGTTATCAAGCCGGCGTTCTTGGTGGAGTACAATCGACAACTCCTTTTCTGAATGCTATCGGGGTATTTTACTGCATTGAGATTTTTCCTAGAATTGTGCTGACATGGTTATAGAATCCGACTGGAACAGAAACAATTCCTATGATTGCATCTTCCTATACCCTAGCAGCGGCATTCATGGCATGTGTAGTCATGCTTATTGGGATGCCTCTTGGTCGACGAAATTGCATCATTATTGGCAATGCTCTTATTGTCATTGGAGGGGCGGTTCAGGCTGCATCATTCTCCGTCCCACAGATCATCGTGGCGAGAGTTCTTGCTGTAAGTCGAGATATGAATGAAACAGAGCTTCGTGCTAATGAGTGTCAGGGATTTGGCATTGCAGTAAGAGTGATCCGTCAGATGACCAGATGAGACCACCTCTAACAAACTGATAGTTCATTACGTGCAACGTTCCGATGTATATGGTAAATATCTACGCGCCATCCGCACCTGGAGTTGACCTAACGAATTTGACAGTCAGAAATGAGTATCGATGCCGGAGGACGTGGTCCTGAGGTTGCCATTAATTGTTCATCCTTAATCTTCGGCGTTGCGCTCTCTTACTGGGTGACATTCGGCTTCACGAGAATGACAAATCAAGTTTCCTGGGTAGGTTGCTACGACTTCATCACTTGCAACTTGCTGATTCATATTCAGCGATTTCCTGTCGCTATTCAAAGCATTCTAGCAACTCTATCTGGAGCGACCATGGTATTTTTACCTGACACACCAAGATGGTACTACGCACGAGACCGGATTGACGAAGGCGACAAAACACTCTCTCGAATCTACGGTGTCTATCGTACAGGCATCAACAATAGTAATGATCTTGAAGAAATCCGAGTTCTCAAAGCAAGTATCATGGAAAATTTCGAAGTGGAAGAAGAATCAAGCAACCGCCTGACACTCCTGAGTTTAATCTGGGATAATACACCACTTCGTGTCGGTCGGCGAGTGCGAATTTCATTCATCATTCTCGCTATCCAACAATCAATGGGTATCAACATATTGATCTACTATATGACCCAAATTTTCGAAGATGTCGGGTTATCAAATTTTATGGCCTCTTTGTTGGCGGCAATCTCGTTGACAGTTCAATGGTTTGGTTCCACACTTTGCATTGTGACCATTGAGCGCATTGGACGCCGACGAATTATGTTGATTTCATCTGGCATAGGGACGTGTTGCATGCTAATCTTTGTCGTGCTCAACATGATTAAGAAGAAAACTACAGCAACCCAATGGACTGCAGTGGCAGTCATGTTTCCCTACTTGTTTGTATATGGCTGGGGCTGGGTGGGATGCCCGTGGCTGTATGGACCGGAGGTATAGACCAATCTGCGCAATCAATGCTATAAAGGACGTGAATACTGACGTGAAACTGACAGATTGCCCCGCTTCGGTACCGTCACATTGGATCCGCAGCTGGAATCCTAGGAGTATTCCTATTCACATTCATAACTGTTTTTGCGGGTGGTATTGGGCTTGAGACAGTTGGCGCGAGAATTTGGATTTGGCCTCTCGTCTTCAATGTTGTGGCCTTTGTATTCGTTTATTTCATGTGCCCAGACGTGAGTATACCGGATATCTATCTTCAGAGACCGAAACTGACAGGTAAACAGCCGACCAATAAGACTCTCGAAGAAGTGGACGCACTTTTCACCCAAGATGAAGCGGTGCTTAATCGCCTGAATCACGCAGACCGCGGTGAAGATGAGAAACCTGGCATGCAGCAAGTCGAGAACGCGGCCTAGTCGCTGCACGAGGAGAAAATTTCGATGAGACCTTCAAACCTGTGATCCCGATATGAATGGAGCATACCCGACCGTTAAAAGAGAGAAGAAAAAAAATCATGAACCTTAAATGAGTGTGAAGTTATAACGCTTTGGAATGTAGTTCGTTTGTTGCAATCTCCCTATTTTCCTCTCGGGTATCGCGTCAAACCCAATATTCAAGCCATAGATCCTTCGGTGTCACTAGGGATTATTTGACGGAGCTACTAGCTTTGGCTAGAACCACCTTGCAGGTAGATAGCAATTCAATGAAGTTGCACCTCACCATCTGCGTATTCGCAGGATTTGACCTGTCATCAATAACAATGTTGCTCCTCGAGGAGTCGCAGATCATTGCGCTCGTATTGCGACTGTGAAACCAGTCCACTAGGAGCCACCGTGCTAGCGAATTGAGACTTTGACGATTTGCTTCTGTCTTACGTGATGTGACCGTCCAAGAATATCCTGCATATTGCCTTATGGCAAACCGACCAGTATGATTAGGCCGTTATGGATAAAAAGTCGAGAAAGGCAGCCGAGGAGCGTGGTTAAAAATTGGTGTTTCACGGAGTACGACGGAGGGATTTGGCTTTGCAAGTTACAAAGTGTTCTGTTCAACGCTGATCTGCATTCCATTGCGAACTGCCATCGATCTGGGTCGACATGCCCCCTTGCGTTGCCAACCCATCTCTCCTTGCTTGTCACCTAGTCCCCAGCCCCGGGCATGACATATTGCAGTCAAGGATGCATGACGTTAAATTCCTGTCCTTGATTGGACTTATTCTATTTCCATAGTGCACTTGAGCCTAATGTTGTTCCTTGAGTGCAGCGGAGTGATTGTTCCGAACCACCTCCGCTTCCATAGTGCATCTCGCCTACCTCCATCCGGGAAACCAATCATTTCGTTATTAATTTTGGAGTAATGTTGGAGAGATTTTGACATCTATCTTCTCATTTTGGACTGCCCAGTTATAGCCTCCTTGTCACGTCGCCTATGGCATACTTGAGCTTTGATTCACACAGGTCTTGAGGCCGTTTGTCCAGGGAGCGATTATCGCTCCCTCCCTCACAATGGGGAACGTATCACCGACACCTCACCAGCTGCTTGTGGAAGCAGTCGTCTTTTGGAGTATAGGCGTTGTGATTTATGGCGGAAGAATGTACGTACTCTGATATAGTGTTTCATGTCGCAAGGAGCGCTATACTCATCCAACCAAGGATTTCCCGGACCATCGCCAATGGGTCGATCAAACGTTTGCTCTGTATGTCAACCAACTGTTATGGGGTTCATGGAGATTAGCGCTGATTACGATCTGTCATACAGGGGACGACTATGTAATGACAGCAACCTTTGTGAGTCGACCACTTCAAGGATAAATGAATCGGTTGACTGATTACTGTCAACTTTGGCAGATGGTTTATACTACTCTCCTGGTGTTGATTCAAATATCCTCGCGCTACGCAACCAATCTCATGGACCCGAAGGATTATGACCAAGTATTATCAGATCCACAAGAGGTCCGCGATCGAATTTACGGAAGCAAAATCGTCATTGGGCTGGAGCAGTGCATGCTTTTCTCAACATGGGGAGTCAAGACATGCATGTTGATTTTTTATTGGAGGCTTACCCAGAGCTTGCGCTCCAACCTCTACATTAAGATCCTGTCAATTTATGTGGCCCTGGGGTTCGTGGTTATTATGGTTTGCTACTATGCTGTTTATTGTCGGCCCTTCTCCCAGTACTGGGCCATGCCGGTGAAGAACATGCAATGCGCCACTTATCAGCGTTACTCGATCACTCAAGCTGTGTTCAACATTTCATCCGATGCAGTGATGTTCGCCATTCCAATCCCCCTCCTTATCAGAGCTCAACTCAAGAAACACCGCAAGATTCTTCTCCTCGGTGTGATGAGCTTAGGTCTTTTTACAATTATTGCTGCCATTCTGAACAAATATTTCAACTTTGCATCACCTCTCACCACTACCTACCAAATCTGGTACATTCGAGAAGCCAGCACCGCTATCTATGTGGCAAATCTGATGTGCTGGTGGCCACTGCTACGAAAGATCTTTGGACTGAAGACATTCTCCTATAACAGCAACCGAGGCCAGCGAGGACAAGGTCCCAACATCCAGAACAAAGAGAACAACGGCTCCTCACAGTCCGGGTCCCGCCCTTCTTTCTCCATTCCACGAGCTCTGAACTTCGTTCGCCCAATTTTCAAGAAACCACACAAGAAGGGGCATCCTACACGGCATGGTGAGACTCATAGATTCAGCCAAGAAGCCATAACCCACGAATCCAACGATTTCATGGAGGATTTGCATCGAGTGGAAGCACATCCACTTGAGCAGTGGAACAAAAATGATAATAATTTTGGAGATATCGAGGAACCGAGGCCAATGAGCCCAGATTCAATGACAACATATGAGAGCACACAGCCCAAGCTGTGGCACCTTGACCAGAGGAACAAGGCTACTTGATCATTCACGTGCATAACGACAGGTTGAAACTCCCTAATCGGATATCTGTTCTGGTTAGTTCTCATACTTCGCGGGGGCTGATGCCAGACAGCGCACTTTTTCGAGGAAATGCTTATTGAGATGATACACTCGGCCTGTTATTGATATTACAAGGACTTAGCTATCTCCATCGATATTATTATGATATACTCATTGGGATTGTCTCCACCTGAAGCCATGGTTCGCTTGACGCTATGCCATTTCGGGATACTGTGAGGGTTGTCCTAGCGTACATTAAAGTGGATATCTGGTAAAAGTGGCGCCGATGGTCAAGTGGTTACGATGCGTCCCTCCCATTCTGAATATGAGTTCAGGTCGCGGCCCGGGTTCGAATCCCGGTCGGCGCACATCGCTTTTTTGTTCCTGTTTGATTCCATTCTTTTGCTACATATCGATGGTATACCTGTGAATGAATATATCTGTGAAAGATTCACTCAATCAGAAAAGGCCTGAATATAGTCAAGTACATATCTGCTAGAGTTCATGGATTGGTTAGGAGGATATCCTGCAGCGGTTAAGTCGGCACTCTCTCCGGCATCGGGTGGGCCAGATATGGTGTCAGTGTGGGAAATTTCTTCGTATTCTTTGCATATTTTTTGCTCTTTCCCATAGCAGCCTTCTAGATACATATCAAACTGTTTACAACTAAAGTGATCTTCCCGAACACTGTAGTGTGATCTACACTTATCCTATCAACTGCACATTCGGCGGTTTCCATCGTTACACCGGCTCGCGTGCCCCTCTTCCCCCCAGGTCTTGGCTGATGGGGCATCCTCCACCCGAGCCTGTGGGCCAATCCCACCCCGACCATACAGACGTCATTCGGTCCTCACAACACTCTGAGCTCTCGTCAACAGATATACCTAGTGATAGTGATAGCGATGACGATGAAAGCACCGCTACACCCTTTCTTGACAGTCAGAATATTCGTCGCTCTGCACCCGCCCCGATTCACACAAGCCACCGCCGCTTCCCGTCGATCGATGAAAGCGACACAGACCATGTCACCTTGCCCGCCCCAGAACAAGAGTTAGCAGAAGAGAAGCCGGTGACATGGAGCTCGCTGCCCAAGAAAGGCCAGTTGGCTATTTTGACAATGGCGCGGCTGTCTGAGCCGCTCACCCAGACCTCGCTGCAGGCATACATGTTCTATCAGCTGAAGTCGTTTGACCCGTCGTTACCAGACTCGACCATCTCGGCGCAGGCTGGTATGCTACAGGGTAGCTTCACAGCTGCTCAGTTCCTCACTGCTGTATGGTGGGGTCGGCTGGCCGATGCAGGATGGATGGGCCGCAAGAGAGTTCTCTTGATCGGCTTGTTTGGTACTTGTATCTCTGCACTTGGATTTGGCTTTTCCCGGTCATTTACTACTGCAATCATATTTCGCACACTGGGTGGTATGTTGAACAGCAATCAAGGTGTTATGCGCACAATGATCTCCGAGATTGTCGTGGAGAAAAAGTAGGTTTTTCACCTTCTATAGCTAATCACTTCGATACTAATATGTCGGGCAGGTACCAATCACGAGCATTTTTGCTTCTTCCAATGTGCTTCAATATTGGTGTCATTATCGGTCCCGTCTTAGGAGGAACACTGGCAGATCCTGTCCAGAGTCTGCCCTGGCTTTTTGGCCCGGGTTCCTTATTTGGGGGTGAAAATGGAGTATGGTGGATGAAGCATTGGCCGTATGCCCTGCCGAATCTACTGAGTGCTTGTTTCATCTTTATGTCGTCCCTTGCGATTTTCTTTGGTCTCGACGAGGTGTGTGATATTCCCAAGCATACTACACGACAAATGCTAATCTAAACATAGTCCCATGAAATCGCACGTCATCGCAGAGATTGGGGCCGCGAACTCGGAAAGAGAATAGTTCGCGCCTTTGCCAGGCGCCCCTTACACTACAGTCCCCTTACCCGCTCTGGTCAAGATGCCTCTATGTATCTGGACGAAAACACGGAGTGGTCAGCACCATCGAGTCCAGTTCGTGCACGCTCGCAGCCACCTCAGGTTCCACGTAAACGAGCAGGATTCCGACAAATCTTCACACGCAATGTGGTCTTGACTCTCCTGACCCATTTTCTGCTCGCATTCCATACCAGTGCCTTCAACTCTATGACCTTCGTGTTCCTACCTACTCCCCGTGCCCCTGAAGACTCCCGCACAGGCTTCTTCCACTTCAGTGGAGGACTAGGTCTGCCATCTGCCCGAGTAGGCCTTGCCACTGCTATCATTGGCTTCATTGGTCTCCCGCTGCAAATATTCTTATACCCTCGCATCCAAGGAAAGCTGGGAACACTTACCTCGTTCCGTACCTTCCTTCCTCTTTCGCCCATTGCGTACTTATTGATGCCTTTCCTTGTGGTCCTGCCTCGTGTTCCCTACATTGTCTGGCCTTCCTTCACCTTTGTCGTGTCTTTGCAAGTCATTTCCCGCACATTTGTGCTCCCTGCTGCCATCATCCTTGTCAATAACTGTGTCACTGACTCCACTATTCTCGGCACGGTGCATGGTATTGCGCAAAGTATCTCTAGTGCTGCTCGTACCTTGGGCCCACTTCTCGGCGGCTGGGGTCTTGGCCTGGGTCTTATGCACAACATGGTAGGAGCTATTTGGTGGGCTTTGGCAGCGGAAGCTCTGATCGGATATATGGTGCTTTGGACTATATATGAGGGCAAGGGAATTGAACGACCTAAGCCTGTGGCGGATGAGGTGGAAGAAGGAGAAGAGCGATGATGGAATTTTGGACATTGCGGAAATATATTTTGACATGGCGTTCAAAATCTAGACTTTGATTTTTGCTACAGCCAATTTTTTCCAAGGTTGAGGACATACATGATTATTGACGATACAAATGAGATAGCCTATCTTCTCGGATACCTATCCGAAGACCCTATTATTTGTCTACTTAAACGTAGATATCGACAAGGCTTTTTGGACAATTTAAGTCTATAGCCACGAAGCATTCGGAGGTTGTTCTTCCTAGGCCATTGCAGCTAACTTAAGCATATCCAATTAGCCAGTGCAAAGCTGGCCGCAAAATGCGTCCTCCATGTATTCGTTTCCGTTCATCCGCTAATCATATATTCATAAGGAGTTGTCTTGAGACCATATAACAATAAATGGATATCCAACCTTTTTCTTCCCCGCTCAACCACTCGTTGTGCTTTATCCTTTGATGCACTAGTCAACGTACTTTCTAAAAAGACGGTGTGATGAAAGCTCTCAAAGCAAGAGTGACATCCCCCTCACTAGACTTCAGTAACTCCGTCGCCTTGTTCTTGGACAAGTCTAACTGATCCACCTAGATTAATTTATCAGCCCAGCCCGAAACTCAACCCCGATTCCTCATACACATACCAAGAATGTGACATCCGCTGCCGAAATCTTAACCGCCTTCTTTTTCACTTCCACTCCATTATTCAGAGTCTCCCCAGGCTGCTTCTTTCCCGCGTGATGTCCTGAAGCAATCTCGAGCCGGCTCATAGCTTTACCCAAAGCTTCCTGGTCTGCACTAGATGGAGCCCGGGTGGGGCTAGCGGTGGCGCCGATTTCATTGGTATGGAGGGAGGAGAGTGCAGCGGCGGCTTTTCGGTCCTCGGCGTTGGCTGGATGTGGATGCTCCAGCCCTTCGTGATCTGCACTTGCAGATGGAATGGGGTCGGACATGGTGATAGACAATTGTAGAGCTATAGCAAGCTTAGAGTAGAGTAGTGGTCAAGCTTCGCTGATAAGCGGAGATATGATAACAAATGACATAAGTTGTTGCCTGTGCAACAAGGCATACATCTGACTCACCGGGTTCCGTGAATAAGCGCGTTTGCTAAGGTTACGCTTTGTCTACGTTTGCTTTTTCTGCTCTTTGTTGTTTTAATTTGCTGACGTGGTGCTGAATCCCCTGGAAATTTTCATCTCTGGATTCATTGGTATTCGAGCTTATCAGAGCGTTGTTTGGCCTCGCTCCCTTTCTCCGCTCATTGTCCCTGTCCCACATTGGTTAGGTGGGGTTATCGGTCATCCCGGCATTATGACGGATTGGAGCCCCAGTTGTATGTGATCATTCTTTCTTGATGACTTTATTACGCATATATCATGGCTTTTAGCTGATCAATTACAGCGTGGACTACCAAGCCCATCAAACAGGATGTTGTCTATGAAGATACAAAGGGTGTTCAGGATGCGCTAGAGAAGTTGCAGAAGCTCCCACCGCTAGTCACCACCCAAGAAGTACGTACAATGCTTCGGCCATTGCTCAATGGTTATAATACTGACATGTATCAAGATCAACAATCTTAAGGCTAGCTTAAGGGATGTTGCGCTGGGAAAAGCATTTGTCTTGCAGGGAGGTATGTGATCAATTTGTCTTGATTGTGTGCATGTCTAATTGGCATATCTGCAGGCGACTGTGCGGAGTTGTTCGACTACTGCAACCAGGACATGATCGAAGCCAAAGTCAAGCTGCTGCTACAAATGAGTCTAGTTCTTATCTGGGGTACGGACTACTTCTCTAGAAGGCTTTGAAAAGCCCAGATGCTAACGTCAATACAGGAGCTAATAAGCCCGTCATCCGTATTGCTCGAATTGCGGGCCAATTTGCAAAGTTCGTCATAATATAAATAATAATTGTGTGGGCCAGCTAATGAATCCTCACTTCAGGCCACGTTCAAGCCCTACAGAGGTTGTGAACGGTGTGGAAATGCCCTCCTTCCGGGGTGACAATATTAATGGCTTCGAGGCAGATGTCGCATCTAGACAACCTGACCCATCCCGCCTGGTCTCAGCATACTTCCACTCCGCGGCAACACTAAACTACCTCCGCGCCTCATTGTCCTCAGGCTTGGCTGACCTGCACTCCCCATTAGACTGGGGTCTCGGTCACGTCATCACCCCTTCAATCAAAGAGCAATACAGCAAGATCGTGAGCGCCGTCAAGGATGCACTGCGCTTCATGCGCACAGTCGGTATCGATAAAGACCGCGGCGTCACGACAGCCGACATCTTCACCAGTCACGAAGGTCTATCTCTAGAATACGAGCAGACGCTCACCCGGCTCCTACGCAACCCTATTGAACGAAAGCACACCGGGGCAACCGCTCAGCAGCCAACATCCGGCTTTTACGCGACCTCCGCTCATTTCCTGTGGATCGGCGACCGCACCCGCCAGCTGGACGGAGCTCACGTGGAATTCTTCCGTGGGATTGCCAATCCAATTGGTATCAAGATCGGGCCTAGCATGGTGGCGGATGATCTAGTCCGACTCCTCGACGTTGTGAACCCTACAAAAGAAATTGGTAAAGTTACGCTGATCTCGCGGTATGGTGCGGGCAAGATCGCCCAGTACCTTCCTGGTCATATCGCTGCTGTGCAGGCGTCCGGCCATATTCCCGTCTGGCAATGCGATCCCATGCATGGGAATACACAGGCCACGCCTTCTGGTGTCAAGACTAGGCATTTCACCGATATCCTTGCGGAGCTACGACAGGCATTGGAGATTCATCGTGCGGCCGGATCTTTCCTTGGTGGTATGCATCTTGAGTTGACCGGTGAGGCTGTTACGGAGTGTGTGGGCGGTGCAGCTGGGTTAACGGAGGATGGACTTGGGGAGCGGTACACTACTTTCTGTGATCCTCGTTTGAACGAGAAGCAGGCGCTTGAGCTTGCTTTCCTTGTTGCTGGGTTCTACCGGGAGGAAGAAGATAATTGAGTAGTCTGACCTAATACATGACCTGGGCTAGTATAGGTGTCTCGGGTTTATGCAAAAATTTCATTTCGGTTTCAGTGTTCTATTTAATAGAAGATTTCAGCTTTCGTCTAGCACTATTCTCTATCTTCTGAGTGTTCAATGTTATTTAGGCAGTTTGATCAACAAATAATAAATGTATTTGTCTGGAAGAACATATGGGCTGGTCAATTTAAAAGTTTACCGAGCAGAAGTGGGACATGGCATACGGCTCTCGCCTCATGGCTCTAAGAACCAACATTTCAGAGGCACAAAAGGCGTTTCTCACACACCTTCGCTCGTACGCTTTTCCAATATCAGGATGAAATCATGGAATTACTGATGTAGTGGAGCCCATGGCCACTCTAACTCCATCAATGTGCCTCATCAATGTGTCCTTAATATGGCAAGAGAATAATGAGAAGATTCATTGGTATTCAAGAAATGCACAATTCAGCATTTCACATCGATCTTGAAATAGAATAAAGCAAAGCAAGAACGCCAATCAAAGATAATGCCCCATATGTACAGCAAAGGGAAAATGGTATCTACAAAGGTTCATGAATGAATAAATCATCGTGCAAGCGGGCTTGCAACAGCAGGCTTGAAGAAATGACTCTTGCGCCGCGCGGCCTCCATGCGAGCGCGTTGCTGACGTCTAGAGCCTTGGTCATCTTCTTCCTCGAAGCTCAGCGCCGGCTTGCTCTCTGGGAACAAGCCACGACCACTCTGCTTGGGCGGGCACGACTGCTGGACCAACTGTGCGCGGTTTGAGAGGAAGTAAGGGGTGGCTGGGGACATGCCAATGGCATCCAGGTTGGAAAAGTTGTAGCCCGGTGTCTGCGGGACTTGGGAGCGATAAGAAGAAGACTGCTGAGTCGGAGTTGATGGTTCAACAACAGGAGTTGGGGGTGTGATCTTGCGGAATCCTTCGATTGCGCCCTGATCAGCGCCGCAGCGACGACCGCTGGCAGAGGAAGTGGAAGGCTCGGCGACACGCACGAGGGTGCCGTTGATGTTACTCAAGGCACGGGGCTCCATGCTTTTGCGGCGTTTGGCGCCACCTCGTGGAATGATAGAGCGGTCGATCGCGTAGGGGGTCTCGTCGACCCATTTGCCTTCTCTCTCGCAGCTAGGTGACAGGGTTAGTACGTGTTGAAAATCAACAAAATAGAACAATGACTTACTCGAGAACCCAGCCAACGCCCACGCATTTGACGAGGCCGGCAGCTTGCTTGACTTTCTCCAATGTCCGCAGACCGCCGTCCTTGTAGACGACGTGAGTGATACCGACCTTGGCGACCGGGTCTACTCCATCAACAGGGGACATGCTAGCTCTGGGGTTCCAAGACCATGACTTGAAGCAACGGGCTCCCATCTGTTGCAAAAGCTCAATGAAGATCCCTGAGGCATCTTCACCTTCGGTAGTGTGAACATCGACGTACACCACTGCACCGCGAAGAGCTAACTTTTTGGGGCTGGCCTTGCGGCGAGGAGACTTGCCGGGGCTGCTCGCGACAGAGGGACTTCTGACCGGCGCCATAGATGAAATTCTTGAGCTAGATCGTCGAGATTCGCTACAACGACGTTTCGGACTGGGGCTCCGGGGAACCTGTACCTCCTTTCTGGGAGAAAAGGTAGGAACGCTGTCGGTGCGAGAGGGGAAGATAGAATTGCGAATCCGTGGTGATGAGCGGGTGGGCGAGGTGTGTGATAGTGAATGACCACGCTTACGAGGTATCTTCAAAGGAGAAACTTCTCCCTCGGCTTTCAAAGGCACCTTTGACACCGTGTGGAAGGTGCGCTGGTGCGCTGGTGCCACTTTCATCGGGGTGGCTGGCAAGGGGCAAGGGGCGGGAGAGTTTTCTTTGTCCTCATCCGATTCGTCTTGTTCTTGATCTTCAGTTGGCTCGTGGGGCAGGCTCTCGCGAGGTCGAAGGTGTTCAGGGATGACGGGCTCAAGGTCTTCAAAAATGTCGCTTCCGCTGGGCGAATCAATCAAATCATAGTCCTCGTGCGCTGAAGAGAGCTTTGCAGGCGACTTATGCCTAGATGTTAAGCAAGTATCATCATTCCAGTCTTGGAGAGGCAGTTCCGAGAAGAGACGCGGTGTGTTTGCAAGAGAGGGACGCGAGAGATCAGGGTAAGAAACATCGCCTTCGTCCGGAATGTGGGTCTCAGCAGATCGCTCCAGCGGGCCAACAAGAGAAAAAACGCCTCGTCGACGGGGACGTGCTGGTTTTTCCTGGGATGGAGTGTTGGTTTCCCAGCGGCCGAGCTTGCTTGCCAATGGGGTGAATCCCAGTTTGACATTGAATCCAGAACTTCGCCGGCTTTTAACAGTCGGAGTGCCAGAGAGGCTTGGTGGAGCGGGAGTAGGAATGTCGAGTTGGGTTGTTTCCTCAGGGCTGTTCATTACATCCATACGCTCATCGGTGTTGTTGATATTGAAAAGCTGATTGTGAGACTTGGCACTTCCCGGCAGGGACAGGGGGGTAGCCTCATCCGCTAAGGGAGTTGGTCCGCGTGGAGTGACAGATCCCATTCTTGAAAGCGGACTTTCTTCACGGTCCTGCATTTCGTACGGTGATTGAGGTTGGGGCAACGCCGCAACAGGAGCTTCAGATGGGACAAGAATCTGCTCATCGTCAACCAACTCATCCTCTTCGCTCTCGGGCTCTTGCTCATCATTTGGGTAGTGAATAACGCTCGCAACTTCATCACAATCATCTTGCTCAATTTCCTCGCTCTTGAGCTCTTGTTCATCATATGAGTTGTGAACAACGCGAGTAACTTCATCACGATTATATTGCTCATCTTTATCTTCTTCACTTTGTTCTCGTTCATCTTGTTCGTGTTCTTCGATTTTCTCAACCTTGTGAATAACTCGAACAGGCGTTGGTGATTCGGGCTCTCCGAGGGCAGATTCCTCAAAGACGGCCAAATCGAGAGGTGACTCGGAAGGGCTAGCACGCACAGAGTGCTCAACTTCATGCGCTGGCGAAGAAAGGGAGGGCTCATCGGCGGGCTCGGTAGATTGCATCACAAAATCGGTCTCCAATTCGTCTTCTCCGTCACTCTCGTCCACTTGGTCGACAGAATCGACATCGTTGAAATACACATTAGACTCAGCAACGTCCTCTGTAGGAAGGTTTTTGAACGGTTCCTGTAGATCTTCCATGGTGTTGAAACAGAACGTTCCAAATTCATATGGCTCGCGTCCAATTTCCTCTTCAAGCTGTTCGATCTTCTCGTCAATGTCCGTCTCTTCCGCTTGATTCATCACAGCAGTCTCAGCAACAGTGTCTTCAAATGCAGGGGCTTCGGGTAATTCCTCAGTCTCTAGAACTTGTGGTGGTGAGGGGGACTGAGTGGGAGTTCTGCTTGAAGACTGCAATTCAATACCAAAGATATCACGAGCAACTTCCTCCACCATCTCCAGATCCTCGTCCACGGCCGGCTCCTCTTCCTCTTGGTGGGAGGACAGGCGCTTGTTGATGGACTCAAAGAGAGATGCATTGAGGGCATTGTCGCCAGATGGCGTGGCTGACTCGTGCACGGAAGATTTGGCAGAAAAGATAGACCCTTTGAAGGGAGAAGGAATTCTCTTAGCTGGACTTTGTATGAAGGAAGAGCGAGCTTGGAATGATGGAGTCGTAGTCTTAGCTGGCGATTGAGAAAACGAGGCGCCCAAGTGGCCCTTTCTGGGGGACATCTTCAATGGTGAAGCTGGCCCATGTGAAAGGTCAAAGGCTGGCGTAGCGTTCGAGTCATCTCGAAAGAGAGCACCACGGTTTGTCGAGTCTCTGAATGAGAATCTGAATGGTGATGATTGCTCTGGTCGTCTAGCAGGGCTGGACATGAACACCGAGTCGCTGAAGTCAACGGCCTTTCCGGGTGGGAGCGCCAAGTGGTCATTGTCAGTGAAGGTCTGTTGGCTGCGGTTGGGAGTGAAATTGATTCTCCGGACTGGTGAGCTTAAACCAGTGTTTGTTGGTCCGTGTTTTGGTGTTGGGAGCTTCGGTTCGCCATTCTCGTCAATCAGGCTCGAAGCTTTCTTGGGGGTGAAATTTATTTTGCGCACAGGGGAGCTTAGGCCGGCAGATTCAGCAGCATGCTTCATAGGGGAATGAATAATGAGCTTGACCGGGCTATTGAGATCGTTCTTGACGGCGCTCAATTCATCATCTTCACCATCAGAGCTAGCATAAGCTGAAAGTGACTTGGTTGACTTGGCCACCTGTGTATCCTTCTTGGGTGAAAGAGGTTTTGTTGCATTCTTCTTAGCTGCCGCAGGCTTGCGCCCACGGGTGGTTCCTGTGGCATTTTTACGAACTGGTGTAGCCTTAAGGCCAGCCTTGCCAGCAGCCCCCTTTGCAGGAGCCTTCTTGCGTCCAACGGTAGGCGCTGCGGGCTCCTCAAAGTCCTCCGATTCGGACCCTGATACATCTTCAAAAGTGACGGTCTTCTTCTTCGCAGGGCCACGTAATAAGTTCGAACGCATGTTTGTTGAATTGGTCGAAATGAAAATGTTCTTGGGGCCTGCAGCTTCGACAGGCGCCTCCGCCTCAGCCACTGCTCGGGTTGTCTTACGCGTCGCCGTAGCAGTCTTCGTTGTGCTCGCCTTTGGTCGTCCGCGGGTCTTGGGAGCTGTCTCAACCTTGGCGGCGGGCTCTGCGGCTTGGGTCTTTCTCGGTCTTCCAACTCGTTTCTTGGGTTCGGCCTTGCTAGTCGCTTGGTCATTGGGTTCCTCGGGAGCAGAGGCCGGTGTCACGTTCCTTCCTCGAGATGCGGCAGTGGCTCTGGTCGCTGAACCTCCAGCAGGTCTACCTCGCGGGCGAGCGACCTGCTCTGGCTCCTTCATCATCATTCCCAGTTCGTCGTCTGTGTCGTCCGAGTCATAGGCTGCCGTGACGGGGGGCCGTTTCCTGACCTCGGTAGGTTTTGCTTTGGCCGTTTTGTTCAATGCCGTTCGAGGCGCTGCCCGAGCGCCCCGTTTGACGGGGGACGGTGGGAGGACGGCCGCGCGTGCCATGGTGGCGATGTTATGATCTGATCAAAAGTCGTGTCGCGTGTCGAAGTGGTATTGATATGGTCGGCTAAGGATGTGGGCACAGCCTTGCACTCATGGCGGGTCTGTGTCAAGTGGTCGCGGGTCGCGGGTAATGTCCGGAATGCATTAAGCTGCAAGGCAAAATAGATTGTGGTGGAGCGTGTTTGGATGAAGCTGTGACCCGCATGGTTACCATAGTAACCGGTCACCTGATGGATTTACAACACGGTTGAGATGGAGCCAGCGGAGAAGGATCATCACTATACTCTGCAATAAACAACCCTTGAAGCCTCTATACTCAATAATTGCTAGCTGATTTGGGATTCCGTACCTTGTTTGGCCTCCCTTGTATTTTTTTCTCGCTCCCTCATAACATCCATAATCACCTTGGAAGCTGCAGCTCCAAGGTTGTGCCCAGTTGTCATTATGCCCAGAAGGTACAATATATATTCCAGTACCTGGCCGGACCTTGCGTTGTTTATTTACTATCCACTACAGACACTTGATTTCAAGATTAGGTCTCCAGTTGTCGAAACGTCGAATATTCCAACCTTGAAACATTCTGCTCAAATTTTTTTTTAGGCGACCGAGACAAATCTTACATAAATAGGCCTGTACAAGTCAATTAGGCCCAGCATCTGACAGGTCGTGCAAGGTTCGCAGCTTGAGCTTCTGGAGGCACTAAGGACAACCTTGCTACTGCAGTTAGCCGCTGACCAACAAAAATATGATCAATTACAAAACCAAAACCATGGCAACTTCCAATTCAAATGTTTTGACAGAGAAGAGCTCTGATAACCCCAGGTCCACGGTGACACCGTCTCCGTAAGCACTGTAACACCAAGCCCCGCACAGATAAGCGCACTATCACCCCAACATAGGAGATGGTGTAACATCAGCTTATCAGCCCCCGATCTTTTCAGCGAATATTGTATCGCTTACTGGCCACTTGAAAATGACACCGTTCTGCCAGCCCGATCATAACATGACAATTGATGCAATCTTCCTGGCAGTGTTACATCGGGTTTCACTACCAAAGCGTGCGTACCATCCAATAACCTTTCCCTCCCGACCGTCAACCAAGCGTTGTTCCACCCCCGCAATCTCTGCCATGTGAGTGCGCACGACCCCACTCGATGAAGTTACATCCCTGAACGCCATTTACCAGATGGAGTGGAAGCTTGTATGTGGAGACCGGCAATCGTGCCATCCCCAATCGATAAATCAGGCGACCAATTACCTATAATTAGGATTTGGACCAGCTTACGGCTTATCAGTTTCGGGCCCGGCAAAGATTAGACTTTCCGGCATCTGGAAGCTCTGATTGGCTCATACAGTGACCCTGCTGGACTAGACAAGGACTAGGACAAGATTGAGAAAAGTTCGTTTTTAAAGCTCTCGTGCCCCCGCTTCATTCTGCCTTTTTTTTTCTTCCTTTTGTTAGAGGTTGCATTGAGCCGAGCATCATGGCTACTGAGAACAAAAACATGGGTGTCGATGAGTTGGCTACTCCTCATGAACACAATGACCAAGATCACGGCCCCCAGACCCCTGATCTGCCACAAGGCTGGATGTACAGACAGCGACGGATTTTCGGCCTTAACGTCCCCTGGTATGCGTCGCCTAGAGTTCAGTTGGTGATGGTCGCGTTCGTGTGTTTCATGTGCCCGGGTATGTTCAATGCGCTCGGTGGAATGGGAGGTGGTGGAAGGACTGATGCGACTTTGGCCGACAACATGGTGAGTAACGAAGCTAGACTTTGCAATTGCTGCGCTAGGGCGCGAAGCTACGTAGCAGCCACTGACAATTGAAACAGAACACTGCTCTCTATGCTACATTCGCAGTCTTCGGTATCTTCGGCGGTACATTCGTCAACAGGCTCGGAGTCAAATGGACTCTTGCATTTGGCGGTACTGGATACTGCATCTACGCAATTAGTCTGCTCGTCTCCCTATACGCCAATGTGGAAGGATTCAATATTTTCGCCGGTGTCTGGCTCGGTATCTGTGCTGGTCTTCTTTGGACCGCACAAGGAACGATCATGATTTCCTACCCGTCCGAGGACAAGAAGGGAACATACTTCGCCTGGTTCTGGGGTATCTTTAACATGGGTGCCGTGATTGGCAGCTTGGTATGTTCCTAGCTATACAAAACCTATTCTCAAGGCTGTATGACCCTTTTCTAACTATTATTTCTCCATAGATCCCCCTCGGCCAAAACATCAACATCACAACCAACGCCACCGTCTCACCAGGAACATACATCGGCTTCATTGTCCTGATGGCCATCGGCGCCGTCCTCGCCCTCTTCCTCTGCAACGCAAACGACATCGTCCGACCAGACGGCACCCGCGTCATTCTGATGAAGAACCCAAGCTGGCAATCTGAGCTGATGGGACTCTGGGAGACTCTGCGCTTCGAGCCCTTTGTCATCCTCCTATTCCCCATGTTCTTCTCTTCCAACTGGTTCTATGTCTACCAGCAGAACGGCATGAACAGCGCGCACTTCGATACCCGTACCAAGGCGCTGAACAATCTGCTCTACTACCTGGCTCAGATTGTCGCTGCTGCGATCTGGGGTGTACTCCTCGATGTCCAGAGCGTGAAGCGCTCTCTCCGAGCAAAGGTGACGTGGGCGATTCTTTTCGTGCTCACTATGGCTATCTGGGGTGGTGGCTATGCTTATGAGAAGACCTATACCAGGGCTACTGTGGGTGCTGCTGACTTCCAGTCGACTGATTGGACTTCCCATGGATACGTTGGTCCAATGTTCTTGTATATCTTTTACGGATTTTATGATGCCGCGTGGCAGGCTAGTATCTACTGGTAAGCGCATGTCACGATATTATATATGTCTTGAGACTAACGCATATATCTACTTAGGTTCATGGGTGCGCTCTCGAACTCGGGCCGTCGTTCTGCGAACTATGTCGGCTTCTACAAGGGTATCCAATCCGTGGGTGCTGCAATCGTTAATAACCTCGATGCACGCAAACTCTCCTACGAGAAAGAGTTTATCAGCAACTGGGTTCTGCTTGCCGCGTCGCTCGTTGTTGCTGCTCCTGTTATTTTCTTGAAGATTCGGGATCATGTTGATGTGGAGGACGATATTGCCGGAACTGATGAGACTCTTGCGGATGTCTTACCGGCGGAGCATCCTGAGAAAGTGGGAGCATGATTAAATTATGGTCTTGTTTTCAAATGTTCTAGATAATCGGCATCAGATACGAAGTGATGATTGATAGATGTATGGATATAGGAGGCTCTGGTAATACGATCGAGTGACTTGGAAGAATGCGGAGTATATATGAGCTATAGCTAATACATTATGAATCACTCTCTTTTCAGAAAATTGGCTTTTACATTTATTATCCTGTAGTCACTGGCATTTAACTAGCAAATTGGAGTACGCTCTAAGCAGGAAAAATATTCAATTGTATTTATTTATGGGTATAGGTATGTCACTGCGGAGTAGATCGCAGGCACCATAACTAGGGCGCCTAAGCCTCACTGATCATAGAGTTCTAATACTCGTACATCGAAAGCCCGTAAGTCGTGGCGCAATAATTTAAAAGATCGTAGAATCCGGAAGAAGCAAGGTGGAAAAAAAAATTTGTACAAGAATCGTCCAACGAAATGCACCGAGTCCTCGTCTATACCATTGCGAAGAAAGCCGCGGTGACCGCGGCAAAGGCAGTCAACACGGTAGGGGTAGTGAACAAGCCAGCTTCCGAGGATGCCAGAATATCCACTGGCGCATAGGTGTTGGGCGTGGTAGAGTTGGTGGTACCATTCCAGCAGTAGTCCGTGAAGCACTGGGTACAGATATCGGGAAGAGTAGTACCAGTACGCTCGAAAGAGCGGCTCAGAATAGCACAGCCAACGCAAGCAGTGAAGTTACCGTCAAGGGTACCGTTACCCATGGTGACAACTTCGTAGCCGTTGGTGATAATGTTGTCACGCTGCCAGTCCTCGTAGGTCATCTGGTAAGTCGAGGTGTTGGACTGGGAGCTGTAAGGGGCGTTGGCGAGGTAGACAACAATAGGGGCGGTGCCGGTGATGTTCGTGCTGTTGCAGCCGAAGAACGTCGGGCGAGTGTTCAGACCAAGGTTGATGAAGGTGTTCTGGTCTGGAATGGCGGGGAAGGCGGTGCCGTTTCCAATGCCGGTAACGTTCAGGCTACGCTCGTAGGTGGCCACGAGAGAAGTTCCATTAGGCCAGTAGTAATCGGTATCAGCGGAGGAATCGATAGCGAAAATAATGTCGACTGCGCGCTCGGGCTGAATGAGTGGGTGCAATGGAACATTCTGACCATCCTCGCCACCATCGACAATATCCAGTGCCGTTGTGGTGGCCAAAGAGTCGTCGTTATAGCCGTAGAATGGGTTAGGCTCATAGGAAGCGATATCGTCGTCTGAGCTGTCAAAATCGGCAAAAAGATCCGACAGAATGTTCTCTGCCCACGCGGTGATACCGGACGAGTTACTACCCAGTTCAGTGATGGCCTCGTTGAAGAGGGTGGAAGATGTTCCAATAATGAAGCCGGCGTTGTCGTATCCACGCACACAGGTCTCATTGCTGGCGACTGAACCATTCTCGAAGCGGGAACCAAGGTACTCGAGAGGAGCAAAAGCATAAAGAGTCGGGTCGAAGGTACCAAACTCCCAAGGGTTGAACTCAAACACCGTCGAGTACGAAGAAGCAATGATTTCGCCTGTGGTACGGCTGTCGGCAACAACCAATGGCATTGGGTAGTCACCGTCGATGAAGTCCTGAGTCTTAGCAATGGATGACCAAGTGTAATCAATTCCTCCTTTAGTAGCATTGAACATCTGGAAAGCCAGAGCTCGGCCCCTGCAATAGAATATTAATTTTGAGCTCCAAAATTCCCCTGATATCGGATTTCAGATAACGTACCAAACATCGGTGAGCGAAGTGGCAAAACCAGCATCCTTCTTGTCCTCATAAGCCTCTGCTAAATCAGTGTAGTATTCAGCCGTGTCCAGCACCTGAAGGCCGCCAGTATCCGGACCCTCGAAAATATTATTTCCAAGTTGCCAAACGTCACCACTTGAGTAGGTCTGCAAGTCCGCGACGGATGTGAAATTGTTGATATAAATCGAACCAACCAACCAACTACCACCACTCAGACCAGCAACGTAAGTGGCTGACTGCAGCAGACCACCCAGATGACCGGAAGCTGTGGAATTCTTCACGCGGCTATCAAACGCCTTGATACCACCGGCACCGTTCAACATAGCACGATAACCACCACCAGACGCCGCAATAGCAATGTTGGGGAGATTCGACACGTTGGCAGAGTGCTTGTCGATGTATGCACCGACATCGAAGTCGCCGACAGAGACATGGTTGAAGAATTCCTTCATAGGCGTGATTGTCTTGTTGCGACGGACCTCAAGCCAGGAAGTCTCATTCGTAGAGAGCTTCGCGGCACTGCGAATGCTTGGGCGTGTGGACGGGCAGGTAACATTTGTCGGGGTATATCCATTAGGAGCGTTAGGAAGAGCGCGACGAATAATTTCCGCTACGACTGCAGCGCTGTCGCGTTCGAATTCTGAGCTTGGGGCCGCATTTACACCTGGGAAGGGGCGTTAGTTAGTAATGAGGTAGTATGACGATTGGACCCTCGCGGCCGATATGCTGCAAGCCGCGGGAAGGCTGATACATACTAGGCAGAGCGCCCAGCGCCAGAGAGCCGATCAATGTAGAGACTTTCATTGTGATACCTCGGCAACCTCACTTTCACGCAGACAGCAGGGAGCAAAGTTGGTGATGCAGTGATCGCCAAAGAGGGGGGCAGTCAAGGGGTGACTGATTTTATTTATGCTCCGGGAGCGCCGGGTGACCAGCCAAGCCTCGATTTGGAGCTATTGCTCGGTATGTTCATTGCAGTAGTGGTTCGGCAGTTAAGCGAATCATACCTTCATAGTGGAGATTAGGTGGATCTAGTGATGTCAAAACCGGTCGCAATTGAACCCTCGGTTTCCTAGAAGAGTTGGGCCCCCAGAATCTCACACACGAGCATCGCATTTCTGGTCTTGGCCCCGACAGGGCTGAGATCTTGCAAAAGATGAGATGCCGGGAGCCCGAAATTTCGCCTTGGGTCTAGTGCATGGCTTTCACAGGCTGTCCCAAGGGGGCCGATTGGTCCCATCAATAAGATCGATCGTCATATCACATGAATGGCTATGCCACGATCGGATCCAGGCATAATTCATGTATAATTAAATAGACTGTGGCGCAGATCCATACAAGAAAGGCCGCTAGCGTATATCTATGATTGCTGATTCGCCGACTGAAACGGATACATCGATCCACCAAGACCCCAAGTCAATGAACTAATGGGTCCAGTGGACCTGCATATGGGCCCAAAAGAAATGAGCCACACCGCGGCTTCCGAGAAAATTCTATGGAAATATTGATCCTACTGTAAGCGAGCATTTATCTCGACCAATCAGTCTCGCTTATGTCTTAAATGCCGCGTAGGCAGCTACATTTCAGTAAACTATGCATGTTTCCCTTTTTCCTTGTCCCTGCCCCCCTGTCCCCACAAAACCCCTAGGGCACGGAGTATCCGTAGAAAACAGGTTGATACATCCATTTAGGGCGATGCATGACCTGATCGGGCCTCCAGCGTACATAGGCCTCGACACCGCCTTTTTAGGCATCCAGCTGCGCCCCATGCTGTGAGACACAGCGTGATGCTCACATCCTGGACAGGAATGTATTGCGGGCTTAGAGTTTCAGGGGTACTTGGCCCTTGGCACTTATGTAAAGCCAAGCATACTCCGTGTCACCAGAATAAATTGAAGCCTAGAAATAATGTCTGACCTCAGAGGACATTGAGCCTCTGAAAGTGGATCCCAAGCATGGCGTATGAGTTATTGAGTTGGACACAGAATACACCCGAGTATCCGAATTATGTCTCGGAAACACCCCGTATTCCCGATTTCACAAGCAATATTCGGTAATCGGAGAACCCGGAGCACCTATACATTCTTGAATGGAGCATAATCATGGACAAGTCACCCAACGGTTGAACTAGTTAAGTAACTAAGTGGGGGGGGGAAACCTTGGAAGGGGGGCTGCATTAGACGATTAGCTAAGTCCGGGAGGCGGCCGGATATGCATGGTTCCGCCCCAGAATATCATTTATCGACCTATTTTGGTGGTCCCTAAAAATCACCACAATGGACACCCTTTTTAGGTAATTCAATAATCTGGGGCCGAGAGGATCGTCGTCCTCACCTTCAGTTGGGACTCCACATTGCTCCGCGTTGGCACCGCAATCGTTGTGACCGCCTAAAAGATCGACAGGGACGTGGGATTTTTACAGTATCCCCAAAACATGCCCTGAGCGAGAACGAAATCATCCTGCAGGTACATGGCAGTAACTTATTTTTGGAGATTACTTGGATAGGTATTCAAGGCCATAGTGGAGGAACGTGATTAGTAATGACATACAAACATATCGTCGTGTCGTTCATACAGACTCGGAAGTGATCATCCTGCCATAAGTTGGATAACATTAACGGAATAACACACGACAGGAAAAATCAGGCGACATCAACTATGAATAAACTCGCGAGAGCTCTTAACCCCTGACAGGGCCAATCTCAGCCGCCTCCAATGTACCCATGACGGCTTTCTCATCAGCAACAACGCGACCCTCGGGCAGGTTGTTGAGTTCGTCTTCTTCCTTGTCCAGCTCCCAGAACGAAAAGATGAAGAAAACACCACCGAGACCCGCCAGCACGGCAAAGACACCGTAGTTCCATATCAGCAGTGGGTCACTAGACAATGGGTTCAGAGCCTCAGCAATAGCAGCGGAGATGGCATTGGTGAAGAGCGAGATCGCCTGGATCAAGGAACGCATATTCCGGGGAGCTTTGGAGTATGCATACTCAAGAGAGGTAATCGAGGCGAAGATCTCGGAGAAGGCAATGAGAACGTAGGCGCCCGCTTGGATCCACACGTTCAACGGGGAGGGACGAATAGCACCATCCGCAGTGTAGCAGTTGTTAGCTTGATAGCCACAAGGGGATGTCTTGTAGATATAGTACTGGACGACAGCCGACCAGACCATAGCCAACATGGCAATCATGAAGCCAAAGAAGATCTTCTTGATAGCCGTGAACCTGATGCCCATCTTCCGCAGACCGGGGTAGATGAAGGCGTCACAGATAGGAATGAAGATGATCAGAGCGAAAGGGTCCAGGTTGTTCACGACGTCGTTAGGTACGCCGTGCAGGGTCATGGTGCTGGCCTGCGAAGTAAGATTGTTGGTTAGCTGGCCATATGCCAGCCAGTACAGCGGGTACCAGCAAAAGACTTTGCAGGCGGCAAAACCACGGCGTACTTCGTCGACCCAGGCGTCATCGAAGGTCATCCATTTGGGGCGCAGGTGGGGTGGGATGTTAGATGGCTTGGCAGTTTCCCAAAGGGTACCATCGTGGGTGCGTTTCCACAATTTCACGGGGTTCCAGTGCCAGCGGTCTTTCAAGGCGTACATGAGTGTCCGCACTGCCTTGGAGGTGACTGAGCCCTGGGGAGGAGATTGACGGTAACGCTTGCGTCCCCACCACATAACGAAAGGAGTCGTAAGGAACATGAGGGTGGGAAGCAAGAATGCTAGCCAGAACCCAACATACTTCTCGGCGTATGCCATCCCAATTTGACCGACCAGAGCGCCAATATTGATGAACAGATAGAAGTAGTGATAAATTCGGCTTTGGGTAATTGTCGGATCGATAATAACGCGCTCTCCTGATGGCAGGGTACGCACCTTCTGATTCACCACTGGAATTTGTTCGACAACTAATGCCGAAATGTTTGGTTTGAAGCCACCCGTGCCAAAACCCATGATGATGACACCCAGCATGAAGACAGCAAAACAAGCAGTTGTGTCTGTGATCACAGGTGGGACGGCAGAAATGACTAGAATAATGTGACCCAGGATGGCAGCACCAATAGACCAGCAGATGGTCTTGTATCGGCCCCAGTATTCATCAGCAACCCAGGCACTGAGCAGCGGAACGCAGTAGCACCAGAAAGTGTTAAAGGTGTTGACACCGTTGGCGGTCTGCACACCCTGTCCCAGAGCTCCAGAAACACCCTGAGAAGATCCACCACCTGCACCAGTCCGATGATTGGAGCCGGGAGGGCCATTAATCTGGGGAAGAGAGTGGTTCACGAAGTTCGAGTCTGCACGCCTCACATTAGAATCAGGGCCACAAGGTAATCTTTTATTTGCACATACACAGAACCTGAGTTCCATAGTAGGAAAATCGTTCGCACAACTCCACGAAAGCGACGGTATACACAGCCCAAGGAATAGGAGCTGATACACGTCTGAGAGCATTGGGACCATAAAGTTCTTCCGAGGTGGGGTCTTCATCGCCAGTCTGCATGTTGTACGACGCTGAAACGAGACTTTTCTCAGGCTTGTGGGGGTCTGCGATCTCATCGCCGTTTGTAGTGAGAGCTTTCTCCCGACTGCTCTCGTGAATCTCGTCAGAAGACCGCGCTGCCTCTATGGTCGCCATCTCGCAGGAGGAATAGATGGGAAGCGCCCAGAAGGCAGAGTATCAGTGAGAGAATTAGGTGAAGGGAGTTGGGAGGTTGACACAAAGTGAGGGGAAGAGAGAATGAGAATTGGCGGGAAATATTCCTTATATTCCCTGTAAAAGGCCAAAGTGCCGCAGAAAATGCCCGTGTGTATTTGAATCGGGGCTAATGCGCCAAGAAATGAAGTATCCTTATCTTCCCTTTGCATTCGCGATGTCCTCCTCTCATTAGTACAGGTTTACCCCAGATCATATCACACTTTACTAGCTTCTGTTACTATACCACTTTGGGACATTCCACCACCAATGAGAAACCAGCGCTACTTCCATTGGGCTTATCGCATGTAACCCCAGCCGTGTATTCGCAATTTCAGCCCTGCCATGAGTGGTCGCCATATAAATCCTTTCGGAGATATTGAATGCCAAGACAGACCCTCGCGAGAGAAGCTTAACTTGAACTTGCGAGGGTCCCATCCAGTTCAGCAATCCGGTGGTTATGAATTCTCTGGAACTGTCTTCAGCGACACAACTCGACCTCATATATGGAACCCAAAGACGGTTACGAGAAACAAGAAAATCCTTTGAGGTAAAAGGTTTATGGCTTGAGATGGGTAATGGAACTCCGACGGAGAGATAAGACTCACGGACATCCCGAGTCTTGGCCAAACTTAGCGAAGGGCTGAAATGCTTGGCATCTTTTTGTCCACATGGGTTGGTAATTTAGTTCGCCTTGGCATGTAGGACTGAGCAAAGAAATGCTCCACTCCCCGCTCGCGTGGTTATCGCCCCCATAGATACCATGTGCAGAACATGCAATTCTGTCGTGCAGCATTGGGCTTACTTTTTCCCATATCATTGTGGTTCGCTGGCTGATACTTCGCTGACTGCCAAGCGGCCTATCTGTGTATCGACAGGCCTAGCCATAGGGCTTCTGGAACCTCGATAGAAGGATCAGTGTCGCCAGTGCAGGGATTGCAGAATTTCTGCGAAGTGGCGTCCACAAGTCCCGTGTCAAACTCATGTAGGAGCCAGCCGGAACACTTGTAAAAGTTATTACTTGATCTTTTTTTTGACGCTATTTTTCGATTTGTGAATCCTTGATGTGTCAGATTGTTTTGGTCCAGGCTCGTCCCCATACAGCCTGCAGGCCATATCGAAGGAGAGATTGAAGAGCCATTCGGGGCACTTGTCAGATAAAGTAAATTATTTCTTACCGGTGTAGACTATGCTACCACCCAGTTTATTTGCCAAATAACTAATAGCGACAACGGAAATAGACTTCTATGGCGGTGTTGGGAAAGAGGCTTAGGGGAAGTGGAAAAAGGGCAGATTCACGGCGGCTCGTTACCGCCACAACCTCGCATTCCCTCTTTGTCGGTTACTCGCACTATGCCATAAGATTTCCCGCCAAGTTAGCTCTCTCAGTAAACCCAAAGGAAAGGAGATTGGAGAAAATCAGGAAATCTGAGCTCAGCTTCAACAGGATAGTTTTCGCCACTATGGTGGCAACGTCCCCCTGTGGTCGGTTCGAACCCTTGCTCTGCCAACAACTTCGATTTGACCGCATGTAGTAACTCCAGCTAGCGGTGCCTGTGAACAAGTTTAGATATTAAACATCAAGTTCTGTGAAGGATTTTGAGTCAAAATATTGCATTGCAATTGGCTATGCGATGTACATACACAGCCCCAACTGTAGGACGTTTTTCAAAGAACAATGTTTCCAACATGAGATACAGTATCCCAATTAGCTCCATTGTTCCCTTCTGGGATACAGTGATACCTAGGGCCTGCACTGTAGTTATAAAAATCTGTAAATTTTCATGCATGTGTTACGCAAGATTGCCCAAGACTGCTTCTGTGTACTTCAAGTCTTGTCCTGGTATATTCTATTCCAAGCTTGTGCTTTATTAGACTTCCCTTCAATCTAACCTTCTCGTGAAGTTAATCCATAAGCCACCCGCTATTGTTTGATCTTAAAATGGTGGTATCATCGGTCAACGTGAGACCAAATCTGTCCCGCTATTGTCCTGTCAGCGAAGACCTTATAGCAATCTTCTTAAAGCTCTTTCCAATGCAGTAGATATGAAAAGGTATGATCGGGCCGTGGGGCAAGTTGTCTAAATGTGTAGTTCAAAATTTATGAACTCCGCGTGCAGTCACCAATAGCCAAAGGACTTGATATTTAGTGATCTAAATGTCAACATTCCAGCTTTACTTCCCTTTAGGTACCATGATCTAGTGTAAGTAGCGACCAGTTACTATTGTTTTAGTGGGCTAGAGTTACAAGGGCCTTCATCCGGAGCATCTGAGCAAATCTTTTCGAACACGAGTGTATGAAATCCATGTCTCAAATCTCCAACGCATGGTTTATACTACCAGAAAAGGGTGTGCCGGTCGCAAGAACAGGTCATGACTTCACCACTGAACAACACAACTCCCGTTAATAGCCGCCATATTCTGGTCAACACCACGTCTGGAGACCATTGAGGTCATGGTCTGCTGATGCGATGATATCGTGAAAAGAAAGAGAAAATGGGAAGAGTCAAATCCACCCCTTGCATGCACCTAGCCCCAATCGACCTGCCAAGACTTCAGGTTATCGCTTAACAAGTATAAACGATTGGCCACCCAACCCTGTCTCCCAAACTCACAGTACTGCCAGACCTGGCGGTTTACTTGGGGGACCGAGCATTGGATCCCGCTGATTGGTTAGTTCCCCGCATCTTCCCCAGACTGTTGGTAAACCAGGCTCCCGGGTCCCCCCAGACAATGGCCAACAAAATGGATCCTTGGTGCTGGATCTCAGAGTGTCGTGGCAGACATCATGGACTTCGGGATTCCAAGAGAGTACTTGATCGGCGGAAATCGGTCAGGTGTTGACGCAAGAATTTGCTACGTAGGGATGTGTTGCAGGGATGAGGATGAATCTCACTGGATCACAGAAAAAAGAAGGCGCTGAGAACAATCTTAATTTATTCGAAATGCATGTAGATGCGAACACGTTTCCTGTGAATCAAAATAGGAAATGATCACTGGGATGATGCCGGCAAATGACAGGATCTACCATGTCAACTGTGGATGATGTGGGGAGTGCGGGTCGAATCATATCGGAACTTGCATATTAATTCGAGCGATCGATTAGTCTAATTAACATCATGATGACAATATTCCAAGACGAGCAGCCAAGAATAAGAGAAAAATTCGCTGATCATTAGGATACGTATGAGGCGACAAATCAAAAGTCAAATCCAACGCTTTGCTGATCTCATACTTGAATGAGAAATAAATAAGAAACCAAATTATAACGCCATGCAATGAGAGACACCTATACAGGGTCACGCGTAGACGGATACATATTAATCGTCATTGTGTCAAATTCCCTTTTGATGTAGGCACGGGTTTACCACGCGGCGTGGCCACCGTCCATGCGCAAGTCGCTGCCAGTCATGAAGCTGCTGGCATCGCTGAGCAGGAAAACAGCGGCACCACGGTACTCCTCTGGACGAGAAAGACGGCCGAGCATGTTCTCCTTGGGCCACTGGTCGCGGCGCTCAGGGAATTCAACGAACAGCTTCTCAACCATAGCAGTGACGATGTAGCCAGGGGAGATAGTGTTGACACGAATGTTGTACTGGCCCCACTCAGCCGCCAAGTTGCGGCCAAGCTGAATGACGGCAGCCTTGCTAGCATTGTAGGCGGGACAAATGAGACCCTGTGTCATGTTAGCCCAAGGGAACAGAAATAAGTATATCAATAGTGGGGCGCAGAAAACTGGGGTACGGGGACACCGGAAGTAAATTGCCGATGGCTAAACTCGAGGTATTGCCAAGTGTGGGAAGGAAATGGGGGTGGGAGGGGTGGGAACGTACCCGATTGGCAATGGTACCACTCATAGAGGCGATCATGGCAATGCTACCTCCGTTACCGAAGCGAATCATTTGCTTGGCCACAGCCTGGGAGGTCATGAAAACACCAGTGACATTAACTTCGAACATGGTGTTGCTGTCCTTGGCGGAGTACTCCAAAGCAGTGGTTTCCTGCTGGATACCGGCGGCGGCCACCAGACCGTCCATGCGGCCTTCTGTGTTGGCAATGGCTTCGATGACGCTGTTCAACAGTTCTGTGTCACGCACATCAATGCGACGGTAGTGCAACTCGGTGCCGAGCTCCTTGGCGCGCTGTTGAATCACTGCGAATTCCGCGGCCTATATTTTGAATTCTGGTCAGGAGGACATTCTAAAGAACGTGCTGAAGATGTGAAGAATAGACATACTGGCTCCTCCAGACGATCAAGAGCGTAGACCTTTGCTCCAGCCTCCAACAAAGCCTCCGCCTGGGTCAGACCCAGGCCACGACCAGCACCAGAGACCAGGACTACCTTACCAGCCAAGCTGAATTCAGGCATCCTGGCCTGTTGGCCCAGAAGGACAGGTTGCGCAGTCATGGGTGCAATGGGAACCTCGGTTTGAATGGAGACCGACATTGTGTATTTTTTGTGAGAGGGGAATGGTATGATCAAAAAGGTAGAAAGGTGTGTGGAAGGTGTGTAGAGCCCAAAAGACGATGTCAAATTGGAAGGGCTATGAAGATATCAAGATATAGAAGATCAATGAATACAACTGTAAGTGTGGTGAGGAAAAAGCTGAACCACGGATTGAAGCTCCCTTTAAATATTGCTCTGGGAGCGGGAGGTATCAAGCCAGAACCAAGCCCAAGAGCCCATCCCGGGCAATGAAGGTCTCGTGAACATGAAGAGACTGGCAACAAACCCAAAAAAGGAAATCCTGGGTCAAACTACGCTCGGTCCAGGTCGGATCTGTCTCCGGGGAATGGGCGTTGGCGCATCTCAAACGGTCGTGGCGAGAAAAAACACGATCCGGGACGTACAATGTAATTTTTGCTTCCTCTTTCCGGTTTCTTTTCCCTTTATTTGTTTATTTCCTGTTTTTATTATCTTGAATACAATCTATATGTTCATTATAATGTCATACATCAAAGGTGACAAAAATACCAGAGTACTTTCCTGCCAAACCGGTTGAAATCTTAATTCGATGATTACGAGCTTGCAGTTAGAGTGTAGATCGGATGCCTAGTTTGGGCAAGCCGATCCCCCGGGAACCCGCGCCACTGGAACCTCTTCAGGTGACCCCGGGGAATCTCCCCCATGCCGCGAAACCCAGACCAGTCGATCCCACATGTATTACACGCTCTCCATGAATAGCTCCCTTGATCTAAAATCCATGGGTCATGTGGTCTCCGGCATCTATCACTATAGCCCTGGTTCCTGTTCCTGGATACTGGGAAAACTCAATGGCCCATTCCCGGATCTGGGGGGTTTTTTATTTTCTATCAGCACATTCCATGTCTCCATGGTTCACTTTAGGAAACAGTGATTCAATGGAATCTCAATTTTACTTGAACCAACACTTTATGTATACAATATTTAGATGCGACCGTCCTTGGGGGTGCAAAAAAAAAAACATTGAACAAAAACCCACGGATGAGATTCTCAATTGCTACCTCGAAATCGAATCACAATAAACCCAAACCGGCCAGTCCGTCGCATTAGCAAGCCAAAGAGGCGCAGACCAGGAACACGTTCAGAGCTGGCGTCTATGAAGACCTTGTGACCAACAAAAAAATCTGTCTAGTGAAAGTGACTTACTCATTCGGGCGATTCCGAGATTGTGCCCCTGCCTTCTCCTATCACTACGATCCCTACCATCACGATAGTGCCACGCTAGCCTGTTCCCACTTTTTTTCTTGTTCTCGTGAGCACCACCTAAACAGCAATAAACATTGATACAATCTTCTAGAATTCTTCCGCTACCCAACTCCGACCCCTGCTGGCCCCTAGTTAGCTTCTCCTGCATAGTACTTTGAACCAGGCCTTCGCGCACAAGCCGCGTACAACGAACGGTCCCAGTTCTAGGCCCAACTAGATCTAGATCTAGAGCCTACGGTCTGTGCTTTGTTCTGTCAAATTCTCAGATCCATACCCTGTTCCTGTTCCCATCACCCCTGTTTCGCTAAAGATAAATAGATAGTCAGGTACATCTAATTGGCTTTTTGTCCAAGCGATCCCATATGCTGTGGCCAAAGTATTCGCCTCCAGTATGGAGTATCTGTTTCTGTGCCGTCCCGGCCCGCGCCCGTCGAGAACGAGCCCGGTCCCACATTTACTTCATCTCAAATATGGTTACGGCATGCTGGATCCGCTTTCCCCGGATATGTCGGTGAAGATTATTTGGTTTCTTTATGCGGTGCTGCCGAGCTTATCGTCCCCGTGACCTGATGTGACCCCGGCATTCACCCCGGTATGCTAAAACCTGTCTCCGGGGAGGAAGGTAATTGACTCTCCATGTTTATGTTGCTTTTTGTTTTTTTATTTCCAGGGAAGTAAATCTATGTACCCGGACAAAAGTACAATCTTTGGTGATATGTATTTCGTGCTCCGGCCAATAATTTTCTCCCAAGGTCTCTCGATACTTCCGTCCAGGTGGCCTTCCCCAATTGAATCCGTCCACCCCCGATGGGCGTCAGTTCTATACAATGTGACTATTGAGATCTTTTTAGGCTATGTTCAGTACCAATTACTTTCCTACGAAGTCGGTATCAATTAGCATTCACATTAGTCGCGCTATTTCTCTTTCATCCTCTTCTCAAAACACAATATTCATCGATTGTTGGGGAGATTTTCAAGCCAACTGCAAGTGTCATGCGATTCATATACTCTGAATATTTACGCGGCAACTTCGTCAAGAATATATTGAGTGGGTCATCCGGTGATGCGCCATTGGGTATGTCCTATTCAAAGACTTTGAAATTCGGATCGGGACTGGGCAGCAGTTTATGAAGAGCTCCTCAATGAATACCCAAAATGCCTGGGGTCGAGATCTATTATGATAAAAGGCTGCCCTGGTGTTGCAAAAAAGTTCATAGGCACGTCAAAGGCTTCTGTGAAGTGTAAGAAAGATGTTAAAAAATATATCAATAATACAACTTGAACATAATGGATCGGCTTGTTGGTTGGGGGTCAATTAAGCATCATTTCCGGTTAATCTACAAAGGAAACAACAATCATGAATAAAGAAATTATCGCGAGTTGTAATTAGATAGATGTATCATAGAGTCAATGGCGTGGGTGGACCAGAGAGGGCGCCCTATTGCTTTTCCGCGTGAGTGAATATGCTCGCTAAGGTTGTTGCTCCTTCCAAGATTCAAGATGAGGGGTGCGCTAAGGATTCAGCCAAAGAAGCCACCCTCCACTTTGCAGATCAATACGCCATGATCCACAACTTAGCCCCCAAGTCTGTTGTTTCCCAAATGCCCCTTGGTTAGAGACCGGACAGGAGCTACGCAGTTTCAGAATTCAATAAAATAAAGACTTCTTCCTTTCCTTACATTTATTCTTCACTCCAGCAACTTGACTCCGTTACAACTCCAGTCCACTCACAGATATGGAGCCTTTCAGAAGAATCTGGCCACAGTCTTCCCTGACAAGGCCGCCCTCACTTCCCCCACTCTCCCGTCACAAGTGGGTCGGGTAGTGATTATCACCGGTAGTACAGCGGGCATAGGCCTAGCTCTCGCGCGAGTTTACTACGATGCTGGAGCCACAGTCTACATGGCGGCTCGTAATGAGACCAAAGCCCAGGCTAAAATCCAAGACATCACTACTACAAGCACGTCTAAGACTCCGGGTTCGATCAAGTATCTTGCGATCGATCTATCCGATCTACGTACAATCAAACCTTTTGTCGCTGCGCTTTTATCACAAGAAACACGACTTGATATCCTGAACAACAACGCCGGTGTTGCTTGTGTACCACCTTCTCAGCGTACCGTGCAGGGCTTGGAGCCTCATATGGGCACGAACTGTGTAGGACCTTACCTTCTTACCTCGCTTCTATCGGGGATCTTGGTCCAGACAGCAACAGAGCCAGACACCCCGCCCAACAGTGTAAGAGTCATTTGGTCTAGCAGCCTTCTTGTCGATACCTCAGCACCATCAGAAGGGGTTCCGCCGCAAGATCTTGAAAATCCCAGTGGTGATCATATTCGAAATTACACAATCAGCAAAGCAGGGAACTGGTTCCTCGCTAATCGCTTTGCGAAGCGATTTGATGCAGCAGGTGCAGGTAAAAAGGGTGTCGTGAGTATAAACGCCAATCCAGCAACAGTACGCACAGGCATTTATGACAATGCACCGAAGACAGCAGTATGGCAGACGATGCCTGTTTTCGCTACTGCTTTGGATGGCGCTCATATCTTATTATGGGCTGGTTGCAGCGAGGACATAATGGTCCAGGATGGCGGACGCTATGTGATCCCCTTCGGGAAGTGGCATCCAAACCCGAGAAGGGATTTGCTGAATGCGATATCCGAGAATGAGAATGGTCAGAGTTATGCGAAGGGACTAGAGGACTGGGCCGAGGAGATTACACTGGCATACAAATGAATTTGACCTCAACATCAACCCGGGCGCGAGAGGGTGGATGTATGAATCAGTCTATTAGAAAGTTTCATCGCCACAATCCATTTCAGCCCACTTCATTTGGACGGAAGTGGCACATTAGCCCGAGTGAAAGAAACCAGATTGACCGCATCATACAGCGGATATTCGAGAGCGAGTTCGACCCGGGTTAACTGTGGATGATTAGCGTGCAAGTGCCACAATATGAAAACGGATCGTTTTCATCAGCACTAAAATCAAATGCTTGAATGATCTCAAAATGCGGATTGATGCCCAGAAAGTCAGCATTCTAATTGTGACAGAGCAATGGATAATGAGGCCAATAAGTACCTAGTCTCAGGCACTGCTTGGCTTGGATTGATTTAACTTGACTTTGAATTGTCGAAGTAAACAAGGGTGTTGATTTCGCAGCTCTCGCATTAAAGTAGTCAATCATTATGATGACGCTGATGATATATGGCAATATTAAATTAATTCAACACTACCTGGTGACTACATTCTAAGATACTTGAGCACTCCCAGAGGCTTCACTAATTTCGGTGTTCTCCAATAGTAATGGCGCTTTCCATTCTTTCAGTCTTCTCTCATCCCACCAAGCGTAACCCCAGTCCCAGTCCTGATCTGTGTTGCGATCGTAATTTAAAGCATCTTCTAATACATCCTCCTTGCTATGAGGCAGTATCCATGCTTTCTTCCAGCCCACGGTGGGTTGTTCAAGAGGCGAGAGAGTGGACCAGAAATGTTCAAAATTTAGGGTATCAAATTGATCAGCAGGATCAATGAAAGGGAACCTATAATCCCACGACAATCCCAACTCCGGTCCAATGAATGATAGGTAGCAGGCCCTGGCATTCCCGCAAAGGACATTCCGGCGAGATAGTCGATCCAAATGTAGAACGCCATGTATAAATTCAGGTCCCAGTCCTGCTAGTCCGAGTGAATGGTTTTCGTCGAAGAATACAAGATCATTTTCGATCTCAATGGCTGCACCAGGTGGCCGTTGTTCTTGGGGTATAATATCCCAAAAATATTCGCATGGTGTACTCTTAATGAGTTCTCGTAAGTCATTTTTCATCTCCTTGGAGATATCTTTGATCCTGGCATCGAAATAGTAGAGTATGCCACTCATTTCCTCGTATTCCCAAGGGGGCATTGTACCATAAAAAAGCCGATATGCCAAATGTTCCATATTGATGTACTGGCCCCCATCTGCCATGTCATCAAACTTTTCAAATTGCCAGACTTTCGAATAAGAGCATGAGTTGCAACATGAGACATTCCTCCATTCTGTAGGAGGCAAGTCGTTTGGAATAGCACGGCATGTGTCACAACGTATGGGTCCGAAACACCAGACTTCGTCACCAAAGATATTTTTCATAATTTGGAATCGGCACATTGCCCTTAAGAAACGGTGCTTTTCAGAAACTGATAAATGCAAAGGCAAACAGTCTTTCTCCCATTGATCATGCTGGATCCATGGGGGCCTTGGTGCGTGTATTGAATAGTCCTTGAGAAAAAAGCACAGCATGTTGTGAAAATGAAGCAGCTTTACACTTTCCTCCAGGCTTTCAGGCTCGTCAAGGTTGTTTGGCGAGTATTGTTCTAGTGAGGATTGTCCGCGCTCACGAATTTCATTTCTGCGGCGCCATTTGTCCAGCAATGTAATCGCTTCTTCCCTCCGGTAGGAGAAATGCACGCCTTTAGACCGCACAGCAGTGAGAGCCTCTGCCAGGTCAAGGAATCCAGTGTATTGCCTTTTTACAAGACATCGAAGTAGTTCTTGTCTCACTGCAAGGTATGCATTGTGGTATCCGGGCGATGCAAGCACAAGGGACTTGAGAGTATCGCTGTCCGGCACATGGAATAAAATGAGAATCTTGAGCTCGGTAGGAAGATCCTCAAGTGTCGATTTACCCTGAGGATAATATTAGCCGGGTGTTATTTGAACTGCTGCTTTAGGCTCACCATGTTTTTTGAAGCTGCAGTCGACTGCTGGCCTGCGGGGTGAAGAGTGGGGAATGAGATGAGGGGTCGACAAAGTAAAGGTGTTAATTTGTGGAGGAGTGAAGCACTTGTCCACTATTCTTATATCATTCATGAACGCATTTGAGAGTGGTCAGCTATATAGTTTGTATGTATGGCTGCTAAAATTTTGAAATCATGTTGACTATGTATTCTAAGGTGTCCAGACCGACCGGGTGTCTGAACCACCTGCGAATTATGTTATTTGTGCTAGTTAGGCAGTATTCACATCAGCACAGATAAGAAGTATCCTGAGTCTTATCCTGGTGGTGGTATTGGTATTATCCTGTCTAATTGGTCTACTTCAGCTTGGATCAGCCACGGCTCTGAATCCCTGGCGAGCAATGGTGAACTGCTTTATGATCAGCTATATGATCCCAATCGCGTGTTTGTGTCACAAAGGAAATTTCTTTCCGCGAGACCGATATTGTCGCCTAGGAGTCGCTAGTCATCCTGTTAATTTCATCTCATTACCATGAAATGTTTCGTGGACATTATCACCTGTTTCCCCCAGTATCTGCCGGTTATTGCGAGTAACATGAACTACACCGGCCCCATGATCAGCGTAGCTATCCTCTCTGGACTGACTGGCTCTTGCATGCACGAAATCATTATCAACTTCCCCGGGCGCTTTTGACCTGATGGATCGGTCTTTATCTCCGTACACTTTATGTGTGAATAGTTAAAGCACCTATTTTGTTTAACCTAGCTAGCCTGATTGGCGCCACACGGTGTCAATGATGATCCGGCACGTAGATAAATCAGGCTATGTGTTGTAGTGAAATATTGAAAGTGAAGTTGTTTGACTATGTATCGGCGGATTTTTCAGCCCACACAATCTGACTAAAGAACATGCCTTGTAAGCTCCGAACGCTCCGGTGAGTCCTATTAAGGGCTTGAATATGTACAAGGGTATCGCATTTTTGGCACCCCGGTTCGTTTTTTGTTGGAAACCTCGTAGCAAAGCACGAGTGGGCATTCCTTGGCCCACGCGAAAAGATCGTAAAATAATGGCATACAGACAATGAAAACATGAAAGAAAACACCGTAAGTGAAGGGGAAGATGTACGCAGCCCAAGTCGGGCACCCAGTGAACGCCGTCTCAAATGAACAGCGTAATGATAAAAACCAAGATCTTGACGCGCTGAACAAATCAGAGAGTTCAAGTGATATGCGTGATGCAAGGGCTCAAATAGAACAGGATATGATAGAAGAGGTATAGACTCAACTTTTTTCAGGTTGGAGTGACTGCAGGACTGAAAAGGTATAGGCGAGTGAGGGTAGAGAGGCTTCATCATCATTTAAGCTTCCCTGTAGCCCCATATCCGCCTTTGCTCGTTCGTCCACCAAATCCCAACTTTCTCGGCTTCTTCAAGCCACTCCGCTGCGTCCTTACCATACTCCGAAAGAACCTCATTAATGAGTTGCGACAGGGTCCATGAATTGGTCGGTCGCAACTCACCAGGATCTTTGCCCAGGTGAGTGAAGACATACTCAAACCCTTCGCGAAGCGGAAGGACGAGTCGGTAGGGCGTACCGGCAGCCGTAACCGAGATCATGGATCCACCAGCGTTGATGAGGCCAAAGTTCCAGACGTATCGAGTATGCGGACCGTGGTGGTTCTTGTGCGGGGCGCGTACTTCGATTTCGTCCGGATTCTTGATCTGGCTGTCATGGTCGCGCGGCGGTTCGTCTTTGATAGATGAAATGAAGGGGCGGATGAGTGATTGGCCTTGGTACTCGGGGAGCAGAGCAGCGGCAATTTCGGAGTCGCTTTTGTCGATAGAATGGGACTGAACGAGCATGTCCAGGATAGTGGGGATGATGGCGAGGGCAGTTGCGTTAGCTGTGATATCGATACGGGGCATGTGTGGGTGTCGAAAGACGAGTGGGACGCGGAAGTTGCTGATATGTCCGTTTTCGTAGGTGCCGGTCATATCTTTATTGTCTTCTCCAAAAGCTTGTCCGTGATCGCCGACGATGACAACCAGGGTAGAGTTGGCGATACCGGTCTCATCTAGGAGATTCATGATATCTCCAAGCCAGTTGTCGACGAATCGAGCGGCGTTCAAGTAGTTATTCATCAAGTCGTGGTTGGCAGCACCCTCGGATCCCATGTACTTCTCCTTGTCGAAGCTTTTCGGGGTTCCCCAGGGATGGTGTGTGGTGCTGGTAACGTGCGAGAGGAAGATACGGGTCTTGTTGTTTGCGGCCTCGTAGAACAGATCTCTGACGTAGGGCTTCAATTCTGTCTCGGCATACCCAAAGTAGTTAATCTCCTCGCCCTTGGGTTTGTATTTCGACTTGAAAGCATTCATGGTCTTCTTCACAACTTTATGCTTGAACCCCATATTTTCATCCAGGATATCTTGACGGTCATAGTCATCTGTGATAGATTGCATGAAGACAGACTTCCACTGGTTCTGTAATGCCTCTGAGGTATGAGAGTTGTTGCTCCGTGCTTCGATGGCTTTGGGCATCCTCTTCTGGTTGAACAATTCCAACAGCTGCGGTAAGCAGGGCTGGTAAATCTCAAGCATAGACTCCTCTAGGAGGTCAACTGGCAAAGGGTGAACACCACAATGGCTACCCAGAATACTCTTGAATGTCAAAGAACTACCTGTGAGTGCTCCGCGAACATTGAGTCCTCCCATACCTTCCTCCGCTGGATCTTGCCAGTTTGCCTCACTCAGATCCACCTTCTCGCCCTTGCTGTCTGTCGCATATTCGCCAGTCAACATCTGTGCAATTGGGGTCATCTTCACTAGACGATCAATTGCCGCTTCCTTCTTTTTCTCCTTATGGGAAGCGATGAGGGCATCAAACATGGGTGTGCCCTGCTGCATGGGGAACATCTCTTTCCGCCCACTTTCAAGGGTTAACAGAACAATGTTATTAATTTCCACCGAGTGTTCCTGGAAAGCTTTCTGTAGAGGCTCATAAATTTCACCATCTAAATTGGAAATCTTCAGAGGATCCGCTTTGGGGTTGAAGAACGCATTTTCGTCATCACCGCAAAGATAATAAGAAGGATTATCCTTCTCCGCCCGCTGCTGAGGGCTCATAGCCCATCGGCTAAATCCCGGGGGTGGATCTTGAGGCAACCATGAGGCTCGTGACCACCCATCCATAAGACTGGTCTTTTCCACGGGCCAAAGAGGGAAGGGCTTTGCAGGGTTTCGGCAGCCTTCCAGCGTGCTGGACTTTTTGGTGAATGCATCGAGTAGAGTCAGAGGCAACGCGCCAGACAGATGATCGTAGGGAATCGAAGGTCTAGAGAGCTCCAAGAACAACAGTGAGATCAAAGCGGAGACTAGAAGCGCTATACGCCGAGCAGATCGAAGGTCCACGGATGCAATCCAGGATTTGCTGGGAACCGAAAGTATATTCCGTCGTGCTTTGAATGCCCCAATCAATAGATCTCGGAATCCCTGTAATACTATGCCGGTCAGGTTATAAAGGTGGGCATGGATCAGCCACGCCACGAGGCCCAAGACGGTAGCTGCGGCGGACACAGTTGAGATGCCGCTTAATAATATCTTCATGGCAGCAGGATCGCTCAGGAAACTATTACTGGCGGCCCAAGCGACCTCCGCGCCAGTCTGCATGAAGAATCCAAATTGGATGGAGGAGGCCCCCCAGGTGATTAAGCTATATGACTGGTCAGTTCTCCGATAATGAATCTTGATAGTCTGGACCCAATTCCCATGGAAACACCTACGAGAGGAGTCCACCCAGACATGTTGATATCCATTGTAGCCGCGATTCTGGTGTGGGGAATTGTAACAATAATCGCACGAAGCTAATGATAAGCAACTCCGGTAAAATGAGTGTCGGTGAATATAGCACGAGGTAGAGGAATGGTAGCGAATGGAAATGAAGGCCGATATGTAAGGCCTTCGAGGCGAAGCTGCTGACGACAAGAGCCGAGAAAAGGTATGGTGGGACCGGCGGAAGGAAGGCAAAGATGGCCATGGTATCAGCTCATGGTTTGACGGCGTAAAGATGGTTGAAGAGCGCGTCGGGGGAAAGTGTAGCCAAGGGATGAAGTTTGTGGAATGGAAGGTTTCGAAAGAAAGGAAGAAAAGACTGGAATGGGGCCAAGCACCCGGAATGTATTGTTTACACTCAAATGTACATTTAGAAAAAAGAATCGGAGGAAAGCGAAGAGGAAAGTAGTAAAGCGCACAAAGTCAAGTTGGAGTAAATAATCCAAGATTAAACTAAAACCAGGAACCGGAACGTTGACCAATCATTTGATCTGTTTTCGACGCTATAATTAACCAGTAAAATGGGGACTGGAACGAGTATTGGGGCACGCGACTGGAACATTGACTTCAATATCCACTAGACCTGTCCCTTTTTCCATCGCGGACCCTCTTTTTTTCTATTTCCATTCGGTTGACTCCGTCGGGTGGATCTTCCCCCTTGGCGATATTCTCACGGATGCTACGGAAAGAAACTACAAGAAAAAAACAACGTCCCACGTTTCACAAGAGCCTCGGAACCAGAACTGTAAAAAGACGGTATGAAGAGGCGAAGCTTCCGGACCCTGCATCATTGGTGTGTTGGCATATTCTTGTTGCCTGAAGCTTGACTCCACCTTGTTTACCAACACGATGTCTGAGACATTTTCATGATTTTCTTACTATTAATCATGGTCTCCGCTACTCCTTCTCTCCTTCCCCTATAGGGGCTAGCATCGCCACAATGACCTAAAAAGGGAACCGAAGAAACACCTCGCGTAGGCCAAGTCCGGGGAAAACCAGGGCCAAGCCGCCATCGCTCCAAATCACTAATGTCACGCTGCGCGATCGGATTTCTTTTACGTCCGATCCGTTTAAGAAAATGCTCTATCACAGGCTCGTGGGTCTGTGGAGAACATCCAGCTGAGACCCTGAATCTTAAATCCTGTCACCTTGACCACCTGGTGTGCTGAGCAGGATGGACAATCCATCTCAGCAAGAATGTGTTTCTCTGACGTGATCGCCCTTTAGGGCTGCCATACAGATCTCAATCCTGTGGATCCGGCGATCAAACCCCCTAACGGTGAGCAAAAGAAAAAACAATAAGAATCTTCGAGGGGTACATTGGCTGCCATAAGCCTGAACCAATATGGCAGTACTGCGCCGGTCAGATCATACAATACCGCACTCTTTCAAGATTCTGAAGGTTTCGCGCCCAGAATGTGACCCTGAGGCTCAGGCCAAGAGGACCCTGAGTTGTGCGACCCGTAGCTAGTTTTCATGGTTGTGAGGCTTGGCATTATAAATTGGGTCTGATCGGCCCCTGTGGGTATGGTCAGCCTTGCGGACCGAGGTTGCAGAGCGGATGATGCATTATTGCGTCCTCATTGCATCTTCATGGGGCTGGAGAAGGGGTTTTCCTTGATTTGAACCAATACAGGACATCGGTCACACGCAAGGGACTTATTTAGACTGTTTAGCTGATTAAGGTTCCTGCTGCCTCGAAATTTGGGCATCACTGTGAGTTATACTAAGATTAAAATTTTCATCCTGACAAGTTTCTTATCTTCCAGAGTTGCTTGTACTACGGCAGTTTAGGATATTCAAATTGGTTGGCGATCTAGGTCAGTCTAGCTTGCACAAAACGAATACTGTCAGGGGTGCAGCTAGTACCTGGTGTATTAATCCCCGTCTACATTATATTCCAGTATCGACGATGGCTGATCAAAGATGGATATCAATCTATTTCTAAATGCATCTGGCTCAACTCTATCTAGTGAGGTGATAGCAGTCATACCCCACTATGTATAATCAATCAACTGAGAAAAAGATATGCAGACTTATCCCAAATCTCAAACCTCAGTCCGTCCCGTCGATCCTTCATCGCCCTCGCTCCTGCACCATCTTCGCAATCCCATCCCCAATATCAGTCCCCAACTCCCCGAATCCCTTGATAACCCCCTCTCGATCCCCCTGCCCCATTTCTTGGCTCATCTTAAACTTGCCCTGTAATCGCTCGATTTGAATCTCAATCCCAATAATATTCTTCTTCAACAACTCCACATAAGACACCGGCGCCTCACCCACGTTCCACGCCGTCGGCTTCCCTTCCGCACCGGTGTAACCCATCACAGAGGTCTCAGCATGTTTTGACAAATCCTGTACCTGTGTCTGCAGGAAAGTACCGGTCTCCTCGGACTTGGAGTTACAGAACACACGGATCTTGCCGTAGGCCTGCACGGCAGCATAGTTCCATGTTGGAACGACCTTGCCCGAAACTGGTTTGGTTTCCGTGTAGAACTTCGGTGTGACGTAGTGGTGGTGTGGCCCGTTGAACAGAACGAGTACTTCGTCGGGGAGCTCGAGAGCTGTGTCTTTGCCTTGAGCTTCTTGTTGCGCGGCGAGTGCTTCCATTAGAGCTTTGGCTTGCGGGTTCTGCTTTGCAATATGTCCGCGCAGAACTCCGGGCTTTTCAGAGTCATTGGTGGGGACATCGAGTACGAATGGAATGTGGCTGGATTGGATAAATGCGTGGTCTGTAGTCTTGATGGCCGTTGTGAGGACGCCCAGGGGGTTATCGTGGATGAACTGTTGGAGGACAGGGATGCATGTTTCTGCGTGGGCGGCGCGAAGATACATGGTGCGGGGTTGGGAAGTAGGTATATGGAAATTTTGATCCGGATGCAAATTCTTTTGAAATAGGGTTCTGTACTGATTATAAGGTTCCGGCGGTCATGTCAGATCTATATAGATTTCTTATCATCCGCTTAACTCTTGGTAATCACTGATTCGTGGGTCGTGATTGGCAGTCGGTGCCGACTCTCCTCTGGTAGAATATTGGCATGCAAAGAATGAGTCAATCGGGTCCGTTGATGCGACTGACAGGGCGCGCTGTGCTAATCCGCGGAGCGGGAATTGACCAATCAGCACATGTAGTTTGTGGGTCAGCTTTGTACACCTTGGGTTGGGTTTCCAAGGTTGCGGGGAAGACTTGAGCGTAACACATTGCGATTTGGCGGTCATTTCGAATTTTATAGAGCAAAAGCACTTCCCGTGCGGTCAGTCGGACTGTTTTTAAAGCAGAGATCTTAGATGATCAATCACTGTTATACCATAGTCAATTGCTCAGAGTGAAAAGTAGAATTGAGTGCAATAAAGAGAGCCGCTCCACATACACTTCAACTTCCTAATCAGGACTAGCGCTAGCTGACATCAGTGTATAAGGTGAAGATCAATCAAACATTGGTTGAGGTATGACTAGCCTTTTCACATGAGAAAACCTCAGTCATAGCGCTCGTGGGATTAACATGCTATTTTGCACACCAAGTAGCTCGTGACTGAATAGGATAACTTCGTTGTACGCCTGTAGTGGCAAAATATGAATAACCAGCACAAGGTATCACAATGTGATCAAGTAGAAGGGAGTATCATTCAAGACGTACAGATAGTATACAAGATATCGAAACAATATGCAATGGTCGAAGCGACCAACGCCATCCATCTCGGAACCACACCGAACACCAACAAGCCGCTAAGAGCCAATCCTCCCAGCAGTAATAGAATCGAAGATCAAGCGGCCCGCGACACAATTCCACTTTTTCCAAGCTTATCAATAGTCCCGCTCTTCAACCTCAATGTCCTCTCAATATCCCTACTCGGCAAACCCTGCTGGTCACGCATCGTCAGCGCCTGGCTGATGGTGAATGAATCCAGGAACTGGCGGCCTGGGAAATTGGCGTTTCCAACAGCTAGGCTCTCCTCTTGCGCAGCCTTTGTGATGCGCTGGCGTGCTGTGACGACTAGCAAGGCTGGGTTTGAGGATGTAGGGAAGACGGTTTGCACGGTGCCGCGATTGAAGGGGTTAGGGTGTGAGAAGTTGCCGGATGGATCGACGGGGCCGATTGAGCGAAGGGAGGCGGCAAAGTCGGGATCGCGGCCGTCAAGATCGATGGCTAGATATGCTATTAGTGTCAAGCTTTGAAGTGGCAAGAAATTGACAATATGGTTTGGGTGGTTTTTCTCTTTTCCTTTTTCTTCGAGCTGCTAGATGGGTATCCCAGATTCGCTGAGGCACATACCATTGGATTTTGTGATGGAGGGTTGCTCCTTGGAGTGATATGTTGGGCCCTGTGCAGGAGCCGGAGCTCGAGCTGGTGGTGGTGTAGGAGCAGGCGTCGGTGTAGGTTTTGATTCTTGGGTTTTCTTTGGCGGCGCGGCGGGTGCTCTCGGCGGAGGAGCAGGCTTTTTAGGATATTGGCGCCGTGTCGCTGCGCCAGCAGCTGACCGGGCAGGTTTTGAAGCAGCAGAGCCCATTATAAGAGACTGTTTTTGGTTCTGCGGGGGTTGGAGAATTGGTTGTGAGCCTTCCGCGGCGGGAGATCGGAGGAGAACGCGGAGTTGACTTGGCGCTTGGACGGGGCAGAGCCACTTAAGTGACGTCAAAATATAATCAACACCGACCTGCTCGCCTTGACACTGGAGAATGATGGTGCTCAAGGAGCTTAAATTTTGCAATCAATAAAGTAGAAAATGTGTGAGAAATTGTAAAATGATGGTGTTGTTGAGCAGCGCAGACAATTGGCCTCAACTATGCAAGCGTACAGGCAGAGAACCACGACTTGGATATCAGCGTTATCTATCAATTCAGAAATCATAGCCATCATATTTAATATCTACTGGAAGTAAATTTATTTATAAGAATCCTATTTTGTCGGAAGGAAAAGGTGGATATCATCACAGCTAAGATACAATGCCACACAAGCTCAATAAGTCGACGATCAAAAGAGCTCGGCGAGAGAGGCCTATGTTTTTTAAAGCGTTCTTCTAGACGCTTAGCGGAGGCCCGCAAGGCGACGGCCTTGGACCTCACCCAACGCGCGGCTACCGCTCACAAATGCGACCGCACCAACGGCAGCGGCAGCAGGCAGGATCTGGAACAGGTTCCAGGAGGTATAGTAGAGGAAAAAGATACCTTCGAAAGCGACCAAAGATCCAACGAAAATGGCGTGCGGGAGAGGGGCAGATTTGAAGGCAGTTGACAGGTGGTTGACGTTAGCACCGAGGAGGAGCCACTAGATCACAAGTTAGCTAGACATTCAGCTACATAACAGTATTTATTCTTACCAGACCGGCCAAAAGCGGGAGAGCAGCGCCGACTAAGGCCACGAAGGCCAGAGTGATAACAATGGGCGGGCTGGTGGCGGCATCCTTGAAGATGTGGTGGATCTCGGGCAGCTTGCCGTATCTCTCGACGTCAACGGTGGGGACGGGAACATCGGGGTTGCGCTCGATCGACAGAGGGAAGATCGAGGAATCGTATGCCTCAGAGCTCCCAGAGGAACCAATGACCACACGAGCATCAATGGGCTCAGGGAGAGACAGGAATTGAATCGGGAGGTCCTTCTGGGTCTAGAGCAACTTCATTAGCTTGATCTAAACATGCGGAGAGCTTTGAGGTCGCATACCAATTCCAGCCGCGACTTGCCATTCTCCTTAACGGTGAAGGGGTAGGAGATATCCAATCCAGTGTGGGAATCCTTCAACAGAAGGAAAGCTTGGTGTGGGCGCTTCGCGGAGCTTCCTTCCTGAGTAGTCAAGGTGACGCGCAATGTATCGGCACCAGCAAGCGCGACGGGTTTCGAGAGCGGTTTGGAGACGGAAAGCCTACGGACAGCCATCTATTAGCTTCCGATAACCTTGCAGGTAGCTGGAAAGTTCATTGATCTCACGATTCCTTGAATCCGCTGTTAACTCCGGCACCCTTAGGTTGGACTGCCACGGTGGCATCAGTAAAGCCCCAAGCTGACGCTGCAGCTGCAGGCAAAGCAGCGGATGCCAATAGGCAGAACTGAACAGTGGCCTGCCACATATGCATTGTGAAAACAATTCCAAAGGAAGAAAGAAAAAAGCAATGATTTAAGAGGGTAGGTTGGAGGAGCAAGGAGGAGAAGCTGGTGGTTGACAGATTGCAGAATAAGGCGGAGGCCGATAAGCGCCGATCGACTTTAGCCCTAATTTCTTTTCTGCTGGGACTTCATCTCTCTCTCTCCCATGAATCGCCCTCGCTGCTCTAGCTGTCCCCGCAAACCTACTTAATCCACCTTTTTAATCTTGAAAAAACCTGTTGATTATTGCTTGCTGGATGGAGTCACCCCTAAACCAACTGTAAGTCCTGCTAAACCTACTACTTTCTGAGGCCTCCTCTGGCCCTAAACCCCGGCTTCAGCCCTGGACCGACTCTTCAGGGCTTCTGACGTCGACTCCCTTTGCATCTGGGGTAAACCTCTACCCCCACACCCTAGATTTTTCTTTAGTCCAGATATGTCTATTGGCGCATTATCGTTCCCTTATTCACTTTGTTTACTCCGTTTGTTTCCGGTTGCCTCCAAATGGTGTTTCTTTGAGCCCTAGTCACTGACTGCCCGAATTGGGAACAATAGTCTTCATTCACCATGCCTCCCAAAAAAGGAATGCGTAAATCAATGCCGGCGCGCATTGTTCATACTACATTCACTCCATCGCGACGTTCACCACGAGTCCCCACTCCTACGAGAGCTATAAATGAGAGCGATTATCCGACCAAAACTATTGATTTAGCTACCGATCCCTCCTCAGAGAACCTTGTGACATTTCGGTATTATGATCCCAAGACCCCGCCTCAAAACGACTCTTCAAAGAATACGTCTCCTGACGTAACTTCAACTGGCCGCCGAACTTTCCAGGCTCGTCCATCTCGACTATCCAACGTTTACACCCCGGTGGTGGAAACACCCAACTCCTCCAGTCAAGGCAGCCGGAGAACTCGCCGTTCGGCTGCTCTTGAAACTCCACAAAATCAACTGTCCGATCCTGACGCCCCTGAAAGTCTTGGCTCCACTGGCTGGACATACGACCAATACATGGGATCACACGACGACATGGCTCCTGCCTCTCCCAGTGCTGCTTCCTCCAAGGGAACTCGCGCTTCTGCTCGCCTCCGCAAGCCAACATCCCGTGCGATCGAAGCCCTGGCATTAAAGAAGAAGCCCCGCAAGAGAGCAACCCCCGCATCTGCCAAGAATGGAACGACTGAGCCCGAGGCCCAAGTCCTCAATAAGACCACTCCCAAGTCTGGAAAGGGCAAAGGCAAGAAGCTTATGAAGCAGAAGAAATCTTCTCTTTGGAGCATTGATCTCGACACGGAAACCGCAGGACGAAAGCTGTACGAGATCACCTTGGTTGCATTGGGTGCCGATTTCGAACTTCCCTCTGATCCAGAGTGGTTCATCGCCAACGCTCGATTTGAATATTTCCAAGCCAAAGAGGGCTTACAGCGCGCTCGTGAGCCTTCTGCTGGAGATGAGAATCAACCCAACCTGTACGACAGCGAGACCGACACCGGAAGCATCCGGCAATATAAGCAGCTGTCGACACCACAGATTGACGAAGATGGCTGGGCACGAGTCGGCCGCATCAACGAACATGGTGAAGAAATTATTTTCCCCCCAGGTGACCACAGCCCATACTGGCCGCCTCGCACTTACAACGACGACACGTTGCCGTATCCACCTGTTCGTTCTCGATCAGAGAAGCAAACCCAGAATGACAACTCCTTCGGATTCCCTCCCTTGATGGGTGATCGCAACATTCCCTTCGATGCCCATTCTCACTTTGTGCCAGAGGATGTCACTGAAGAGCTGGCTCGGGCTCAAGCACGCGGTGAAGCTCGTCAGAAGGCACTCCCTACTCCGACTGAACCCAGGAAGCCTCGTTCTGCCAAGCAGCGCCAGACTCAACCACCCATGGTCGACGGTCCTGCTCCCCCTGATGAAACCGAAAAGCCAAAACCCAAGCGACGCGCAGTCAAACGTGCCTCTTTGCCAGCACCCACGACGCGGAAAGCAGCACCTCCAACCAAGAAACCCCTCGCTCGGTCTGCCAAGGCAGCCTCCAAGACCGCTCCGGCTCCTCTCCCTGCCGAGACTGACAACGGAGAAGGTTCATCACAGGACCCGCCTTTCAGGCCCATTCGTCTGGTTCTCACTGCTCCGCGACCTGAAGGGAAGACCAACGGCAACAAGGAGCCAGAGACCGATGAGGATGCAAGTATCAAGAAGGAAGGGGCATCTCCGACTTCTGTCAAGGGGAAGAAGCGAACTGCCGATTCGATGAACGGACCAGCGGGAGAGACTGCTGCTGCAAAGCGCGCTCGCCTTGCAGGCACCGATGGCGAATCTGGCCCACAGAAAGGCCGAAAACGTGCAGCAACCACAACTACAACTACGCCGAAGCAACCGGCTGCCTCGAAAGCCAAAGGCCAAAGTGAGGAGTCGCCGCGACGAAAGGCAACACCATCTCGGGGTCGGGGCCGAGGTCGTGGTGGTCGTGGTCGAGGCCGTGGTGGAAGCTGAGGCCGCGAATGAAGTCAGTGCTTGAATCTAGTGAAACCGGGACGAAGTTCTTTGTCTCTTGTCCCTCGTGTCTCTTTTTCTTTGTTTTGTTTCTTATGTCTGTTGTTTTTTATCCTGAGCGACCATCAAAAGGCGTTTTCATTTGAGCATTTTCCAGCGTTGACTTCCTGCATTCTAAAAACACCACTAAGGATCTGCATAGCGTGATGTTTCTTCTTTGTTCTCCCATTCTATTCTATGATTAGCTATCAACCCCTCTCAGGTCTCAGGAGAAGCAACCTCTATTTCGGTTTTCTACACGGAGCGAGTCTCCCTTGCTTCATTATACCAAAATGTGATTAATTATTGCTCGGTGTGTACAAAACTTGCAACATCAATATACTCCTCAGTTTTTACAGGTAATATCCATCCTTGGTCATTTAATTGATTCTTTTCGGCCTCCTGAACATCTAGATTATACAATCCTTGTAACACGTCTCGCTTCAAAATTGTGTTTCTGCCTGAGGCATCAATACCCCGATCTCCTCCTCATCTGATTGATCCTGTTCATTCTTTTCAGCACAAAAGAATATATGTAACAATCCACCAACTCCGACATCTATCTAAACAATTACCAATCCAAAATGCCCACGTACCCATCCGAGCAATTTCGTCCGGGCCAACCGACGCCTGCTCCTCGCCCACAGCGTCCAAGGCCGTCTCTGAAGGGACACCCGGACATTCGGTCGACAAAGGAGTATAAGCTTGCTGCGCGGAGGTATGTTCTCCATCCCATGTCATTCATTCAGTGATTTCCTTCCCATTTGTCTTTCTGCTGTTTTCTAGCTTGGAATTTGCCTGCGGATAAGCTTCCATCTGTGTCCTGCTTCTAGTATCCATTGGCTGTCCTTGTGATCTGCGCTTTGCGCAAAATAACTCCTCGCATAACTCCATACTATTCGGATTACCAATTTACTGATATTCGTCATAGATGGACATCGACTATTGTCGCTTTACCGTTTCTCATGTATACATCTTACATTCTCTATGAGCGGAGTGAGTATTCTATTCTAATCCCCGAAAGTTCCAAAGCTGTTCTCGTCGGCCGAGTATCTTCTTGAGTGACTAACAAGATTTGCTGCTCATAGCCTACGGCGATAAAAGCCAGAAACACTTCATTCCTCCGAAGAAAGAGCAGGAACAGCCTGAGCCTTCTTCCAGCCCCTCCCCAGCCTCGTGAAGGATGAATGGTGTAAAGGGTCGGTGGGTGATTGTTCGAGTATCATCTGTACATTAAGCGTCGGAATTCAACTGCATCACGTTCATTGCGTTTTTTTCTCCAGCTTAAAAGTCCGTAGATAATTACTAGCCTGATGCATTAGATCAGATAGCTGAATGGTTCAAGCTCATATACATCAAGATCGAATAACAGAAATGGAAAACAAGTCAATGTTCACGAGAAAACAACCAAAATCCATAATCATCGTTCCTTTTTTATTTTGTTGACTACAAAAGTATGAAGTGATTTTCATATAAATAATATCTCCACCTCATCAGCCTGCTGGATGAAATGTAAAGGGCAAATGTAGGAAATCAGGAGGTATGTACTAGATGCTTAATATGCAATAGCTTCGATGGCAAATTCACCAACTGCCCAAGTCTAGGAAAGGAAATAGGGAGATAGCACCGGGATTTCCTTTTCTTTAGCCGGCCACACCCGGCATATGGAACTGGTGCTCTCCTGAGCCTGTCGATGGAGGCACAGAAGCTAAGCCGCTGCTCACGCTGGGGGGCTTCACACTTCGCTCACGCATACGACGACCCTCCATTAGACCACGCAGACCACGTTTCTGCAGACCGATGACACTGGACAGGTCGCCGGTCCAGATTTCGCGGGATGGGCGGCTAGCATCCGTGCCACGGCGCTGGTGAGCGCGGGACTGCGAGCGGCTTTCAGTATCGCTGACAAACTCTGAGTCAGACTGACCGAAGCTGGACGCTGATGTAGCGGTGCTTGCGGTACTGATGGAGTCTTCACGCTCGCGGTGAGCGCTGCGGTGCTGCCGGCCACGGATGTTGGTGTCGATGCGCAGTGATGGGATGCCGCGCGTGTAGTTGGTGAGATCGCCCGTGCTGCTGGCAGCGGAGGGAGGCATGGCGCCATGCTCTGTGTCGGATGAGTCAGAAGCCATTAGGCCACTGTGGTGGGAATTTGTGCCCTCGGAAACATCGTGCATGGAGCCATTACCATGTGAGCCATTGAGGGCTTCTAGCGTGCCGCCTAGGCCACCGGTGAAGCCAGTACCTCTTCCGCCTCCTGCTGCCATAGCCGCTGCGTTGAATACTGCCGCGGCATTGCGGCCATCGAGGACTTGGTGCAGTCTTTCCACGGTAGCTTCTAGGAGACCATCTATCTGGTAGGGTCGTGCGAGCTGGAGGAGGGAACAGAGGATCTGCGGTGTGCACAAGGAAGAGCCTGGAGGAGGAAGAGCGGATGTGTATAGATACTGAACGAGGACTTGGAGTGTAAGGATGGTGTGGGGGAGATATAGCACACGGGGTCGGGCAGTCGGGGCAAGCCCATGTGCAGAGGGAGCTTCCAAGTTCTCAAGGAGAGCCTTAGAGGGGGCAGAGGGGTTGACCAAAGTCGTTGCATTAGAATAAAGACTATTGTGGCCAATAGACGGGGTAATGGTGATGCTGGAGTTGCGACTTGGGTGGATCTGGACAGGGCGAAGAGTTCCGCCGTCCGCAATTCCGCCTTCGGACGATTCGCGCAGAAGCTGGATGAAATAAGGTCCCCAGCGTCGGGCCAGGACACGAGAGTTCACGGGAATGCGCTCTCCGCCAACAGCCTGTAACTCCATGTCAGACATCTCGTGCAACGAAAGCGCCAGTTTCCCCAGCTCATCCGATGCGGCTGATAGCGGCCGTCCACCAGTCGTCAATTGGGCTAGCTTCTGTTGCAGAGATGCAGGGACTGAAGGTGAGCTATACGACTTGTATCCTGATGTTGAAGATGTACGAGAGGGGTTGTTGTAAAGACCAAAGGCCTCCAGTTCAACCAAACAGATATGTGAGAAGTTGATCCGCCGGTGATTGTAATCATCAACCAGGCTACGCTTGCGGTGTCCAAGGATCACAAACGAGCTGCGACGTGGCCAAAGAATACCACGATTCCAGCTACCATGACCAAACACGGACCCACCGGCGTCAATACGACCCCAAGTTAGGGTCTTCAAGTCAAGAGCCCATAGAGCGTATTCTTGTTTCGAGGAAGTCAAGTAAGTACCACTGACAACAAAATGGCCATTAATAATACCACCATTGGGGAAACGCAGCCCAGGTGGAGATGCTTGGCTCTGCATCGGTCGTTCAACAAGACGCCCGTCCGGCAGGCGCACCTGCAGCTCCAGCTTAACATCGAGGAAGTTATAATTTGAATAAATTAGCATGGGGCATCCTGGCGACTCCGCTTCCTCGATCGGCTCTTGTGTGTCTTGCTCAGGGGCAGTAGATCCAATCTCGGAGACGTCCATGCCCACCAGGGGTGCGACGACACTACGATAGGCACCGCAGCTGCGACCGAGAGGACTAGTATTGGTCCATTTGAGACTGCGAAGGTTGAAAACGCTAGTTTGCTCAATGTAGTGGTTGGAGCTGTCTTGGCCACCAACAACTACCATTTCAGCGCCACCAAAGCCATCAATGTCCACCCCGATTGAGCCTTGGTGGGGTGTGGAGGATTCAGGGTTATTATGGATAGCCGACAGCGGCGCACGCGCAGAAGTGAAACTGGCACTTGACGGGAGAATCGTGGCACAATGAGCATATCGTCCTTGCGGTGAGTCGTGCGACGCAACCCGAGTCCATGCGCGCGATGGGACATCGAAAATGTGAATATCCGACATGACCACGACCTCTGCCTGAGTCTCCGATCCAGACGCACTGGGGTTTGAAGGATCTTTGGAGGCACTGGGAGCTGGCGACATGCCACCATAGGCAACCAATTTGTTATCTCCGAGAGCACATACACTGTGGAAGTAACGTGGCGGAGGAATGTCTCCTGTCGCTTCAATCTTGGTCCAGTGCCGCCGGATCAGATCCAATTCATATAGGTCTGCGGTTAACTTAGGACGACTCCGCGAGAGGATCCGGCCTCCGAAAACGTATAGTTTGTCGCCCAAAATTGTTGTGGTAGCCCCGACCAGGGGGTGAGGCTCCGTGCCGGTGGTTCGGCGCACATTGCACACCAATCCAGATAGGTTGATTGGTCCTGACGAGGGTTGTTGATTGAACGACGGCGAGGCACCGCCTGTTGGGGCGGGTTCTTGACCTGCATCTAGGAAGCCCAGACTCGACTGGCTCCTGGACATCATCGTGGGCGACGAGGCTGGTACAATTCAAAACAAAATCGGTGATCCCAAGGAAATATACAGGGTATGGTTGGCCCCCTTTTTTCGCAAAACTCCGTCACTGTCAAACAGTATACATAAAACGTATATCGGCTCGGTTTGGAACGTGTAACGATCGGAATGTTTTGCTAGGCGCTGATCGCAGGTACCGTTGCGGCTCGAGTTGTGGCCTTGTGGGGGATGGGTTGGGACCAGGGGATGGGGTTTCCCCGCCGCGTCAAGATAGGCGGGTATTTGGCACAAGGAAGGCCAGGATTCGAGGGCCGGGGATTATCTTGTCGATATGCCAGTCGACCAAAAGCGAGTGGGGAGAGATAAATGTGTCAGACTGTAGACGTTGGATCGGCACAAAAAAGGCGGTCTCAATCAACGCTTTCCCGGATGGGTTTGAGGGGGCGGATACAACCGCGCTATTTGCAGTTTTGGCAAAAGGGCCGATCCAGAAGAAAAAAGTTAAAGGGATAAGCATATTCCCATTGTTGTTTAATCGCAGTTATAGTTCGCTTGAAGGACTCTAAATATTGCTGGCTTCTAATTCTTTCAATCTGTAGATAGAACTTTGGAAGATTCTAAGGTTGTGCATGTGCATGGTAGTACACAATGCGTATTTGATCGGAAACTGTTATGGTGCCATATCGACTCAAGCCATTTTAACTTTAGTGAGACATTCACGCCCATATTACGCGAAGTCGGAATGGTTATGGATACAGAAAGATTGACAATTGGCAGGATAAGTCATTTCATATTGGTATCAAGTAGGCTTTATACCAGCCAATTCAACTATATTTTATTTTCGCGTTACATCGTAAAGCCCATAACTTAGTTAGAGGGGTCCTTGGTGAAGCGGAGGTAACTGTCATTTAGGTCAGAGATAAAGTAGCTGTCATAGGGTATGCAGGATCACTTACGGCTTGACCTCACGGATCTCACCAAACTTAGCCTTGGCATCGGCAGTGGAGACGGGGGGAGGAATGACAACATCATCGCCGGGCAGCCAGTTGATGGGGCAGGTAACGCCGTGCTTCTCGGTGGTCTGGAGAGCATCAATGACACGGAGAACCTCAGCAGTGTTGCGGCCGGTGGAGGCGGGGTAGGTCATGATCAGACGGATCTTCTTGGCGGGGTCGATGATGAAGACGGAGCGGATGGTCAGAGCCATACCCTTGGAGTCAACGTTGGTGGTGTCCTGGTAGTCGACCATGTCGTACAGGTAGGCGACCTTGCGCTCGGGGTCGGAGATGATGGGGAACTTGAGCTGGGAGCCGGAGACCTCATCGATGTCCTTGATCCAACGGTGGTGAGACTCAACGTGGTTGGCACTCAGACCGATGAGCTGAACACCACGCTGGGTGAACTCGGGCTCAAGCTTGGCGAAGGCACCGAGCTCGGTGGTGCAGATGGGGGTGAAGTCATCGGGGTGGGAGAAGAGGATGGTCCACTTGTCGCCAATGAAGTCGTGGAAGTTGATGGGACCGTTGGAGGTCTCGGAGTCGAAGTTGGGGGCAGTAGAGCCCAGACGGAGGCTGTTGCATGGTCAGCTATTGGTCCTGGTAGTTCGGAACTGTATGGAGGGGGGTTATACATACGGAGCACGCTGTTCAGCCATTGTGATAATAGAAGTGAAGGATTGGTATCCGGTTTGTTTTAAAGAGGGATATGAAGAAGGAAGTTCAGGAGGGGGAAATAGGAGGTTCAAATACGGGAGCTGCCCCTCTTGCTTGCCAGCACCATCTTCTTGTCGCAGTGATCGACTTACCTCATCCGGCTGTTGTCCATCACGCAATTATTGGCCGCCTTTGGCAGAATAAATGCCATTGGTGGGACCGGTCATGGTGGGCTGTTTAGTGTTCCTGATTGCAATAATTCCCTGCTAAGCTACCGTCCAATAATGGGGAATTTCTCAAAGGTTCTCTTCGGCTCCAGAGCACGGGTTAACCCCTCCATACTTGTTGTCTATAACACTCCCTTCCCCAGACTTTTCCTTGCCCCGGTTACTCCCTCTCGTACATTTTCCCACATGCAGAACCTCAAAAGTTTGCACTTCTGAACAACACAATTGCATCAGCTCATGTTGTCGGCCGAGCTGCGTTAGTGTCGAGTCGGCCGATACCCCGCCATGGAGCCAATGGAGACTCGACCGGATGGCGCAATTCCATTCTCCATTTGTTCACATTAATAATCTTAAAAGCCACCTGCGCTACCTACAGTCGATCCCCGAAGTCGCAGATGGGAGATACCAGACTGAAATAATTGGTTAGACTCTTAGCGCTCCTGTAGTGAACCTCCGGACTCGGGTCGATGTTGAAGTGGGATGAGACCCACCAGGTGGGGCAGACCTTCGGTAGGATTCCTTGCTTTCAACAGCTCAACCCTGCAGAGGTTCGTGGGCGTCTGGGCACTGCTACATTAAGCTATTCTGGACTTACTCTAGTCTGCGATGGTAAGCACACGTGGACATCCATATACCGTACAGGTGCACTAACTGGGGTGGGTCACGTCCCCCGGATTGATCGATCCATGGATACACGTGCGGAATAGTAGCAAAAGTAAATACACGTAAAAAAATGCTTCTCTAATAGACCTCAATGCAGATGCTCCGCTGCCTGGTCTCATCACTGGCTTTTGAACTGACTCACCAGCGACCAGAATGGTTCAGGCACGGGCTTTTTATTGGCTTACGAAAGAGATCGAAGAGGGTAGTAAGCGATTCGATACGGGACATTATTGATTTTGCAGCTAATTTTCAAATCTCTGGCAACAACGGGTATCCCTCTGGTGACTTCCAAGGCTTAGGTGTTCCAAGCTTCTCCAATTCGGAGTTGATGGAAACCTCTGTTGATAGTTTTCCGAGGTTGCATACATACCTACCTGTTGTGGCTTTCCTTTTCAGAAAACTGGGTGTATTATGCTAATGTTAAATGCCTATATCATTCAATTTGGGTGTTTCTAGATGACTCTGTATCAATTGTTCGATAATTTATCAAGCTTCATAAAGGATTGTGCGGAAGTTGAAAAAGGGTTTAATGTGCTTTTGTTCGAATATTGTATATACTCCGTACTCCACGCGGATCAGCAATAAAGTTAAAAACCAAATGACTGAGAACACCCAAAGCCTTAGGACTCGAAACTGCGCTAAGACTCAATAGATAAGCCCAATAGTTTCAGTATTTGCCCAGTAATGCGATTTTCCTCTCTCTTTCACTCCTGCCAAAAGGGGCCTTCCCCCGCTGAACTTGAAGATCCGTCGATCAAGCGTGTCACGTGGATTACCCGGACCCACCGTCGCGTCGAGCTCGAGGCAAACAGACCGGAGCTTCGTTCTGGTCCATTCCATCCAATTTCTTGTCGTCAGAAACTCATTGAAAAGCCTATCAAGCTGGTAGCAATTGAGTATTTTTGAAAATTTTGATTTTCCAGAGAATCCCATCCTCCACCCCCTCTTCTCTACCCCTTTTACTGCGAAAAGCGCGCCAACCTCGGAACCCTCAAACTACATGCCGCCGAAACGGAAGGCAGAAAGTACAACAACAATGACCGACAGCGTTGGAACCCCGTCAAAGCGGGTGCGCAACTCTGAGTCTGATGCTGAGGGGGAAATTGTTTCTGAGGTAAAGTCACAAAATTATCGGGAGCTGATCGCCAGGATTCCCTCGAAGGACAACCCACTTTGGGTCCGCAATGCTGATCCATTGACCACATAGGCTACCCCCCAGACTGGCGAGAAGAGGAAGCGTGGTCGCCCGCGCAAGTATCCCGAGGGCACTTTCCCCAAGCCCTCTACTGATGGTCCCAAGCGCGGCCGTGGACGTCCCCGCAAGATTCTCACCGAGGAGGAAACTGCTGCAGCTGCCGCTCAAAAGGAGGCATCGGCTGCAGATGGTCCCAAGAGAGGGCGCGGGCGTCCTCGCAAGGAACCAGGTATGTTCCTGTCGAGATCGAAGATGGTGTGTTCCAAGGACTAACTGCTATTGGTTTGCCCTTCAGGTACCGAAACACCGAAACCAGCAACTACAACCCCGAAAAAGAAGGACGGTCGAGGCAGGCCTCGCAAGAGTCTGCCTGCCAATGGTACGGAGGATGCTGCTGAAACCAAATCGAAGCCCGAGGCTACCCCATCAAGCGTGCCCAAGGAGGATGCCGGTCGCTCTTACTGGTTGATGAAGGCTGAGCCTGAATCACGCCTTGAGAAGGGTGTGGATGTCAAATTCTCCATTGATGACTTGGCTGCGACGGAGACCCCAGAGCCATGGGACGGTAAGACTTTTGCCCGCTCACGATGAAGAACATTACTAACGATAAATAGGAGTTCGAAATGCGGTTGGTAAGACTTGATTGACAACACCACAAGTGATCCGAATGACCTAGCTTACAGGTCAACAGCTAGGAATCTCATGCGTGACATGAAGAAGGGAGACTACGCTTTTTTCTACCACTCCAACTGCAAGACCCCTGGAGTTGTAGGAGTTATGGAAATCGTGCAAGAGCACTCAGTTGATGGTTCGGCCCTTCTCATCCTACCACTCATGTTATGCCTCTTACTAATAATCTCGTCGCAGAATCCGCCTTTGACTCCAAGCACCCGTACTACGACCCCAAGTCCACCCGCGAAAACCCCAAGTGGGTCGTTGTTCACGTTGAATTCCGCTGCAAGTTCAAGAAACAGGTCACATTGAATGACCTGAAGACTCACGCCCAGCCCGGAAAGGCCCTGGAGAACCTGCAGACCATCAAGCAATCACGACTTAGTGTTTCCTCAGTGACCCCAGCACAATGGCGTTACATCTTGGAGTTGGCTGGTGAAGATCCAAGCCAGCTGCTTAAGACGGAGTTTGATGATGAAAGTGATTAGCTTCTCAGACAGTAAAATAGGGTCTGGTTTGTACAATTCTTCCGAAATATTCTCCTTGGGCGTTTGAGGCTGGACAATAGGGATTTTAAGAGAGTTTATGTCATTTCTAGCCTGAGTTTTAGTGGGTAGTACGGCAAAAAAAAAAAGATTATCTCATCGATCGGGAATTAAAGTAGATGCGGATAGCCGTGCCAAATCCAGACATGAGCACTCAAAGATTGATAATCGACCTCGGTCATCAATACTGCATGTAAATGAGGGGATTAAGCTCCAGCGGCGAGCGCAACCAACCAGCATCAGTAAACGGAACCAAATGACCCAGAGCTCCAATGGTTGCCCACGAAGAGTAAGTGCACCCGACCCGGTGGATACCGCGTTATCGTTATCGGAGCGGGGGGTCGACTGCTGCTCAACTGGGGTCCCTCTTTAAGATCTTAATAATTCCGCAAATGTTTGGTTGTACCTTTACTCTCCGGCCTTTGCGGTGTTTTTCTTCTGTACTTCGCTCGACTGCTTCTCGTCGCTTGTATACCACCGCCATGTCTGACATCTCTGTGCAATTGACTGCCCCCAACGGGCGCACTTACACCCAGCCCATCGGCCTCTTCATTAACAATGAATTTGTGCCATCCAAGTCTGGCGAGAAGATCACTTCAATCAACCCTTCGTAAGTCATGGAGTAAATTCTTCTTCTATCCAAATGTTCGGGTCGTTAACAGATTCGCAGGGACGAGGCGGAGATCGCGTCCGTTTATGCCGCTGGTGAGGAGGATGTTGATATCGCTGTCAAGGCCGCACGCAAGGCCCTGAAGGACCCGTCCTGGAAGGGACTGTCCGCTACCGACCGTGGTAATTTGATGTTGAAGTTTGCCGACTTGATTGAGAAGCACCAGGAGACCCTCGCCACCATTGAGACCTGGGACAACGGTTAGTATCTTATCTCCAACATCGGAACGGCCAATGACGCTGACGAATTGAAAACAGGCAAGCCTTACTCTGTTTCCCTCAACGATGATCTCGGTGAAGTCCTCAGTTCTCTCCGTTACTACGCCGGCTGGGCCGACAAGGTGACTGGCCAGACTATTAACACCACCCCCCAAAAGTTCGCCTACACTCTGCGCCAGCCCATTGGTGTGGTTGGCCAGATCATCCCCTGGAACTTCCCTCTGGCTATGGCTGCCTGGAAGCTTGGCCCTGCCCTCGCATGTGGTAACACCATTGTTATGAAGGCTGCCGAGCAGACTCCTCTTAGCATTCTTTACCTGGCTAGTCTGATCAAGGAGGCTGGTTTCCCTCCCGGTGTCATTAACATCATTAACGGTCACGGCCGTGTGGCCGGTGCTGCGCTGGTGAAGCACACCGATGTTGACAAGGTTGCTTTCACTGGCTCCACTGTCACTGGTCGTGAGATTATGAAGATGGCTGCTGGCACCCTTAAGAACATCACCCTCGAGACCGGAGGCAAGTCTCCACTGGTTGTGTTTGAGGATGCCGACCTTGAGCAGGCTGCTAAGTGGGCCCACATTGGTATCATGTACAACCAGGGCCAGGTCTGCACTTCTACCTCCCGCATCTTGGTTCACGACTCTGTGTACGATAAGTTCGTCTCTCTCTTCAAGGAAGTCACAGCCACCACTAGCAAGGTCGGTGACCCCTTCTCTGACGACACCTTCCAGGGTCCTCAGGTCACCAAGGCACAGTACGACCGTGTCCTTTCGTACATTGAGGCCGGCAAGTCCGAGGGCGCTACCCTCGTCGCTGGCGGTCAGCCCTTCAAGAACGTCGGCGACGGCCGTGGATTCTTCATTGCCCCGACCATCTTCACAAACGTCAAAGATAACATGCGCATCTACCGCGAGGAGGTCTTCGGTCCCTTCGTTGTCATCTCCAGCTTCGTCACCGAGGAGGAGGCCATCACCCGTGCCAACGATACCACGTACGGTCTCGGTGCTGCCCTTTTCACCAAGGACATTGAGCGTGCTCACCGTGCCGCCTCCGAGATCGAGGCCGGTATGGTGTGGATCAACAGCAGCAATGATAGCGACTTCCGTGTTCCATTCGGTGGTGTTAAGCAGAGTGGTATTGGTCGTGAGCTTGGCGAGGCTGGTCTCGAGGCTTACTCCCAGGTTAAGGCTGTTCATGTCAACATGGGCTGCCGGCTGTAAGGAAGGGAGCAGAGCGTTTGACTCTGACCGTTTTCTCCTGTAACTAAATGAAAAATTTATGCTTTATGACTAGCCAGCTCTCTTTTATGGTAGAGAATATAGTTGTTTCTTTGAATAATTCCCTATCGACTACGTATGATATAATCCGAAACTCTTGGGTCTGTCCAATGGTACACGATATATTGCGGAATGGCCTAGCGTACTGTCGCATTTAATACCACATGTTCAACCTGAAACTTATGATAGCCACTTGAGGAAATCCTGAACCACGCCCACAATTGCAATGGGTACTAAAACAATAAGTTCGTTGGCTGCTTGGGTGTTAATTGATGATTTAAAAGATTTACTCAAAAAATACTTGTGGTGGTTATATACTGCTCGACGGATAAACTCATATCAGGGCGGCTGGCCTAATGGCAAGGCGCTTGATTTCGGTTCAAGAGATTGCAGGTTCGATCCCTGCGTCGCTCGCTATTCTTTTTTTGTTTTTCCCGCATCCACTACCCACCAACTGCCATTTTTCATCTTTACTTTATCTTTTTTGCTTCTAAAGATTCATTCATGCATGCATAGAACTGGCAATTAAATATATAAATTAATTCTCGAGATATTTCCAGGTCCTTTTATGATGACATCGTTCGAACCGACGAAATACTTCAAACAACAATCGCTGGTATCTCTTCGTGAATGGCTAGCTCTAATAATTTCTACCTGCATCGCTTAGCAAATCTCAACACCTAATGGAATACGCCAATTTACAATTTCCTTGATTCGGTTTTTTCCTGCGCTATCCGTCCGCGCCACCTAGAGATGGTCAAATCGCCAAGCGTCTGCTTCCCTCCTCCCTGTAGCGCCCACCAGCCTTGGTCGCGCCTGTGATCAATCACAGTTAAAGCACCTGGGTGCTCAGGTGGTTGGGAGAGGCTTGATGGGCGTTGGGATGGCGGTTCTAGACTTTGCTCGTTTGAGGAATGATATGTCAAGAACAGAAGGCAAGGGCCGTGTATGGCGTTAATATATATTGAACGCGTCAACCTCTGTACAATCAGCCCAGCCTGGTCCACGGGTGCGTAACCCTCATCATGCCAGGCCTAAGCGGGAGACTGGACTAGATCATAGTCGAAAATGTTGAAATTCTCAAGTATAGGCATATCGCTCCAAATGATCACTTTGGAGATTTTGAAGGCCGTATGCCAGGAGACTGTTCTTGAAATCAAGAAACGCGCAAATGAGTCTGTAATACTTCCCTGGCGGGAGTCTGAAGACATGCATCAACTATTTGCTGACCACATCGGCAGACTTCCAGTCTGGAGTTTTGTGATGTGGGATGAATGCCACTTGCGTTGCTCACCGTCATAGTGTCCTGGCAGCTAGAAGTCTGTAGATACTGTCTCGCATGTTGACCGATTGGCCGATATTAATACATTCCCTTAGTCAATGAGATATGAAGAAGATTACCTGGCTTTTCTCTAGATACCAAGAAATCCCCCTGTTGTAAGAGGAGCTCGGATGTCGGCTTATGATTTTACTCAACATGAAACTGTCTCCATAAAGATAAGGAACCGGGAGACTTTTGCTTCGAAAAATCCGAATGCCTCCTTCGGGAGCGCAATTATATTCTGTTTCCAGCCAAAGTTCAAGCATGAGCATGATGAACAAGGAAAATTTTCAGGATTGGCTTACGAAGGCTGCCTCGATACGGGCACATCTAGGTATTAATCCTTGTGCATATACCAGCCAAAGTATGACCATAGGCGGCAGAAAACACTTGGCTGTACCCAGGTACAGGCCAAGCCCTGTAATCATCAGTTCAATCATGAACCCGAACCCGAACCCGCATGGAAACCTACTGCCAGACATCAAGATCTCACCCACTCCATATCACGAAACTCAAGATTAGGATTAGTGACAAATACGAGCAGAAAGGAACCACGATCTCCCTGTTGTCTATTCTTATTGATGCCCAAACTGAACCCTTTTTTCAGTCAAGTTGCCCGGTGCCCACATCCTGATTCTGCAGGATCATCCCGGAAGAAGAGTTCGTGCTATACCCTGATAGGTACATGGAGACCATCCATGTAGTAATGAAGACGTAGTCGTATGCACTTGATACAGACAGTATGCACATAGGCCCCGAGGCGATCACATAATGTAGCTAGGGCAGGTATACAGTAGAAAGGATCTGAAAATGCACCTGCATGCAAGCATTAGTTGGCAAAAAGCTCCGACAGGCCAGGTGCTGGCAAGTGATGAGGTGCATAGAATTGTTTTACATTGAGCCGAGACGGAGAGTATCTCTTTTCTGATTGGAGGGGTGTGATGACAAGATTTCGGGGGCGACGTATGTGTGTCTGTGGGTTTATGCGCGTGCCAGGTGGAGAGTTTGGATTCGGTACTCGGTAGGAGCCTTGTTTCTAAAATCTGGGTCTGGTTGGTTGATAGAGTTTCCTAACATTATTCGGCATCCATTGATTTGATTTGATGGACCACGGGCTCTTAGTTCTGGTGGGTTTTCATGACTCGGCAGGATTGTGATAGAGCAAGGTGGATCAGGCCATATTTCAATAGGATTGATGCAGATAAGAACAAAAGTACCACACACCCTTGCCCCGGGTACTGTTTCTGTTTCAATGCCGGCGATTAAGGTTTCATGTCTTGTTGTTTTCTGTATTCTCAGCGTTCTTTAATGCCCAATTTGCTCGGAGTCAGGCAGGAAAAATTGGGTTGGGGCGGCATGGCTTAGCGCCCAGTACCAGCGCACACATCTCTTGCATGCATGCAGAGTTGGTCATGTGAAGCCACTTGGACTGGTTTGGGAAAAGCGGTAATGACTAGGAGAGATTATCAATCATTCGGCAGTTATGATGTACTCTATTTCGTACATATCTAATATACCAGTAAATGTATCTTGACACGCACAATATACTTTAGTGAGTTGATACCCTTGCAGGGTTCATGTGAAGCCCAATGTGATTCAGCTTCCTGCAGGGTAGACAATGCGGGAGTTGACTCAATAGTATGTACTGCAACGTGGGCTCCACAACCTTAGACGTCTTGTGCTACAAGTTCAACGGATGTAATCCGGCTCCACCGCCCACTTTGCCCACGTCTGTTCTCAACCGATTGTGGGGGGCGGGGGCTTGGCACACTTGACGGTGTCTCCCTCATCATCTCCCTTAAATATTGTTTCTATTCCTACCAATCACCCTGGGCCAGTTTCCGCGATCGGCGCTGCCAACAAGATTTTGACTTTGGCGGTTCGTTGTCTCACTCATGAACAGGGGTTCTCACCATTGAAAATTTGTTTCGTCACTAACCTGTGTGACTAGACTGTACACGCCTCCACACCTCTTCTCAGGCCGAAATAGCGGTGTCTACCCACGGCTTCTTACTTCCCCATTCTGTTTATTTTTATTTTTATTTTTAGTTGCCCTAAGCCGGATCAACATGTCTGAATTTCAAAAATGGACAGTCAATGAGGTCAGATCATTTTCGTATTTTCCCTGCAATTTCCCGGGATTTGGACCGTGGATTTTTCTGATTGGCTCCTTGCCTTATTTTCTGTCGGTCAAGATGTGATGGAGTGTCGGTTCCGAAGAAGAAAAGAAAAAAAGAAATACCACAATTCACCAATCACATTTTCATTCTTGAGCAGCCTGCTAATTTCCACCTAGCCCTATATCGACATAGCGGGAACGCTGCTCGAGGGACCCTACCACGATGTAGCCAACAACGAGTTTCGCTTTGTGGATATCTGGGATCATAAACTCTATCGTCTCGATCTGGCCAAGGGTCCAGAATCTCTCAAAGCAATTGATACAGACGCGGCAATCGGGTATGTGGCTTGCGTTAGTGCTGTTCATTTTGCCTCTCGTTCACCGTTTCCCGTGGGCAATTAAAATCGTACACGAGATACATGATGGATACCTAAAAACAGGAAAAGCAAGACGCTAACAACGGAGCTTCAAGTGTCACCGCCAATATTGCCAATGCAGATGACGATGAATTGATAGTCGGGGCCAAGCTTGGATTTGCCCGGCTGAACCAAGCCACCGGGAAGCTATCGTATATTCACGAAGTTTGGGGCGCAGATGATGGACCGGGGAAGGCGGACATGTAAGTGGCGAAAACCTCCTCAAACACGACATCTATGCCCAAAGAAAGAGAAAAATGTGAAATGAGAAAAAGAAAAAAGAAAACATGAAAAAGGCCCCCAAAAACGAGTCTCGAAGAGCAAAAAATGATGAAACCAGTCCACACCGACTTACTTGAACCCCACAATCTAGGATGCGCTTTAACGACGGCGCTATTGATAGCCACGGCCGTTTCTGGGCGGGAGCCATGAATGACCCTAAGATCAAGGCACCGGGCCCCGAAGGAATCCTCTTCAGATTGGACCCAGACCTAAGCCTGCACCGCATGCTAGCGCCAGTGACGATCCCAAACGGAATAGGTTGGAACAACGCCGACGATACGATGTACCTGACAGACTCTCCGACGGGCAAAATCTTCGCGTTTGATTTCGATGCCGCGACGGGCGCGATCAGTAACCGACGTGTCCACTATGATCTCGGCGAGCCGCTCGAGCCGGATGGATTCGCCATAGACGTCGAAGGATGCATCTGGTCTGCAGTCTATGGTGGCGGGAAAGTCATTCGGATCTCACCGGCTGGCCAGCTCATCGGGCAGATAGACTTGCCCACACGGAATCCGACATGTCCCGCTTTTGTGGGAACGGAGCTGTTCATCACTTCTGCCAAGGATATTGTGGATGATGAGCGGTTGCCGCAATCTGTGCGGTATGGAGGCCGAGTATTCCGAGTCGACGTTGGGGTCCGGGGCAAACCTAAGCATGAGTTCCGCTTTAAGTAAATAGTATGAAAGTCAATTCCGCAGCCTTTGTTTCTCAAGGTTTGGGCTCCACTTGTGGATAGAACTATTATATTATTTCCGATATGTACGGGCGATCATGAAAAATGACTCCTCGACCAGCGGTGACTTCCCGTAAAGCTGGAAGCTTGAAATTGTATACTTCACATGTAGCTAAAACAATCGACCATGCAGCTGGAGCTAAACCTTTTTCAATTTCTTTTGCTCGCATTGAACTACCTTTCTCCCCTTTCTAATTCCGTTTAGTTTGCATTAGCATTGAGGCTGTGCTAAAACTATGAATTGTCTGTATGCTTTGTTCCCCCCTGCACGCCCGGGCATTGTTAACCCGCAGACTCAAATTCAAACACATCCTGAATCCCGAGTACGAGTTTCCAAACCCCCTTTGCCTTTTTTTTTTGCCTTTTTCTATCCGACTCAATATACGTTACGTAGAAACTGAAGTGGATACGTCGATCACCAAACGGGCGAAATGACGGACCGGCTCGCTGTCATTCCCATGGATTCAGTCTGCTGCAAGGGGAAAACCAGCCTAAAACAAGGCTGGAAACTTACACGTCGAATCAAACCATGGAAAGCCTAGCCTCTCTTCATTTGACCCGCTGATCTCAGATTCATGTAGACCATAACCCCAGTTCAGTTTTCAATCCGCCCGATCTAGGTTTTATCTTTTCTTTTCTTTTACTTTTTTTAATTCGTACATCTATTGTGTAATGTTTCACTGCTATGTAACCCTTGAGTACCAGCACTGCCGCTTAGGCGGGTCCGACCCTGCAGGGCGAAATGCAGGCACCAACTTGGGCCTACAACCTATGTCTTTCGGTGTGCTGTATGGTGCATATTCCATTACGACAGAATGGTACTTATGACCGAAGCTTCGCGCCACGCCTCACTTGAAGTTTCCAGGGAAGATAGATACGTTCGCGGAAAATAAATCCACAGCTCTCTAGCTTTAGGCCGCGAAGTGATGCTACTGTATAATTGTGGCTTATCTTAGATTTTTTATTTGCTTTTTGCCTTCTCTGGACGCGGTTGCGGCGGACACAAGGATAATGCAGTGTAGACATTCGCCCTAAGGTAGTAGATTAGTGAAGCTACGTTAGTGTGGCGAAACCACGTAACTGGGTAGCCAAAGATTGAAACGCAAATCCCACATAGTTGTTAAAACGTGGAGGAATACGTAGTGGACCTCGGATTAGGCTGTAGTTTGTACTTGTACCTTGTGTTACGCAGTTCGATTTCAGTACCAGGAACCCGCGTACCGGATACCTGGGACAGCCTAATAAAACCACCACCCCATGGTTTTATTGCCCTCTGACCCGCATCATTTCGCATGGCCATGACGCGCATCCGAGGACTCAGACGCCCCCTTAAACTATTTCGTATGATTACGTGCAATGACCCGACCCACTGGAACGAGCGTTTGAGATTATAAGCCACCTTCATGTTTTACCCGCTCTAATATGGTTCACACTAGAGTAATTTTCTCCATGGACAATCCCGCCCCCTGTCTTTCATCCACCCCCGAAATGAAAATCTGGAGGAAAATTCACTAGCTGACCAGTCAGAATTTTTTGATCTATCAGACCGCAAATGTTGACTCGGCGGACATGGTGATTCGCTGCTTTCCATAATGGCGGCTAACAAATGCACGCCTTGCCTGGGCAACCAAGCTATACCGTCTGGGCAATGACAGCTGGAGACATATGCAAACCGATCTATCGTTTCCCTCCAAGGTTGGTCACCGTTCCTCTGCTATCCTTAGTACATATTGCGTAGCGATCGCCCCTCTTGCCTTATCAGGACCATGGTTCTACATGCGAAATTGTGCGCTAAGCATACTAGGCTAGACCATCGACTATCGAGGATCGTGGGTTAATAGCCCCCCATTTCCTAAAAAAGCTATGACAGTGGCTACTGCAAGTGTAGGCAAAAAGTTACCAGCTCAGCCCACACCGTGATCATCATTTCGTTTTCCGAAGGATTGCCGACTCCACCCTGTTCGCGCTAGTCTGAATCTTCACTGACCTTTTGTCACGCGGAAGCCTTCGCGCTAACTGGGATCTCGCGGAGCAGGAAGCTTACCCACTCCTGCAAGCTCTCCATGAGACAGGGGAGCTGCCGGGTTTGCCTTCCGGTTGATAGATCGAGTGAGCCGGGTTGGGCTTTTGGTTCTTTTGTCTAATGATGTGTTTGATTTTCGAGTTGATTACTCAGTAATCTAGAATTTGCAAGTTCGAAATTTTCTCTTGCCAAGTGACCAAGTGCTTGCAGATCATGGTGACACAAATTGATGTCAGTGATGGGCTGGAATTTTGTTATTTCCCTAATTCCGGTGACGTATGAGCTAAAGGACATCACAGATGGAGAGATTCCTCCGAACGGGCTTCGTTTCTCGAATCATTCTATTTGCCCCCTTTTCTAACGTTCGCGTAACAAGAAAACGAAAAAAACAAACACAAAAGGGTATAGTCCGTGCTTTTTTTTTCAACAATTTTTTTTTCTTTTTCAATTTCTACAAATTCTATCTCCTTCTAGAGAACGGATACCGTCAAATAATTAAATAGATCCCCACTAACTGCCTCACTTCCACAAGCTATGTTCTGCCAAGCGGGTCTCTCCAATAATCGGATCCTAAAAGTGGAGGCATCAGTCTCCTAACGGCGGCATCGGTCCCTTTGTGTCGGGATTGGCATGGGCTGGTGATGCATGCACAACATCAGGGGAGGGATTTGTTAAAGTTTGGGGTTTTACTTTTTTTTTTTTTCCTTTTCTTCAACCAGTACAAACCTAGCTCGGAGACGTGTACCACGAAATGGGTTATGGATAATTCTATTTGAGAAATATGTTATCCCATTAAGTTAGTCTGCCCGTCACCAAACTCTCGGAAGATGACAGGACCTGGGAGACTATCGCCTCCCCCTCATAGCCCCAGACTAAACCCGAGGTAGTATAGATCTGAACTGGAAATTGTCCCATGTGTGTTCTGCGTCATGGATCGAAGGGGATAGGGATCCACTTCCCCCTATCACCTTTCCCTTTCACACATGGCACAAACCTTCGGCTCCGTACTCCGTAGTTTATAGAGTACACAAGGGGGTATGCATGTGTCTCCCACCCGTAAAGGACCAGGGTAGAAGAAGTCAGGTATTATATCAAGCCACAATGGCTGCGAAGTTCGTCATCGATTCTCTCGAAACGTACAACATACATCCTACAGATGAAAACACACATAATCAAGAAAGTAAAAGAAGGCTCCACCCGTCCCTTGAGACCAAGACCACGGTGACGGCGCCCGCGCACTTGCAGCTCTCCATGATTCGTTGTATGCCGATCGCTGGTTGGTTCCCCGTGTATAATCTGTAAGGAAATATTACCAGTGGAGAATGAATTCAACTTTTTTCAGGCAGCGCTTTCCCACTCCATCTGCCTTATACCCAATCCCCTGGTTGCTTCTCCCAGGCACGAGATGGGTTACTGATATCATTCGTACTTCTCCACTTTTCGCCTTATTTTTTTTTATTTATTTTTATTTTCTTTTTTCCTGTACGTTGACAGAAACCCGTGGTCCCCGGGCCCATCTATACTCTAAAAAATAAATCCTAAAATTACGCAAATACGAAAAATTAAAAATAAAAAAATAACCCAAGGTAGATCCTGCCCAACACCCGATGCGCTGGGTCGGACAACAACTTTCTTTTCTGAGCATCCAGGCCCCAAGAAGTTGATGGATCAATGGGTCCGTCTCTCACCGCTGCATTGTACGGATGATTCATTAATAATTCCAGCTTCACCTTCTTTCTCCTCTAGTGAAACTTTCCCCTCTTTTGTGATTTTAAAGAAGGGCCTCGGATCGCTTTTGCCGTACACGCACATGGGCTCTGATCTCTGAACCTGTACATTTCTGTGCCCTATCGCATTAGTCTGGGAATTGACCCCAGTGGCCCAGGGAAATTCTTCCTGTGGATTGATCTTCTGCCTGAACAATTCATCATTCTACCTCAATTGGACTTAGCTCGGTGATATACTATTCTTACCGCATATCTTGGATTTCATCCTTGAGCCTCTTTCCCATTCTTCTTCCTCCTCCTTCATCGTGGCTACTCTGGGGCTCAGCGTATTGACTGCGCCTTACCCGAGGCCGCTACATACCTCAAACCTGTCGCATTATCCAGCAATTTCACATTACCCGGCCTCCTCCCTCTCTCATTCCACTCGCGAGTTCCCCGTTGACTCTGAGAGAGGGGGGCCTCGGCCATGCCCTAATCCCAAATTCAACCAAGGAGATCCGTCTATGTCGGAGCCTCTAGGTACTGCTCCATTGTCTGACGATGCGACTCAAGATCGCAGCATGATTGACAACGAGCATGGTCCAGGCACCCGCCATTCATCACGTCGGCCACAGCTACGGGCTCGTCCACAGTCCTGGCATCCATATGGGCCAGTGGAACCACCACTGGAAGCAACTTCGTCAAGGCCTATAGGGGTGCACTCTATCTTGAACCCGCCAGCGCAGACAAAAATGGAAGCGGGCAGTCGCGATCTACGTAGTCTGTCTGGAACAGCCTCTCCTCGACCACGAAAGGGTTCTTCGCCTGCTCCTCGTTCGATGCACTCTTTGCAACAACCGCTATCTCCCAGATCAATTGCGCGGCCGGGGATCAACCCCAGCTCACCTTCAGCTCGGTTTGTGGGTGGTGGGAGGAGCGGACAGTCGAGTGTTGCCCACTCGCCACTAGTTTCTCACGAACCACAGGGTATGCGTCAGACTCCAACCAGCCCTCCTCTGCCTCTGGATTCGGCACTACGACCTATTACTTCATTACCAGGCACCCAACCACCCGTGACTGCGTCTTTACAATCTACGCCCAATCTTCATTCGCACCGAACTAGTGCAGGACCGGGACCACTAACAAATCATAAATCCCAGGAGACGAGTCCAACCACATCACATTCAGCCTACGGCCATTTTGGACGTGCGTCTCCGGCCATAACCATGGCCTCCATCCCACCAAGTGTCGCACAATATGCAGCAGCACCAGCACCATACATGACAATGGAAGCCATGGCTCGAGGAGTCCCCGCAACAGCTGGACCACGCAGTCTGGTCGAGGAGACCGGAGCAAGAGTGGCAAGCCCAGTACCAGGTACACCAGGCAGTACAGCATCTATAGGCGGCCTAATTCCATGCGTCATGGACCTCAAATCCGGATCTAGCAGTCAGGCCGAAAAGCGCAAAGCCAACAGCGACGCCTCTCGCCGCTTTCGAAATCGCAAACGCAACGAGGTGCAACTCGAGCAGCGGCTTACAGCACAGCAAGATGAAATTCGCCGCCAAAGTGAAGAGATTCGAGTTCTCGTCCACCAGCGAGATCATTATAGATCGGAGCGCGATTTTTTTCGCGAACATCTTAGTCGTTCAGGCTCTCTGAGCTCGTTACCACCAAGACCGCCATCGCCACGCTCGGTGCCCTCTGCTTCACTTCTGCCTGCTCCAACTGAAACAGCCCCTTCATCGAGGCCACAGGGCTGGCCGGGAACGCCGGGCCCAGCGCCTTATGCATCTGTGCCTCACGGCACTGCCCCGGGGAGGGATGTGGCGCCCTCCGGACCACCGGTTGCTGGAGGCCCTCTGCCGCCGTTTCAGGGCTCATGGCCTCGGCCATAATGTGTGCCCGAAAGCGCCATTTGGGCAGCAATGAGTCAAGTCTCCTGTTTCATTTTTTCTTCTTTCCTATGTTTTCATATGTCATATCTCTTTTATTCGTCTATCTGGTCTGGAGCATGCGGCCACTGGTTTGGCCGCAAGTGGTGAATGTTGTCATTCTTGAGAATTTCAGCGGGTGCCATGTCATTTTTCATGAAATCGCCTTTACCTTCTGGTTGGGTGTGTTATCATTTGCATTTATGGTTAATATTTCCTTGTTCCTTTTGTTACAGCACCATACCCCCCATCCACCATATTACGCCTTTCACCTCATATCCCTCATGAGTCCCCCTCTCCCACGAAAGCCGAGAATGTCCTGCAAGAAGAAAAGTGTTTACGTCCTCTACTATCCGTTCCTACCCTCCAATACTCTACACGGCGATCATCGGCTCTTTGTTGATCATGGAGTGGACCCCGGTGTCTAGTTTCCATAGCGCTGGTGCTACTGGCGAAATGCTGAGTCTAAGATTTCTATTTATTTATTTATCCATTTTACCTTTTTCGTTTGTTCTCTACGTATCTCCTTCCGTTCGCAGGCGCAATGTGACATGGCGTTGGGGCATGGATCTATTCCAATCAATATCTTTGTCTAACACCTTCCAAGGGTCCGAAATTCGGCCGAAGTTGTTGATCTGTCGATCTATAACATACTTTTTCACCAAAACCCACTTTCAAAGCGATTAGCCGCGTGCCGCGCAGATAGGCTGCATAGTCTATGTTAATCTATTCAGTAGAGCTCTCCACATAGGTGCATCTTAGTCCAGGGGGCCTTGAAAGGCGATCTATGTATTCGCAAGGTCTGCGCCAAAGACCAAAAAGGAAAGTTGATACATGTCACTGGCAGTGCTAGTGGCTTTGTGCGGAAGCCGGATGTCTTCCGGTCTGCATTTAATGTGCAGTAGTCAAGACTTGACTTGACCGTTACAGGTCCACCTGGCTGATTCCGGCACTGATCGACAAGAATATCTATAGGGGGTGAATTTTTAAGGTGTGGTTCGGGTTGTGTGTGAGCTGCCAGCTGTCGGGTTGTGGAAACCCCCCTTGCTCTCCAAGTGGATCTAACGGCTCCAGCAATCGACTTTTGACAGCTTTATGTATCTAAATAGAATGTCTCCATATTTGATAGAGTCTGGAACTAGATTTATTGAAAACTACAAGGTACCGGCAGTATGCATATATGCATAAGCTTGGTGACGTGGAAAGTGCTGCGATCCAGATCGAGGACTGGCGGTGAGTGGAGACATATGTGTCTCACAAGGCGGGACAGCTGAGTGCATGAATTAAGGATCATGTGGGATATGGCTAGCTTGTTACAGAATGAGAAAAGCAAGAATGTCAGATGCATGGTTTCCCAAACAGTCTACCATTTGCGTGCCTTGGAAGGTAGATCGGGGTACTTGGAGGGTACGTCAGCCTACACACTAATAACTATGGGGATCAAAGTACTGGACGAGTACCGCCTTGGCACCCTCCCACGTGTTGAAAATGGAGAACCAATCACAGAGAGGAATGCGCTCACGAGCATGTCCAATGTCTGCCCTGGACCAGATTGCAAACATGCGTGCTAACTGCATTGCGTTGTGTTCCCGGTGGTTTTGATCTTTCTTCAATTATTTAATTCGCAATCTTTTCTCTTTTCTTCATGATGTTCCTTCCTTCGACCGATACGAGTGAGCACGGGACTTGACCAAGGTTGACATCATCACATCCAACAAGGGGCGAGCTTGAAAATGGTGGGGCAAAGGAATCAATACACTCCCCCGGAGGAAGAGTGCCTACTGGGTGATAGCTCCGAGGCGATACCTCACAAGTCATCCTCTCCCACTTGGAGAAGGCTACGAATCATAACCCTCATCACAGCTATCATCGGTGCTCTTGCCCTGGTACTTTTATATGTGACGAACGGGTACGAACCCTCATCTGGGAGCGTGGAGAGCGTGGAACGTAGGAGTCCTGACCAGCCATTGGTTGCGTCGTATAGGTCCAAAAAACAGGTCGTGCACCGTCCCCATGCCTGCGACAGCGTGCGTAGCGGCTACGAATGTTTCTCCGATATCTCCCACCGCTGGGGTCAATACTCACCTTACTTCTCACTGGCTGAGGAAGGTATCTCCAACGCTGTTCCACAGCAATGCGATGTCACCTTCGTGCAGGTACTCTCCCGCCACGGCGCACGGTACCCCACCGCATCAAAGAGTAAGTCGTATGCCGAGCTCATTGAGGCTATTCAGGCCAATGCCACCGCGTACAAGAACAACACCGCGTTCTTGCGCTCGTACAACTACACGCTCGGCAGCGATGACCTCACAACCTTTGGCGAGCGCGAGATGGTGAACTCGGGCATCAAGTTCTACGAGCGCTATGAGGCTCTCGCGCGAGACAATATCCCCTTTATCCGGTCATCAGGCTCCTCGCGTGTGGTCGAATCAGGAAAGCTCTTTATCAAGGGATTTCAGCACACAAAGCAGCAAGACAAACATGCTCTACATGCGCAGGCCGCACCAACAGTCAACGTCGTCATCTCCGAAGATGCTGGCTCAAACAATACCCTCAATCACAACACCTGTACGGCATTCGAAGCCAGCACCATCGGTGACGATGTCACTGATAACTACACCGCAATCTTCGCGCCACCTATCCAGACACGTCTCCAGTCTCTCCTCCCAGGCGTCATCCTCTCTCTGGATGATGTTACTTACCTCATGGATATGTGCTCCTATGACACAATTTCCGACACGGTAGACGGCAGCAAGAAATCCGACTTCTGTGCCCTCTTCACCGAGCATGAGTGGTCGGAATACAACTATTATCAGTCCCTCGGCAAATACTATGGCTACGGTGCTGGAAACCCACTTGGCCCGACCCAAGGCGTTGGATTCGTCAACGAGCTCATCGCCCGGTTGACACGCACTCCTGTGCGCGATCACACTTCCACAAACCACACCCTGGACAACGGACCAGGCGCCGCTACTACATTCCCCTTGAACCGGACGATTTACGCAGACTTCACCCATGACAATGGCTTGATTCCGATTTTCTTTGCGCTGGGTCTGTACAATTCCACTGCGACTTTGCCTACCACTCATATCCAGTCCGCTAGTGCTGCGGACGGATTCTCTGCTGCATGGACCGTCCCATTCGGAGCACGTGCATACATTGAGATGATGCAGTGTACTGCTGAGAAGGAGCCGTTGGTGCGGATTTTGGTCAATGATCGCGTTGTTCCCTTGCAGGGTTGTGACGTTGATGCGCTGGGACGTTGCAAGAAGGGTGATTTCATCAATGCGCTGAGCTTTGCGAGGGAAGGGGGTGATTGGGCCAGCTGCTATTAGATCAAGAGAATTTGGTGGTCTTTATGACGCTGTCCTTTTTTGAAACCTTAAAAACATGTCTTCATACATGCAAGCTTTGTATGCTTGACCTTTTTGCTGTGTACAATAGCTTCAAACACTGATACCCCAAAAGAATTCGATTCAAGTTAAAGAATTCATTGCCACAGTGATCTCTTAAATGTTCTCCGCCGTGAGCGGAGAGGTAGTTGCGTTTTAAAGAGGTTCTGGCCATAAGACATGAGAGTGCGTCTCAGTTTGATGTACTTAGCTCATTTGAGATCTGATATTGAGTCAGAGATCGTGTGGATGTGTTGGTAGAAGGAAACTTGGTCATAACCTTCGATTCTCGAGGCTCAAAAATCGGAATTTAAATAATGCATACATCTGGTCTCAAGGTTTAATCTTTTATATCAGGGTTCCACCGAAGTCAAAGGTTAGATAAGATCAAACTTTCATTTCATATCCAAGTCATGCGATTATCTAATTACAGAGACACAAGACAGCTTGAAATGCAGACATAGACCTCAAATATTCAAAATTGCAGCAGAACTGGTAAAAATAATTCAAACAGCCTCCAACTCCGATAAAGGGATCGATTGCTCGCTCCTCCCATATGTCATAAAGACTATTTTCCTGTCGTAGATCTAGATTCCGCCTTGGATCAACCTAGCTCAATTTACATGTGATACGCATTCCAATGCCCATTTCCATGCCCGTTACTATGCATACGTCGTTGTTTTGCAGACAAAACCCATGCCGTCCAGAGTGGTATTTGGTCTCTTTGAACAATGTAGCCATTGTCCTCAATATCATCTTTCGAAAGACTTCGTAGCTTTTCTAATGACGCACGGCTCAAAGGTACCCGTCTTCCATGCATTAAAGGCGAAAACAAAGAGCTGCCAGACGAAGGTTCCGAAGTCCAAGGTTGCTCCGGAAAGGATGCGGCTGCTGCAACCGAAAGCGAGGATGGTGCCGGTGCAGGAAGGTCCGCGTCGAACACTTCAATCCCGCTAGTCATGGATACTGTATCAAAATGATCTGCATAGTCGATATCATACAGCTCCACTCGATCCAGACGTTCCATTTCTTCGCGGAGTACTGTGAGCACGTCCCTCCAACGCCCCATAGAGCGGAGGTAGACGGCATTTAAGCGAAAGTCTCGGAGTTGGCGGCGATGTCGACGGGCTAGGGATATAATCTCGTCGGCTCTCAAACGCCAGCCTTGCAGACTGAGGGTGCGAAGTGTTTTCCACCGGATATCATGAAAAATGGCCTCGAGATCTAGGTCGAGAGGGGCCTTGGGTGGAAAGCCGAGATGAATGGCGACAAGGTTTTTGGCTTCGGCAAAGAAGCGGTTAAAGACGCCAGACAGGTCAGACATGGTTGTGGTAATGTCGGCATTGGAATGAAAGTTGATATCAAGGCTGGTGAGCCGGCTTCCCATCGCGGCGAGAGTAGTAGACGGTGCTTTCAGGAGTTGCAGTGTAGCTTCGGGGCTGATCTGGGGCCCGATGAAACGAATAGCAGTACACTGAGACCCTAAAAGGGCGATTCCCAGAGTCGTTACTGCGCGCGAACATGCTGATTCCCACTCGAACCGAGCTGTGCTGGGATCCGTGCTCTCAGCATTGCGGATGGAACGGTCGCGAATAAAGTCGAGTAGGCGTTCGTCGTCCTGATCTTGCAAGCGGAGTAACTTGATTTCTTGCAGTGCTGAAAAGGCGGCAATTCCCGAGCGAAGCTGGACAAGATCCTGGCTTGTTTCGATGAGAGTAATTTGTTCGTGCAATCGTCGACTGTGCACTTGTGCGAGTGGTGGGTTATCGATGTCGAGTTTCTGGAATATTGGTGACCACCCTGTGATATTGTCGTCAGCCGATCTGTCCTAACTAGGTTTGTGAATATAAGGATTGGGTACCGCCGCCTTGATAGAAGGGTCGCACGAGATATGTCACCGTTTTTACGTAGCAGGCCCGCTGCATGTCTAGCAACTCCCCAAGTCGCCGGAACCCATCCTTCGAGAATCGTAGGTTGAAGCGCGCAAACTTTCGAGGTGTGCCGATCCGCATAAAGCGTTTACAGACTAGGCGAAATCGATCCAGATCGGATGTCTCTCCGTATCGAACCGGTTTATGTTGCGTCTCCCCATTGCTATAATTTCCATTGGTATATATTTTGCCATTCGAAGTGTGCGGCGCAGATTCCAATAGAATGGCCAGGATTTCGCTCAGCAGCTCATCGGCGAGATTTTGAATACAACGTGGCTGGTCCATGATCGGCGCTTCGCGGCCGAGGATCCGGCTGCCTGTACAAGATACAGCAACATGGAAGAAGGGAAGAGGAAGAGAGGAAAGAAGAAGGAAGCTTCTGCACCTAGTCTTACAGACCGGCAGGAGGGGAAATTCAGTTGGGGATGCACGATTGAGGGGGCACCAGTCCCACTATAAACCCGAAAAAGAAAAAGAAAAAAAGGGAAGAGGTGCACGAGTATCGAATAGAATTGGACTCATCGGACCCCAGAGTCCTGTCTCACCATGGACGCATGGCGACAGTTCTCGCCCTAACAATCCAACGCGACCGGGATGATCATCAAGACCCTGGTTTAGCGCGCTTGGATGCTGACGGGCCTATGCATCAAGTTGGTTTCATTGGTGACGCTTTCTCGCGGCAATCACATGATTGATCGAGGCTGCGGCCAGCCAGCGCGAAATAGCGCGAACCTGCAGAGACTTTTTGTGGTTAAGGAGCAAGTTGTGTTGGTGGGGGGAAGATGGTTGGTGGTTGTAGAGTGCCTCTTCTTGAAGTCAATGCAGGCCCCGCTCAGGTTGTCACATCTCTGCAGAGTGACGGACTCGCGTGTGGTGGAGAAGCCACCAACGCGATTGGGGGAAATTGGCCGAAATGTGAATGTATTAAATTCTACAGGTCTTCATTGCTTCCCTATTTTCTTCCGCCCCCCTGTAATTCTGTAATTCCAAATTTTCCCTGGTTCCAGATCCTCATACTTTGGCCCGGTTCATACGTCGTCGACGAATGTCGGTGCTGCTGATTTTATCCTCGAAATTGTTGGCGCTCGCCTTGGCCTCTCCAGACACAAGAACATCCACTTCGAAAATTGATAGCCTTGACCATCCTTTTTTGGCCCGTTCCTCATTCACGAATGCCCCTCCAGCTGACGTCTCCTTCGATACCACCAATGCACTGATGTTCTCATCGGTAACTGTGGGGCCGCAGACATCGAAGAACTCCACGAACTTATAGATCAAGTTGGGCTGGAATTGCATAATCACCACTTGTCCCTTGCCATCCGACGTTCTGGTACGTTCCACTCGTGGAGACTCATTCCCTGAGAAATCCATAATGCCAGCCAAAAAAGCTGCAGTGCTCCTGAACCGCTCCTCCCAGCTTTCTAAACATTCGGCAAATTTCTTGTTCACAAGCAAAGCATCACCAGTCACACCGATCGTCAAAAGCCTTTCTCGATCCTGATTATTATAATCTAGCGGCTCCAGCGCTAGCGCCAGTGCTGTGAGTAGACGCTTGTGACCGAGGTGAAGATGATCGAATGTTCCTCCAACTGCAACCGAGTAGTGGGGCTCAAGGGACGGCTGGTCTTCAGGAACTAGAAGAGACTGCGGGGCCGACCAGTCTCCGCTGGAGACCATCTGCAGGATCGATGCGGTGTGATCTTTGGACGAACCGGTGATACTGCTTAGGAAGGAGTCGGCCAAATCCCGGCCGGCCTGGTTATCTGGACTGAATATTTGGTCCCACAGTCGGCCCGAGGTTGCCAGTGACTGAAGGTCAAGGATTGGCCCAATCTTTGAGCCGGTTTTGGCTTGAGAGGCTGCAGAATCGGACAACGGATGATCAACAAATACCAAGCGTGCATTGATGCCACCGGGGGAGTCAAGTTCAATATCTTGAGCGGCTGCCACAGCCCCAATCAAAGTATAGATGCTCCCGACATAATGTTCCACCTGGGCAAAAGTCTTTGTACGAGGCCTGTTGGATGGAGAAAGCAGACCTGGGATTGCCAACGCAATATCGAGTGTGGCAATGCCATCAGAGGTCCCCAAAGTCTTCGACAGCTGCACGAATACATCGGATACCGAGGTCTCGAATGCTTCCTTGACCCCGCCAAAAGAAAATGACGGAGGCGGAGGCAATAACAAAAGCGCTGAACAGGATTTGAGGTGGGATGCCATGAGTGCAACTACGTACAAAGTAACCTATCACAGAAATCAAATCAACAAAAGAGATCGTAGAAAAGAAAAGAAACAAAGAACCTAACTGTATTCCGATTAAAGCAAGAGCGGGAGCGTCACCCGGGGTTGGCTGACTCAGCGCGGGCACCCCCAGCTTCACCTTGAACTCTCAAGCTGCGACATCCACAGTCGCTCCCCTCTCTACGCCTCATCTGCCTCGGGAGCTTCTTGTGAAGCTTGTGCAGCTTACTGCCATCCTCGGGTCCCTCCCTCTCGCTAGTCTTCTTTGTCCCAAGGGGGAGTGGAGCTAAGCCCCATACACCCCTAAACGACCCCGGACCCTCCGCACAATGTCGAATCCCTCCTTCGACTCCCCTCGACGGTCCGCTGTCTTTGCCCGTCAGCCGGAGGAACTGCATATACCATCCACGGGTCTAGTCAATCAGAATTTGTCCCGTCAGCCTCCCTCCCATGACTTCCCCACGACCCCAGACACAGGTGCAGGCGCGACTCAGGTCCCCTCGATCAATGTCCAGCCATCTGCGCAATCCTTGCAGTATGGGAGCGGTAGTGGAAACAGCAATAACAATCTACCAGGCGCCTTGACTCCAGGAGGTCAGAACCGCCCCCAAGCTGTCTCAGCCAACACAGCCCCGTCGGTCATTCCTACCTTGCAGTCATCACAGCAGCCCAACCATCGGTCGAGCATGATAAACTCTCATGGCCACTCCCGATCTAGCCCGGCTGGAATAGATCCGTCCATGTACAAACAACACAGCGCTTCGGAGGAGTCTAAGTACCCCACATCCCCCGGAGCTGGATTCCCACCTCAGACCCCGCAAGGATCCAAGTATTCGCCGCTCGGCCTGGCAGACGTTCGCCTTCCTGGTGACCATTACCTTAGTGGTTCACTTATGAGTCCAGGAGCAGCTCCATACAATAGCGATAATCAGGTGCCTACCAACAGCAACTACATAGCACCGTGGCCCATATACGCAGTTGATTGGTGCAAATGGCCAATTTCAGGGAACTCGAGCTCATTCGGTGGCAAATTGGCATTGGGCAGTCACCTGGAGGATAATCATAACTATGTGCGAAACCATTTTTGGCTGAAGAGAGGTGTTCAATGCTAATAACTGCGCTATAGATTCAAATTGTTGATACGCATTGGGCCCAACCCGACCCTGATACCCCGGATGCAGCAAATGGGGAGATCAAGCTAGAATATGTCAAAACAGCCGAAGCGACGCATTCATATCCCGTCACCCGTATTCTATGGGAACCACCATCGTCCCAAAAACAGTCCACTGATTTGCTTGCCACATCGGGTGATCACCTTCGCCTGTGGTCACTCCCCAATTCCCAACCGCTGCCGAGCTCAAACAGCATTACACGGCCTGCTAATCAACGGGATGCTCCTACTGCCAAGCTCTCGCCCTTGGCATTGCTCTCTAACTCCAAATCCCCCGAGCATACCGCCCCGATCACCTCGTTGGACTGGAACACGATTTCCCCCAGCTTGATCATCACATCCAGCATCGACACAACCTGCACGATCTGGGATATTCCGACCTTGACAGCCAAGACACAGTTGATTGCTCATGACAAGGAAGTGTTTGACGTTCGATTCTGTGCCAACAGCGTTGATGTGTTCGTGAGCTGTGGCGCCGATGGCAGTGTCCGCATGTTTGATCTGCGAAGCCTGGAGCACAGCACTATCATCTACGAGCCATCTGAGAAGACAGACGTTAAGCGTATGTATCATTATATCTATCCAGAATTGCGCAAGACCATGTCCACTAACACATCCTAGCGGTGATGAGTCCCGGTAACACCAGCCCACCCGGATCACAGGCAGGAGCTTGGCCTCCACCACTGTTGAGAATTGCAGGTATGGAAACTGTAACCCATTTATATAAATGATGGCATGAGCTTACGCTATTAATTAGCATCTCCACATGACGCCCATCTGCTAGCCACCTTCTCCCAGGATTCCAGCGTTGTTCGTGTACTCGATGTGCGGCAACCCGGTCAAGCCTTGCTTGAGCTGAAGGGTCATTCTGCTGCACTCAATTGTGTAGAATGGTCCCCAAGCCGGCGTGGTCAGCTTGCTTCAGGTGCGGACGACAGTCTGGTTCTTCTCTGGGATCTCCTTAGCCCAAGCAATAGCTTGCCCCCTGCCCATGGCGTCGGTGCCCAATCCAGCACCTCTGAGCGTGGCCCTACTGCTGCCTGGCAATGCGACTATGAAATTTCCAATATCAGTTGGTCTCCGCAGGGCGGATCCAACCCCTCAGGTCAGCCACGGGAATGGCTTGGCGTTTGTGGTGGACGCGGGATATGGGGCGTCGCACTATGAAAGAAAAACGGAATTTCGTAGGTATGAACGAAAAGAAAAGACATTTAGCTCAGGAAGGTTCTTTGGTTGTAATCCCCCTTTCCTGTTTTTGGGCAGTCTTCTTTTGCCCTGTCATTTCATGCGCTCCTGGGATCTGTTCTGCTTTCCTTCTTTCCATATGCGATTGCATTAGATGGTTTCTTTCTCCGATCTCCATCGATCTTGCCTCGGCGGCTGCATCTATTCCGCTAAATCCCATCTCCCTGCATTCCTCGCTCTCTTGTTAGCCGCCTACCTATTGCCGATACCTGGTGGTCGCCGCGCATAGCATCACCAGCCGAGCCGAACTAGATATGAGCTGGGCGATGAGGATGGATGTGACCATCGCGATATACTTTGATTTTGGCACGAGTGAATGAATGAATGAATGATACATCGGATTTCTTGTTCTGGAGCGCCCTTTTCTTGCTCATTTCTGTCTTCGGACGATTTGTTCTTGTTTAGACCCGAGAGGCACGAGTTTAGGGAGCAAAACAAAATATTGACACTTCACCTACTGACCTTTGAGGCATAAATCTTGTTACTGGATATGAAGCAGCTACACTGCTTCAGGGACTACTAATATTGTTCTACGAACATACATCAAGTTCAAGAAGTTTGCCATAAAGCTCTAATAAATTGATATATTGTCCACAAGAGTAGGGTTTTTTCGTTTTACTCGACCAGCGAGAAGACGCTTGTAGGAACAGAAAACAGCAAAGTATCTATCTTTAATGATGTAATTATTGCGTTCGAGGGGTTTGCGCTCTTGGAGTCAATAGACTAGGGGTTGCAGATGCAGAAGCACCCTTGGCTATGAGCCGGTCCTCAAGCCATCGCGCAAACTTAACGCTGGGAACATCAACAACGCGCCAAAATACATCTCCCGCCCAGATGGAAACAGGTAGACAAATCAGCCAACCTATTAAGAAACCGAAACAATATTGGAAATTTGTTTCTTTGCCTGTAACTTCCCAGATGTTTGGCATAAGCGAATATCCCAGGGAGTGGAGAATGGGCCCATGGACAATGTAAAACGCGTAAGATATTTTGCCCAGATACTGGGAGAGAGGATTGGTGAAGAGCTTTTGGATATCGGGCGAGTGGTTGATGCTGAAAACGATCAAGGCCGCACCAACTGTCTGCGGGAATCGGTGAGGCTCCCCGTAGGTCCATGGGGTGATTTCCCAGAGCCATCTGTAGCCTGGCGTCCATTTGAATCCGAGGTTAGGACACGAGCCGATGTAAAGGCCGATCACGAAAACTCCGATCCACAAGCTCCGGCGAGAGATAGTGGCAAATATTTTACCACTATGTGGGAAGCGGATGTGTAGGTTGTCATCTGTAACTGATGAAGCTGGCCGCTCCCAGGTTCCATTGATCTGATCGATTTCGGCCATTTGCATGCCCACCAGAAACAAGACAACGTCCCATCGGCCGTAGCGCATACAGAACCAGGTCAGAGTCGCGACGAGGGTCATGCGCACGGGAGAAACCAGGCGCGAGGTCGCTAAGGTTGTGAGGAAGAGAACGAGAGAGCAACGGAACTCGACTGGGATGGTCCAGAGGTGGGGGTTGTAATTATTGTAGTAGAGAGACCAATCAAATGGGTTCATTAAGCGTGCCACCGTGTAATACCAGTCCCAGGACTGCTTGTATAGAGATTTGTAGACTGGCGGATGCTGCTCATTCGTGCCGACAATGGTGCGTCCTTCCTTGATCACCCCCCAGGAGTAATTGTAAACACCAAGTCGAACAGCAATAAAGACACAGGCGAGACCAACGATAGATGGGATGTACAGACGCAATGCTCGCCTGAAAGTTGACGACGCCAGTACGGTGAAGGTCTGGTCGAAGGATCGAGACCGAATAGTCCTTATAGGTTTGTAGGAAAGAACGTAGCCCGAGATGACAAAGAAGATGGCGACCATGATATGCCCGGAAATGAGAAGATGAAAAAAGGGCAATTGGTGAATTCCCCAGTTCTCGCCTGCGAATCCCCATCCGACCGCGACTTTCCATGTATATGCGAAGAGAAAGTGGAAGTTGAAGACTAGCAGACAGGCCCAGCCTCGCAGCCCGTCGAGCGCAGCGATCGCGTGCAATTTGGCCGGCTGTTCTGGCTCAACACCCACATATTTCTGCAGGAAGCTGGGCGTGAGAGCAATGTTTAATCTGAAGAGTAATTCTTCCGCACTGGCCAGCCAGTTATCTTGCGACCTTGTCGAACCATGTGAATTGGCTAGTATGTTTGAGGGGTGGAACTGGGAAAACCCGTTCCAGCGCGAGGACTGATCAGAGCTGCTAGTTTTAGAGGCCTCGAGGTCTTCTAGGGGTATGTCGGTCGTTGTTGGGGTGCGGTTTTCGCGGTTTTCGAGGTGGGATGCCATGGTGGTCGAGGTGCGCGCAATTCCTCAGAGCATGTCTCGTGCCACGTGGGGCGCAACAGGGGGCAATGTTATGTTCAAATAATCATCAAAAGCGGCCACGGAAGTGCCATAGAAGGCAGACGAAGAGGCGAGGAGGATGAAGGAGCTCGTCCAGCGAGAGGGTCTTTGAAATGGGGAAGCTAACGTTGCCGTGTCCACATCGGCAGAACGCAAGCCGAAGTACGTCAGCGGGTGTTGCAATGCCTTGTCTCACCTTCTCCACTTGCCATCGAACCTAAGTTAGACCCAAAGAAATACAATGATAAAAAACAACCAAAATCAGCAAAGCAACCGAGATAAATGTTGAAAGTAAAAAGCAGAAGTTCAAAGTTTCAGGAACACAGATCCAACACGAGGCGTTGATCACCTTCCTTTACGGGTTACAGTGACCCGTGTTCGGCCATTTCTTAACTTGAGCCAGGACGTTACTCAATTGCTACGCAAGCGCCATCCATTACAGTGAATTTAGAAGCGCAGAATAACTTGCGTTTAGATAACATACAAAGTGAGGCACCGCTAATTTTAAATGTTAAGAAATCCGTCGATATGTGCTCCATAGGCACTTCGACCCTCAATCTATGCTCCCATACGACGCATAAAATCCAAGATCAATTGGTTTGTTTTTTCCGGACACTCATAAAATGGCATATGACCGGCTTGATTGAGTGCATGAAATTCGACCTGGCCAAACTTTTCCTTGGCGAATTTCTCGACCTTGTGCACATCCAAGTGTTTATCCTTTGTACCGTGAATAATGCAGATGGGCAACTTGGCTCCAGCTGCGAGGATGCTGTCTGAGTCTTGTTGCTTACCTGCCGAGGCTGATAAGCATTCATCAAGTATAGATGCTGGATAAGAGTATACCTGGGCGAGAATGATACCACGCCATAGCCATTTATTTTCGGTGTAGATTACATACCCGTCGGCGACACAAGAGTCTACCAGAAAGACTATGGCTTCTGAAAGTTCAGTCGCATTTGCGTCTAAATTGGCTAATGTCTGGAATGTCGGTCCCATCAAATTGTTGCCGACTTCCTTGAAGGCAGAAAAGAACGGAATCCCACCCAGATAAATTATTCCAGATAACTTTCTCCAAGATGCTCACAGATATCGGATGAAATGGTCCCGCCAAAGCTCCTGTGCATAACGTTATAAGATGTCCTTGACGCACAAATTTACCAATTGATATACTTACCATCCTGCTAAGACTGGCCTTTGGAGATTAAAAGACTCACATATAGCTTGGAAGTCCTCTGCCATGCACTTTGAAGTATATGCATCGGCTGTCGTGGGTTGGTCACTACGAGCATGACCACGGCAGTCATATCGGACCTGATCATCATAATTAGTTTCTCAATGGATGTGAGCTTCACCTCTGATTGATTATACCAGATGATACTTTTGTAGAGATAAGTCACCAAACTGTTTCTCAAAGGCCATCGAAGAAAAACCAAATCCGGGGAGGAAGACTATAGCGGGCCTGGTATGATCTCCCGTTTCCTCAGCCCATATCTGGGTCCCATCAGCTGAAGTGACGAATCTGCTGATCATTGTCATTTTCACCATTATAGTCTACTGTGTAAGAATAAGGGATCATTTTAGATGAGCCATGTTTGGCCTTTTGTATCTCTCGCTGTTACCATTATAAGTACGTCGGTCCCGGCTTTTGCAATTGACCGAATATTATTCGGGGTCGGATAGACGAAACCGACCGCAGCCTTATCCGATCCGTGTTCGAGACATAGTTATCAATGGAAGGGAATTGTCTTGGGACTATTGACTTCTTTTTACGAATTTATGCTCTGTGTCTACAGAAAGGTTTACTTCTTCCAAAGGCTGTATACTTCGTGTGTGCCTTGATGCCTGATCCGAACGAAGATTACTCATCATCACATGACTTTGGTGATTTGTGGCCTTTCTGCGAAGCTTCTGCCTAAGCATTATACTCATCATGTTGAATAATGGTAAATGAAAAGATTAGCGATAGATCAATGAAATATATGTATTATCGCAAAAGCTACACTGTTCAGATATCTTTCCCGAGATCTAGAGTGATTTTTATTGTCAGATTAATTATCTTGTCATATACTCATAGATCGAGCTCTAGCTATACTATAGCTCAGCTTGTTCTCGTGTGAGAGCTCCGACATACAAAAAAAAAACAACATATCAAGATCTTCTAAGACTATCAATAGGAAATAAAACAACTATATAGCCCAGAACCTCTACTTTACTGTATACTAAGCCTGTAGTTTCTATCCAGTGAACTTCCCCGAAGCGGCGATGATCCTCCAAGCTCCCTAATTCGCGCGATTCGGGGCGAGAACTTCTCTCCCTTCCTCTTTGTCCTGATTTATTGAGCCCTCCCACCCTCCACCTTCGCGACTCCTTCTGTGCTCGTCTGGATGTCGCGATCCTTCGCGCACGATCTTCCTTAATCCCTTTTGGGTGGTCGTGGTCGCACCCCCCCGAATACCAGCGTCATGGATTTGCGCACCATCATGAATACTGATGCCGGCGGCGCATCCAAAGCCAAAGCACTGCCGCCCAACCAGTCGTCCAGCCCTGCCTCTGATCTATCTCAGAAACAGCGCGCTCAATCGGCCTATACAGAGTATCCAGCACGTCCCCCACAGCCTCCATTGCAACATCCACCGCATGCCTCACCCGAGCGATCCTCGCCCTACGGGCCTACCCAATCACCATACCAGCAGTTCAACGCAGGACCCCCTCCGATAAATACAGCAGTACAGTCTCAAAGAACGCAAAGCCCTACACATGTCTCTACTCCCTACGGTTCCGGAGCGCCCGACCCATATGGTGCAGCGGCGTACAATTCGCATCCCCAACACCCCGCGGGCCCCTTGGCCTCCCCATATACACCACAGCCCATGAGCGCAGGAGTTCAAAACACTGAGCCGGCATCATATTTTGCTCAGCAGCGTTCCCATTCTCTTCATAGTGTTATGGCCAACCCGCGCCCCATCACCCGAGACAGTCCGCCTTCCGTCCCCCAGCCTCATCCATCGCATCAATTCTCTCCCTCCGCCCATCAGTCGGTACCGGGAACTCCTTTGGGACCTCCACCTGCCTTTATATCGCGTCAATCACCATCTGCCCGACCAAAATCTTCTGGTCGCGATTCTCCACGAAATCTTTTGTCCAGTCCTCGGACTGCTCATGACCGGCAAACACGAGATCCTACACAAGTGCCATCGCCATCAAGACAACGTCAATTCTCTCCCCCACTCCCGACCGACCGATCACGCACCTCCCTTCCATCCCACTGGTATAAAGCAAGAGCAATCGGAGACTGCAAGCCCTGAATTTTCTCGGCAAAATAGCATTGCAGCAAACTCTGATTCCGCCGGAGCTGGTCCGCGTCGCCCGTCTGAAGACAAGTGGAACGATAGTCCTACAGCACCATTCCATTCTGGACCGGGGTCAGATTCACGCGCCTCACCTATTGCGACATCCCATACGCAGATAAACAGCTCGCCATCGGCCTCGCGAAGCGGTTCTCATTTCAAGATGGAGATTGACCATGAGCCAAACCAGCGCATATCAAGTCAGCCGCCGAAGAAAAAAAGGAGGCGATACAATGAGCCTCCAATTTATGCCCAGCGGAGCGTGCGTACCAAAGGCAGACCCCCGATGATCCCAAATCCTCAGCCCCCTATTCCGAAACACGCCAGGCAGTTGCATGAAGAGCGACAGCTCAGCCGTCGGGCTTCCTCAGCAACTGGAGCTGCAGTTACGGCCGTCACTCCTACCTCCGTTCGAACACCTGTTGCAGCGCCACCAAGCGCCAACGGTCCTCCCACCCCGGCTGCAGCCTCAGCACCGACTCCAGCACCGGTAACCGCGCCGAGCACCAACAATACCAGCACCAAAGCGGTGGGAATTTTGGGACCGTGGGAGCCGTCAATCACCGGATTCATTCCTCACGAAGAAGTTACAAAGCTTCTCTGCGATTTTCTATTTCAACATGTGGTGATGAGGAACGACGTGGCCACCGGCTCCGCAGCCGCTGGGCAGGGTGCTATCATCGAAATAGAAGGGAAATTGGGCCATGTAATGGACATGGACAGAGGAGAAAGGCTGAATTTGCCAATTCTTACTGAAACCGTTGTCAACCGAGATATTCCACGATTCCGCACATCGTTTGAAAGCAGCATGACTGTTGTAAGTCTGCTTTGACATGAACAAAAGCCCCATGACAATTTCTAACCATGAGATCTCTACAGGAACAACACCGTGCCATGAATAATTTCCTGAACGAGGCAGTCAAGGCTTCCATGCCTGGTACAAACTCCACTCGTGTTCCAATATCTTACGCACACAAAAAGGAGCGTGATACCTTTTACGAAGTGTCTCCCGCCGATCTGCCTCCAGTAATTCGCCAAAACCTAAACCCTCGCCACAAACCAAAGGTCCGGGTGACAACAGACCAACGGACTGGTGAAGTGCTCGCAAAGATCGTCAAATGCCGTGTCGCCGATATCGATGTGTGTAGTCCACGTACAACCGTCGACTGGCGCGTGAGCGTGAACCTAGAAATGGAGTACGAAGGTGATCATCGCAACCTGCCTCTAGTGGACATGTCCAAAGGAGGCCGTGGCGAGCGGAACAAGGACCGCATGAGCTACCGACACTTGGCCTACCAAGTTGATCTGACCCAAGTAGCCAAAGCTGAGGTGAGTCCACTGCTACCCATCTTTTAGTCCCTGTGTTACCATATTCAGTCTTCTGACCTTTCAAACAGCCTGCAACGAAAAACGAATTCGAACACGAGCTCGAAGTCGAAGTGTCCGCTGATGAAGTTCGCCGACAGGGTCAACTTGCAATGAACGGGGACCCATCAAATCAGTATGAGGAGTTGGTCAAAGGTTTCGTGGATAATATTCGCGTGCTGGCACGAGCGGTGCCACCTTGATGAACTGTTTTATATTTGTAACATGTATTCTGGACTAATTCGGGGTTACTCGATGACATTTCTTTCCTCTCATTTATCTTACACGTGCTGATACGGTTTATTTGCATTTCCGGGGTTGAAAGGTACATGCGGTAATAGAGAGAAAACAATGATTTCGAACGGCAATTTTCCATGGTTGTTCGGATGAAATACTTGACGTGAATCGCTAGTAAACTCATAGACCTCTCGAAAAGTATCCTGGCTATATTTACCTGTTTCCTTGGTAGAGGGAGATCTTAATTGCATTCGGAATATCTTATACGATGAATCTTGTGATTGCTTCCTATGTCATCTCAACTTGTAATTCACTTTGCTATATATTGCCGTGTCTACGTGTTTATCCTGCCCAGGTGGTCGCAAAGTCATTGCCCCAATATGGCCTGAGCACCTTCATCGCAACGAGTATCAAACAAGTCTTGTTTTATCATTGGCACACCTGCCTAGGTAGACGATCTGATTTTGTTCATTTTTAGAGGGCCTAGGCGTTGCCAAATAGCTTCCACCGCTGATTGACCAGCGCGTCCACTCCAGCCAGCCACTTTTCCCAACATTTTCCGTCGTCTAACAGCAAAATCATGTTTATGCGCTTATAATCACGAGTCTCTTGATCCTCACTCTCATTCTTCAACGCCACTCTACTACTTGGCCCCCAGACCATCCATTTACGGTCCTCGCTATCCACATTCCACGGTGCTAGTCCATTTGCGAATCGAATCCAAGCGGAGGAAAAGTCATGAGCCATCTGCTTTTCCTCTTCATTGAACTCGTTCTCCAAGTTCATAAAAAGATAGAGTAGCTCGTGTGCATGATACGCCGTGCCCTCGAAAGCATTCTGGAGACGCGACCGCTGATCAAAGTGATAGAGGAATGGCTTCTGAGCTGTCTGAGCAAGTACGTAGTTCGGGATCTTGAAAATCGCGTCACCGCACATGTGCTCCACGCGCCTGAGAAACTCTTCTTGTGGAGAATCAATGGTGATTCCGTACGCCTTTAGGATTTGATCCGTGTGAGCCTCATCGCTAATATAAGCTTGAAGCACCCGGCGGACAGAATGGTAGTCATCCTCGAGCAGGTTCAAGTGGAAAATGACACCTTCATGGTAGGTATCACCGAACATATACCCTTTCAACCATGATGGTGGGGTATTGACTCCCAGCGGGTTGACTCCAGAACGATAAAACCACCCGTCTAGACATGGATTTCCTGTGCCCGACGGAACACCTTGAACATCCGGAGTTGCATTTGCAAGTTCCTGTTGCGGAATAGCACGCAGCTGATCCAAGGCTTCAGGCGCAGAAGGATCAATCTCGAAACGATGGCAAACAGCCTCAAAAAAGCGGTCATGTTGCTCGATCGTCCATGCTGGAATGGCCGCGGATAGACCTGACATGCACACAGCCCGATGAAATACTGGTGGGCTCGCGGCCAGCAGCTGATTGCTGATTGAGATGCCCCCAGCAGATTCACCAACGGCAGTCACATTCTGAGGATCACCTCCCAGGAATTTGACATATTGCTGCACCCAGTCGAAAGCGACTTGTTGGTCTGTGAAGCCAAAGTTTCCGCTACCTGCATGTCCATCGCTCTTGAGTTCATCGGCAATGGCTTTTCCAGCAAGGAATCCACCAATACCGACGCGATAGTTGAAGTTTATGCAGATAATTGGCAAGCCAATGGCGATGCTTTGGGAAACTAGGTTCACTGCATCGAAGATTGGGAGATTTGCGCCTCCGTACAGTAGGGATCCGCCGTGGACGTAGACGAAGACTGGAAGGCCTTGGCTGCCTTCTTTCAATGGATACGGAATGACGATATTCATGACGAGAGCAGACAGTTCGTCGACTGATCGAGGATGAGAGAAATGTGCTGCCGGAGGAACAGGTACCAAGTCATCGGCATCATCTCCATCGACAATGGGACTTGGACAATCGTTTCTAGTCGAAGGTTAACATAAAAGTTTGACACTGTACAACCAAGAGATGATCTTACCCTAGTCTTGTTCCATCATGATGACCTCCCTCCCAGTTTGTTCTCAATGTTGACCGTGACCAGCGCTTTGAGAGATGGGCATACGGAATACCACAGAATTGCTGGACGCCATTGGCATACTCCAACCCGTTCACCGTCCCTAGACCAGGGATGGTGGCCTCACATACTCCGATAGGTACCTGAAAAGACATTTGAGTTGTTATTGATTTCTATATTGTTTATCTGCGGTATGTTATATATTGAAAAGGTATAGTCTTGGCTTGTCATTGCCCGAATAGGCAGTCCGACCCGTTATCAGCAACAACTCCACTTCAATTTCCCCGCATTTGCTGTACATAATGCAGAAGCTTGCATCCGACCTTATTCCTTTCTTGATCCCCCACATTCGGAATGTCGACCCGCTCATCTCAGGGATGCTGGACGTGCAAGCGCCGTCGCAGGGCCTGCGATAAGGCGCGTCCGACATGTCAGAATTGCACGCAGCGGGGGCTTGACTGCGAAGGCTATGAGGTACGATTGCGCTGGGGAAGTGGCATTGCCTCCCGTGGTCAGTTCACGGGGGCAGATAAGCCATTGAAGGAGAGTGTCCCGTCGAGGCCGAAGGGTCGTCAACGAGATCTCAAGAGGGAAAGAAAGAAACTAGACGCATCGCCTAGTGATACTGGCCAATCAACCAGTCCTGGGAATTCAAGTTCGAGTCTTGATGAGTCTCCGAGAGATGATTACGCCATGGTTCCTAATCCCGAGAAAAACCTTTCGCTTCGCTTAGAGAGGTCTAAACAGGACGAGGCCTTGTTCAATGAATGTGAGTTTTGAGGTGAAATGTGGAACTCCAGAAGACTAATTCTTCAAGTTCTGAATGGTGGTATCAACGTACTGCATTCCACCACTGCCCAAGAAGGGATGTTGCAACCTCGACTACCTCAACTGTGTCAAGAGTCCAGTGCCTTGTATACAATATGTTTGGCCTTCCAACTTTCTCTATCATCCTATCAATCACCTCTATTCTTCGAATACTTCGACGCAGCACTAAGAGAGTTTCGATCCGAACTGGCCCAAAGCACCATTCTATCGGATGCGACCCTGACAGCAGGACTACTGCTGTGTAGCATTGGCGTACGTCACCCCCAAATTCCGAGTCCATCTACACACGTTAGGTTCTGACCCTCTACTCGAAACAGCTGATGCATGGTTTACCGTGGACTGTCCATCTGGAAGGAATGCACAATATATTACAAAGCCATGGCCTAGCCGATAGACATCGCACAGCCGCACAGACTCCATTTCGTACTCACTTAGTGGAGGTAATGGGAGTAATGGACCTGCCCTTCTTCTCGGTTGGTCGTCAGACCCCCTGTATCGGAATTTGGCGCCGCTACTGTCAGCCCATTTTACCCAGAGAAGGAGTTGAGCCCGTGAGTGGCTTGCCCCGAGCTCTGGTGGACCTATTCGCCGGTATCTGCATCGATACGACAGAACAGAGTTTCTGGGATTGGCCCGGCGAGCCGGGAAACTTCCTTCACTGCTATCTATGGGAAGCCTATCGCTTAGCTGGGATCTTGACTCTCCGTCGTCATGCACGAGCGGAAGAACGTCAATCGCGAGATATGCGGAATTTTTCGGCGTGGCGTCAACCTAGTGCGTGCCCTGCTGATGCAACTGTTCTTGTAACTAGGATCCTGGCGAATATTGATGCACTTCGGCTTGCGTGTGTTGAGCGCCCGGCTGAGGAATCGTTTATAAAAAATGCAATTCAATTCCCTATTGTTGTTGCTGGATTGGAGGTTGCGATACTATGCCAGAATCCACAGTGGCAGCATACTATTCGGAAATGCATGCTTGGTACTCGACAGGATGAGATCTTGTACGATTTGCTACAGGAGATGTGGCAGAAGAATGATCCAATTCTTAGTATTGATAGTTTAGCGAGAGCAAGGGGAGTGGAAATGGGTTTATTATGATTTGGTCTATATTATATGAGAACTCGAGCGCTAGATGAGATTTCTATTTACCAGTTATCCAAATGCTTATGTACACCTGAGATCTATTGAGATCTATTGACTTTGAAGGCGATCACTTCCCCGGACGAATCATAGCCCAAAACTTCAGATTCTGTTCCTCATCCAGCAGTTCTACCTCATCAACCACCTGAAAGCCAAAGTTCTCATAGAACCCAATATTCTCTCGTCGAGTGCACTCCAGGTATACTGGCTGGTCTCCAATCTGTTCCAAAATACACATCATAACGCCCCCTCCAATTCCACGCGATTGCAAGGAGGGATGCACAGCAACGACCTCGAGATACCACATCGTTTTCTTTGAGTACTGAGCTTGTGCACTCTCCAATCCCTTCTTGTTCGCTGCAAAAAGTTGATCGACTCGCTAGATAGATTAAAATCAGCATTGAAGTGCATAAAAAAAAACAAGCGAACACGTCCAGTTATACTTACCAGTTCCTTACAACCCGTATCATGTGCCGGCTTCAAAATATCTAGCCAAAACAACTTCCACATAAGCCACAGTCTTGATAAAGACCAGCTTAATTGTTCCTTGGGTGGGAACAAGAAGACCACAGCGCCTGAATCTTCACCACCTGATATTACACCTGTGATTGAAGGTTGTGCCTCCTTTGCCAGCGTAGTATCGGTCTCGACTGACACTGTGGATTCCTTTTGCTTCCGCGGGAACTTCAGCGCCATCTCATCGACATTGTCCGAGTGAAGCACCCTGCCATGAGCCATCACGGACTGGATGCGTCGATACTGCCATTCCCATACTGACTTGTCTGGTTGAGCCCACGGCGTTGCATTTGGGCGCAACCATTGGATCAGCGGATCGGATGAGAATGCAGCGTTAACAGTGCGGATAGCAGCTGCAATTGATGTTTCTAAACAGAATGTATCAGTTGATGAGCCCTGGTACCTTTACAATGGGGGAAGCTTGGACCATTTCGAATTTGACGTAAGTCGACTTTTGGGATCGACTTAGACATGGTATGTTCTAGCTTGAGCTTCGATAACCGATTTCCCAAAATAATGCAAGGTCAAGATTGCTTTCGAGGTGGCTATTGGGGATTGATAAGACGCGACAGAGTATATGAAAAACATCCATGTAGTTGGCTGAACGTTGGGATTTTACGCGAGATCAAGATCCACGAAGTTATACTTTCGATAAGGAACATTGTTCGTACTTATTTCCCCGGTGTGTCCACCTACTCTTTCGAGCTAAGAAAGTCATGATGTGGAGAATAAAGATAGAGGTCTGTGCAGTTCGATAGCTTTTCATCCAAGCGTTGTGTTCTTGGCAAATGTTGTTAGAGTAGTCTAGACCCATTGAGGAAGGCCGACGCCCGCAGCCATATCTTGAGATGTGGCAACCCCGGCAAATCAGGACGTGTTCTTTCTCCGCATCTCCCCCGGATAACGATGCGCACGACCTTTCGCTTGTCAATCCAATGCTTTCGGTTTGAGTGGCGCAGACATAGTGTCCATCATGCGTATCGCTATGTTGAATATCTGCCATGAAAGATATGGTTAAAAGCATCCCCTGACCCCTCTCCATCCTCCACGGAACAATCTGGTTCCCAATTGCAATATGGCCGATACTATTGAAGTTTCTACTTCTGCGGAGCGAAATGATCTTCCTCCAGGAACCTTCTTATTGATTCGAGGTATAGTGACGCGAGTTATTCACAAACATACTGATCATTGACTTGCTCAATAGAGGATGAATACGATCTCAACAACCAGCGGGTCGTGATGCTTGATCCAGTCCCTACCAGTGACCCAAATGAGCCATTGGTATGTCTATCTCCTTTCGGAGACAAATGAGTGCACGGAACTAAAATATATCCACAGAACTGGAGCACTGCTCGCAAAACTGTCAACTTCACTATCGTTCTCGGCATGACTGTCGTCATATTTACAGCGTGAGACACCAATATCAGCCTTGTTCAAATGTCACCCCAGCTGAAACACTTGAATAGACTCTCCGTGCAAGCTATTTTCTGGCAGCAAATGGTTGTCGATTTGCACGTTACCTACACGGAGCTTAACAGGGCAATGTCCGTCAGCTTTGTTGGCTTGGCCATGGGATGCTATCTGTTTATTCCCCTGGCAAAGAAATTTGGACGTCGCCCTATATATATTGTATCAACCATGCTCATGGTGGCCACCTCCTTTTGGTCGGGCAGTCTGACGAGCTTGACCGATCTTTACGTCTCCAATTTACTGCAAGGTTTGGCTGGTGCAACCAACGAAGCTATTGTTGAGATTACGGTAGGTGCCAAGCATGATTTGTAACTGAATGTCTGACTGACCTCGCATAGATTGCGGATCTCTTCTTTGTACACCATCGAGGCCGGATGAATGCTTTGTATATGATTATGGTGATGATTGGCGTACGTTAATCCATGAGTATCTGTGAAGGATCTCTACTAACTGGAAGCCCTAGTCTTTCCTGTCCCCCATGGCTGCCGGCACTCAAGCGACCAACCAAGGATGGCGGTGGTCCTACCGCACCATGGGAATTTTCAACGTCGTTTTCCTAATTCTTTTCATCTTTGTATATGAAGAGACGAAATACGTCCCAATGATTACGGGTCAATCCCAGTCTGGGCCAGAAACGAACGATAGCATCACCAAATCCGATGACAGTGATCGAAAGCAAGCACCTCAAACAGAGACGAAGTCTACGCAAATCGTCGAACCAAGCACGTTGCATCATGAAATAGACTCCAGCATTCCGATTAATGGATGGCGCAAACGTCTAGCCCTGGCCACCCCAACACAGGAATCGATCTGGCCATACTACTATCGACCCATCTACGCGTTATTTAGCTTCCCAGCTGTCATGTATACAGCCTTACAATATGCCTCGGGTGTAGTATGGCTCACGATACTGTCTAGTGTTCTATCACTCACATTCCCACTCCCACCATATTCCTTCACTTCCGAGCAAATCGGTTTTATGAGTGTGGGTCCGTTCATTGGGAACCTCATTGGCTCGATCTATGGTGGTGTGTTGGGTGACTGGTCGATTCTGTACTTTTCACGCAAAAACAAAGGCTATTTCGAGCCGGAGATGCGTCTTTATATTCTGCCTATACCTGCTGTCTTCATGACAGGTGGTTTGATCATGTTTGGCGCTACCATTGCTAGGGTAAGATGTGCCAATTTCCTCTAGAGCTTGGCTTTTTTGGGCTTCTCTAAGGATATCGTTCGCTAATTTCTCTGACTATTAGGGTATGCATTGGATTTATCCCAGTATTGCTGGAGTTTTCTTTGGGTTTGGGCTGGGCAGTATTAGTGATGCTGCATTAACACTGGTTATTGATAGTTACCGTGAGGTATGTTGCTTGGATGATTTTCCCTATGCTATCATCTTTCATGCTGGAACAGAGTGACTAAACAAATTCTGGTATTTAGATCACAGGTGATGCTTTTACTGGGATTGCGTTTATGCGTAACGCGGTTAGTATTGGAATTCCGTTTGCAATCTCCCCTTGGATAGAGCGGGATGGACTCCAGGATATGTTCATCGCTTGTGGATTCATCTCTCTTGCGATTACCTCCCTGATGATTCCGATGATATTTTGGGGCAAGGATGCTCGACGTGCCTCGGCCGCACGGTACTATCGAGTCATGGAGAAGCAGGGAAGTGTCAGGCATTGAATGATACCGGGTATTGAGGTAGTGGATGTTGTCGTGTGAGTTGTTTGAAGATGTAGAGGGAGATTTCCGTTTAGTTAGGCTTTACCTGGCAGTTTATGTGGGACTCTATAAGGCTATAATTTCAAATGAACATCCAAGGACTGGTATTATTCGAACTGTGTGAGGCTACAGACCAAACTATATTTTACTTGACTATGATAGCAAAGACAAAAAGCCCATTTCAGACCTCTATAGCATTTAAACCTACTACCATGCAGCCAGTCAAGGCATAGAGGACACTTCTGAAGTTCTTGGCACTATATCCTTCACTATTCTGCAGTATAGATGCCGATTTCGGCACTCCTTGTAGGAGAAAGGCCAAGCGCTAGGTGTCCAACCAAAACTTGGTCAAATTAAAACACTCTACATATCCCCTATAGATGCGCTTGGCGTTGAGAGCCAGGCGCAGACCTCGGCAGCTCAGCATCAGCAAGTCGTTCCTCCGAAACAAGCATTTGCTCTGGAACCCAAGAAAGATCTGCATCAACTGCAGGGTCCAACGTCCCGTCCTGCTGGAGCAACATAATAGCCAAAGCCTTTCCGCAAAGCCAACATTGCACCATGCCCTCCCCGCCGAATGCAGCGCACACCCACTCGGCTCCAAGCCCCTCATCCGAGGATGATCGACCTGTCGCCGAGACCGGCAATTGTCCCACCCACGGGAAACCGTCCGAACTGAACGCCATGTTTCCTGTCCACATTGCCTGCACCGGGTCACCTTGCACCCGGCCCCAGGACTCCCGGCCAAAGACTGCGCTTAATGCACCAGAGAGGTGGATATCAATGTATACAGACATCTCGTCATCTCTAGCTACTCCCAACTCTGCAATTCCGCCGAGTTCACCTTGACCAAACCCTCCGCCGAACATCATTTGTCCTCCAGGAAGTTGGGTCAGATAGTCGAAGCCGCGATGGTAATTGAAGAGCCAGGAGTGCTCGTATGCTTGGCAGGGGAATTTGTCTCCAGGAGTTTGCGCAGACATCTGTCCTCGCACGGGAAATATGCGGCCACGTAAACCAGGGACTAAATGGCCGACGTGAGAATTCGTGCAATGGATGACATTGCGAGCGGAGATGATTCCTCGATCTGTCTGGACCTTATACTTGTAGGTCGAAGACAACTTGGTTTCAATCGATGTGACCGCTGTATGATCGTTGACTTGAAACTCCTCTGGATAGTCTGCGAGAAGTCTAGCCAGTATACCTGTGACAAATTTGTAAGGCCACAGTGCACCAGCAGGACCGGCAACAACACCCGTTGCATTTGCAAGCTTGAACTCCTGCCATTGGCACATGTTAGCCAGTGCATTTGAATTGCACAGTCTAATGAGGGAAACTTACCTCTGGCATCAATTCTCGGTCATATGAAATCCACTCTGCCGATTCTTCTGGCATGCCCTCTTTGAACCGTTGAAGTCTTTCCAAAGCGTCTTTCCATGGCTGATCTCCAAAGAAAGCACTCAGAAACTGTACCTTCCGTGCCTGAACCTCCTCTGTGAGACCAAGCTCTTCCGCAGCATCCAGCATTTCACGCAGATGCGATAACCGGAAGCGCATAGTCTTGCGGGCAACATCCTCCCCATACACATCTGCTAGCTCGGCATAATCATCTGCAGTTTCGAGAATGTGGCCACCATTTCGCCCAGTAGCTCCACTGCAGATGTCTCGAGCTTCAAGGATGACGACAGCTGGATGGGATGGGGCTGACGATGCAGATCTGACACCGTTTTGAAGAAGCGTACGCGCTATAGATGCACCTGTTATCCCCGAGCCAATGATCACCACATCGGCACTTGATGCGAGGGGCTGCATGGATCGCTGCGCGAACTGCGGGTGCGGCGTCTGCGTCCAAAAGGAGGAAGTTGTGATATCATGGGGAATACCAGGGTCCGAATAGATACGGTCAATAGCCTGTTGCCGATCTAAGACCGAGATCGAAGAATCCTCAAGAAGGAACTGGGCAAAAGGCATTCTGGTTTAATTTTGATCTAATTTGAAATGATGCTTCTGGCGCAAAGATTGGGGGGAATATGAAGTTACAGTTAGAACAGAGAAAGGAGCCTAAAATACACTATCAGAAGAGCGAATGACCTTCACGAATCACATGCAGCATGTTGTACTTCCTTCTTTGAGCGCGTCTAACCACACTTTGCATCTGACTTTCTTTATGTTTTGCGCGTGAGCCGTTTTATTGATAAGGTGCGTCCACCTACCCAATTGGACTCGTGCGGAGATGATTCCCCACTTCCATATCTTGGGGTTGATATACACGAAAGCAGCAGGTCCAACAACTATAAATGCAGGGATTGAGCCGAGGAAATAATGAGCAAATTAATATCTACGTCGAAGAGTTATACTTGCTATCATGTCTTCGATCCCGTCACCCGGAAATGGCCTGTTCCCTGAAGGCCCGCAAATGCGCCAACCCTCTCTTGCACATCTCTATCGACTAGAATGCGATATCGCTAAGGAGGAGATCAATATTGGTGCTCCGCATGATGCTGGTGTCATCCGCAGCATCGCAAATATCCTGCGAGGCAGCATAAAAGGCCCCGGAATTGAAGGTTCTATTCTGCCCCTTGGAGGAGCAGACTGGGCAACTGTGGTGAAAGGGACACACGTAAGTCTTCAGGAAGTCTTTGTGATCATCCAGTAGATTTAATTTAATATCAATGACAGTCCATGACCCTTGACGCCCGCTACACCGTCCGAACCACCGATAATCATCATCTATACATCCGTGCCCACGGTCTCTATCGTCCGGGACCAGGCACGAGCTACGCAAAACAAGTCGAAAGCGATCCGATGATGATGCCACCACCGACAGTATCGCAGGACGATGTGGAATTTTTTTCGCACCTGAGGATCGAAGCTGGGCCGGGTCCATACAACTGGTTGAATGGGTTGGTCTGTCTTGGAGTCATGGTTTGCGAAGGAGAGAAGATTTGGATTGATGCGTACCATCTCACAAATTTCCCGGGTATCAAGCCTGAAGATGTAATGGCAAAGGCATAGATTGCCGACGCAGCGGCAGATAGATAGCTTTTCAATTACCGACCTCAATAGATGAAGGGAGATTTATTGAAAACCACGCAGTGAGAGGTTGATGATTGAGTATGTAGTACGCAAGGTAGACTCGTAATTTGGATCGGAATACTATATTTACGTGCCTCCGTATGTGTCTTGGCAACTACCTACTCACGCTATGATATACCCTGATCGTGGTCATATATGCGGTAGCTATGATCTTGGGGCGACTGACGAATGATATGCATTAAACCGGCTCTTTTTACCACCTGGAATTTAAGAGCCGTTGCAATGTTTGAGGGGCATCCTCACAATTTTCTAAAGGGAACCACAGCCGATTAAAGAGCTACCCCGATTAGGCAAGTGGACGCACCGTCGCATCGATCTATGCAAAAGTGGGCCACCGGGTCTTGGAGGCGGATATTCCGACAACGCCGTTATCGCAGTCATTCATCGTGTATATAATCACCGTTGCGTCCAAGATTCGTATTCTACAATCCCCGAATAACCATGGCGAACGAAAACTCCGAGATCCCCGAATGGCAGGAGCTGGTCGCTCGCAAGCGCAACGAATGCCAAGAGAAAATCCCAAGCGAGTGGACGCTGAGTGCTGACCTATTGAATGCACCCCCGCACTTGTTGGAATATGATGCTTCCCGTAAAAGTGGCTTGCTTTCGGAGCTTGAATTGGATCTCACGGAGAACTATACAGCAACACAATTGCTGGTGAAACTTGCCTCTGGTCATATCAGTTCTTTGGCCCTTACGACGGCGTTGTGCAAACGAGCTGCGATTGCGCAGCAGCTGGTAAGTTGTTCTTTTTGTGAACCCATAGACTGCAAATAACTGATGTGTCAAATTTGTCTAGACCTCATGCCTCACTGAGACGTGCTTTCCACAAGCCCTGGATCGAGCTCGGTTCTTGGATGAGTACCTTGAGCGAGAAAAGAAGCCTATCGGCCCGCTTCATGGGCTGCCTATCAGTATGAAGGATAGTTTCTGTATTGAGGGCTTGCAGTCAACCGTGGGATATGTCTCGTTTCTGAAGAATGACCCGGCGACAAAGAATTCTGCTCTAGTCGCAATGCTGTTAGAGCAAGGAGCGGTCCTGTATGTCAAGACGAATATCCCGCAGACAATGATGGTAAGTGACCTTCAAGTCCGTTTGTTCGACTGATTGAGCTAATGAATTCCAGACTGGAGACTCCGAAAACAACATCTTCGGTCGTACTCTCAATCCTCACAATACATCTCTGACAGCTGGCGGGTCCAGCGGCGGCGAAGGCTCCCTCGTGGGATTTCGGGGATCAGTCCTAGGCGTCGGCACTGATATCGCGGGCTCAATTAGAATCCCAGCTCTATGCTGCGGTGTATATGGGTTCAAGCCAACAGCTCAACGTATTCCATTTGGTGGACAGGTCTCAGGTGCAATGGAAGGCCTACCAGGTCTGATACCTGCTGCTGGTCCATTGGGTCACAGTATTGCCGATCTGCAGCTATTCATGAAAACTGTCCTTAGTGAGGGCAAAGCTTGGGAATATGACTCTGCGGCCTTTGCTGCGCCATGGAACGACAGCCCGCGTGCAACCACCGAGAATAATGGAAGTCTGACCATTGGAGTCCTTGCCGAGGATAAAGAATTCCCGCTTCACCCCCCTGTCAAGCGAGCTCTGAATCAAGCTATTGCGAAGCTGACTCGCGCTGGTCACCGCATTGTTTACCTTGAAAGCGACAAAGAAGAGCTTTCTGTCGCTTATTTGTCTCGCCTGGCCTTTCAATATTTCATTTATGGTCCCTCGGACGATAACATCAAATCCAGTGGTGAACCGCTAGTGAAATCGGTGGCCAGGTTTGATTCTCCCATGTTCACTGGTCCATTCCCAGTCGATATGGAACTGGATACATTTGAGAAGATCAATAAGCTGCACAAAGCTCGCACTCGAGTCAACAATGCTTGGCGTCAGGTCTGGGTTGATCAGAAGCTAGATGTGGTACTAGCCCCAGGGGCACAGAACACTGCAGTTGCGCACGACACCTATGGATGGCCGCCGTATACGGTGATGTGGAATGTGTTGGATGTGAGTTTAACCTGAGGCTAGGATTTAGATATCTGGTAACTGACCTTGGGAATGCACAGTATCCCGCTTGCATTATTCCGTTTGGAAAGGCGTCAAAAGAGCTGGATCCGGAGCCAATGAAAACCGATGACAAAGTTCAGCCAAATTGTATGTGAAACCTGTCTCTTTATCGACCCTTGCTAATAGGAGACAGACAACCCAGATGAAGTTGATGGCGCACCGTGTGCCATTCAAATCATCACTCCACGGTTCCAGGATGAGAAATGTCTCTGGGCCGCAGAGATCATCGATCAAGCTATTCGGTTGGTATAATCTGGACGATAGTGCATGTGCATACAATCTTACCCTTTTCACCCCTCTTTTATGTGACTGGGAACCTTGAAATACTTGTGAATCTTTGATGTATGCATAGTTTTGAGCCAAGTACCACCTGGCTTCCATCATCAATAACCTCTTTATGAAGCTTCTAATCTTCGGCATGCCTTTCTGTGTACTCTCTCCTTACTTTTGCAGTGTACTGGGTGCATAGGAAACTTTTTAAAGCCTCCTATGAAACCAATATTGTCCTAATTTTTTTTGAGTAAATACACCTTCAACCTAATTTCTCTACGGAAGTACGAATGGAGTATCCAGAACTTATATGGTGGTAACATTTATGAGAAAGGAAGAAGTCTAAGCTGCTCTAGTCTCGCCCAGTGGTTTTTCAGGGGCACAACCACCTTCAGGAGATCTAACTCAGCGGAAGAGATCATCTCCATCAGTGAATTGCCTATCAGTATCCACAGTGTCGGTCACAATTGACGAGACCATACCTGAAGCTAGCGCAAGAGGGCCCCGATATTGAACAGTGACTACCGCAATGGAAAGCACGCCGACGACTGATCGACATGGAGCAATGGGGGTCGACGCAGAAGAATTGCACAATACAGTAGTATTCGAAATCAGATTTACCTCTACACTTTTAGATTTTCATCTCCAAACCCTAGCCTGAAACACGCTGGTCTAATTTCAGCCATTCCTTTATAATTCCTGTAAAATTATATTGTATTCCCTGGTATCGATAGATGAGTTATTGTTATAATACTGTAATTTACCTTGGGATTCGACAGAATCCTCCATGCAAACAGGCCAGACATGATGGAAACCCTAGCACTGGCATGACCGTCCTTTCATTCATTTCCTTACAGTAGCAACCGCTTCCGCCTTCAATGTCGGACAGTGCAGGAGCTTTTTCAAACCTTAGTCATATGAGTTGCTAAGCCGTATTTGGTTAAACCCATATTTAACAATCCGTCACAAGGACAAATTGTATTATACAAAACGAAGAAAAGGCTAAGTACTAAGTATAATGAGTGCCAATTTACTAATACAGCGCTGAGATGATGCCACGCGCACCACCACGTCATTGCAACTCTGACATAAATATACTGAGCCTCCGAAAGATCGCCCTTGATTCCTAGAACAAATTTATATATATGATGCAAGGATAGCGAAAGACTCAATACATCTCATAAGGCGACTGTGGCAAAGTGTAGTGGGCATAAATACATGCAATTGGGCGACTAGTTAGATCTACCCTAGCACTTCACAAGGAGCCATTTCAACAAGAGATTACAAAGTATCAGATGCTATCTTGCAACTGCAATACTGAATATGTTCAACGTCTCCGCAGGTCACTGAGTCCTATCCTTTAGACCCAAGGCCTTCTCCTTGCCTGCCAGTGCTCGCTGGTACATCTGTTCTGCCTCCTTCAGCTTGCCTTGAACCTTGTAGAGATTGCCAAGGTTTTTGACTGTCTCGAGAGTATATATATGATCAGGACCTAGGACCTTTTCCTTGCCTGTCAGAGCTCGCTCGTACATGTCTTCTGCCTCCTTCAGCTTGCCTTGATTCTCGTAGAGAATGCCAAGGTTGTTGACTGTATCGAGAATAGATATATGATTAGGAGCTAGAGCCTTCTTATACCCTGCTAGTCCTCGCTGGTACATCTGTTCTGCCTTCCTCAGTTTACCCTGACTGAAGAAGAGACCCGCAACGTTGGTGACCATGTCGAGAGTAGATATATGATCAGGACCTAGGACCTTTTCCTTGCCTGCCAGTGCTCGTTGGTACATCTGTTCTGCCTCCTTCAGCTTGCCTTGAATCCTGTAGAGACCGCCAAGGTTGTTGACCATCTCGAGAGTAGATATATCCTCAGGTCCTTGGGCCTTTTCATATCCTAGTAGAGCTCGCTGGAACATCTCTTCTGCCTCCTTCAGCTTGCTTTGAGCGTTATAGACAACACCAAGATTGTTGACTGCTTTGAGAGTAGATAGATCATCAGGACCAAGAGCCTTCTTGTATCCTGCTAGAGCTCGCTGGAACATCTCCTCTGCCTCCTTGAGCTTGCCTTGATAATAGTAAAGATCCCCTAAACGAAGGAATGCCCACCATATCTCAATATTATCATCTAATAAATCTAGATGATATATATGATTGGCGTGTGGAAGAAGCCGTTGCTGAAGCTCTGAGAAGATCCTGTTACTTTCACTAGGCACAGAGTATCCAATGGATATAAGTGCTAGCTCATTAAGCTACATCCAATTCACATTTTTGTCTATATTAGCAACATGAAGGCACCAGTCTTGTACTACTGGATGCATAATATAGCTTCCTTCTTGTTGCTTACTCTCAAGAAGAGAGAATCTGATCAGAGACTTCACACAAATTTTGAACGCGAGTCCGCTTGATATAGCCTTTTTGAGCCAGTCCGGGATGTTCAAGCTATAGCAGCTATTCTTCACTAACTCGTACCAGATATCATGATTATCAAAACGAGCCAGTAGTAATAGAAAGTCTGCTGCGCTTGGGTCACGCTTCTGGATCTCAAGATATGAGATCATCCATGTTTGTAATATATTGCCTTGCTGATACTGACGACCAGGATTCGATTATAGCTGTAGCTCAGACCAAGATTCTTGGTAGTACTCTAAGTACTCAGTGATGCTAGTTCCAGTTTCACGCATAAACGCCCCGGCGATGATGATGGCTAAAGGCAGTCCACCCAGACGATCAGTAAGAGTAAGGATATCTATATATATTAGCATAATCTATAATATCTTTTCATGAAGTGCCATAGTACCTAGATTGCTGTCAAGTTTGCTTATGGTGTTCTCTGTTGATAGTCCACTACTTTGTAGAAGTAGTTGAGTTGAGTTATAAGAGTCAAGCCTGTGAACCGGGAAAGACTTCCCTAGCTCAGTGAGGTCCTGAAGTCGAGAAGTGATAAGGATGGAGCCATAGTATGCTTTAGGGAAAAATTCCCAAATATCATATCTGTCACCAATAGCGCTGTTGAAGGGGGAGTATTGATCGATATTGTCAAAAATGATTAGCCAGCGCGAGTTGCCATCTAATGCTAGCCAACGTAACATATGCCTGGCTCGTTGCTCCACTTCTCTATCATTAGTGGCCTTGCTATCCCAACCCTGTCCTAGTATTCGGTTTAAGGTAAAACTCAACGATTGCAAAAGTGTATTGAGGTTCTTGCCATTTAGCCAGAAGATGGCTGTAAAATGATCTCTATGATCTCTCGCGAAGCGAATCGCTAGCTGCGTCTTCCCGATTCCGCCAAGCCCGTGAAGAATTGCAACTTTCTGAGATGGTGGTGTGTCTGTTGGTTGTAAATACTGCCATAGACTGTCTAGCTCATCTTGCCTTCCCACAAAATTTATAATCATAGGCATTGTGGTAAGGTCTAGAGGGACATTAAAGCGGTGGACTATATAAAGAAATTTTGAGTTAGTCATTGATTCAAGCTATGTAAGTAGTGCCAATAATTGAAGGATATCTCACCAGAATCTACTAGCGTGTCCTGGGCTATTAGAGTGGTTTCAATAGAATAGATCGGAACCGCCAAGATAAGTTCTTTAGCATAGGCTGCAGCAACCGCCGCCGCATATCCTTGCCATTCTTTAGTCTTGTGGGAGTCAGCATAGTCACAGATACCTCGAATCACTAGGCAAGGGAAGTCATTCATAAGCCCTGCAGCTTCCATTTCCACACAGAGGACCCCTAGGTCTCGAGCCAGCTGGTCTCGCTGTCTACCATCTTTCACTACCTGATTTGCAGATGCAATCAGTCCGTAGTGGATCACTGGCTCCAGCTCTTTATAGTCTCGTGAAAGCCGCGGAACCAGTTTAGATCGATCACAATCAATACATGTATCAGATCCTCTATGGATATATTCTGGTTGATATAAACAGTCCTCTTGAGTGGGCCGTGTAAAAGTTGTAGCTCTGCGCGGGGTCGTTTTGATTTGGATATCAGAGATGAATTCAAGAACTCGACTATCATCTGTGAAGTGGTGGGCTTGGAGGGTAGCGAGGGCAGTCAGTAGGACCTTAGGTGGCCGATTAAGCATCCCCGTCCGCTGAAATCGACCACCACTTAACGCTTTACCGAGATCGTATTGGATCACGCCTCCAGATATATCTGCTGGCTGGCTTACCACAATATCGCCCAGGCGAATGTCTGCGTTGCTGCTTGGAACACCCCCACCGATACCGACCATAAGACCAAATCGGATAGAGCGGAAGCTAGAGAGCAACTGCGTCGCTACCACTGCAGCTGATACAGTGCCATATGCGCCACTTGGTAAGCAGGCAATGACAATATTGTGTTTATCGATATTTCCAAGAATATACGTGTTTTGGTCTGTCGATGGGCGAGGCAGATTCGGGTGTATTGCGTCCAACATTAGCTTTGCGGCTGCCATCTCCAGAGGTAAAGCGCAGATCCATCCAACCGTGTAATCGTCATGGCATAGTGGGGCCTTAGCTGCCATGATGGAATATGTAATGGTGGATTTTGAGACAAATTATCTTATCGTGAGTTCATGGTAAACATAAGATGAACAAATATGTATGCCGCCTAGGGGAGAGAAGAGGGGTAGTTTGAGTGGTATCGCATGCATGGCGATTTCCTGTAAGTTACAAAGGACAAGGTCCCACCCGCGTTATGTAAAATACAGTTTCTATTCCAAGAACAAAGGGTTCGACGGATATACCATGTCCGGATTAGCGTGTTCAAAATTAGGGTTTAGAAAATCAAGTCAAAGAGTAAAGAGGTGAATCTGATTTCGAATATTACTGTACTGGAGGAAACAAATTGAAGGACTCAAACTGGTCATGAGAAGCTTTGGAATGTATTTCTCTTTTCAACTGTTAGAAGTTTCATTTGCAGTTCTGAAGAAATTACATTCGATTCAAAGTAGAATACATATGCGAAGCTGACTGGGTTCCATCCAATATCTATGGAACTGACACGCTTTTTGAAGTGTTGGAAGGTATTGAGTGTGTTGAAAGAACATGATAAGAACTAAGGTTTACGGACTGGGTGTGCCGTCATCATAACGTGGGCCAGCATCGTCGTCGCCGTAGCCCGCACCAGGCGTGGCAGCTGCACCTCCCATGGCCGGCGTTGGTGCATCGTACGCAGCAGGAGTAGGAGCTTCGTAGCCACGCTTGGGTATATCGCCTGGAGTAGGGGCGCTGAAAGCTCCACCCGGGGTAGGGGCATTGTCGGCCCAGCCGCCTGGAGTGGGCGCGGATGCACCGGGGGTGGGAGCAGCGTAGGCACCGGGAGTTGGAGCGGAGTAACCCCCAGGTGTAGGGGCATCATCGTAGTCACGCTGGTCTCGGTTGTTGGACATGCCGGCCCCACCCCAGGCCGGGGTGCGGTTTCCGGCGCCTGCGTTGCCCCAGGCTGGAGTACGAGATCCAGAAGCAAAGGCGTCATATCCAGAGCCGCCGGAGCCAGAGTCGCCATAGGGAGTGCGGGATCCAGAGTTCCATGCTGGAGTCCTGTTACCCATACCACCGTAGGCAGTGCGGCTTCCATCACCATAAGCAGTGCGACTTCCGTCTCCGTATGAAGTCCGGTTTCCGTCGTTCTTCCAAGCAGGCGTACGAGAACCACCCATGCCAGACCAAGCCGGAGTCCGTGCGGACGCTGCGCCTCCCCAGGCCGGGGTCCTTGAAGAATCGGCATTAGCCATAGGAGTGCGCCCACCTTGCCATCCATCTCGGCCCTGAGGAGCACCTCCATGCGGGACACGAGATCCTCTTCCACGGCCCACATCCAATGGCTGTTTAGAAATGGGGCTATCAAACCATTAGCAAACTATACATTAGAAGTCTAGGGACCAGATGATGCAACTCACTCCTTCGGTGTCAGGATATCTCTCTGGATAAGGACAGGCTTGTTTGATGTGTAAAGCTCAACTTGGGCAGTACTATCATCGGAGTCTCGGACGATACCCACCAGACCCTTGTAGCGGCCTTTACGCACAGTCACAGTCTTACCGATCAGTCTGTCACGACCACGCTGGGGAGGCGGCATCGCACCACCGCGGCCAGCGCCGGGCATTTGCATCGCCATAGCAGGATTCATCTTGCTCAGGTCTGGTCCGGTAGGGCGGCCACCCCGGGCAGAAACAGTGACAACGTTTGTTGTTCGCACCACGGAAATGCCAGCATTTTCGGCCTGAGCCTTGTTGTGCAAGAAGAGGAAAGAGCGGTAGATATGGCGAATGGCTCCATTTCTCTGCTCTCCATACACTTCACGAACGGTATCCCCGTGTCGGATTTCTGCGCCATTGCGATCTGTTGCTACTGCATCGCGGCGAGGAGTGAGCTTATTAGCAATCTGGGTTGGAAGAACATTGCGAACAGAGCCGTTCTGATCGATGACGCGAAGAGATTCGCGGTCAACCTTGATGACACAAGCCACGGTGGCAGCACTGTAACAACGTTAGATAGTCGCAGGGAAAAGCATAGGAATCCGACATACTCAAGCTGGACAAGGTCATGAACATCATAAATACCAAGTTGGCCATCGGCGGCCATCTCAGCAGAAATGCGAAGGTCCTTGCTGAAAACAGTAATCTCTTGCATGCTCATATCACTGAGCAGAGTAACGGTGTCATCTTTGACTTGGACCACCATGCCCAGTTCGTTTTGATAACGACTACCTCCAATGACCTTTACATGATCACCTTCTCTGAAACGCTTGCGAAGAGTTCGGACGGGGGCATCGATTGTCTGACCGGCCAAATCTCCCTCGGTGACTTGCAATGAAACAATCTCGCCCCGGGTTGAGACTGTGCGACCAATCAAGCCCTGCTGTTCGCCACGGTACACCTCCACAGGGTCACCGGGTTGGTATGAGTCTTCGGCAGTCGTATTCTTCAACGTCTCAGCCAAAGATGCCAGGTCGAGGTTGGCGGTGCCATCTTCTCCTCCACGTGCAAACATGGCCACCTCCTCTAGTCGCGGGTTCACATTCTTAACGATCAAGTGCTGGACTCGCATGTCCTTGATAAGGAATCCATCAATGTAGTTGTCATTGAGATAACTCCATGACTTACCACCCAATCCTGAGGTAGACGAGAGGTATTTTGCGTGCTTCTTCTTGGCCTCCGACTCACTGAACAAGCGTTGTGGAGCCCGGACGGCACTCGCGGCGCCACGTTTGCGCTTGGGATCAACAATCGCAGCGGCATCATCATTCATACCATAATCCAGTCGGGGAACAAGTCGAACAGTCACGTTAAGACCGTTGGTCTCAACCTCCTCAATCTGGGCCAGATCATCATGGTATTTGCCACGCTTGATTCGGACCCATCCACCAGGGTTAAGCTCCTCTGACTTCTGGACTCGGAGAAGATCGGGCATCTCCTTAACGGGAACCAGCGTCAATTTCTGGGAGGGGTAATAGAAGTTGATAGCTTCCAGGCCTTCAGTAACATCGGCTTGTCTGCGTGCTTCGCAGTAGAACCAACCCTGCATGATGTTTCCACGCTCGAAAGCCGAAATGATTCGAATCGGGTTACGAGAGCCAGGAGGACGCTCTTCAATGCGCTTCTGGATAGAGAAGACAACCTCCCGTTCTTTGCCAGGTTTGCAGCGACCACCCCAAATGCTGGGATCCTCAACACTGGGAAGAAGCAGCCGCTTAGGGACCACAAGGGCATCTGTTCCAGCGGCACGGTTCCGGCCATATCGTTCCTTCAGCATCTGCGCCTGCTTCTCCGCATCCATTGTCGCATCGAGTTCACGCTGACGATCGAGTTGTCTGTGGCGGCGGTCATCTGTCTCAGCACCGACGGGCAATGCATCGAGATCATCGGGGTGCATTTCTGTACCGAAGTCGGCGAGCTCATCCTCGTCCTCTTCGGCTTCATCTTCCTCTTCATCAACACCAGCCTCTTCTTCGAAGAAGGAAGAGACACCGCCTCTTCTGCGCTTACGCGGACGACCCTATAAACAAGCATTTGTTAGGAAAGGCTATCGTAGTTGTGATGCCCGTTTAGAATACTAACAACTGCCTCTTCTTCTTCCTCCTCCTCTCCTTCTTCATCGTCATCGTCTCCATTTTCCTCGGCGCCTTCATCATCATCATCATCGCCGTTTTGGGCTTCATCCTCGTCGTCGTCGTTCGCGGCATCTTCGCTAATGCGGACGGTCTTTACCGGCTGTTCATTGTACGCTTTATCAGTATCACATTCTAATCCATCATCAATAGGATAGAAGCTACTGACCTTAGGATTCTCGGCGTCAGACTCATCTGCCACAACGGGATTAAAGTCATCGTCCTCATCCTCAGAGCCGAAATCATGGTTCAAAAGATTCGACATTATGTATGGTAGGTATCGAGTTCGAAGGAGTGAGATTCGGGGTAAAGACACGCCCAGAGGTCTGTGGATTGACTAGTCTGTGGCGATCGGAAAGTCGAATTGGGCTTGATTTGGTAGGAAAAGACTCGAGACGATCGAAATTGAGAAGATCACCAGGAGCGCAAGGAGAATGTTCCGGGCTTTGCGGACAGTCACCGAGCGACGGGACTTAGAGGAAAACCGGCCACAACCTCGATTGCATCAAAGGTAAATGGAAGGCTGAGAGAAATTGAGACACAGCGATCTGGGGGTAAGAGCTTTTATACCCAGAGACGCTGGCTGTGTCAGGTGAGAGATTTGGGGGGGGGGTTGAGCTATTCTTAAAGTGAAGCAGGTCGCGCCGAAAGTCAAAGGTCAGAAGCTGCGCAGTGGGTCGTTGTGCCTACCCGGATACTGTTTACCACCACTCCATGCGCATTAATTCTAGCCTTGAATCACTTTTCCATCTTTTACCTGGTTTAAGTACTGTAGCAGATTCAAATTGTCTTTTAAATTTCAGTATCACATTCTGCAAGTCAAGTGGATCCACGTGGAAGTCTTACAAGCATAAGGCCATGGGTTTCATCCTTCTAGTATTACTTTTAGATACTTCATGGGGGCGATACTCTATTCCTCCAGAACCACAGCGTCTTATACAATTCGAACGTGATTTTGAAGCATGGTACAATATGTAGCAATGCTAGTTAAATTTGTACAACTTGTTTTTCAAATCATGTATTGTATTTGCTAAAACCAAAGCAAATATGCACAGTCGATGTTATATCATACAGGACAAGATCGTAAGGAAATGCGTCACACCGGACGGGATATCTAGCCGAAAGAAAAAACCAAAGAAAAAAGCCTGCAAAGCTAAGGTGAGAGACACAGGTGGTAGCCAAAGAGGGAATGAACCGAGTCTAGTCCTTCTAAGATCCAAAGCCCTTATAGCTTCATACCAAACATCTCGTGTACACGCAAGCTCTGGCGCATACTCAGATCTAGCATGATCTCCTCACTTCCACCAGGAATAGCGTAGGCACGCACGTCACGGTATAGTCGCTCGATCTTGCCACCCTGGCCACCACGGCTGTAGCTCAGACCACCAAAGATCTGGCTGGCCTCGCGGGCAC